TGTTAGAAATTCGGCCGATTTATTTCTGGAACGACGAAATTTAAGCAGACGAATCAATTTTTAATTATTTTGGGTTGGTTGGAAGACGCTAAGTGAGGAGATGTTCCAATACGAAGATGGAAACTAAAAAGTTAAAAGCAATGCATTGGCACGGCGGTGACCATGTCATGGTTTGGGCTTATATGGCTGCATCCGGGGCCGGGAACTAAGTTTTTATTGCCGGTATCATGAATGTTAATATATATTTAACAAATTACAAAGAAAGTTTGGTGAAAAGTGCCAATAACTTGGCTAAATGGAATCGATTTAGATTCAACCAAGAATATGACCCAAAGCCTATTGCTAGAAATATATGTTTTGGTTGATCTAAAACTGTCCCAACGGGTTTTGGCGGTGGTACCCGTTACCACAGCAACTCCAGAACGATCATTTTCGACTTTGAGGAGAATGAAAGATTATCTGAGAAACACGATGGGTCAAGAGCGTCTCAATGGTCTTGCATCTTTGAACATTCATCATCGCATAACTTTGACTGAAGACGAAATTCTCAGAAAGTTTTTTGAAAAACCTCGGAAATTTAAGAGTGACTAGAACCGTTTGTGGATCATATATAATATTTTTTCTTGATTTATTATTCGAAAATAAATTAAAATTTGTGTAAAACATTCAAAAAATTACGAATTTTTATTAATAACTTTGTGTTTCAACTGCACCAACATGCCCAATAAAAGCATAAAATTTGAAAGTATATGATCCCATGGGGGGGTCCGGACCCGAAAACCCCCCGTGGATCCGCCACTGTCCTAATGAATAAAGTGTTGAAAAGAATATAAAGAAAATCTTTTTACCAACTTCTTGTAAGCTTTTAACGAAACTAGAGTTGAAATACATTTCATTTAAGAAATGTTTTTTAAATAAGAGATAAAGAGATTTATTTTATATTATCTCAAAATATAAATAATGAAGCATATTTTATAAACATTTTAGAATTGTTTAGCCTTAAATTAGCTATCAAATATAAAAAGTGAAAACCTTTAGCGCATACTGTATTTACAAGTTGTGTCTATATAAATGCCAGAATTTATCTAGAAAAGCCTAATTGGAAAAGTGTTTTGGGACCGGCACTCGAGGCTTTTAGCCGAAAATGTCCCGACAAAGGCACAAGGGAAGCGATTTGAAGCGGTGTTGTCTGATTTGTTGGCTTTTCGGGGGGTTTCATTTGGGGCAGTTTGGGGGGAATGGGGTGTTTGGCTTTTGCAAATAGTGGGTGGTGTTAGGGGAGAAGGTGAAGATGGTTCTTATGAGCCGACTTAGGCAAAAAGAGGGACAATGGAATGCTGCGGGTGCGGGAGCTGCGAACTGCGAACTGAGAGTTCGAGTTCGAGACCGGCGAACAATTTGTCCTCGAGAATGTCAGCGGCACTCCTTATTATGCCTCTCCTTCTGCAATTGCTTTGCTTGTTGCTCTCTCATTGTTTAATTGTTAACCATTTTGTGTGCAAGTGTGTGTGTGTGTGCCTGTATGTGTGTGTGTGTGTGAGGCTTTGTTGCATTGTTTGATTGTTTCATGCCCGAGCTTTGTCTCTCGTTTTGTGTGCGTGTGTGCGAAATAACATTTGTCTAATGAAAAGCGCTCTTGTGTCTCCCTTCCACCCGACTCTTTGTCTCGCTCGCTCCTCGTCTGGACGGCCCTTGCTATTTTTAGCTCATTATGTTGCCATGGCCCAAAGGACATTACGTCCTGGGACACGCCTCAAGAATTCAGGATACATCTTCACCCGAACGTACAAGCTGACATCCATGCTTCGGTTATTATTTCTCTTGTTTTACAACATAATACCTAATTATTGCCTTATTTGATTTCTGGCAGCTGGCATGAATTTTGTATATTTCCCTTGGTTGTAAAAACTTTTATATATAATTTAAATATTCATATTTGCCAAGCGAAGCAATCAAATAATTACATGCATACACAAAAACCCGATTAAGTTTGGCTAACCAACTATAAATTCAAATCTTATCAAATATGTAACGAAATGCATGTGCACATCCGTGAATCTCAAATATCTTTATTATTTAAGCCACCCACTGAACAGCTGATAATAAATTGCAGTTCTCCCAAGAGTGGCTGCTTTTCCATGTTTTGCCACAATTTACAAAGGCGGTTGCGATACAAAATATGGTTTTGATTGCTTTGCACACAGAAATAAAATAATTGCCAGAAAATATATATAAATATTCAACAGCTGGGGAATGACAAAATATCGCTCTGTTGTTTGCCCATAAAATTTGCATACCCAAGTTGTCAAATAAAGATAAATAAAGAGGCTGACAGCAACCTCAGCAAATCCAATTTGGGGATTGAAATGTGCAGCCAGTCGGCCAACGATGGATGGTTAGTGATTTGTGATTTCTGCTGTGAGCTTCTATCCCCAAAGCAAATTCCAGCTAGTTGGCCAATTGGTTGTAACTGCAAACATGCAACTAGCAGGTGACAGGTGGCAAGCCAACTGGCAGCGGAACATGAACACGACACAGCAGCAGCTACGAGTAGTACAACCGAAATCTGGTTAATTGAAAAACGGAATGGCCCACAGAGACATTCGCCCTGATTCGGGTTCGGATCCAGATGCGGATACGGATTCAGATTCGGATTCGGGTGGCTGTGCGCTGTGAGATACATTCTCGCATCCTTACCGCATTAGCTGCAGTTGAGCGAGTGTCAAGGTGAGGCCAGGTGAACCCAGCCAGTCGGAAAACAGGCAGCAAAAACAGGGCGAAGCTGGGAAAAAAAAACTTGGCAGTACCTGGGCTTAGTACCCATACACACTGAAAGCAAAAAATATAGCAAGAAATTATGGTTTCTTACAGATACTTGAAGGTTATTTAAGATTACTTTAAGAAGGAAACGGAACACTCCAAAAAGTATAAGATTTAACAAATAGATTTAAAGAGAAGAGTCATTCAGATATTGAAGTATTTTTTAGCAATAAAATATAGATAAATAATTGTTTTGCAATGTGCTTTTGTACACAAGAAGGTATCTTACAATTTTATACTTACATTTAATATCTTTAATTTAAAAGACAACAAGGAACAGCTACTTCCACAAAGAAGACTTTAAAATGTAACATCCCTTTAAAGCACTTTTCTTTATTGATTTGTAGGCTCACCTTCCTAGAAAAAACGTGTATAAAACATGCTCGCCAAATAGAATCCTTCAAGAAATGTAAATTAAGGGATCCCACCTCAAATGGACATGGGAGACTATTTTTTTCCGCTCGTCCACACTTTTCCCTTGGCTGCTGGCATCTGGCCAAATCACGTAATCACAACTTGTTTATGGCGCATGTGCCAACTATTCCCGACTTTCACCTTCACGGCGGCCCCTTCCGAATCCGAAACCCTCCCAAAAAACACAGAAGAGCAGACCTCCCATCCCGACCACCGTGCAGTTGCAGCCATGAAAATTAATTTCAATTAGCGGAAATTGTTTTTACACCTGTTTGCCTTCCAGCACATAGCAGTCGTCGAAATCGCTTGGCCAATTTGCGGCCTGTCATCGCATTGACGGGCTAATACCGCACTATATATCCCCTTACCCCCTGACCCCATCACCCACTGTGCTCGCCAATTCATAAATCAGAATTGCAAATTGCTAAGAGCCACCAGCCCAGCGGGAGTTAAACTACAGCAGCAGCAGCAGCAGCAAAAAAAACACAAAAAAGAAGGAAACAAAAATTATAGCATACCGCTGGGCGACACTTGAGTGCAGCAAATGCCACGCCCACTCCCTTGGGAACTCGTAACTGGCTCTAAGCAAATTCTTTTCTGCACTGCTTTCATGGGCGTGGGTGTGGCGGAATGTCGAACAGAATTGCACACAAGTTTGTCTGAGCTGAGCAATTTAAAACGATTTAATTGCAGCTTCATTCCACAGAAAGGGAATGAACCCATAAACTGCAAACTGCGCTTCAACTGAAACTAAGTTTAATTAGTACGGAAAGCAATTTAAAGCTGGATTATAATTACTATCATTCACAATTAATTTGGATCCCATAAAAAAGGAACTAATTGCATTAAAACCTTTTAACTGTTCAACAAAAAAATGGGATATCCGCAATCCTAATTGACATCAAAAATGGCCATTATTATGAGGTATTAATAAATAGAGATCAAATTGTTCTTTACACCTAAAAAACCTATAGAATGTTTTTTAAATCAGAGTTTAGACCATTTTTATGCTATTAAATAAAATATAGAACTGTATACATTTTATTAGTTCTTCATGGCAAAAAAGAGTACTTCAGATTCTACTACCTCTTAATTGATTTTCCTGCATTTTGGTCTTGCACATTCAGCAGACGTCATCGCCGAGTATTTGTGCTGGTTTCTCAATTAAATGCCAATTGGCGTAGCCATAAAAAAATTGTCATTTGGCGGGGGCGTTTGTGAAAATGTCAGTTGTGGGCTTTGCGTTTGGGCTACTGATTCCGGATGCCAATTCCGTTTCCCTGGTCGAGGTGGTTTTGCCGTGGACCTTTTAATTGCCCCGCAGAGGCAATCAGCATAAATTTATTTAGCGAATGCAGTCAAAATTAATTGAACATGCATGGGTAATATGGGTGAGTCGAGAGGTATTCATCTGCCAATATTTAAAGAGTAATCGAAACGGTCATGGCAATCGTTTACAGTCAATTTAATTATGTTTACTTTGTAATGGCGGCTAAATGGAAAATTAGCGTCTGAAATAAATAAAAACATATGCCTACATTTAGGGAAGAGGCTTTAATGGTTGAATTCATTTTAAATTTAGTAATGGTATGGATAATAAATTGTTCATTTTCCATTGGTTATATGAATGCAGCTAAGTTTAGAATTTTCTGTTGTATTTTTGTTCCATATTTTTGAAATACCGACAGTACACACTCGAAACTTTTAATTTATTTTCCGACTAAGCCGCAACTAAACAAAAGCCGAAACTTTTGTAATTTTTGCAGATGAGCGCGCCACTGTGCCACAATTTCGGTTTACACCTGTCGAAGCTGCCACTCCCACGAGTAACTTTTTCTACCGCACCGAAAAGAGAACTACAGCCAGTGAAAACAACAACAAGAAAAACAAATAGAGCAGTAACAACAACAACAACAACAACAGTGATATGGAACTGTGCATAGCAACAAAGTCAAAAACGGAAACCGCTCAGAGTTCAATGCAGCAAAGCAGCAGCAACAACTATCAAAAGAAATGCCACCAAAATCAAACAAATACTCAAGTACAGAGCACTCAGCGAAGCAATTGCAGCAGCCACAGAGATCGAGACCACCTGACAAAACAACAACACCAACACAAACAACAAAAACAGCAACTGAACCAACGAATAAATAGTGCAACAGCAACATCATCAAATTTGAACAGCAGCAGTAGCAGCAGCAACATCATCAGCGAAAGTAGCAACAGCAGCAGAAAAAACAGCAGAAAACCGAGCAGCAGCACACAATTAAACACGCTATATTCGCTCTTGGTGATTTTGATAGTCGGCCTTGCCACCGCCACCGTTACCGTTACAACGGTTTCCGCCTCCCCCACCCCCACTCGCACTCCGATCCCTCCCCCTTTTCCCGCGAGAGCAGGCGCGATGCTCTTTTGGCTTACTACAAGCGGGCCCACCTGCCGCCGCCGAGCAGCGGTGCCACGTCCCCGGGGCACGAGTTCCACCTGCAACACGATGCAGCCGGCCTTGACTTTGACGAGCTAACGCCCACCGCCAGCGTTGTGTCCGCCCTCAGTCGGGCGGAGCGTTTTCCCCTGCGTAAGCGCAGTGCCACGCCCACAACGCCCGCCACTGCAACATCGCCAATGGCAGCTGCAATCGCAAGTGCAACTGCAACTGCGGCAGCAACACCTTCGAAGGAGGCGGCCAGCAGCCAAAAGCCGGAGGAGAAGTGCGAGCCAAAAGTACTGGAAACGCAGCCAGATGAGCCGGTAAGTTGACCCAAAATCATAATAAACTGTTAATTATAAAAATATTCAGATATCTAATAATAAGTAATCAAAATAATTAGTTTCTCACATGCAACAATTAAATGATATTAATAGAGTATTTAATGTATTATCCTCTTCTTGAATAATTCCCTTTCTATATTTATGGCAATTAATTTAAACCAACAGAAATGTATGGTTTTATTTTTGTATCATAAATTGATTTATCAATTTAATTAGATACCAAAGCTTTACACTTTATCCTAATTACCAAGATTACCAAGCACACTTCAATGCTTGGCAACAAAGGTAAACGAGAAATTTCTCAAAATTGAGCAGAACTTCTTCAATTGAGTCCTGCAATTGTACTCGTAGTTCGAAAGTGTACACATTTTGTTTATCTTTTCAACTTTTAGCCAGAGCGCCGCCTTGTAATTTGCTGCCGAAGAAGAGGTTGGGCGAAAGTTTCCGCTTTGCACTTAGTCACGAGAACTACTTAGATCAAAAGCAATTCCAAGGAGCGCACAATTTAGTGGCGCAAGTTTTGAGGCAATCATAGAAATGCAAACGTAAATTCAGGGGATTGCAAGGATTCACCTTCCGGCTGCCTTCATAACTTTTGACGGACATTTGTGAGAACGAGTGCAGCTTGCACTGCATCGATCCAAGGCAAAGACAATTAACGACAATTTACGAAATTGCCAACGCGGCAGTTGCGAATAATCAATAAAATTGCTGAGATAGCAAGTCATATAATGTGTTCTCTGGGTGCTTCCACTTTTTTTGTCTTTTTTGTTGCTGTCGGTATCCTCTTGCTTTTTCCTGCTGACACAAATCTCTGCGCAAATCTGGGCTCCTTTTTTCTCGTTTTCACCTCCTCACCTTGTTGATTGTCGTAAAAATATTACGCATACGACATGGCTGACGCAAGTGAATGTGGGAGGAAAGTTTTTCGTTTTTCGGGGGAGTGGCGAGTGGGCTGTCTATTACACAGAAACCGCGGGATTTCGGAAAGAGTTGCGGCCTGTCTTGACAGCAGTTCATATGTGCTGCCTTCGCACCCATCTCGTAGTTGCCTCACTTTACGGAGCTCTTGTACAAGTTAATTAAGAGATGCTAATGAAGTGAGCAGGGCGAACACCGTCGCATCCTGAAAGCACTGGGAAAAATTTAGAATATTAGTAGAATATTTTTATGTGAAAACCCATTTAATTATTTAAACATATTTAAGTATCTAAATATAAAAAATAAAAGTATTGCAGATTTCGATTTAATAACTCTTAGAACATTCTATTACTTTAAAGGTAATGTGACTGCCAATCTATTTTATTTAAATAAACCAAAAATTTCTAGGTGTAACCATTTTCTAGATACTTCTAACACTCCTCAACGGATTGAGTTAATTGAGTTATTTTACACTTCTTTTCGTGTGCGCATCACAACATTTAAATTGAATTTGCATGACAATTGCAGCCAAGGACTCGAGGACCTCGTCAGCGGGATTTTCTCCCACTGTCTAGCGCCTCCTTGGGATGCTATTTTTAGTCCGCTAAGCGAATCGAGTATAAATATTCAATGAGTCGGCGGTGTAAACAGGGTCCAATACATGACGTGCACGAATCGATTACCCTAACTAAGTATCCTCTGACGCAATCGGGACCTTTGTGTAATTAGAAGGCAAACAATAAACTGAGGGCAGGCAAAAATAAAAAGGCAAAAGAGCGAAATGGATGAGTGTGTAGCATCCTTGGGGCGATTTGAATCTCAAGTGTGGCCAGATGAAATAATAAATAAATGTGCTGCACAGCATCAGCGGCTGACAGCTGCCAACTTGGGCATTATCCTGGCCATTGTCTTTCCCCCTCGCACTCCCTCGCCCACCACTCGTTCTGTCTCGCTCCTGTGCCCTGCGGTCAACGGCGAGCGCCTTGTCGAATGCCTGTCAAGGATTATTGTTGCTCCTGTTGCGGCTGCCGCTGCTCACCTTGTTGTTGTTGCTGCTGCTGTTGTTGTTGCCGCCATGTTGCTGTTGCCGCCTGCGGTGGCTTTTGTCTCCCCTCCAGCTGAAGTGTCTATCCCTGTCTTTTTATTTTACTCTCGTTTTTTTCCTGCGTGTGCGTGTTGTTTTGCTAACAATGTGGAAGCTGCAAAGTTATTAATAATTGTTTTATATATTCTATTTTGTTTGCCATGCTGGACACGCATATTGCTGCTTTAATCGAAAAACCTTGCCTACTTTTTAGGGCTTTAAAGGGAAGAAATACAATCGATATGAAACGTATTAAATATCATTCCAGTTCGATAATTTTAAACAATTAAATAAAAGCTATTTGAAAATAGTAGTTCATATTTATAGGACAGCAGCATATTTTAATTATTTTAAAATCAATTTTAAGCTCTCATTAGGGCTGGCTAACAGAAAAACATAAATACCAATCTCACATGATAAATACAATAATTAGCAATCATTTGAAACTATAATTGCAGCATAATTATCGAGTGTTCGCTTGGATTTATTTTCACTTTTTGCAATCCCCAAACCAATTATGTTTTCTGTTAATTTGTTTAACATTAAAGCTTGTAAACTGGGCGTTTATTATTTATAGAGATATAAATTTAAAAACCATCGCCACTCAACGGAATCATTTATGTTAATCTGATAAATAAAGCGCACTCACAGAGGCGAAGGCGAACTTTCGTAGCAATCAGCTTATGTCATTCGCCTTGTCGTCCTGAATAATGTAATGAATGCAAGCGGTACAGTGAAGCCTGTCCGTAATCGCCGGGGAGTGTGGGTGTGCTGCCCGGATTTGCCGAGTGTCAACAGCAGTTGAGCCAAAAGACAGAAACGAAATGGGGGATACAAAAAAAAACCAAAGAAAATGAAAACACTGTCTGACATATTTTATTCATTAAGCACTGAGCGTAGAAAATAAAAGGAAAACATGCAAATGACAATGAGGAAGCATACAGTTATGCCATGTAAATATTTTTATGGTCATAAGTAGGAATTTCGTACATGCCGATGCCGGAAAATGCGATGCAGATGGAAATGCGGGAAAGGCGGGAGCGGGCATTAAAAAGCCAGTAAAACGCGCTTTACTGATTTCATTTCGCAGCCAGGATTCAGTACGTGTCACTTTTTTTGTGTGTGTGTGTGTGTGTGTGTGGGCCAGACTCTTGGCATAGTTGTTCACACAGAACAGACACAAGCACAGTCACATTTGTTTGGGCCATGTTTGCATAAGTATGCATGTTTTATTGCACACACACTCGGTGTGTGTTTTGTGGCTGCTGCCGCTATTTACAAGTGTTTTCCCCATACATTTATACCCTTAAAAAAGGGCTTGAGTGTGTGTGGGTATATGTGTGATGACAGGCATTTTGTTATGGGGTTATATACCTTCTTTGTCGAAGAAAAAGAGGAAAGTTCGGATTTTTTTTAGGAATGTAGCAATTATTTAATTACTCGGGTGTTTTAATTTTTGATAGTACACTTTATTAACTATGTTTGTGCAAAATTTCGTGGAAAAATATCAATTAGTTTTTAAGGGGTGGCTGTTTCCCTTAGAGGCCTTTTTTTTAGGGCCTTGCGGTGATAACGCTCCTGGTCGAACCGGTCAACTGAATCCATAAAAGTAAAAAAATTTCATTAGTTTAGAGTAATATCTTGTGCTTGAACGAACGATTTAAAAATTTTTTATTTTTTTATGCATACGGGAACGTTTTATGCAAAAAATGAGCTTTTTAGTCTCTAGAAATTTCACTAAAAAATTTATTTCGGCGAAAAAAAATTTTGCGTGAAAAGTCGATCGTTCAAGCACAAGATAATTTCATTACGAACATTTGAAAAAAATTTGAAGTAAATCGGTTCAGTAGTTTTCCGCCAATCGTTATCACCGCAAAGTCATTTTTCAAGAAACACCATTTCGAGATAATCGCGTTTAAAGTTTCAAGTTCAGTTTCAGGCCGCTACGAGGCGCGCGGTTAGAAGCGCTGTAACTTTTTTCTACTGCTCGAATCTCTATGAAAATTTGGGAAAATGTTCTCAAGGAGTTGTTCTTTAAGATAAAGCAAAAAAAATTTTCGATTTTTTGAAAATAAAAAAGGTATATAACCCCTTAAGCCACATCAAAGGATTCAATGAACATAATAACATTTTATTGTGTTCTTCCATGGGGATTCTTTTTTGATAAAATGAAAAATGACTGCAAAGGAACATCAAATTTAATTGTTTTTAGATACCGTTTAAGGGGTAGGAAAATAAGATAAAAATTGGAAAATATATTTAACTTTTAATTTTATATTTATTATTATAAGTATTATTTAGTATTTGTTCTTCCTTATCTGTTAATATGTAATAATATCTTAATTATTTTTAACTTACAGATTTTTTAAATACCTTTTATTTAACAATGCTCTTCCCTCATTAAGTAAGAGTAAATCGAAGGTTTATGATAATGGCCACACCGCATATATACGAGTGCTTAGAACACTCCATCATAGCTCTATCTGTGAGTAGGTCGGCCCATTTCCCCGCTACCTTTCACTGATTGCTTTTACCTCGATATGTTCATTTGGGCGGTGGATTTGCATACACATATGCGGAAAAAGAGAGAAAAAAGAGCCCACACTCGCAGACATGCACAAACATTTGTATACGGCTGTTGCTTGTTGGCAATTTATTTGGGGCTTCGGTGGCGTATACGCAATGTGGTCGCTCATCACCGAAGCGCCCTGCTAATGGGAAATATTTGTTTTAAAAGCCAAAAGGTGCCGACCGAACTACATGACTCACCCGCATTTCGCTCCCTCGCTTGTGGTTACTTTACTTTTGTTTCCCAAAGCCATAATGATGTCATCAAAGTTACCCCGCACTCCCCACTCCCCCGATTCCCTTCCCCTTGGTGCGTAGATCTCGAGAGCTTCTTGTAACGTGTAAATTATGTACAAACATTTGGTCGGTTAAGAGCTGAACAAACTTGGATTAAAAACATTTCTGCATTCGCACAGCCTGGGGACGGCATTAAATCCTATTATTTCCCACTCGGAACAAAACTTTTCGTACACCTTGCCAAAAGGTGTTGTTGCGAAGCGTGTCCTGTGCGCCAGGTGAATAATTAATGGTCCCGAGTCAGGGGAAGTGTCCATGTAAAAGCCAGAATGGTCACTTAAGCCATCGGGCTGCCGATGCGTATACGCAATATTTACGAATTCCCAGTTTTCATTCACAAATCACACGATTTCAGCCCATAAATTTGGTTTAGTAAATTAATATTTAATTTAGGTAGGGATTACTTGTAGTTGATGCAACATTTTCTCTTTCAATTATTTTTCTGATTTAAAGAGGCTTTTACCATGTATGATTTAACTTTATTGACTTACATATCTTGTTTCATTTAAAATGCCCTTAAGCTCAAGCAACAATCTAAATGATATATTTATGATACCCAAGGAAATTAATTGTGATCGGCTTTTATGAATTTTGCAGTTTTACGACTACACAGACATCGCCGAGGATGCGGCACGCCAGTTTATTGAATTTTTATCGGGCAAATTCCCCAATGCCAACACACCGATTACCATCGATGAGGCGACACGTGCGGAGGTGAGTCGTCGAGCCAACGGAATCGCCAGTTACGCCCTCAACGAGGACGACAATCTCCTCGCGTTCGCCATCGCCGCGCCCAGCATTCACACGGTGGTCGTTAAGTTCAGGGACAACGTTACGGTACGCACTCGCTAATCAGCGATCACGTAAAGCGGTCCACGTTAATCGGGATTACCTTTTGCAGATACCACCGGATCAGGTTCACAACAAGGCATATCTGGGTTCCTACTGGCGGGAATTGGGGTGAGTTCAAGATCTATAATAAAAAATAGAATATAATTCACATATTATAATCCATTTGAATAGCAACCAATTAATTCGAGTTTATCTAAAGCTTCTAAATTGTGAGGTAGAATAATTTAAACTAGCCTAAATCCATTTATTATGTCCATTCAATTAATTACGCAGATTTTTAAGCTTCAAATCTGTTATTTGGCTTTGTTATTTTTGTGCACATAAATATATCCAAAAACACAATAAGCTCGAATCCTCTAATCCGATAAAATATGTTCATTTGAACACAAACTTATTTAATTTAATTATCAGAAATTCTAAATAAAATTGCGCTTATTGTACAAATGGGATTATAAATTCAGCAGCCAATTTAATTCAATAAACTATTGAATTTGAGGAAGCTTTAACCTGGCTTTTCATTGGTTCCCATCATTTAAACCACTTATTGTCTCAGTAGATAAATGCATAATCTATAATCCACTTGGAAAGTTGCCCATAAATGTTTTGTCTTCCCACTTACAGTGCGGCCTGGAACAGCACGGACGGCACTCAGGAGTGGGGTGCTCCCTTCCGCGACTGCAACCTGTTGACGCGTCGCTGGCTCTGGCCATTTCGCATATCCTTCAGCGAGCACAGGATCAAGTGAGTCGAATCGAGATATATATATTCGGATGGGACAACTTGTAATTTATGGTAAACATTTTCAGAGTTGTGGCGGCTGCTTTTATTGCCGCCGACGAGGATGTGTGCAACGATGGCTTGGAGGAAGTTTTTGGGCGTCGTCATGGGTGAGTAGTTTACAAAACTTTTTGCAAAATAAGTGACATTATTTTTGAATAAAAAATAAACTAAAATCCTTTCAGCTGCGATCGCAATACGACTTTCTGCCTGCTCACCGAAAATAAACCCGCCGCCACGAGGGATGTTTATACGTGTCTCTGCCGGGAGTCCTACTATCTGCCCAACTCCACTCTTCAGGGATTCCGCGGCGATCGAGTGGAGCTGTCCGAGGGATACGACAACTATTCGTGTATTCCGTGTCCTGGAGGATGCTCCAACTGCGACTCCAACGGCGTCTGCCTCACTTTCCAGGAGGAGGAGGTGCTCAACGTGGACGCCTGCTTACGTCTTCTGGTGGCCATCGTTTTGGGCGCCTGCATCCTGTGCTGTGTCGTCCTGGGCGTGATTGTCTTCAGGCAGAGGAAGTGCAAGGTATGCAGATTATATTTCAAGCTATTTTACCGCATAAAAATGCATGATAAATATTTTGTGTAATTAGAAACCTTCTGTATAGCTTTTTATTTAAAAATTGTTTTAGTTTATAAATGTCAGAAATTATTATTTTATTATATATATATTGTTAATCAAACATTATGATACTTTTTAGGCCATCGCCTCGGGCATGTGGACTGTGCTGGAGACGATACTGCTGGGCATTGTTTTACTTTATGCATCTGTGAGTGGTCCTTTTAAAATCCCCTCCCACTTTTACCCACTACAACATTCCCTTTGCAGGTTGCCGTCCATTTCTTTCCCGCCTCCACCGAGCGTTGTCTTTTGGAGCCATGGCTCCGTGAGCTGGGCTTCATCACCTGCTACGGAGCGATAATCCTGAAGTTGTATCGCCACCTGGTGGACTTCCGCACCCGCAAGGCGCACCGCTGGGTGCTGAGGGACGTGGACCTGCTCAAGTACCTGGGCACCATGGTCTTCGCCGTCATCTGCTACATGGCCGCCTTCACGGCCTCCTCGTTGGATCTGCTCGAGAGTGCCCAGCTGGAGAGCCTTCGGGAGGCGGACACGAACACCTGCCACCCGCTCAAGTGGGAGCTGGTCACGCAGACCAGCGAGATGCTCATCCTGTGCTTCGGCCTGCACCTGTCCATCGCCAGCCGGAATGCCAACACTCAGTTCAGGGTAAGATTCAGGATCCAGTAAAAATAACATAAAAGCATATAAGCATAAAGAGTTTGAATATTTTATGTTTTTTATAACATTGTAATTATTTCTTTCTCTCACAGGAACGGCAATTTCTGGTGACCGCGCTGACACTGGAGTTCCTGGTCTCGTCGAGCTTCTACTTTCTGCGCTTCGTCTACCTGCCGGAGATGAGTCCCAGTGCCATCCTGCTGGCCCTCTTCGTCCGCTCCCAGCTGACGAACAGCTTCGCATTGGGCCTGATATTCGTGCCAAAGTTGTGGTACCAGCACAAGCAGGTAACCGATACGAGTTCAAAGCGTTTTAATTTACTTACTTTCCTTTGGTTTCCTTGGTTTCGAGTTCGCTTTTTGGTTTTACACACTGAGAATTAATTAGGAACCGTTGCGTCCTAGTTGGGCATCAAGTATATATGCTTAGAGTATTCATCCCCCGATTAATTGTGCTGTCTGTTGCGGGAGTGGTCGTCATTATTGTCATCTGGCATCGAAATCCGCATTTGGTATTGACATTGGTTGAGGAAACGATTTTTGTTAATAACTAGCCACCACAAAAAATAAAGGGGAAACCCAACTTAAAAACCGAAAGCTTTGTTGCTTTTGCCGATACAATTGATTACTTCATTTGGTTAATGTTATTTTATGTTTTCGTTCTGGTTTCATCGACAAAAATTAACATAATTTTAGTATTAAGCTAACATTGAATTGAAACTTTAGTCAAGCTATGAAGTTGCTGCAAGTGTGTCTCGTTTAATCTCAGAATGTTTGACAGTTTTTAGCTCTTTTAATTTGTGCTTGATTCTACTGCACTTAAACTTTACTAGCACGCCTACTTATTTGCATGTTTAGCGTTGATTTTTGCATGACTTTTTCCAGAACAACACGAACTTAAAAACATATGACAAAAATCGGTTTCCTATCAAAATTCCCAATATGCATACCAGAAATATTCCAAACTAGTGTTTCCAAAGTACTTCCTCACTGTAACTCTCTCTATGTCTCTCAACCGAATAATCTTTAACTGAAATTCTCTGTCTAAGTAGCCTTCTAATAGCTAACGTCCATCTTTCTTCGATTTTGAGTTTCTTTCTTGGTTTATTTAACTCGTTTTACGTTTCCAGCACCACAACAGAAACACTCACAGCCAATGAGCACCCACCACCCACAAAGAAATACTTATAAACTACATCGAATACAGACTCTCGAGCACAGATCTTTTCCTTTCCTTTCCGTTTTTGCTCTCTCTCTTACCTTGAGTTCCGTTTCTATTTCCGTTTCCGTTTCGATTTCCACTTCCGTTTTCGTTTCCGTTCTCCATTTTCCGTTTGACTTCCTGAGTGTGGTTTGCGGTGTTTGTTGCATCTTCATAGCTTGCAGGTTCGTTCGCTAGCGTATGATCTATCAATACGTTTACCTGTGGATGCTTTCAAGGGTACGTCACACGATGCCGGCCAAAGGCTCGGCGGAGGATATGCCGGGCTCTGTCTGGGCGATCCGGACATCGGCGAGCTGACCATATCCGAAATGAGTCCCGAGGACATACGCGCCGAACTCAAAAGGTGAGCAATATACTACTATAATCCTGTTAGATAATAGTTCTTTCTAGGAATAACCTGATCCAATTTTAAGATCATATGATGATTGATTTTGTAAAATGTTTTATATTGAATAACATCTCTGGTCATTAAAAATATTGTTTCAAATAAATTATTCCAAATCTTAGAGGATTATAAAACATTTATTGGCAATATATATTATTATTTTTAATATATTTTAACAAAATTCCAGACTGTACACGCAACTGGAGATAATGAAGAACAAGACTCTGAGGCAGGACAATCCGCACATCAGCAAGCGACGTGGCGGACGCAAGGCGGGTCACCGTCGCTTCTCCCTGCAGGTGAGTCGGGGTCACCACAGACCGGCAGCGTAGTCCACCAGCCATAGTGCTCACTGTACATGACATCTCCGCGGTCAAATGGGGGGGATTGGGCCGTAGAACTCAGTGACTCTCCGTTCGATATTGCTGTAATTCTTCAATCCGAAACCGAAACCAAACCCTATGCTGCCCATCCCGAGCTCCCTAGATCTTTCTCTCCCCAGTCTCTCTATCCGTCTCTGAATCTATATATCTCTCTTGCTCCTCCAATGTGAACTTTCAGTATTGTTTGCCACTAATATTAATACATCTATAAATATCATTGTTCTTGTCATGATTATGTACAATATATTCGAATCCCACCACAACCAAACCAAACAAACATTAACCACCAATGTTGAATGTAGAAAAAGGGCAGCAAGGATAAGGTAAGAATTGTCGGCCGCATTCTAGCATAAACCTAAAACCGAAATCCATATCTGTGTTGTGACTGTAAACTAAAACCCCAAAAGATAATTAAAGAACTTTAAGCACGTTTGTCTATAAACTTAGACCCAAGTCCCCCTAAAAAAACAAACCCCCGAATTACTTTTCTGTGTGTATGCGTGTGAGCATGTGTCCGTCCATAGTTAGCACTTCATGTCTAATCCAAAACATATTGCACACGAAACATAAACAAATATAGATACATAAATTGATAAATGGATAGATTTACTGAAAGATATTAAATCCACAGGCTCTAAGTGCCAAACACCGCAGCAACAAGCATCATCAGGATATCGAGATCACCGAGGCGGAACCCTCTCGAACTCCCGAGGATTCGGTTTGCAGTGCCGAAGGACCCACGGACACCTATGCGGAAATCTCCGGCGTATCCCACTCAATGCTCTCCCACTCGATGGTCTCCCACTCCGTTGTCTCGCACTCAAAGTAAGGAATTTGAACTAAGGAGATCGCCGGATTGTTGAGGATTAAGGATAACCTATGACATATTCCCGGCGATCAGAGAGATTTGTATATAAGTATTAAACGGTACGATACATGTTGGTATTTGTAGATAATATGTATGTGAGAAATAGTTATTATATAGCGCCACAACACAAACAATAAGAGAATTACTTTAATTTCGAGAAGAAAGAAAAACCAACAGGAACATGAAAAGAGATGCAAACACAAAACACAAACAATAACAAACATTACTTTATTTTTAATGAAAGGAAAAGCGAAGCACCTTGAAAGCCAAGAGAAAACAACAGACAAGTTTTGTAAAGTTTTGATAAATTTTTAGAGGATTTACTTTGTTGATTTCCCTCAGTCTTGAGTTCGGTTCATTTCGATGATAGGATCTCTTCCAGATCAAAGTTGTACGAAGTTGTAGAGCGGTAAAACAAAGCCCACCTTTATAGGTAACGATAAATCTGTAAAAACAAAAGCCACACGAAGTATAGTCCTATTCCTAAAACACGAGTTTTTGTTCACGCCTAAGTTCCTCGATAGTTACTAACACTCGACTTATTTGCCAATTGTTTTCAATCCAACCAAACACTAACTACTTAATCTCTACAATCTGTAGAGATATTGAAAGAGTGGAGACACAGCGAAAATCAGTTTTAAAACAGTGAAAAATCAGTTGTAAATTTGAGCTTATAGGCATTAACTAGTTATTCCCTCATAACTATCGTACGTTTTACGTCTTACTAATCTTACCAACTATAGTGTATTTGTATTATATATTGTATACTTGTAATTCCCACTCATTCCCATCCAAAATCCGAACGGGGTGAACTTTTTGTAAATACACAATGCACGAGGACGAAGTGCAGACAGGAAAACAAATTGTTACACTTTCAAGACACTGAGTTCCCGACAGAGAGTGAAAATCATAGGAAAATGCTTAATAGAGGCTTAAGTACATTTTTTTTTACGACATTAGCCGAACAAATTTTGTCTCAAGTATTATTACACTAATAGCTGATTTCCTCCGAGATTTTTAGATCCCCAACCAGAGCATCCTAAATTCGTTATCCTCGAAAACGATGTTGGTGTTAGAGTATTGAAAACCACAAAGTGAAAACATTTCAAATGTACGCAATAAATTTTGGAGGCGCTCGTTATAAAAAGAAAAACAAAAGAAAGGGGGAAAACAAGTCCATAGAAAACATATAGTACAGTTACATGGGCATTTATAAGGGTTATAAAAGGTATATCTATATACACTATAAAAGAAATATATAGCAAGTAAAACATGGCAAATGGTTAAATTAGGTAAACTTACAGCATGCATGCAACAAATTGAGCATTTAAAACAAAAAGATGAAAGCAAACCCGAAATGATAATTATAAAAAGAAAAATAACCTACTTTTGGTTGCGTTTGATCAAAAGTGTGTGTATAAAAAAATATTTATGGCATATACATAAACATATAACTAACTTATATTATATATAAATATATACATATATATGAGTGTAATCAGCATTACAATAAACAAAAACGAGAGGCAAACTAAATTAAATTAGTGGCTCAGCGCAAAAGAAACTACAAAAACGATTGAAAAGAAACAGAATACATTTTGAAAGTGTGATAGTGTTCATAATATTCGTTCATTGTAATTAAAAGAGAAAACAAAAACTAAATAAACTAAACTAAATGATCAAAACTTGTGTTTACTTTCAGGGGATAGATGGATGGATTTGATATTATATATTCTTTTAAGTATTTTAAGAAAAATCCCAAAGCCAAAATCAAAGTTTCTATATCTTTCAAAAGACCCTTTTCAGTTTTCATATATAATCTTTCTACATGGTTGGACTTTATTTTGTATATATAATTCCTTTTTTATATATTTTAAATCGAAATATTGCTCGAATATTTGCTAGTTTTTGTCACGTAAATTTAGATTGCAAGTACATACATTTATAGTCGTAATATCTATTTATATATTAAATAATAAATTTCGCTTTAATTACAATTTAATCTCTAATTACTCACTTGCATACGTTCGTGTTTGTGTGTCTGTTGTCTGGCTTCGTTTTTGGATTCGTGGCTAAGAACTAATAGTTAGTCGGTATTTAGTACGTATTCAACATGATTAGTTTCGTGATGCCGCCATTCATTCATTCATTATTCATTGGTAATCACTTACAGCAGAGTTAATTGGGATTCGTTTGTGTTGCGGTTAGTAAGCTTTGATTTAGCAGTTCGCTTTTGATCATCAACTCGTCTCGGTCTCGGTTTATTTAAAACTTAAAGAATTACAATAGTTTAGTACTTAGAATTTATTTTGGTTTTACATGCGCTGCGCATCGTTTGTTGCTGTGCTATGTGCCATTAGGTAGACAATTTGTTTGAGTGTATTATGCATTAATATTAGATACAGGTTTATATATTTGTATACTTTATAATTATATAACACTATGTTATAAAAATGTACATGGTTTTGGTTTTGCTACAGTTTTAGTTTATGTTTTAGTTGGTTTAGTACGTACAACTCTTGCAAGTAATCATTTGCTGGTTTAAAAAACGCTTTTAAGTAGTCGTAAAAATGATCAATTCATATTTATATATATTACAAAAACAACTTCAAGCTTTTTTATCAAAAGTATCAATTATGTAGATCGTTATGTTAAATTTGTTTAATCTTCTAGTTTGGCGCATAAAGCTGTGTTGCGTTTAGCGTAGAATTCTCATTTCGATTTGCCTTAAATACTTTTTGTCTTGCGTTAAAAAATGCAAATTTTGTAAAATTAATTTCTTAGTTATTCTTTTTGTTTTTCTCTAGTTTTATACAATCTCACTGTTAAGTTTAGTTTAACAAACAAAAGCAGCGCTTTCAACTTAAATAATTTTAAAAATAAACAATGGTTAACATTCTTCAATAAAAACAAGCTAAAATGATTAAATCATTTAGTTAATTAAAAGTAAATAAATTTTTAAAGCCAAACAAACGAGATCCTGCTCGTGTGCAAATAGTTGAGAAATGACTAAATTTCGTATTGGTTCTCCGCCAATTCCTCTTTGAGTTGAAATTTTGAAAAGGGTTTTCATGTAGAATAAATAATTTTGTTTTTTTTTTTTTTGAGTTCGAATATGAATTTATAATTTAAGAAATAATTTAAGTTTGCGCGTAGACATGAGTTACCTTTCTTTGTTTTGCTGTCTTCGATAACATTAACAAACAAGTTTAGGAAGTAGTAAAAATAATATTGCCACAAAGTATATGAGTAAAAAATATTTTCTCTCTCTTTATAAATAATAGATGTGTGTTTTTGTGGTGTGTCGCCTTTTTTTTTGGGTTTGCGGGTGTAGCGCCGCGCGTAAGTGAGTGAGCGCTAGGGAGTCACCATATAAAATCTCATAGAATAACAAAATATTATATACGATATACAATAGGGTGTATAAAAATAAAATTGCAAAACATCTACATAACCAAATAATAATAAAAATCAAAAATCGATTGCAATAACTTAAACATTCTACGAACTGTACGCTAGTTTAGTACAACTTTGTTTTTCCTTTGTTTTCGTGTTAACCGAAATGAAAGTATCTAATTTAGTAATTTAATCTAGCAGCACTGTGAAGAGATTTGCCAGTCGTTGGTTGCGTTGCATCCGCTTCAGTTAACTCCCGTGTGGGTGAGTGTGTGTATGTGTTTGTGTGTCTCGTCTTTGAAAGGTCTTTCATTTTGGGTTGCTCATCCCGCTTCCGTTTCCGCTGACTCTTCTTCACCTACGCCGACGATGCCACCACCGCCGATGGCTTCTTGGGATCCGTATCTAAATCGACGGCGGACGACGGCGGCGGCGCACCAGGATGACCCGGATCGGGATTTGAGGGATGAGGTGGTGGTGGAGTTGCAGGAGCGGCTGGGGCAGCAACGAGTATCTGGCGGCCACCGCCCGGCCGTCCCTAGAGCGGATGCAGCTTGGTCGTGTGCACCGTGAGGGGCGCTGCGCTGCGTGAAGCGCTTGTCACAGTACGGACAGGTGTACGGCTTCTCGCCGGTGTGCGTCCGTATGTGCTTGGTTAGATAGTCCTTCACGCTGAAGGACTTCTCGCAGTATCCGCAGTGAAACGGCTTCTCTCCTGCAAAATAGCCATGTCGGCGAAAGACGGAGAAAGTTGGAACACTCGGTTAGCACTTGTCGCTTAGCCACAACGCCAGTTTGCTTGGTGCGTGCAGTACCAAAAGGTTTGATTGATTTGATTTGATTTGATTTGGTTTGAGCTGATTGATTGATTGACTGAGTGGTTGATGTGTGGATACAGTAGATATGTGTATGCATATCAAATAAGGTTTGCACGTAATCAAACTATAGATTTATATAGATTATATATTATATGTGTGTATATATATTTGGTTGGTGTGGTTAAAATGCATTCGAGACATATTATTACGTAATGAGATGAGGCGGCGGGCGATACGGATTTGGATTATCATATTGCTTTGCTCACCCTCACAGAAAGTTTGCTTCTAGCTGTGATTATTATTATTTGTGCTTTATTTCTGTGAGGGTTTTCAAACAGTGACTCATACGATTCGTTATTTGTTGCTAATCAGAGAAGTTGGCAAAAATGCAGGGCCCTGTTTGTGATTTGCTGGAAAATCTAATAATTGCGGTCATTAAATCAGAATCCATATTGCTGATCGTTATCTCAAGTAATCTTATTTTTAACCAGCAATCAAAGTGAAAAGCTTTTTATATGAGGCACTCATAATCGAAACGGATTATTATTTATTTGATTTTACGCTAGAACAAAGGAGTATAGGTCTTCAGTTTTCAATGTTTTAAATGAGTTATTAAGAGCCATCCTATCAAGATCCTGCTTTTGGCCTTTTCTATCATATTTTGTCCAACTTTTCTGAGTGGTTTTCTGCGCAGGCGCTGCGGCGGCTCGTGTCAGTTGATCGAGCTTCGGCAGCGGATCTTGCAGAGGTGAGAGATTTATATCTGGTACTGATAAATTGAGATTGATTGATAAAGAGATTGAGCGAGTTTGTGTATGGCAAATGGAAATGGACTTGCATACAGAGGTTTCTCTTTTTTGAGTATTGCTTTTTTCTCATCACTCTGGGGTGATAATATACTGATCGATTGATTGATTGGTTGAGAAGTCGATTGATTGGTTGAGTTGATTGAGAGCTGATTGACTGACTGAATTGATTTGAAAAATATTGCTTCTCACCCGTGTGAGTCGTTAAATGTTTGTTCAGGTAATCCTTAACAGTGAACGCCCTGCCACAATAGCCACATCTAAATGGTTTCTCACCTGTATGTATGCGAGTGTGCTGTTTTAGTGTATTCGATTGAGTGAAGGACTTGCCGCAGTAGGAGCACGTGTAGGGGCGTTCTTTGGGCGTGGCGCTGTCGGAGTTGCGATGGAGATTGGAGATTCGAGAGTTAAGAATTATACATTTTCATATTCACAAAATAACGCGCAGAAACGGAGAAGAGAGAAAGATAGAGAGAGAGAGAGAGGGCGCGGGAGAAAAGAAAGAAATTCGAATTATATTATTAGTAACACTCGATATAAAAATAAGTTGCAAAACAAACGACACACGAACGCATGGGCCACGTCCCAAAAGCTTCGAGGGCGCGCCCATGCGCCCAGCTGGCCCCGAAGGAAAACAAAAATAATATATATACAATTGGTAAGATTATTAGGGTTAGCTTGGCGATCGAGCCGCTTCGGGCCCAAAGGAAGACCCACAAATAGTATATGGGCTCCTTTAGGTCAAAGCAGGGAAGGCCTTTAAATGAATAACGAGTAATCCGACAATGATTTATCTTTGGCAAAGGAAATAAACTTTTCGAGTGAGATAAAATACAATCCAATGAGAGTAAACTATCAATTCTCCTAGATCCTTGAACTCTATAGTTCTCAAGGTAAGTTATTCAATTTTATCATTGTCGGATTACCCATTCAGTAGGATGAATAGAAAATGGATTTACTCTGCTTCGCCAGTGTGGATCTTGCGGTGCATGGCCAGCGTGCCGGGTGTCTTGAAGGTCTTCGGGCAGTCCGGGCATTTGTGCCGTATCTTGTGCGCCAAATCCGCGGGCACTGTTTGCGTGCCGACCAGAACTCCGGAAGTGGCCGGGGCGGGAACGCCGGGATTCGCTTGTATGGCATAGACGGGCACAGCGTTAACCACATCGCCACTATCGCTCAAACTGAGTGGCTCCTCCTTGATGATGACCTGCGGATGGGCCACAATCGCTGCGCCATTCGCATTCTTGTTCAGCTTGACGGTGAGTGGCGGCACCTTAAGCGCCACCTGGTCACCGGCGAGATCCTGATCCTGTTGGTGGTGATGCACCTGCTGCTGTTGTTGCGCCTGCTCCTGCATCTCCCTTTGCTGCTGTTCCAATAATTCCTGCTGCTGCTGCTGTTGTTGCTGTTGGTGATGGTGCTCCGCCTGCAGTTGCTGCTGGTGGTGCTGCTCCTCGGGCGTCAGTCTCATATCACGCGGCGCCATCGCCGGCAGCTGGTCATCGGGCGTCACCGGCGCCTCCTGCTGCTCCATAAATCCCGGCTGTCCAGCGGCCAGCATGGCGGTGGTGCAAATCGATCCGCAGTGCGTACACTTGTACTCGTTGGGCTGCTGCGTGGCCGAGTGGATGCCGTAGATGTTGCACATGAGGCAGCGGGCCAGAAAGGCGGTCTGGTGGGCCAGCCGATGGTGTTCATCCAGGTCGACGGCGTTGCCGAACTTTTCATCACAATTAAAGCAGGCGTGAGTGGGTTTCAGGTGCTGTTGCGCCGGATGCGTTTGGCCCTCCAGATTGGCAATGGCTCCCTGGGCGTTCAGCGTGATCCCGTGGCACACTTGCATGTGTTCCGCGGCGTGCTGGGCTCGCTCGAACTGCTGGTGGCACATGGGGCAGTAGTGCGCCGTCACGTGCACACTGGGGTCCATGCTGAGATTGGGCAGAAAGGCGGTCTTCAGGGTGTCCATGTTGGCTATCACGGTGGCCACTTGGTGCGTGGGCGTGGCGGGGGCGGCGGCGGTGGAGGAGGAGGGGGGCGCAGGCGGCTGATCCTCGGGGCGTGGCAGACGCTGTTCCTGTGGATTCGCAGTGGACTTTATCATTTCCTCTGGCGGTTGAGTTATCGCTTTTCTTTCTTTTTCGGCTTTTTGTTTTTTTGCTTGTGGTTAGTGGGCAGGAGCAGGAGCAATTGGCGGTTAAAGTAGGCGAAAGGCGCTGCAGGAGTAATAAAAACCATAATTACAGGCGGCCAAAAAGCGTTTGAATTTTATATCACTGTGTGTGTGTGCTTGTGTCTCGAGCAATCGCAAATTAGCAGAAGAAAAAACCCAATCGGAAATCACAAATTCACGAAATCTTCTCCCCGATCTTCTGCATTTGACCCCCAATGTCCCCCCACAGCGGCTGTGGAAGTGGAAGAAGAAGAAGCAGCAGAAGCAGCGGCAATGCGTTCGAATTGAAAATTTTTTTCAGTCTGTCATATTCTAAATTCGGAATTCTATTTTGATTGCTTTTTCGGTCTCTCGTTTTGTTTCCATCTTTCTTACCAGCGCACTGAATATTTACAACACCTTGTTGTTGCTGGCGGCCGTTTTTTATTATTGTTGTTCTTATTGTGGAGCGGGGGGTCACGAAAATGCTGGGGGCGGCCAATCAGTTTAATAACATTTTCTCCTTTGTACAACAAAAATAAACGTATATTAACAAAAAAAAAATTTTTCACTTTTATTATTATTTTTGGCGAAAAATGTACAACTACAACAAAAAGTATCGATTACTGGCATCGAAACGGCGAATGGCAACGCCGCTCTAAAAGTTTGCGTCTGGCAGCCCGTTTTTCGGGCCATGCAAATACGGTGCTATCGATATATTTTGAAAATAAGCTTTTTTACAAAAATGAAAGAATTAGTGGGCAAATAAACTTACTACTTTTTCAGATTGTGCACTTAGAATAAAGAAAGTATCGCAAATAAAATGGAAAAATTTAAATAAAATGGAGTTTTCTAAATCGCCTGATTTTGTTTTAACGTTTTCTACATGCGAACCGATATATCGAATAGACATATTTGTTTCATCTCTATCAGCCATACCGAAACACCAACTAATTTCACAACCGTTGGAAAAGGCATTTTTTGGCGAAATAAAAGGGAGTACGGATTGCAAGACAGTTGCAATTCCTTTACCATAAACTGCGCCTCGTCAGCGCTATAAATTGCAGTTGTCCTTTACTGGGGACACATCTAATACGCCTGCAATCCGTTGCTGGTCGGGAGTTGGGCTGAAGGTTGTTTGTTTGTTGGCTCGCATACTGCCACAATTACCACCGGCTTAGATATTGACTTTGCCAAGCCAAGTGCCAAAAGGTTTGTCGAGTTATAGTCAAAATTTCCATGTGTATTATTTCCCTTTCCAATTTGTAGAATGTCGTCGCCATGGGCCAAAAACAACGAACCAGTACAGACTGTGAATTTGTCAGACATAATGTCGGAGCAGTATGCTCACAAGCTGCACGACAAAGAGCTGCAGCGGCACACGGAGAAGTTGAAAAAGTCAGAGCATGAGATTGCCTCTATTTGGGAGGCGGAAGCCGCATCTTCCCCACCTGCAAGCTACTCGGATGTTGCAGGCTGCTCATTAAGGAATCAAAGCGATAACGAGGAATGGGAGGATTACTCGGCTCTGCTTACCGAAGGAGGAATTCCGCCAGAGGACATAAAGCTGCCGGAGGACAGTGATGCAGTCATTGCCCAAATGCTGCAGTCCCAGTTCGATCATGAGTACAATGAGGAACTGCGTCGCATTGAGCGGCAGCAGAATAAGCAATCTAAGGTCACGGTTACCCTCAACAAGTTCCTACGTGATGGCGATGCCGAATTCCTGCACGACACGGCAGAGGATGACTACGAGGAAGATGAGCAGGAGCAGTTGAAGCGCGACTGGGATCGGTTTGAGGACAACGAACGACAGTTGGACTCCATTCCGCGCTGTGGTTTCAAAGTTAACAAGGAGGGCGAAATGATCACCAAGCACGATCCGCAGTTGTGCGCTGTGCGCAATGCCCAACGAGTTATGTCCTTTCCGCCGGAGTTTCCCACTGGCGACGCCGCCGGTTTCGATATGAAGCTCTCGAACAAGGTGAGAGATTACAATCTATAGGATGTACCAAAACTATAACTAAATTTACAGGTCTTCAACCAACTGAGGGCCCACTCGCGTCGTGGTCGTTCCGATAAACATGAAAAAGTGGCTACCGCGGAGATGGGATTGGATGCCAGCACTCGGCTGCTTCTGTACAAGCTTATTAATAACCAAATACTCGAGCAGATCAACGGCATTATTTCCACTGGCAAGGAAGCAGTCATACTGCACGCCAACTCCGATGCAAATTATACGGGCAGCAATGAGCATGGTCACCAGAGTGGAGTGCTGATGCCCGCGCATTTACTACCCCGGGAGTGCGCCATCAAGATTTTTAAAACCACGCTCAATGAATTCAAGCAGCGCGATCGGTACATCAAGGATGATTATCGTTTTAAGGATCGGTTTAGCAAGCAGAATCACCGGGTGATTATCAACATGTGGGCGGAGAAGGAGATGCACAACCTGATGAGGATGCAGGCCATCGGTTTGAATGTTCCCGATGTGGTAGTGCTGAAGAAGCACGTGCTGGTCATGCGGTTTATTGGCGACAATCACAATGCAGCGCCTAAGCTAAAGGATGCTCGGCTGAGTACAGCAGAACTGAGTTGTGCCTACGAAGAGATCGTGGCCGCCATGCACAAGTTGTACAACGAAGCGAAGTTGGTGCATGCCGATATGAGCGAGTATAATATTCTGTGGTACGAGGGCAAGTGCTGGTTTATTGATGTGGCCCAGAGTGTCGAGCCAAAGCATCCCAGTGCTCTGGAATTTTTGATGAGGGATTGCGGAAACATCGTTAACTTCTTTGAGCGACGCGGGTTGCCCAACATCTACACCAAGGAGCAGCTTTTCGAGTTCATTTCGGGTCTCAATGCAGAGGTCCACAATGCCGCCCAGTTAGAGAAGATCCACACGCGTGGTGCTTCTATTCATCAGGCCACTGCTCCCAATCAGGAGGAGTGCCCCGACGCACTGAAGCCTTTGGAGTATCCCTTTGAATTGGCCTGGGAAAAGTCTCAGCAAGACCGCGAAGCGAGGAAGGCTCTCGAGCGAACTCAAGATGATAACGATAACGAAACCGACACGGATAAGGACCAGGATAGCGATGGCAATGAGAACGATAACGACGACAAGGAAAAAGTAAAAAAAACTGCCAAAAATTAAAACTTTAAAAGCATAGCGCCATTTTTAGTTTAGTTTATAATTGATATTAACAGTTTGGTCGCAGTGATTCTTGTTGAATTTCTAAAATTCCAAAGGACAAAATAAGACGCTTATAGTCGAGGTTATGGGCTATAAAAAATCCTTCGAAATAATAAAGCAGTTTAATTTTCCACCTAAATAGTTTTTTTTACTGATTTTAACGGCCTTCAAACCCAATTTAACGTGACAAGATCTTTTTAAAAGAGATCTATTTTTTGCTTGAGCGCTCCACTTTGCATTTGCTGCACTCTACTTGTTACGGATATTTCTGCTAATAGCTTTGATCTTGAATTGTTATTAATCAATTAAGATTAATGCAAATGTCAGGCCTCAGTGGACACACGCGCCACGCCCATCTTCCGAATCAGCTAACCCGGCAATTGAACTCATTTGGTGCGCAGTTTTCCCATTAATTGGGAGATTTGTCGGTACAATCGAATTCCCCCGATCAGATGATTACGTCGAAAATTTCCATACCGAGTGCACGCGTCGCTGGTTTGTTGATTTATAGGATCTAGTGCATCTATCTGTAAAGTCTGGATGCGTTAGCAGGTTGGACTTTGCGAAGTATAGCAGTTCATATGTGACGTCAGAATCCAGTTGCGAGCGGTTCTGTGCGTATATATTGTGTATAGCTTTGGTTGGGTTCAGCGCGGATTGAGATTCAAAGTCTGCCTCAGCCTACCCTTTCTTATCAGTACAGGAATTTATAAGCAATAAACAATATTTAAATTGATCAGTTCCGATGAATTAAAAGCTTACATTGCAAAAGTCAAATCTATTTTTAAGTTTTTTTTAAGAATCATATGCTATGTAATCCGCAAATGCATTACTGCTAGAGGGCTTTCAATTTTTTAGAAATCTTTGCATTAATTTTAATACCTAATAGACAGGGTTGTATTTTATCTAAAAGTAGACATTGCTATCGAGAGAGAAAACCGTTAGCAGTGTATTTCCGTTTCCGTTACCTCGTTTGCAATTCACGTTCAATTTGAATTAAACTGATTCGCATTGTGCAGTCGTCAATCAAAATTGAACTTTCTTTCGATCATCGGCACACGCAGCACTGCATCCATACAGTATTTGTTGTTTATTTGCGGCGCTTGCAAGTGGAAAATATTATTTATTTTTGATTTCTGATTGAACGCAGCACATTTGACGTTGGCAACAGCAGATCTGAAAAAGCATCTTCTATTAGCGTCTCTTGAAATTGTGATACGAGTGGCTCTATATGCACGAAATTATATATATTCGGCCGGCCAATGAGTGCGGGTATATGTAACGTTGGGGACCCACACATAGAAGCTATAAGGGGGCCCGACTTCGAATGATAATGACGCAAAGAAGCGAAAGAGGAAGAACCGAAGACGAACAGTGAGAAGTGGGGGCAGAAGTTGAAAATAGACTCTCGAAAAACACGAGTTGGAGCAGCCAACACAGAATTGTAAAAATCATACTGACACATGTATGTACACATCCTATCCCCAATAAAAGCAAAATCATGTGGCGAAACAAATGTGTCATTCGCATTTGGGGATTGAAATGCATATAAGAGATATTATTTTATGCACTCACATTTTAAAATTAGACGTTTTGGAATTGCACCTAAAGTTCACGAGTCAGCAACCACAAAATGGTCGCTTAAGTTTCTTATCTTTGACAAAGACTGCTTTAAAATAATACAAAATTCAGGGAATTTTAAGTCTGGAGGAGCACTTGAAACCAGCTTTCATTGCGGGACAAATAAAAAAGCTCGAATAACAAGTCAAAGCAATAATCATAAAGCCAGCCTGAAAGAAGTGTGCACAAAAAAGGCAAATGAAAGAGAGAGAAAAATACCAAACAAAGCTATAAACTCAGACATTGCGTTTGGATCATCAATTAAAATGTGCCAGGCATGTAATCAGGCGCTCCAGCTCGAATTCCAAACATCAGTGCTCAGTCCCCGCTCCTTGGGTGAAAAAGTGGGCTGACCTAGGCATAAAATTAATTAGTCTCACAGAGAAAAAAAATCTACAAAAAATAATAACATCTAAATTAAAACATTAAATGTTACCTTTCATTTGTACCATTTTAGTTTCAGTAAAACACATTTCAAATGTACTTATAAGTACATACAATTATAAAACTATGCTGGAAAGAATTTTCTTGCAGTGTAGCCATTCACTCACACACACGCGCCACTTGACAGTGCGAAGAGGAAGAGACAGAGACCAAAAACTTCGAAGGAGGCTCGTCGTGATCTTGGCGGCTGCTGCGCTGCCCCAACCTCTGCCGCAGTCGCTGCCCCAGTCGCCGTCGCAGTCGCTGCCGACGCTTGATCGTGATCGAACTGACCTCAAGTGGTCGCTGCCGCCAGAACCTCCACACGTCCCCCCCACCACCCCATACCACCCAACCATCCCGCCCCGCTAGTACACTCACACTTTCACACACGCGGGATGTACGCAGACTGGAATTTGCGCGTTTAAAGTTAACAATTTATTTGCATTATTAATTTTCATGTTGGACCTCCATACACCCAAAGAAATCAATGGTTGATTAAGTAAATATATTTAAGGGCACTTTCAGTTATCAAAAGGTGTTAAGGTGTTAAATAAGATTACACTGTAATGAAAGAAAATTCCGTAGGATATCATAAAACTAGTTGTAAGTTTCATTAATAATTAATAAATGTTGTTGAAAATACAATTTACCAATTAACCTGAAAATGTCATTTCATTTAACTTGAAAACAAACAACACACATAAATTGTATTGTTTTCAAGTACACAAGTTGTTTCAGTGTCTGCACGCAAGTTGGTCAAGCCAAGTCTGTCGCCTTGCTCTTCTCTTCTGTCGGCTGACTGGGACAATTGGACACTTGGACAGGGGCATCTTCTATTTTAGGTCTAACTTGTTAACTAGTTACTGGCGTCCAACCGGCTTCAGTTTGCCGTCGTGGAACGCGGGTATGTAATTCAAGTTAGCTACAAAAATAGAACCTTAATTTATTGTTACCACCATTACACTGTCCGATCGCAGTTGTCGGTAGCTGCCCTTACATGGTCATATCGTTTTCATTTTTCATGGTGGCGCATCCACACGCCCCTTTGCCTCCTCCTTGTGGCAAAATAAACGCTGACTTAAGCGAAAGTGAAATCCGCTGTGGTCTAAGAAGCCACTTCAGCAATCTCAAGTACAGTAGACAAAGGAGTGCAATTATTCTGTAAAATGAAAAATATCAAGATCTCAATGAAGTTCTACTTTTACCAAACCGAACTACTTTTAAAGTACCGAAATTGTTTTTAGTATATTATTTGTATTGCCTTACCTCAGTTCACAATTTTTATGGCTTACGTTTATTTATAAGTTATCGTAAATCTTACTTGTTTTAATTACAGGGTCGTTTTAAATGCGCACCCACGCATTTTAAGTAAGTTTAAGTGAGGTCATAAAATTTGTAAAAATGGACCGATAAATAAAAAATAAACTAATGATGCAGTTTTTTGGACAATTTTACCATAAATTTGTAGAGGTATGCCACTTTTAAATCTGATTAAAATTAGAAAAACTTTTGGTCTTAGAATGAGTGAATTTTGGTCCACTTTCAGCAAACCCATTTTTTGAAAAGTTGAAAAAATTGAAAAAAAAAGACTATTAAATGAATCCTTAGAGATTATTAATTATTCACTGTAAGTAAAGATACAATTTTTAATTTTAAACAAAACTGAAATGCATCGATGTTTCTTTTAAAAATCTTTACTGTATGCCCCAATAAATTACCAGAGAATTTGGTGTATAATTACCAACGCTTTTCCCCGAGTACGACACTATGATCCGAGTAAATTATAAACCAGACATTCAGCCACGCCCACCCCGTCGCCAACTACGCCCCCGCCCATTGCGACGCCAACTTCATTATCTTCTAGTTTCGAAAAGAAAAAACGAAATTTCGTGATAAACACATTCACAAACAGAGTTAATTGATGTTTCCAAAAAAAAATATATGAAAAAAAAACAACAAACCTTTCGAACTGTCATCGCATTTTAAGGCGAAAAACTGTTGCAAAAATAATAATAAAAATTGACAGGCACATGCTAATGAAGGTAAGCGTTCGGCTAAATGAACCTGATGAGGTTTATTAGGCTTTTGCTTGATTGCCGAACGAGCAGCGAGTACAGTACAGAAAACGCCCGAAATGGCAAGAAACGTGTTTCCATTAAAACCTCACCTCCAGTTCGTCTGTCACGTGAGACGAACGGAACGGAACGGATCGTATCGGATTGGATCGGCGATGAGTCAGCTACCCAAAAGCCCCCGAAGCGATTTCAAAATATTCGCGATACTCATTAATAAACCGCAAACATATAGTCGCAGTCAGGTAACCGAATGTATGTAAACTGGAGGCGTTTACCCTTGACCATGTTTTGACAGCCAACATTACCACATGGCCAGAAACAAGAAACAAGAAACGTGAAACAAGAAGTGAGGACCGTTAGGAGCCGGGACAGCCCAATTCCTTCGATATAACATACAACTCGTGATCCGAAACAATCGATCGCTTCTCCCCTACCTGGGCAATAACTCACTTTTGGCATGTGCTGATTGCCGGACAGATGTTTCCGCAGGGGTTCCTATATGCACACCCATGTCTACCTGGTTCTGGCTGAGTTCAGATTTCTCCAGATTTTGTCGGCCTGCTTAGAAACGTCGCTCAAAAAACGCTGTGGCGAATTGGTAATACGAAGCCCTTCAAAGGCGGCGTTGCCAGTTTAAAAAACACCGGAATCGAAATAGTAATTGGCTTAAATATAGCAATTGAAACTTGGTTTCATGTTACTTAACAGCAACAACAAACACAGCAATCGTTATATTTTCCTGATGTCTGTTTATAATATACACAATCGAGTAAAGGGATCAGAGATCGGAACAAAATTCATTCAAGATGCCTTATCTGTACGGGATAGCGGACACCAAGTTCCTGGTGAAGAAGGTGAAAACGAGGACCAAAGCTCGTACGGAGATGGCACCCACCAAATTCCGGCGGAATGATTTCCTCAAGGGTTGTCCCAAATACGACAAGGACGACGTCCCCATCCAGTTCAGGACGACTCCCGATTCGCTCGTGGAGTTGTGTTCCATTGTGGTGGACAAGCTGCCATTGCCGCCGATCTTCGAGTGGGATGATATGGACATCAGAAGGTGGATCAATAGTTATGGGTATCCCCAGTATATGGTGGGTTATTAGCAGTAAATTAGTTATATCATATTTAAGATCTTAAGATCTCTTTCCAGAACACCTTCCGTGTAAATATGATCACGGGCAGAAAGCTGCTCCTGCTGGACGCCTCTGCTCTCAGTGCGATGAACATCAAGGACTTCGATCACATCCGGCACATTACCTACGGCATCCGGATGCTCTTCCACTTCGAGCTGACCAAGTTCTCGTCCAGCATTTCCCTGCCCGACGAGAAGCCCAACGAGCTGTACTTGCTGTTCCACACGCAGACCGGCGTTAACTACGATGAGGTGAGGAGGTCGGATCTCTACCGGCGGATGCAGATCCTCCGGGAGAGAGCTCGCAACCTGGACCACTGGGATCTGCTGTATCTCTGGCTGCGTCGCGAGCAGGAGAGGAAGTACAAGGAGCTGATTGGCCTGGTTCGGCGGGCCAATATGTACAAGTGCCATGTGGAGGTGGAGAAGCCGAAGCCATATTCGATGGAACTGGAGCCCGAGGAGCTGATGTGCATGACCTGCCTGCCGCCGTGCGACTGCGACTGGACGGATCGGGATCTCCGGCTGCCGTGGCGCCTCGAGTGCCTGGGTCCCGTGCTGGCCTCCACCATGAGCAAGTGGAACGCCATGCAGGCGCAGTGCCACGCGTGCATCCCGCCCTGCGAGTGCCGCTGGCCACCGCGCTACTACCTCACCGGAACGGTCATCCGGTGCCTCCAGCAGAAATTCCCGGAGAAGTTCTGCCCCATCTTCGACGAGCGGTTCCGGGCCTCTCCTCGTCCCAGTCTCGTGGAGCGATGGACCCGCTTCTCCATTTGATTCCGAAATGGTTCTCTACTACTGAAATTATCTATTTCATTCTGGTAATTCTGTGAGTCTTTTCAAATGCGGTCTAAAGGAATTAAATTATTAAAAATCCAAACGAAGCATGAAACTAGGTGATATAAAAAATATTGATAACCGCTTCTGGATCCTTCTATGATTTATTTATTTCATATAAATGTAAAATATTGAATTTATAATTATTCTTAAGCTAGGGTTAATGCGTTTTAGTTTTCCATACAATATTTGTCAGTACTTTATTTTCTATCTTTACTGTAACAAATTTATTGATGGGTTTTTAAATTGTATCTGTATTAAGTACGTACTTCCCCCTTTCATTATTATTATTAAACTTTGTTTTTACTTTTGTATGTTTAGATGTAAAAACAAAGTTTTAAAGAATCTGTTTCAGAATGTAGTGCACACATGTATAGAAAGAAAAAGTGATCTTAGCTGTTTTTTAAACAAACAAATCTCGCAACAGATGCCAATTAATAAACAAAATATCTGTCAAAACAAAAAGCTGCCGACGATGAAGTCTCGAAACTGTCGTTCTCTGAGTACATGAGTACACGAGTACTTCGTGGATACTCATTGCTTCGGCAGCAGTTTTAGCCATTTGGCCGTTTTTCCGCTTTTGCTGATAAGTACTTTTGACAAAACGCACATTTCTGCCGTTAGGGGGTTAACTATCCGTTGCGATTTGGCCCGATCGCATCTGGATAATGGCAGCTGGGCAATCGAACTGACAGCGGCGAGAAAGTAGGGAAAAGAGAAAGAAACGAAGAAAGGAGAAGATGGCAAAAAAACAAAAAACAAAAAAAAAAACAAAACGAGGAATAAGGTACAGCATAAAAATAAAATAAACGGCGCAAGAATTTGAATTTTGCATCCCACGAACAACAACGTCCGACGTCGACGTCGACGTCAACTGAGCTGCCAACGGCGCTGCCGACGTCGCGCTGCTTGGCTCGAGGAAAGAAAAAGCCGCGGACGAGCGGCCGCATTTTCAGTTCAGTTCCAACGCTCCGAGCGACAGCAGCAACATCAACTAACGGCAGCAACTTCGATTCAATTCGATTGGATTTCGATTCGATTTCGAAACCGCTCGAATCAGTTCTAGAATTGCCTGCGCTTGCGCCGGAACTTCTCGCTTTTCGTTTCGACTTGTTTCAAAAATAATCAACAGCTGTCTGTCCCCATACTCTAAAACTGTTTTTGTCCGGAGTGTGTTTAAATGTGATTCACCGCAGACCATTGTCTTCCGATCCTCACAGACCTGAAAACTGTTTCCAATTATTCAAAGAGAAACAACAACAGAAAACAACACACGTGCGGTTTCTTTGCGGTCTTGACGCGGTTTCCGTTTGCTGAATGTGTGTGTTGTTTTATGCAAATCGGCGTAAATTTAATTACACAGCTATAGATTGCTAATCGGTTTGTGCTAAAACAAATTATATAATTTGCCATAAACAACTAACATTCGTTGGTTGTCTCTGCTGTTATCGTCGATTGCAAGGTGGGTTGCACCTCCCAATGCAAATATTGTTAACAATCCGTTTCGAGTGTGATACAATTGATACAATTATTTATAGCCAAATGGCGCTAATTTAGATCTAATGTCAAGCATCTTAGACTTTAAGTATTATTGTGGAGCTAGATGTAAATTTAAGTGTATGTTTAATAATGATAATTTAAAAATGAATCAATGCGGTGAATCAATTAAAATTCATACATAGTTTTAGGTTTATTTTCTCATAAATGCTAATCAACTCGTTTTTAGTTCAAGGCGCAAAAATCTAATTAATCGAGGGCTAAGTATGTATAGCAATGTTGACATGCAATTTACGATGATTTAATACCTAAATGGATCGTGACTTAATGTTTCAATAAATCTTGATTAACAAATTAATTCTATATCGTTTTAAGTGACAAATAACTTAATAGGTTTTTAAAAATCAGCACCCTACATATTCGAAATTATTTATCAAAAATCTGTGAAGGTTTAATAAAATATATTTTGTTTTTCTAGTTATAGTTTCAACAGAGTGTGATTTTTGTAAACAAAAAAGTGCCCTGCGATTACTTTGTCAAAAAATATTAAGTATTGATGGGTGGGATTTCTGTATGAGTAATATTTCGGGGGGTTTCTATGTAATCAAATCCCGTTCAGCCGATGAAGTTGACCTCCCCGCGGGAAAACTCGCGCGTTGCGGCAGTGTCGAATATTGTTTTCCACATACGAGTACATATACGGGTTGTCGGAAGATGACGTACTGACATGTGACCATATAGAAGTCGTATATAGTCATTGCCCACACGAGCCAACTGACAGATGCCGCTTTTCATTGGGTTAATAACATGGCGACATGCACACAGGCCAATAATGTCTCAACCGAGGACAATAATTTGGCCGTATACACGACTATATATCCTTATCCAGGCGAATGTAGTTTTTGTTACCAAGACGCCAGCAAATATTTGCACCACAAATTGACCAAACGCCGTATAAACTCACAGTTAATTGATTGGACTAAGTCAAATAAGTATGTGTTGCTAGGCGCTGACTTATAAGTCCCTGACTGCCTCACATGCACGTGTCTGGCGATAATTAGCATGCAACAAATCGCATATAGCCGACGAATTTCCACCACCTCGGTTTCAATAATTTATCGCGGCGCCAGCAGAAATTAAAAAAGAAAGATAGCGGCAGTCCAATGCACTCGAAAATGTGCATGGTTGTTGTTAGCTGATTAAAGTTTAAAATATTTAAATAATATCTTATAAACTAAATCCAATCATAAACCTTTGATAGGGCTTACATTTTTTATTTTCCTAGTTAATATTTCTAAGTATCTTCATATTAAACTGATATTCTTTCTCATACCGGAAAAATCAGTTAACTAGTGAGTCACTAAACATCCTTGACTTCTGCAAATTTGATTAGCCTAAAATTTTTATTTAGTTTATCTGACGTGAAAGTGGCCAAGCGAAGCCAAGTGTCGTGTGTGGTGGCGTCTTATTATATTCAGAATTCCTGATTTCTGGGCGGCGGCATTTGAAGAACCAGACGCAACCGATAACGATAAGGGGGCAAGAACCAAGATTCGAGGGAGGGGCAATCCGGTATAGTTATGAATGAGCTAAGTGGCGGGCGGTGCTGTGTGATATAATTGGCTTGAGTCATGGGACAGACACGATACTTGTCCGGGGTCTATGTATATAAAGCATATAAATAGCACTCCTCTGGTGAAACTGCTTTCCGTGGGCACGTTCAGGTACGAACACGAGACACCTGAGATAAGATTAGATAGCCAGACCATCGGTGATTTACGCGGGGAAAAGTTTCATTAACTTTGCAGACTATTAATATCGCATTTTCTAGATGTTTATCGTATCGCCTGGCGCTATTTCGTTTCCAATTTAAAGACCCTTGCTGACTTCTGGTATATTTCCATTTGCAGATCGGCACGGAAGGAGGCACCATGTCCAACACGGAGAGAGGATGTCTGTACAGAGTGCGAAGTAAGTAGTTATGATATATACAATATGATACGATATGATATCAGCCATAAAAAGTGTCACCCAAAGTACAGTCTGTACTTATTTACAGTCTTATTTAGAATGATTTGTTTAGTATTATTATGAAATAGTTAAATGGTTAGGGTTTTTCCTATGGCTAGTGTATTTATAATCCTATTTGAACCTGCTGGCTGATAGAAAATGCCAGAACAAAGACCCCAGTAAACCGCAACGTACCCACAGCCGAGCCCCTTTTTTCTGCGTTTATAGACGCGCAACGATAACGCGACCAGAAACCGCATGACGCCAGTAAAAAACAAAAAAAATGGGGAGCGCCACGGTCATTCGGCTTGAAAATTGACAAAATGCCTGATGGCCAATTGAATTGAAACTCGGTTAAAATAAACAAATCGATTTGACTCCTCCTCGATCCAGTTTGATTGGTGTCAACGAGACAAGTTGAATTGAGGTTACAAATCAATTGGGATCTCTGATTAAATTGAAAGCCCATTGCTTTTCCTGATTTTCCGCTAGTCCTTTGTTGTGTATTTTTCGACCTTCAATATTTGAGATTTCTATTAAATTTTTTTTTAACAATTTGTAAAACGCAAATACTTTGTTCTAATTTGGCAAAAACAAATTAAGTTAGCTAAAATTGGAGGTGATAATAAGCAAATAGAAATAAACAGATGGGAATATCTAGACAGTCCTTTTGCGATTATCGCCTGACCCACTTGTGTCAATCAAGTTATGGTTAATATCTGATTATAACACCCTCGACACCTTGACACCTCGCCAACTTCTGGATCACTGACACCGCGGTTTTCGAGGACCCCTATTTATTATTTATCCTTGGTGTGGTGCTGTCATCGATACGTGGATATGGAAGCCCACTCCTTGGTGGCAGCTGGATTGCGCAGTTGGCCGACCTCATGACGCCATGGCTATGACATTTCCAAGGAACACCACCACGCATTAAACGCCAAGCAAACAAATTAGCACAGTCACGCTAACTAAACACGTTAGTTAGTTGGTCTCCCCCCGCGGCATTGTCAAGCAATTCGGATGGAAAGTTTAGTTCATGGTCTAAATTCTGCGTTTCTGAGTACATTTCGCAATTAATTGTACGACCGCTGTTGCGGCGAATTTTTAATAGTCTATCGGCGACGGTCATCCGACTGTTTACTATTTAATTCGTACTTCTGAGCTATTTAGCACTTTAGAGCCAGACAATCAAACAAAAAATCGGGGGGCTGGATTTGGGTGGCCGATTGGCGGGGAAAGAGGCTCTGTGATCGCATGCTCGAGTGCACGTTTCGACGACCCCGTGAGCAATCATGAATGATAGATAGGTTCCGAGCTCTAATCGACAATCAAAAGCGTCCAATTAGCAGGAGAATTTCGAGGGGGCAATCGAAAGCAGGTGAGAAATGCGTCTCACGACCCAAAACGCATTTAAGCCCTCTAATTATGGGTATTTGAAGACGTTTTCCCCCCAGACAATCACAAGATCAATTAACACTGAGAACATTATTAAATGCATATCGATTAGAGGGTTGTTATTTATTACAGACTCATGTAATTTACACCCACGCCTCGGCTTTTACGACATTAAAAAACAGGTGTGACTCATGACTGATTTTGTACGCGGTTATTGTTTACTGGCATTGTGCTTTGTTTAAAAAATATCAAGGTGCTTAGGTAGTTTAGAGGTTTCAATAAAAAACAGCACTTGTTTGCTTTTATTTGCCATTCTGTATTTGCTTTTACGGTGATAAATGTATCACATTTCATGAGAAATTCTTTGCAATCGAAGTTTAATTTGAGTTTATACAATTTGTGTTAATTGGATGGAACACTTTAAAATTTAATCTGCAATTATTTATCATTATTTTTAGAAAGCCCATTAATTTTTTCCCTACGAATTTCACAATAAATATTTGACTTGTTTCGCATTGGTGATCACCTAAATTGTATTTTGCACAAAAACAGAACCTACTTGTCACAGCTTTTTTTAATTCCCCTAAAGTCTCGTTGGGCATTTGAATCACATTTGAAAGCACATTTGAAACCGGCGGCTATTCACCCTTGGCAACAGACTTCGGGTCGTCGTCTGAAATTAATCAAACAGCTAAGCCCCGCCACAAGTAATGAATAATGAGCATGTGCTTCGCCCCGATAAATTGTTATTAAACTTTTGCCACTCAATGGCGGGTTGTTTACTAGACCCTCCAGCTTATTGATGACTCTCATAACTTGCACTCCACTGTAGAAACTCCCCAACAGGTTTAATTGTTCCCTCCGTGTGCTTAATATGCCTTAATTAAGTCAAGTCCAGTTTTTGTGTAAAACCCAAATTGTTTTTAATTGAGGCAAATTAATTTCTTGGAATTTTCGGAGTTGTTTACATATTGGCCGCAGAATTGTAAAGCTACAGATTTTTCTATAATTTTAGGCTTTGCCTAGAACTTCCGCTGCGCGTGGCATACTTTTTTCAAACCAGAAATTTCAAGTTTTAATTATTAAATGCTAAGTTAATCAGACCAGACAGTAAAAAAAAATCGATGGCTTTGACCCCAGGGACCCACGAATACAAAAAAAATTGCTCAAGCGATAATCGAAAAAGCTAAGGAGGAACCGGCCTCCATTCAGAACTCTGAAATCATATTTATATTTAATGGCTTCGGAACTAAACTGCGTGTTCAATTTACTGTAGAACGGAATTCAGTTGTTTTGGCAGTCGAGTGCCAAAGTGCAGGCACTAGTTTTTGAAATAGATTATTGCGAAATAGATTTTGATAATATTTATGGGTCCAAGAACAGGGGTTTCTAAGTCCACTCACAACGCCTGGCGACGAGCCCCCTTTTATAAGTATATTTTTTAATGTCAGCTATAAATGTATACATATATGTGAGACCCCTGACAACTTGTTTACAACCTGTAGCTCTTCATTAGCCGGCACGTGCATGTTTGCGATACGGCCGGAGGAAATGGCAGCTTCAAGATTCATTTATGAGCAGAACAGCAGTATATAGCCATACTCTATGCTGGATTTAAGTGGTTCGGATATCGGCAATCAGATAAGGGCTCTTATGACGTTTACTTTGCAACGTTTATGGCCCAATGCAGTCGTACAGCCGTACTTTGGATCCACTCAAGTCAATAAAGGCTTTTGATTTCCTGCAGAAAGCAGCTGCACGGCTGTAAAGCCATCAAACAATTGCCCAGACATTCGAGGGACTTATCAGTCTGGACGCGGCTGTAAATCTGCTCGAATACAAGACGGATTGCACTTTGAACGGCAAGCGCCACAAGTGCAGGGCCCCAATTGTAAATTTCCATGGAAGATTCCCCGAGCGGAATGAAAGGAGAGAATCTAGGACAATGGTGGCGAAAGAGCCTCGAGAGATGGCCGGGAATCCAAGTCCAATAAATCACAATGCAATCGCCCAACAAAAGTGATAAGTGCGACTGCACTGTGTGTGCAGTGTGTGTGCCTTTGACAAACAACCGAACAACAATTGCCACAATAATTCAGCAATTAATTAGCTTATTGCTTATTGTTGAAGTAGAACCAGTTCCGAGGAACATGGCAATTGGCCGGGCAAACAGACGAAAAGTAAACAACGTCGGCTTCGAAGTCACAGCTATACTGGCATACTGCTATTTCGCTATTTTGCTACATTGCTATTTTTGCTATTTTTCTATTGGCATTACAATCCACTCGATTCGAACGAGGCCAGTTCCGTAAATCAGTTAGAAACGGAAATGCAGTTGGCCAGCATAACAAAGCCAATAATTGCGACTAGAAGGCAAAGCGGCAATGTCAGCCATCCGACAGATATAGATATATTGGAATGTATGTGCAAGTGGTACAGTGATATGAAAATTGTTCAAAATATTCAAATTAATATTTAATACTGCAAAGCAAGGCAAATAAATTCTTAAAAATTCTAGGAAATATGCTAGGCAAAAGAATTTCGGAATTTTCAACTTTTTAATTTATTCAAAAACTTTCATTGTTGAAGAAATAAAATTCTTAAGTTGTCTTATATTTAAAATTATAATAGGGGTATATATATACGAGTATTAGGAACATACGCATAAGGTTATTTATTTCCTTAAGACAACCGAAAATGTTCTCTAAAATTCTGCGAACTGCGTCGTGCGCAACAATCGATCACATTTATAAATGGCCAGAACTCGAAAGATGGCCTTAGTGGCAACAATTTCCGTATATGTGGCTGAAGGTCTGAATGAACATTTGACATAAGAATCGAGGACAAACAGTCCTGAGACCCACTGTAAACGTGATCACGTGGAACGATACGACACAATCGACTTATCTGGCCAACAAAACACTTTTTTTTTGCATTTCCCCCGTGAGTTATATCGGTTCTACATATGTTTGCACAACAAACTGGCTCACACTAGAAATCTGGTGGGTGTGTGGGAGTAATGGCTACAAATCTGATCTGAAAAGTGGGCTCGCGTTTGGCGCGCCTTCGCCATAACTCATACGCCACGTTGCCCCGTCTCCGATCCCATGACTGAAATGACTTGGCACCTTGACAGAAAAGTGCGCATTAGTGTGACGTCGATGCGGCCTTTCTTTTCCCGGCCTTTTTGGCGAAATTCGCAGGAACGTCAGCGGTGGATAATGGAAAATTTTCGCCTAGACCGAGAAGCCCACGCAAACGTTGAGGACATTCCACCGAATGAAAATTTCGCCCGCTGATCACATGCGATTTGCACTGAAAAAATGAAAACGAGGTGAAAATAAATCAGTCAGGTGATGACGATATCGGGCATTAACTTTCACCGCCAGACTCACCCTGTTTTCCATACCATTTTGAAGGTCAGGAAGCGCCAGAGAGAATCGCGAGTGGGAGATTATTATCGGTGGGTGTGTACCCAGTGTCCAAATCCGAACGATAGAGAGGCATTAAAAATAGCACCCGCCAGAATAAAGGCAGACGAAAAAAATACACAAATAAAATAGACAGAATAGAATAAAAGACACATATGTACTTAAAAATGTACAACGAATATTCGAAATTGCTTTTGCGTCAAACTAAAAGTGCCGGATATGCGTCTTTCAAAATATTTCAAAATGCAAAAACAAACTTGAGCAAACTCATCTTTCCTTCAAGTGCCTCTTAATTAGTTCGCCTTTTTATTTTTGCCCTTATAAATTTAACATTTTCTCGAGAAATCAATGAACCTCGAAACGAACTCAGATTCACTTGTTGCCCAATCATAAAAACAGTAATTTAAGTATCACGTTTGGCCGTATTCATTTCGTTTTATTTGCTCGCCGGCTATTTTTAAGTTTGTGCCTTTCTTTGATGGGATTTTTATGTTGGCTGCTGGCAGTTGGCGCGGCGGACTGGGGAACTTGTTTCAAGCCAACTCAAGTAGAGCATCAACGAAAGCCAATAAAGGCCAAAAGATCAGTGCAAAAAGAGTGAACGAAACCCAGAGCCAAATCAAATATTATACATACGTTTATGCACGAGACAACCGAAATTCCGAGAACGGTTTGTCAAAATCAAGTTGACCCGGCAGCGTGAAACCCAAATAATGTTGAGCGTTTTTAGCCGGTTTGCTGATCTCTTCTCGGTTGTAAACATCATGCTTGGCCTTCACATAATTTATTGCCAAAAAAGCTAAAAAATTAAAACAACAATAGTTTGGCGGTAAAGCAAAAAAGATACAGTTCGAGGCGACAATTAATCAAGAATACTTCTGCTCAGAGGCAAACAAGTTTTAACAATTAAAATTCTCGGAAGGAGTAACATACTCCAAGTTTCTACTCGATGAGTAAGATGAGTTGGAGAACCCTTGATGAGTTAATTTAGACAAATTAGAGTTCCCATACAAATTCTATTCCATTTGATGATCTTCAAAGATGTATTCCTAATGAGAGTTTAATTTGATTAAGCTGAAAAACTCGCTTAATTAATTTATTGCAATAAACAAGTAGAGCTCCGCAGCAGTTTTAGAATTTTTTTTTAGATTAAAGAAACAGTTTGGTAGTAAATCAGACATTCTTGAATCTCCTTAATCGGATTATAAATTATAGAAACTAGACGGGACTGATACCTTGGGTTATTATTAGCTGCTCTTTTAGATAAGAAAACTAATTTACTACTGTATAAATTTAAATTCTGACTGGCATATGATAATAATTTATAATAATTTATTTCCTCTGTGGAAGTGGAAGTCGTATAAATCAATCCTTATCGATTCGATGGCGGTAATTCGTGAGACATTTTCCAGAAATTAATAGAGCTGTAAATAATTCAAACTTTCCCACTGACGTACCTTCCGAGTTCGTTATTTCCCGAGATAAGTCTATGATCCATTCCGATCCGAAGTGATTTGATTGCAGGGGAGAAACTGGTATAAAATCGAACCTTCCGATATTTTTGTAGCTTTTTTGCCTTGAGTATTTCGGGCACGTTTTTCTGGTTATTTGGGATCGAGAATGTATAGCGAACATGACTAGATATTTTTATTTACTTCTTTTAACGCTTTTTGATGTTTCAGTTTCGGTTATTTTCGAGTGCTAATTTGAATACAAGTTGAGTGCCTCGGTTTATTGTTGCGCCGCTCGTTTGATGATGCTCGCCGCTGTCTAGACAAATCGAGTGGCGTATTTTGTATACTTTTTGCATGACATTAACATGATATTGGGGCTATAATCAGCGGGGTGGGCGTGTCCCGTTCCGTCCAGACAGCCGATAGACTGGCCCCGATAGTCGCTTTTTGCCCAGCTGATAGCGAACAAGCGATTTTTGATGGGAAAAAGTCGTTCGGAGCGAGTTTATCACTGCACCAATAATCGAACGGGCGGACGGCTTATAAATTTACACCGACACTCGCGAACAGTTCCCCCAAAAAAAGTCAATGAGGGTTCAATGGGGTTCAACGACACTCGAAATTTATACAAGTGATTTGCGAGAAACTCAATCCCGAACAATGCACTTTGCCACTTAATAACCGCCCAAAAAGATGACAGGCGGAGTCGGAGATTATTATGGCCACCACTTAATGATATTGGAGTTTGCATCTTTGGGTCCGAAACAAAATGCTGATTCCGCGAATTGGGGTTGCTGCACCCACAGGTTGGCGATCCTCAAATCAAATTCATGGCCCAATCGGCACGCTATTGAGGTCGCCTGACATTGCCATTTTATTGGCTCATTTATATGGGTAATTAATGCTTTTATCTCTGCTGGATCGTGTAATGAAAACAACGGATTACATCAGATATTATAGTGGGCGGGATATCGCCAGTTGATAACGATTCAGTTTACATTGTTGTAAACGAAACTTGTGTCAGCCTTTATGAATTTATTAACTCGATTTGATTGCTTTGCGAAAGCGATATACTTTGGTGCCTTGTTAAAGTCAAGCTGGAATTTTAAACCTTTACTGGCTGTTTTTTAATAATACTTTGTTGTCTGAACCCATTTAAATATTCTAGATAGTTTCTGTATGTATTTCTTTCTATGCTGTAAATCATTCGAATGAACTTACGTTTTGTTATCAGAAATGAAGTGGGTTTTTTTACTCGCTGGTCGCCTGATGTTCGGCGGTCTAGAAATATTTCACAGTATAATTTTAAAAGCCTAACCTTTCGACGACCTCGATTAGGCAGCTTGATTGCCCTTGAATTGAGTGCTATTATTAATGGGGCACTGCTCTTCTCTTCCAGACTTTCTGTCATGTCGCCAAGTGCTCAATCTGCTGACCATGCTCGGCTTCATGCTGAACTACGCCCTGCGAGTGAACCTCACCATTGCGATCGTGGACATGGTCAGTCCTAATGTTACGGAGGCTCTGTCGGGAAATTCCACCAAGGCGGCAAATGCAACTCTTTCCGGAAATGCAACTCTGGCCGGGAATGCAACTCTGGCGGGAAATGCAACGCTGCTGGCGAATGCAACCACCGCATCGGAAGGGGTGGATGTCGTCGAGGAGCGCTTCCCGTGGGACACCTACCAGACCAACTTCGTCCTGGGCTGCTTCTTCTGGGGCTACGTTCTCACCGAACTGCCGGGCGGTCGTCTGGCCGAGTTGATCGGAGGGCGACGCGTCTTCGGACATTCCATGCTGTGGGCCAGTCTGCTCACCCTGATCACGCCGCTGGCGGCGCACATCAACTACGTGGTGCTCATCATCGTGCGAGTGGTCCTCGGCTTCATGCTGGGCGCATCCTGGCCAGCCATTCACCCGGTGGCCGCCGTCTGGATTCCGCCCATGGAGCGGTCCAAGTTCATGTCTAACATGATGGGTAAGTTTATTCTTTTGAGGAGGCAGTTTACTTGCCGTTCTTCCTTATAAACTACTTTATAGGTGTAAAATACTAACTTAAATTCCATTATTTTTAAACCTTTAGCTTCTTCCCTTGGCGCTGCAATCACCATGCCCATTTGTGGTTACCTGATCTCCGTGGCTGGCTGGGCCAGCGTTTTCTACTTGACGGGAGCCGTGGGTTTGCTTTGGTCCTTGGCCTGGTTCACCTTTGTCTACGAGACTCCGGCCACCCATCCCAGGATTTCCGCGGAGGAGAGGCGAGAGATCGAGGAGGCCATTGGCAGCACCACCTCCAAGAAGCGACCAAGCTACGTTCCCTGGGAACAACTGCTCTGCTCGCCTGCCGTTTGGGCCATTATCATCTGCCACGGATTAGCTGTCTTTGGATTCTTCACAGTGGTCAACCAGCTGCCCACGTTCATGTCCAAGATCCTGCACTTTGACATCAAGAAGGTAAGACAATATAAGAGAAGGATCTATGAACTTATCTTACTAACAATATTTGTTCTCCTACAGAATGGTTTGTTCTCGTCGCTTCCTTATCTGGGCAAATATGTGATGGCCGTGGCCTCTTCCTATTTGGCTGATTACCTGCGAAAGAGGGGCACTCTGAGCACAACGGCCACCAGGAAGTTGTTCACCACCTTTGGTAAGTAAACTGAACAGAAATAATTTTAGTATTTTGTATTGCCAATTTTATATGGCTTCTTAAGAAGCTAAAAGCTAAACGTCCCAAATTTTAAGTTAATCAATTAATAATCTTTTTCAATATGCTGCAATATATTTTATAATAATTTCTCCACTTTTTTACAGCCTTGGTCATTCCTGGATGTCTGATGATTGTGCAAGTCTTCCTGGGCTACGATGCCACCTGGTCGGTGACGATCTTCTCGCTGGCCCTGTTCGCCCACGGAGCTGTCACCGCTGGTTACCTGGGCAATGGCCTGGACATTGCACCCAACTTTGGCGGAACCATCTTCGGACTGGCCAACACACTGTCCTCCTTCGGCGGATTCCTCTCCACGTGGATGGTGGGAGCCCTCACCTACGAAGATGTGAGTACAAATGGAGAACTCCATGATTTAGATCAAGAAAAAACCTCCTGCATTTAATTCAATCAACAGGAGTCCTTCCATTCGTGGCAAATTGTGTTCTGGATTCTGGCCTTCACCTACATTTCGGCAGCCGTGTCGTTCGTCATCCTGGGAACCGGTGAGCTGCAGTCGTGGAACAACCCACCGGAGCGAGTGAAGATCAGCGATGTCACCCAGGAGGAGGGTGTGCCGCTCAAGAACGGAAAGTAATTCCCCTTGCCAGTGAGCCTCAGTCGGTGCTCCATTGACTCCTGACCAGAAAAGAAGGAAACCGAAAGCCCAGTTGGAGATAGAGCATCCCGCCATCCGCACAAGTTATAGTAGTTGCTACTGCACCCTCGAGATTAAGGAGGAATTCAATCACCAACCTCTGGTCAGGATTTTTGGGAACCCAACAACCGACACTCAACACGGAGAAAAACATGAAATGAAAGACATTATTTTTATAGACACTGCAAGGTTTCTTCGCACAAAAACTACACACATCTCATACCCATAAAAAAAAAAAAGCCCAAAACACTGTACACCGATGCAGACGTCTGCTAAACGGAAATTGACTATATTTATAAGTAATATTTACTTTAGAGCAGCTAAGTACGCATATGTGTAGCCTAAATGATTTATAGTATTCTGTATGTCCACAGAGTGCACAGCTGGCTGGTGAAAAGGAGCTTATCCTTGGAATCCCCTGCTGTGTCCATTATGTTTCGTTTTATTTATAACGTAGCCCTAACTATTGTCTAGCTTAGATGAACAAAATACTTATGCAAGTAGCGAAATACATACACATATGCTGATAGTGTAGCTAAGTTGATAAACAGCGTGTAACTTTGTACTATACTTGATTATTTATGTAATTAATTTAAACATTTTCTAAGTTCATAATAAAGCGTGACTCAGAAAGAAATTACAGAAGGGTATTTTTACTGATATCGAGGGGATAGAATATTATATACAAAACAATAAGAAAAGTTTTAAAATTTCAACCATGATTTTATTTTACATTTGTAGAATTTTACAAGCTTGTATTTTACATGATTTTATGTTGCCTACTTTTGCGGGCAGCACAGTTCGACTTCATTTTTCTTTGCTTATCATTGCTACTTTTAGGCTGTTTGATGAAGCATTCCCCTAACTTAACTTTAGTTTAAAGTTTATTTACAAAACAAAGATTTGCTAAGCACCCATATACACAGGCATATAGTGATTAATTAGTAACTAGACAAAAGCACAACCTAATTCGACTCCAAACTGACATCCATGAGCTCCTTGGTGATCTCACTTTGGCTCTTGAGAGGACCAGGATTGCTCAGCGTATTTTCATCCTGGCTGAGCGCAGGTGGTGGCAGCTTAAAGCCACTAGGGCCACCCAGATTTAGGGAACCTCCTGTGAAGATTGGAGGAGCCGTTGTGGTGGACGTGGTACTGGAACTGGTGGCCAATTTGTAGAGAAGTTGCAACTGCTGCATGGCATTCGATGGTTCTTGCGGTTGCGGAAACTGAGGACTGGCAGCCGAACTTTCTTTTGCCGGCTTTTTGAACTGATCCTTTGATTTGGGCTTCTGCGGTTTCATGCCGTTCGACCAGGTCTCCAGCCAACTGGCCCCATTTCTCTCCGTCGAGGTCATCAACCTCTCGGCTTCCTTTTTCACCTGCTCGCGGTAAAGTTGGCGGGCAAGGGCCTTTTGCTCACTTTGGCTCACCTGGCGCTTGTTGAACGATTGATCATCCTTGCTGGGATCTCCAACTGGTTGGGTTTCCTTCTGGGGACCCAGTTCCACCATCACCTGAAAGTCAGCATGCTCGCCCAGCCGAAAACCAAAACCCAAACGGGAATCGGTTCCTGTTTCAGTAACAAATTAATTTTAATAAATGGCTTGGCATACGTTTAAATCACCTTACCCTTTTTAATCGGTGGTATGTTGGAGTAAACTATGGATAATAAGGACGGCAGTTCCCTTGGCACAATGAAAGCAGATGCATTTTGCGCTGTAAGTATATAATATTTAATTGACTTGGTGTGCCCAATGATTTTATCTCCGATCCGCCGATCCACCGACCAAGCCCCAGCACTTATGTAAATTTTTAGGCCAGTTTCGGGGCGGATTGTGTAACTATTTTATGGCTTGTGGTTTTCAGATTTACAGTGGACTAACAATGCGTTTGGTTAAGATTTCTTCGTATTTTAGGTTCGTTTCTCTTTAAAGGTCGATTAACAATTCAGGAAAATATGATTACAACATTTTGTTTTAAATTAATCTCGTTCAAGTCAAATACAGTCTTAAATTTATTTTTTTAGATTAAGTCATGGTCATTCTCCACACTTTTTTTTTAAAGTAAACTTCGGTTTTGACTCCCTTTCCAAGAATGAATTTAATTGACTTTACTTTGATCATAAAACGAATTTATCGAGAACCATTAAGTAACTCTTAACCACACCGCCATAAAACCGAATAAATGAATCGCTTTTGGAGACAGACAATGAGACCCCATAGACGATCTACAGGCCAAACAACTTCTCCGTCGATCCGGCGACCTTGACACAAAGACCGGCAACAAGTTGGAGTTTGGCCGAGCTCAGGGCGCCTAACCTGGCCAAAGTCTCTTTTGGAGCCACTCGAGATCGTGCGAGTGTCGCCGGATTGGCTAATGTCGTCTGACCGGTTAATAAGGCACCGATCTAAGCAATTCGATCCATTTATTTCGAGCATTAACTTACTGTAGAGCAGGCCGATCAGCAGAGGCAGTAGGAGGCTAGCGGAGCCCCATTGTTTTGGCCAAAACATGGCCAGCTGTCAGCATTTATGTGGAGCCACAGAAAACTGCAATTACATAGGCGATTACTTCATGCCACAGATATGATTACTTTTCGTGTTTTTGCAGAATTTTCAAACCACTTGCGGAGTTTGCGCAACACTCAGAAACTTGATTTCGACTTGAGGTTGGTCAGTTGCCCACCGAAAGCAGGTGCGTCATTAATTCGTTCGATAAATATTTGAAATATTTTCTTGCCAAGTTTTCGTTAGCCGCTATTGTTTACGCGATTTCGATTCCGACGCGATATGCAAACGCACACAACGATGTGGTTGGGTCTGGCTTAAATAAAAGCGTAAATACAAAAATCCACAGCAGCGGCAACAACAAAAACAACAACAAGCACAGTTTGGTTTGGAAATCACTCTCACTTTTGTTCAATGAGCTTCGTATTGTTGCTGTTTTTTTTTTGTTAAAGGTAACTACGTAGCTCGCCTTGTCTTCTTTTGGTTGGGTTTTTTATTTTGTGGTTGTTTTTATTGTAGGCATCACTATTTATTTTTGTTTGGCTTTTTCAGTTTGGCCTTGTCTCATTTTGGCTTTGATTGATTTCTGGCTTCTTTCGGCCTTTTTTTACTGCTGTAAAATTCATTTACACGCTAACTTCCCAAATTGTTGTTAATAAACTGGGCAAACATCGCGCAGAAATTTCGGACCGCATAAAAATGAAAGTTAGTGGACACTCAAAAGCGTGTGTTGCTATTTTCGGTAGTGTAATTTTGGTTTCTGGGCAAAAATCAACACACCGCACATACGAATGGCATAATTTAACTAACGTATTTTTGGTTCAATTCGATTCGGTTTGAATTCGAATTCCTCTGCGAGTGCCCCACCGTTTTTCGAATGACAACTTCTCCGTGGCGCGTCTGCAAGGCAACTGAGCTGAAATCGAGAGTGTTTTGGCCGTGCAACACGCGCTAAAAATTCAGTCGACGTCTCGCTCTCTGCTGGAGCTGGAAATTACACTGGAAAAAATTATAACATTCGCTTCATATTATAAAATATTTTTGTTTGGTGTGGCCAATAGGATCTGCATGCTTATTAATTTAATAAAAACACTTCCAAGACTATTTAAGGTTTTTTTTATTACACATATAAATCAATATTCTAGTTTAGCCTGGCCACTTTAACCCAAAAATAAACTTACATTTTTCCTCCATTAGTTTACAAAAGTTTCAAGTAGAAAATAAGTTTTTTTCTGTGTAAACTAAGTCACGTAACTGTGGTCGGTAGCTGCGCATGCGCACTCTCTTTTCCGCGCTTGAAACTGCTGCTTCTGCGGCTGAAACTGAAACTGAAACTGAGACCGGCTGTTGGCATCTGCTCCATTAACGTCATCTCCAACTCAAATTGGCGCACTTGCCTTCTGGGGCCTTACTTTTGTAATTTTTTACTTTTTGGCACATTTTTGCCGCATTGTGAAAGGTTGCTTCAAGGCAGCTCTGCCTTGTTTTGCTGTTCATAAAACAAAATATGAAGAAACTGAAATTATTTGAGGTGCTACATGGGCGGACTTCAGTTTATTGACGCCTACAGTGAAGATTAAGTTCAAGTGATCCACATTACAATAGGGTAACAAATGGTCCATGGATCATAGTCAAGTCAACTTAAGTTTGGAAACAAAACTCTTAGCTTCCAAATTTCGAAACCCATTTTTTATGTTGAGAGTTTTACTTTAAAGATTTGCTGGCTGGGTTTTAAAACATAAAAACACATTTATATATTTAGTTTTTAACTTTAAAAATTGCTTTCCAGTCAGTTAGGTTCATCGCACCCAGTTATTACCATAAATAACTGCCAATACCTAATTTGACGAACGCCCTAATACGAAAAAAAAACATAACATATGCTGACCAGTGAACCGCGACGTTCGTTTGCCTATCCATATCTTTTGCTTACTTTGCATAACTCGGGTCAGGTTGACATATAGTCTAGCTCGCCACGCCCCCTTTAACGACAGTCTGTCTAATTAACTAAGACGCACGTTGTTACTTTGCGTACGTACATTTGGTTTAATTGCCCTGGCGTAAAAACCAACACACATGCAGACCTGCTAAAAAATATTTATGTAATTGATATTGACTGCCTCACAAACTGATGCAGAGGAAAAAAATTAGGATTTTATCAGATTTGTTTTAAAAAAGCTTGTTTGTTGCTTCATAAAGGAAAGAAGATAGAAAACTTACCTTACATTAACTTAAAGGTGTGTTTAAGAGATTATTGAATTCAAAAATAATATATTCTTAAAAAAATAAGTTTTTTTTGTAGTGTAGAAACCAGCTTTGGCCCTGCACAAAAATAAACAAGTTGAAGCGGTCAATGGATGAGGTGCAAATAGTTTTGAAGACTGCATCTGCATAATTGTATTCGCTGCTTTCCTCTTATTCAATTGTTTACTTTGCTTTTGTAAGTCCGCGAAAAACCAAAAAATAACTAATATTAATGGAAATGTTATTAACACATGAACAAAAAGTCTTCAGGCGTTAAATTAATGGCTCATAAGCGTGTCTTCTTGTTAAAGATGCATTTTTGGTTTTTTAGATTTAAGAAAATGATAGCAAGCTTTCAGGCTGTCTTTAAACATTTATTTTCAACATCCCCATTTTTGTAGCCTTCTTTATGGCTAAAAAGATACTTGGTGTCCCAATCTAACTCTTTTCATATTGGTATCATAAAAACCAGCGAACATTAAACTGTCACAAAAACGAAATAAACATGTTTGTGTCGATTTTATTTTAAACACTTTATGTACTTACTTTTTGGTTTTATATACTCACAATACTTTTATTAACTCAACTGAAAAAAATATTTAGTATTTTATTTGTTTCGTTTTTATTTGATTCGTATTCATACATTTAACATTTAACAATTGTTTCACAGTTCAGCGACATTATTAATTGTAAATAATTAATTTATATTTATTTTAAATCTCTTAATTGTTGTTTGTTTTGTTATTTAGACTACGCACTACACTAACAACGATGTGTAAAAATAAATGTATTTTTATGTAATATTCTTCGTTTCTGTTTCTCTGTGTTTTTTTGTTTTGGTTCAGAAATAACACTTATGGCCATCGCATAAGGTATTCAATTCCCCTCTAGATTGGTGCTGTTTTCGGTTCCGAAAACACGATGAGTGGAGTGTTGAGTGTGTGGCATCTGGAACAGTTGCTGTTCGTTAGGTAACGAGGTAAAGTGCGCCTTGTTGCGAATCGACACAGTCAATTCCTAAATGGGGGCCCTTCATCAATGCCACGCGAACAGAGAGTGCGAGACGAGCAAGTAGCCCGTGGTGACTATAATGCTGCCAATCATGATTGGAAAACCAACTCTGTGGGGGTAATGAAACGTATCTAATTAGTGGAGAATCCATTCTTAAGGATATTCCGGACTTACTTGAAGAACTGCAGGAAGGTGAACTTGTAGCCATGCTGCTCAGCCACTCCTGCACAAACCACATTGGCAGAGGCTCCAATCAGAGTGCCATTCCCTAAAGGAGAATATTTAAATATTATATTGATATTATTAATTATGACTTTCGGTATTTACCTCCCAAACAGGCGCCCAAAGCCAGAGCCCAAACCAAAGGCTGCAGGGGCAGATTCAAAGTGCTATTTTGGGCCAATGATATGGTGATCTTCACCATCATCGTTGTCAGTGGGATATTGTCCACAAAAGCAGAGGCCACAGCAGAAACCTTTTCAAACGAATATTATGCATTAAACTCTGTTATCAGTAGGAATTTTATTTAAAATCTCACCCATAGTATTATCAAAATGGCCACCATCAGACGCTGATCCTCGCCCACTCCCAGGATAATGCCCTCAGTCATATTGCCGATCCACTCGATTAAACCCAACTCCGTCAGGGCCTCCATAAGAATGAATAGAGCGGCGAAGAAGAGCAACGTTGACCACTCCACACGAGCTAAGATGGCCTCCATATCCTCGATATCTGCCAGGATAATAAGGAATATGGCACCCAGCAAGGCAGTCCAACCCAAGGACAATCTTTGCAACTCCGGAACCGAATGCAAAAAGAACAAACTGATCACAAAGACCAAAGCGGCAGAGCATTTGATCAGCAGAGGCTTGTTGCGAATGGGGTACTGTAATATTTTTAAATAAATTATTAAATAAAAAATAAATATAATAAAAGAATATTCCTACCTTTGCTTGAAGATTGGCCAGAGTTTGCTGGTAATTGGGTGCCGGTTCTATAACCGCCGTCATGCGTTTCTTGAGACTTCTCTTCAAGCGGTTCACCTTTTTCATCAGGGTTTGCCTTACAAGTTCCTCATCTTTGGAATAGGCAGATAAGCTGGCAGCTGCTCGCTTCCAAACATGGATTTCGTGACGCAGCTCCTCCACCTCCGGAGAATCCTTGAACTGCAGATCACTGATGTTGCGGAACTTGAAGCGCAGTTGGATATAAGTTTGCACCATGACCAGGAGAACTCCCGGCAACATGTGCAAAGTGAAGACAGCGAAATTGACGCCCTAAAATCCGTTATTTAATATTATAATCTCTTAGGATTCAATCTAATTAAGAGTCTTACATTCTTGGATATGTAGCTATTCGAGGCAATGATGACATTGGGTGGATCTCCCACGGGAGTCAGAGCTCCTCCGATGTTCGAGTAGATGACCATGCACATGAGTATGGGCACCGGATTGAGGCACATGACCTCGCAGAGTCGTATCGTCACCGGGGTCATCAGGAGCACAGTGGTCACATTGTCCAAAAAGGACGAAAGAACAGCGGTGAAGAGGCACAGACAGTTGATCAGGGGCCACACATGTCCGTTGGTGATCTTGTAGGCATACACAGCCAGATAGTCGAAGACCCCAGTCTCCGACAGAATGGCCACCAGGATCATCATGCCGAAGAGCAGCAGCAGTGTCTCCACATCGATCCAACCCATGATGGTGGCCATCGAGGGTCGCGAATTCAGTGCAGCCAGAATGCCCACCGATAGTGTGGAGGCAATGATGGCGGCAAAGGTTCGATTGACAATCTCCCAGATGATCATCACGTAGAGTCCACAAAGGACCGCCGCCGCATAAATCACTCCATCCCGTTTGTAAATCGGAGACTCATCCACGTTCAGCTGCAGCGGCAACTCCCCTTCGATGTTGCAAGTGAACTCGAAACTCAACTCCGTGCGATTCGCCTGGGCCAACCACATGGGATCGATGGGACGCAGCTCGAAGGTTTTCTGCTTCTTCGTGTCCCGGGTGCCATCGATCAAGTCCGAATAGACCACGTCCAGTTGCCACAATTGGCTGACGTTCTGGATGTAGATCTCCAAGCCATCGCCGTCGAAGTAGCTGCGCATCACCTGAACTTGGAGAACCGGCAAAGGCACACTGTCATTGAGGGCCAACTCATTCTCCTGCAGCCTAAAAGGTCCTCGAAGGCCCAGGCCAATTCTTTGCAGACTGGAGGTGGTGATGGGAAACACTAAACAGGAGGAACAGGAATATCCATCAATTAACATATGCATATTCAATCCAATTTACTGACCTCTCGGTGAGTTATTCCTAGGAACACTGATGAGGCTCAGCTGGTCCACATGTTCGTTGTTGGACATTAAAAAGGCGGTGAAAACGCACCAGACCACCAGCAAAACGGCTATTTTGAACCAGATGAGATACTTTCGAATCTAAGTTAAAGATATAAAATGTTTATAATACTTTCTTATAAGTTATTTATAAAATACACACCACACTCTTGGCATGCGGCTCGTTTTCGTCATGCTGATCGTCGTTGTTGTTCTCCAGGTCCCTAAAAATGGCCACGGGGAATCACAGAAAACTGGTTGCACTAATTACGTAACTGACAATCGAGAGGCACAGAACTACGAACCTGCCGTCCAAAACCCTCACTTGTCCCGCCTCGTTTGTCACATTGATCCCGATCTGTGTAAAGGCCTGGTTGGCCAGCGCCGTCTCCTCGTGGTGTCCATTCTGCACCCGAACCTCCGACTCATCCGCATGCAAGGGATCGACATCTGTGTAGTGTGATTAAATTAATTTAAAAATAGTTAATCAGTGCGCGGCTGACTGGCTGATTGACTTAACCCTGAACAGAAACTGGCAAATATTTGTGCAAAAATCTACTCATTCGCTGCTCGCGGAAGGACAACTCAGGGGCAACTGCGGCGACTTCGGACAGGAATTAACTTGGCCCAGCCACCTGCCACGTGTTGGCATTATTTTATTGGCCCAGCCGCACGGTAATCGACTCGAGGCTATAAATACCCATAAATGGCCGTGAGCGAGCTGAGGGACACATTGGCCAACTGACTGATGGCTGCGGACAAGGATGCGGAAAAGGACACATTAGGAACTCGAAGGTTCCGGACACTAAATTCAGCCCTAGGGATTGGGAACTATTTTAGGCCTTATTGCTGAATTTTCTATGGTTAAACTAATACAAACAAATTGAGATTGAGATATTACCCAATTTATATTTATTCAGAAATAATTTAGAAAATAAATAACTGGGTTTATTTTTTACTTTATGTAATGTTAGAATTATTTACTTCGTAATTTACGAATAATTTGAAAGGACGAACATATTTTCGTGGGTCTATAATTTAAGGATCTCTGCCATGATTACTTTGACTTGCAATATGACACCATATGCCGGAGTAAGACTGAAACCCAGTCATTATTATAATTTCCTAAGCCCCGAAATAGTGCGTCCATGAAAACAATTGAGGCTAAGCTCGGACTTAAATTTTCGGAATGCAAATCAGGCAAAACCCGGACAATGTCAATGCCAACGCCAACGCAAATGGCAATAAAAAATTCAGCAATAATTACGGCAATAAAAAAGGTAGCAAGAGCCAGACATAAAAAAAGGAAATTATGTGATCCGGGAAGAGAGAGGGGCAGCAGGATGCCCTGGCCAACTTACCGCCATGCAGACGTTCGTGCTCCTGGCGAAAGGACGCTAAACTGGGATCCTGGCGAATGCGCTCCGGCAGAGTTCGCCAGACTTGTAAGGCACCTTCTGTTACTTCGCTGCATGTGTGGACCACCACAAGCCGAGGACCAAGAAGGCAGCAGGACCAGCAGGACGAGGGGCAGGATTTTTGTTACACATCAGGGACCAATGAAACGCACCGCCGAAAACGAGAACGAAATAAGCGGGGAATAAAGATTTAATAAGATTACCAGACTTGCGTTGGAATTTGTTTGTTCAGGTGCTTGGGCGTGGCTCGACCGCCTGCCAAAAAAAAACATTCAATAAATTTTTTAGCACATCCATATTGATTTTTCCCCTCCCACTCGGTTTCGATTCCCCAGCTCGTGTGTGCAACAATTTGTATTTATTTGATTTGACTCCTTATAAAGACTTTAAATTGAAGTTGTTTACCCTAAAAGGGGTTCCTTAAGGGACTCAGCTTTTGCTACATGAAGTGGAAACTCACTTGCGGTTGGCAAAGTGGATGAAAATCTTCTTAGCTGGGAATCTGATTGACAACAAATCTGTGAGAGCTTTTAGGACCCTGACAATAAAATCAGATTTGAGTAAATATGTTTGGCAAGTTAGTTGGCAAAAATGGATAACCAGAAATGGAAGGAAATTGAATGGGAAATGCTCGCTTATAAATACAATTTGTTTAAGTCATGTTGAGCTAACGTTAGTCAACTACTGATAAGATGAATCATCCACTTGAGATTTAGTTCCTATTAGTAATACTAAAAATAACATGATGGGGCACCCAAAAGTAACGCATCGCAAGTCACGTAGTCCGTCTGATAACTGAAAATTATGGCAATTCTTATTCTAATTTCCACACAAGCTGACCGAATTCAAAGTCAAGCTATCTTCAATACAGATTCGTAGATCTGTCAAAGAATCGCAGAGTCCAAGCTGAATTAAAGCGCAATGCCACATGCGACTGTCTGACTAACTACACAAGTCAGATTCGCTTTAAGGTCAGAGCAGCGTCGTTATCAGCGGAAAAGCCATCAGACCAAAGAAAGATGTCTATTTATACTGGCCATAAAATATTGTTTTCAGTTCCATTTCCATTTCAAATGCGAGTTTAATGACTCTCTGCCATAATTACTGGGACCCAAGCAGCTGAGGTCGGCAATTCGATGGGCCATCCCCAAACTGAGGGCAGGTTCCTTGGAAAATTCTACTTGGAGTGCATTGGGAATCGCATCACGTGTGCGGGCTAAATAAATGCAATTTATGCACTTGATTCAAGTGGCCACACAAATCTTAATTCAGTCGGCTTGACTAAATTTACTTAAGCCTGCGTTAGAACGATGAAAAGTGCTCGAAAACAGTCATAAATTATATTTACTTAAGTTTAAATTAGCTTCGCTTGATGGACGGACGCGATGTAGTCATGTCATAAACAGAAACAAAATCCGAAACAAAGACAAGACCGCCAAAGTAATGCTGACACTGATTTTCTTGACCGAACGCACACCATCGCACATTAGCTTCTATATAGCAGCTATATAGAGAACTCGGCATTTTAGCTTGAACTTGCCTCAATTGCGATACTCAGCTTAGACAGCTCTGCTTTTCACAGCTCGTGCATAAGTCATAAGATCTTTGATTGCCTCGTTTGATGAGGTGAATTGAAAGCATGAGTAAATGTGTTTAACAAGAAAAGGATTTCTGGGAACCTTAATTAAATGTAACTCCTATTTTTTGTCGTTGCCTACACGCTATAAATATTTCAAGAAGTTTTCCAAAGTTGACGCAATATCTTCCAGAATTAATCATAGCCTAGAAAGGCAATGTTTATGGTAGCTTTCCCAGCAGAAGAAAATACATTTTCACCCAGCTCGAAAAGCCTAGCCTTAAGCTGCTGTTGCCTCCTCAACGCAATGATTAAATGATTTTGTTGATGGCTCTTAATACTTTGAACAGCTACTTTATGTCACGGCTTTCATCATCTGAAGTGAAGACAAGTGTCCGTGTCAAAGATTGATTTACTCACGAGTCCACAAGAAAAGGACCCACACAAACACAGGCATTTCCTACATATAAGGAAGCAGGCTATCATTAGCAGGAGCCAAACGAGTTTTCCGCTCCACTGAAGCTCCCGACAATTTGTCGGTTTTTCATTGGATTTTACACAGATAAAAATGTGTGTCAAAATTATAGATGGAAGATATTTAAAGTTCGTTCTCCTCTGATTAACAAGTTATTCAGATGAATATTTCTTTCTGTGTAGAAAAGGTGAACATATAAAAAAACACGATGACAAGCTACTTAATGCTAGAACACCATTCATTTTGGGACACATACTCGTCCTCTTCGTATGCGTTATCCTCAGAGCTGTTGTTGTAATTGTAAGCCATCTCTGGAGGGCAAACAAAAATAGTCCAGGGGTTCAGGGGTTTCTGAAAATGTGACACTCGACAAGTATATCCGCGAAAAAATCGTTTTATTACGTAAATTGCAATACGCACACACACACTTGCGAAGTGCTTTAATACGAATGCCGAGGAAAATGTAAAATTTCCTTTGTTAATCGCATATTTTTTGTGCCGCTTGGGATAATGGGGAAAATCGAGCGAAAGAGCCGATCTTTAATTAAATAGCGGGATCGCGTTGCCTTGACCACTTGTTGCTCTTTATTGTCGCGTGCCCTTTTCGGTTCTTTTTTTTACTGCCGCCGATCGTGACTTGGATCGGGCGTATATATGCGGTCGAAAGCTCAAGCGGTACTAACTGTCGTCCGCCGTTTTTTACCCTATTTTGTAGGTTTTTAATGCAGTCGCAGTCGCAGTGGCGTCGCAGTCGCTGCGATGGGGCAGCGCTTTAAAGAAGAAGGTAAACAGAGCTCAAATAAAAATTTCCTGATATTCACATTCGCTTTTTATCACCATCATCAGTTATCTCTCGCTGACCGCGCTTTGCTCATTATTCGCATTTATGCTTTCTCTGCGGTCACTGCAAGTGCACTCAAAATCCCCCAACTAACTCGACCGATCCATCATTCTTACACTTGAAAATGTAACCCTTTGATAACCGGAATTGAAAAAAATTGGTTCTAACCCAAACAAATATATGTGCAGATTTTTTTATCTGCGGCAAAGCTAAAAGAGTAAACTGCATTTCATAATCAATTTGTTGTTGAAAAAAATTTTTTCTCTTATCCGTTCAAAATAATTTTGTAATAACATGAAAACATTGTTTAAAATGTTTAGAATTAAAAACTGGGTAGATTTATGAGTGTCTTTTTTTTAAGTGCACATTTCTTTTGTGTGGCTTAACCCCAGCATAGCTTGTTCTCCCCCTCCCACCCACAAAAGCGGTTATGTGTTATATATTTTCGGCTCCAATGAGTGCATTCTCTCTCCCTCGCTCAGTGTTTACTTTCCGCTCTCTTCCGTCATTGTTGTTATTGCTACTGGCGTTGGCTTATTTGCACTTCTTTCAATTACACTTGATTTATCACATTTGACAGTTGTTCTGCGATGCTTTTGATCTTGCGCTGCGCTACGCATAGTTTGTTGGGCGGTTAAGCACCACAGAACTAAATACAATTAGTAATGTTAATCATTAAGAATTATTATCAGCTTATCACTAATTCTACAATCTTAATCTTCCCAAGAACAAAAACTATAAGGCTTTGCTTTGTCTAGGGTGAATAAAGTGTGTAGTATTATTTCCCACCTAACATGACATTATTCACAAAAATTAATACTCATATATAAACGTACTTTAATCTAACTTTATGGATGGCGGTTCCAATTATAAATTCTATTTTAAGCCGTAACCCGATACAATTTTCATCAATTTGTTCCGCTCGTTTTAAACGATTTTATGACACGAGATGAGCTATGAGCTCGAGTCTTTTTGAGTCTGCATACTATATGTATACGGTATAGGATTATTCTGCAATTTGGCGAAAAGTCAGCTGCTCGAGGCTCAATTATTCTGTTAAGGAGCAGTGCGAATTATGAAATACTCGTAGACCGCCTAAATTGAGGGCGTATTCAGCGGGTGCTTCGCGAGGCCTTGGAGTTCAAGGGTGCCTCCAATTCGCATGCAAATTTCGTGGGCGACTTTTGAGAAATTGAGCCAAATCCGAACGCTCCCACGTGATGCGAAATTCAAAGCGTATTCTTACAATATATATTCCGGTAATTGAAAGGCACCCGAGGGAGCCGGCGCCTGTCAAAACTTTGGCAGACGCATATCAAACGAAACGAAATAAAATGATTCTGTTGAGTAAGCGGAAAATATTTTAAGCTTAAAGTATGCTACTTCCATAGTACTTTTCTACTTTTTTGGCCAACTCAACAGAACAGAATCCACCTGCTGACTCACTGACGTCACAGGTGTGCTTGCCAAGTTTGCATAATGCGGCAGGTAATGTAATACTTTTCCACCCATAGATTAGAAAATCCAGACCGTCCAGGGCCACAATTGCAATCCGACACCGCCAGCAACGGCCAGCTAATGAGATAGCCATAGCCATTCCGCAGCTTGGCTAATGAAAAAGGTCTCCAAGCATGAAGAATAAAGCACTTTATATCGCCGACCGTGTTGACCCAAGCTGTCTGTCTCCAAAGTGCCACAAGTGTTTGCCGTGGCCGAGGGAAATGCAATTTAATTGAAACGAGAGTGCGATCTCGGGGGTTTCGCATTACATTCGAGCGCCGAGCTAACAGCCATGGCATTGAAATCGAAATGAAAACATAAATCGAAGGGTAAGTGGAGCGCCAGTTGTCGCCGTTTAAGCGTGATATGCGCACTTCCAACGGCTAATTGCCGATGGGGCACGCCCCTTCGGAGTCCGATTGGATTTTTTTCAGAGTGCCATTTAATCCGACAATTGGATTAATTTGCAATACATTTCGAAAGGTGGCACGGCGGCTAGTACACGTAAATAAAATAATTTAGTTTGCAAGTTTATTGATTAAACATATACTTTTATACCTCCAATTGAATAACGATAAAATAGGGAAATATTGTTTTTGTAAATTTCATTTCATCAACACATAGAAACTTATTTTCAATTTATTGAGTTTCTATTACAGTGCATTTTAGCAATTAGTGTTAATTTCAAGTTGAATGAGCTTATTGTTCATTTGTAAACGACAAAGCAATTACTTCTAAGTAATTTACCTATGCACTTTTCCAGCCATCTCAATTATGACAAACCAATACAACGTCATTCTGTCAGTCTGTTCAATCGATTTTCCTTTGTGTTCTGATTAAAGAAATATTTGGTCGTCCCGCTCTTTAAAAATAAATTTCTAAAAATAACTTATCAATTTATAAATATTTCCGAAAGATAATAGAGTTCAGCTGGTTGAGCGGCGAAGCAATTGAAAGTGCACGCACTTTTTCCGTTTGATAAATTAAATGAACACGCGCTCATCAAACCGCTTGGCTCTTATGTTGGGATATATATTAAATCAACTCAAACTTGCTTAAGTAAGCCGCACTCACACAGATACTCACACACACATGCGTCATATGTGTAGAGAGATGAGGCTATATAGGTCATTGTGCGACAATGTTGATAACGAAATTACAGACCCGAAAAAACGTAATTTCGTCCAGTCGGTCATTCCGTTGGACCTCTTCCCCTTTCTTCTTCTTTATTTTTTGTGTACACAAATAAAAATGTATCTATACAAAATATAATAAAATATATATTCTTTAGAATCAAAGTTTTTAAAATTTTTCTGTGAGTCTTGATTAAAACACACAAAGAGTTTTGAGCAGGGTTTTCTTTCTTCTGCTTGAAAATGTTCTTCGTAGTTAAACATTTTGTATTTTTGTCTTCAGATTTTTTTGCAGTGCAATCTCTTCCCTTTCCCGTTTCGCTAGTGGGCATGTCATTCATGTGGCGCTTTCAAAGCGACACGCTTCATTAATTTTGAGAAAATTGAAAGCCTGAAACCGCTCGGCACTCAGCGTTTGGCGTTTGGCGATTCGCATGTGGAGCGACTTTAAGTCTTATTTTTAAATCAAGCAGCGGAGGGTGGCAGGCCTCGATTAGCAAGTTAAATCTTTCGCCGCCGGTATTTTTCCATTGCGAAAAATGCGAGTTAATTAATTGAAAACGCGACGTGGCCTGAGTCTCTAGAAGAATACAGCTGCTCCGCAGCAGAGTGGCAAATGGCACACGTTCCTAATGGGCTCATAGTCACACGTTTCGACGACGCCTCCATAAATCGAACTGTGACTGAGAATGGCCATTTTGCCAAGGGCAGGGCTAACTGATGGGTGGTGAGGGGGTGGAAAATGGGGAAGGGGAAACCCCACCGCAAAGGTTCAGTTTGCAGCCGAGAGTCGTATGCAAATTGCTCGCATAGCAGGAGAGCTAGCTGGTTTACATTTGCATTTTTAATTTCCACATACTTAAAGTTTACTCTGTAATAATTGAGTAAATCAAATAGCAGTATTAGAATATTTGATTTTTTGCCAGGGGGCTTGTACTTGCCTTATTAGTATTCGGATTATGTGATGTTTGTACACTAATCTCTTCTGGGTAAGTGTTTATTTATAGGAATTGAATAATAGAGTTAAGTCATATCTGATTGAATTGTTTGCACATTGATTTTACTTACAAATTAAACATCGCTTTTAACTTTTGGCTTAAAATGTTTCTGCTGTTCCTAAGACTCGTGTACTTTTTTTTACTTCTTCAGACCTTTTCTTTGTCTTTCGTGGCAAGTGTCAACTGCAGTGTTCTAACCCAATTTTAGCATTAAATGTTTTAATTATTCATGTGCCACGTTTATGGCCCTCGTCGTCGTCACTTCTCAGAAACACACATCCTGGCGGGTTCATAATCACATTTTGAATGAGCTTAGAACAATGCAGAATCGGAGGGCTGAGACTTGGCCAGAATTTGACCTTGGCTGCGTGGACGAGGTCGTAGTCGTAATTCGCATTATGTGAAAGAATTTTTACTTTTGGCTGACCCACATTTAAGGCGGGGTGGCGGTGTTAATGGCTTATTTTAAAACGCGGACTAGACCACGGGGCGGATGAGCAACGCCCGACTGCTTAAATTACGCATACGCAGAGTTGGTTTCGGTCCTGCAGCCAACGTTTGTCTGTACCCCAAAAAAGGAACAGGCAAACAAATTGAAAATTAATTGCAGAATAATTTGCCTAAAAGTAGAACTCAGTTTTTGCCTCGTTTTTGGACTTTGTTGATTTTCCTGCCGGCCATTTGATCAAACAAATTAATTAGTATTTGTCTTGGGCCTTCTCCTATTTCTTGCTCCCTGCCGAAAAAAATGAAAATGTCGGGCACGTTGCAAGGACACTTGAGGACCCAAACAGCACGCCTCACTTGACAGGCCGATTGATGGATTTTGCCGAATGCCAATACCTGATTCTATGAAATATGCTTACCAATTTCTTTTCCAATTCAATGAAGTGTTCCCTATTGAAACATTAATGGCGACGGAAACAGGATTCGCCACATTTGTCCCTTGTTTTTGGCAAACGGAAATTAAATGTCTGACATTAATTTCTTTCTTGTTTTTCTCGTTTTCGGTCGACACATGTTGCTGCCATTCAAGGGAAAATTAGACCCATACACGATTGCATGTTTATGTTTATGTTGTGGTCGAGACGGCCACCGGAACAGCCTTCTATCCGCCAGAGTTTCAGGCACGTGCCTCTGGCTGGGACATAAGAAACCCATATAAACATATGAACATACGAGCATGGGAATTCTGCATTAGCAGATGTAACACAAAACAGGTCTCGCCCCATGAACTTTGGCATCTTGGAGCGGAGCGAGTGGCAATCTTGTAATGGCAAAGGTTCAAAGGGAAACTTTAACTAAGCGAAATGGGGAATAAAACTCATACGAGTTCATAACCATAGCAAAGTCTTCACTTTAATATGCTTGAGCAGGGAAAAATTTCAAGTAGGAAGCGCTTGACTTTTGAAATGTTTTGTTGTGTATTTTAAAAGAAGAATTACAACTTTTGACATTTTAAGCTGCTTACTTGCTCATAAGTTATTCATTAAGTAAAGCAATGAATTAATGAAAGCAATAATTGATTTTATCAGCTCTATTTATAAGCTGCTTACGATTTGTATTTGACGATTGTTATTTTAATATTTGATGTTAGTGGAAGCATATAGCTCTTAATATGATTTAAACAATATTAAATATTGATAATATATTTACTTGGGCTTGAATTTTTTAAAATATAAAAAAAAAACGTATTATTGTTTCTTTGAACTTTTGCTAGGGAAACTTATTGTCTTTGATGATCTTAACACAACCTCACAGACCATGACAAACAATTTTCGTTTTCTTGGTAATTCAATTAGATGTAATTCAAGTGGTATTTTGTCGAGGCATTTCTTGCTATAATATTTACAATATTAATTAATTGCCAGCTTGACTTACTTTGGCTGTGGGAACCTGTCGCTTTTGGTGGACGCCTGTCGGTGGAACCACAGGCGCTTGGACACCTTCACCCGCATCTTGAAGGGCCAGTGGTTCTTGCGCTTCTTGTGGATGCTGGGCACCCTGCCACTGCCACTGCCACTCCCACTGCCACGCCCACTGTGGCGCCGCGATATCGTGGTTGATGCGGCAGTGTGACCCACTGTGCCGGATTCCGTCGTCTTGCTGCTGTTGATGTTGTTGTTGCTTAAGTTGTTGTTGATGTTGTTGTTGTTGTTGCTGAGGGGCTGGTGGGTGGCAGTGGGCGGTGGGCTGGGCGCAGCGTGAACCCGAACGGGCGCAATTTTGACCGGTTTGGGAGCGTGTTAATTTAATAAGGACGACGATGACGTCTAGACGCGACTTTGACTTTAACTTGATGTTTTGATTAGTGTAAACCCTTATCTATTAATACTAATTATTATCGCAAATCACAAGTTTTTTGTTTAAAATACGCAGGTTTAGGCCTTTCTCTTGTACATCTTGATGTAGTATAGGGTTTTGTGCCTTCGCTTCATATAAACGAATCACGCATACGCAGTGTTGGCTCCTGGCGGTAAATAATTTGATGAATACAAAATTCCAGCTGCTCTCCCCGAAAAGTTCATGGTTGCGTCACGCAGGGCAGGGATTAATTATTCAGGGTCCAGAGTGACGAAAATAGTCGCCTGATAGACAGGGCTCGGCCGATGCCTAATTGGGAATCAATATTCGTTTAGTTTCCCATGGCCTCATTTCATCTATCAGCGAAATCAGTTGGCACATCAAAAACCGAATCGAAAGGGACGAAAGGGATGGTCACGTACGTCATCGAGTGCGGTTCATGGAGCACGTTCCATCGGTTGATTTCCGATGTGTTTACTATATGTTTTTATCCTCCCCGCATTAATTTCTATTTAATTATGGTGCTTGCTGCTAATTAGTCGGAGTTAATTTGCATACATTAAACAATTTAGAAAGGCGCGTAATTAAAAACCCTGCCCAGGCACATTTCAAATTATGGCAGGCCATCTGGGGGATTTGGCCGAAATGCGGGTCAAATGCAAAGCAGACACGTGTGAAGGTCTCACTTCGTTGAATGTTCTACGCAAAAAAAAAGTAAATAAAATGGTGCCCAAAATATCCTGTGCGTTAAGCGGAAATTGCCTTCAAAGATATGTCACCGTTTGGGGCCAGGATATTTATATATATTTGGCAAAAAATGTTTGCAGATACATAAATGTGTCAACAAGGTGGATAAGCCATCTCTGTTTGTGTTGGGCATGGAAAATACAAAACAATTTTAGAAAATTAGGCTCTAGGAATTTGCTTCCATTAAAAATATTAAAATATGTATTTCCATTTCGTTCAAAATTTTAAAGGAGTGAAACAATTTTGCTGTGTTTTCTCATGTTATTAAAATAAACTTTTATATTTGTACATCCATTAATTGATTTTAATCAAGTATAATTACGCGCTCAGAACCCATTTAACCCGAGGGCTAAATTCACAGAATTTTCCATGTTTTCACAGTAAAACTTTTCGCTTCCTGGCTAAGGGCCTAAAATTCCTTTGGCAAATTAACGCCACAAAAGTTTTTGGCATACAGAAGCCTCTAGCAATCACTTAAAATTTATTTGAGTTGTCCTTAAAAGCCAAGAGAAATTGGCTCGAGCTCATAAATGTTGCTCTAGCCTTTGGAGCAGGGGAAAAGTGACGGATAGGATATGTTTTGTTGGGACACGCATATCTAGACTGCTATGAATATTTAAAATGAGTGTCAAGAAAAGTTTGCAAAGCTTTAAAAACTAACATAAAAGCCAGACACGTTTGGGTTTGCATTTTTGTGTTGCCTACTTTTGTGGGCGCTCATCCAAATTACTTTCGGTTTCCGTTTTCATTTTCCCACAAGATGATGTTATACTGACGAATCAATTTGTCCTGATGACTATATTACTTTTTTGCGTGGCCTGTCAGTGGTCAATTATTGATTGGGTTGGGCCAGAAGGTGCGACCCCGAATATCATCCATAAATTATGAAATATTTGCCAGCCACTGATAGCCCAACATTTTGTAAAGGACCTGGTGGCATGCCATCGAGTTTGAATGTTTAATCACGATTTTGTAAATACCAGATGGGGTGCTTCCCACATAGAATATGCGTGGGTGAATCCTGGGGAATCCTTGGACTCATTTCCATACACGAACTGCAGTCACCAGACGCTAACCAATTACTCAGAAAGTCAGAAACAGAAGCAGACTAATTACCTACGCTTAATGCAAAGAAATTGCTCTTTCAGTATTTTTTTTTTTTTTTGGGGACCGCCTAATGAGCAAAATTATCTTGAGGTAATAAGAAACTGGAAATAGGATAGGGCCGAATGCCCGTGGAACAAAGAAAAAATTTCCATAATTAAATGTGCCTTTATCTTTTTTCCATCTCTCGCCGCTGCATTCGCAACCCTGAACTCCCAGGTAGAATTACTTGGTTTCTTTGTAAGAAAATTCTTACTTAACGATGAGCTCACTTTAAGTTAGTATATTATATATTTGAGTACGCGTTATTTGTGCATTCGGTGATTTGAGTTTTATTTAATTTATCTCCTTTGTTTGCCACTCGAACGCGTTTTGCGGACAAAGTCGCACGTCCGTTTCGAGCGAAAGTTGTAAACTGAATAAATCTGCGGGCTCGGTGCCGCGTTCCTAGTTATTTCAGCCGGTTACTGCCGATTCCGATGCCGATGCCGCTGCCTCTGCCTCTGCTACTGCTTCTGGCTCGGCCGATGCCATATAGCGGTATAGCTAAAGCCGCTGATACCGATACTTCGTGCGTCGCCGATGTCGCAGCTGTTTTCGGTTGAATGGCGCATTGAAAGCGCCCCGGCAATTGAATGGAACCCGTGGCTTTCAATAGCTGTTGAATGCCTCTGTTTTCGGGGGCTTTGTTGCCGCTGGAACTGGTCGAATTCCAGTGGCCAACAACTTGAACTTGAGGCTTTTAGGCTAGTTAGATTTGAAGGCGGCTGAAAATGCCTGTCTGTTTGTTTGTTTACTTAGGAAGAAAGTCCCTTTTGCCCCTAAGTATAATTGTTATTTGTAATAGAAATAATCTAATTAAAAATAACTTTAAGTTGATTTGGATTTAAGTCTGGTTGGGCACAAAACTGTTTTATTGCGGAACTAACTCATATCTAAATATAAATCTAATAATACTTCCCTTGGGATATCAAAAGATAGAGGGGAAACTCCCTTGCGTCCCTATTTGTTATACATATTAATTATTTACTTGTACACGATAAAATTAAAGGCATTTTCTAAGAGCACCAAAATTGTATGACTCTTAGATTATTTAGTGTTGATAAAAAATAATAAATATTTCTCATTTTACTGTTAAATTAAGCATCATGCAGGGCCAATGTTACTGATAAATTTGTGGTGATTCAACACTCCATTTAGTGCACAAAAACCCTGCCTAGTCATTTGTTTACACCGGCCTAAGCTTGCTAATTGAACCATCAGAATATAATAGAACTAATCAAGAGATTTATTGTTGTTGAGCTTTGGAAATCGTCCGCGAGCAACAAGTCGAGCAATTAGTACAAATTTAAAACACTTGTCATAAAACCTAAAAATAGTCATGCAAATAGCAACGAAGTTAGGCGAGAATCTCGCCGAAAGCTCTCGAGTCTTCCTCAAAACGAAAGTGAAATCTGCAAAAAAAAAAGCAGAAGCAGATTTATCAAATTTAAGGCCGACGCTTGTTTATTTATAGGCCAAAGATGATAAATCCCAGCGAGGCTTCCAATTCCAACTACACTCGTATAGACGACCACGCGCTTCGCTGATTTGCATGTGTGTTTGTGTGCCACATTTTACTGTGTGTTATGGGCAGACAAAAGGCGAATTTATCAAGCGGGCCATGCAAACAGCTTCTTCTGATGTGCCCCAGCTCAATCTTCTCGATTTCAACTCGAAATCCCAAAACCAAAACCCATGCCACTGACAATGAAACGAGAGGCAGGCAAACACACTCCAAGGAGCACAAAGTGAACTCGTGTATATTAGTTCTCGTCAGCAGCAGTTTGACGTTTGGGCGGCTTTAAAGCTTAATATTTACGCTCTTTTATTTCGCAATTTTCCTCACCCACATTCAATAGAACGATGATAATAATAATGCTGATGAACGGCCATATTCAGAATGAGACGCAATAGGTGTGTTCTCCGTACTTTTTCCAATAGTAATTCTGTCTTGGCTCAAGGTCTCCCAGGTTTATCCATCTGAACGATAAGGTGAGTTGGGTGTTGCCAATGCGAGATTAAGTGGGTTAAGTTTTATTCCACTTTTATACAGCTACTGGTGTTGGCTTGGTATGAATTAAATTCTACAACAGTAAATCCATTCCCATATGAACACCATTCAAGTTCAAGGAATTTAAATTATAACTTAATAACCCTCCGTTGCAAGGCGCAGAGTTTTGCCACTTTAATATTCCCTACCCCGCTGGGCTATTATTAAGTAAATCCCATATAATAATAACAACTTATACATAATTCATTTCCACTCAATTGTGTCGGCAAGGTTGGCCCCCAAAGAAATGTACATAGACACACATACTCGTACCTTGTATCTATGGTACATATATGCAAGCCGGAACTTTTACAGCCCCTAAGCTCATCCCTTGGCAACGGAAAACGGAAAAGTATTTACAGTTTGACAGAAAATGTGCGCGGAAAGCCCTCGGGTTGGGGAATAGGTATCGCCACTTTCCCTCGCCACCGGAACTACGACAAGTTTCCACAAAACAACACACATGTGGAACACCGCAAACCGCCTTACACCAAGTTCATGTCATCATGACGCCAAATAAACTTGGGTTTGATGGTTCTGCCGGGATCACGTGGTTCTGCCAAACAACTTTTCCAATGTGTGTCAGAATGTCGAAAATAATGGCCGGCCACATCAAAGTGTTCAGCTGTCAATGCCAAGGCCGTTAATCAGCCTTCAACTTTTCACTTCTAACCCTTTCTGAATGTCCGACTAATGGTCATAAACTATTGAATTTGTCTGAAGGCTTTAATCGATGTACAACAGGTAATTAAATGCTATCTTATGCATTAATGCAAATTAATGAGAACTTATATGCATACATCAGTTCCTGAATTCTTTTATTTGCCAAGACTCACTGAATACAACAAGTTAATAAAAAATAATTATGTAAATAACAAGTGCTTATATAATGGTGCTAGCTTCAGGTTTGCTTGTCAATAATATGTGATAGAATTATAGGGTGTCTTTTAAAACTAAAGAATATAATATAAACAAATGCACACAATAAAAAATATATTATATGAAAAAAAAATTATAGAACTATATGACCAGTTAGAATATTTAATGGTTTTTGTTTTTAATTCACCACACTCTGTAATTTATGAGTACCCCCTACATTACAACAAACTTAAACTGCGTTATAGTCCAGAGAACTCAGTGATTTACAATCTCAAGTTTTCCCTTTAATTGTTAATTAACAAGGCGGAACTTTTAATTGAAGACCAACTGTGGATGTAATTCTCATTACACTAGCTTTCCACTCCACTGATAATGCTCAGCTATTTGTGTGTGGGAGTGTGTGCATTAATTTGAATACGACACTTGTTTATAGCGCCATTAATTACGGAGCAGATGAGAGAGGGTAACTACATGGCTGGGATATGGTATGTGCTATATGGTATATGGTATCACGAACAGCTGCGGAGGCTGCTGAATCACGTATTTGCCAACGGAAATCGAGAACTATAAATATAATGCGAAGCAAGTCAATATTCATTCTCCATTGTTTATTAATAATATTTTCCCAGTCTCTTTGTACTTTAGCTAATTCACACGTGTCCAAGGTATTACATTGGTAATTATCCACAAAGCAATATCGAATGATAGTTCCCAGAAGCGAAATGCTGAAACAAAAGATTGGCTCAAGTTGGAAATGTGTCTATGCCAACTATTCTAAGAATTATTTCCGCGAAATCAGAAGGCTTGTGTCTAGAACAACAAAAGCTGGATGTCATTGAGTAATTGAAGTGTGAGTTGTAACCGCAATCTAAGCAGAACACTCGTGTTAGAAAAATCCCCATCAAAACACAAACAAGACTTATTTCAATCCAGAATAAATTTCAATATATTTTATTGAAAAACAAAGAAAAATTACCAAGTTCTGAGAAACCACATACATCACTCAGCTGGATTTGTCCTATTGTTTTTTCAACAAATTAGTGTTAATACCCAAATACAAATTATTTATTTAGGAAGGCGGACCAATATCATTGTGTTGCCTAACTAAAAAACAAACACATTGTAATCAATCTTAATGGAAGGCATCTGTTGCGATTCCCAGCGACTTAAATTCCATAAAATCTCGACCAAATTGATTTCTTTCAAAAAAACAAACAAAAGCGTTATTAAGAAGCTTAGCGGGACATTAAAAGGAAAGTTTTCGGGGCCACCATCTCCTTGACCACAATTAAATGTCAGGCTAATGAGAAAACGGAAGCGAACAAATAAACAAACAGCAAAGGAGCCCCCTGGGCGTATACTTAATATAGAAATAAGCTGGCCACCCGGGGCGTATACTTGATTCGCCTTGTTGCTTACGATTTGCTTCGTTGCTTTGCATTCAGATGCAGCCAACTGATGATCTCCTGCAGCTTCGAGTGCCGCTCCTCATCCTCGTCCTGGTCGTCGTCCTCGTCGCCGGGTTGCAAGTGGTACGGATCCTGAGAGTGGTCGGTTATCATGAAGGTGGGTTTACTGTATCCATAGGGCGATGTCATTTCTGCTCACAAACCAGCAAAAAAAAACCAACACAATTCTTGCGAAATTTCGTACACTTGTCACATCTTTATTGGCCTTCGGGGCGGGACAAAAGGCGGACTTAGTCTAAGTCAATTTCCAATTTTCACTTTATTCCTTGACGCAAATTAATTAAAATTCAGTCAGTCGTTTGGGGCTGACTTTCCCGGTCGCGGCTGCCATAAAACTGCTGGCAGGCCACTCTCCACATAGCGGACCCGTCGGGTCACCACCTCCTCCTCCGCCATTCCCTCGTGGCCATTTGCTCGAGAACTTGAAATACAATTTACCTATGGAACGAGCGCTGTTTGGAAAGCGTGGAAAGCGCAGCAGCAGCAGCAGCCGCGGCAGAGAAAATAAACAGCAACAACCACCCGAGGAAATCCCTTGTTGCTATTCTATTTTGTCTTGTTCTCATTTATTGACCAGCGTTTGTCTTTCTATATACTGTATACGCATTATATACACACTCATATGCGGATGTACTGGCCAACATTGAACTTGGCAATGGCCAGTCTCAAGAATTATTTACGATTGTTTGTGCTTTTCTCACCAAGGTGCATTTAAAATAGGTGTTAAAATCACCAATTGTAAAATTAATTTTCTATTCTCCATTAAACGCTTGATTAATTTTTACAATTTCCCCCACTTTGTATTCATAAATAAATCTAAAATTAGTTTATTTTTCACGACACTACATATGCAACCTTGAGAGGCCCCCAAATTTTTGTTAATATCCATCAGTCCAGCCAAGATTTTTCAGAGCACGAGCCAATGCATACGTACTTCCAATATTTGTTGTATATTTTTATACATTTGCCAATCACAAATAAACTCTTAGATATAGATATTCTTACGATGTATGCCGAAACACGTTAAAGACATCAAGAGAATGTAAAAGGGCAACACCTACAGTAAAACTCACACAAAATAACGATAGATTCGAGGTGAAAAACACGTTTTCCTTTAGTTGCTATAATAAAATGTTTTTAAATAGGGACTTGGGGGGTCAATATGGAGGGAGAGACTCTCAGTGCCATTCGAAGATGACGTGAGCCACGAGTAAATAAACACTCATCAAGGTGATTTGTCCCAGCATCATGGGAAAAACGGTCCTTAAATATCGAGTGAAGGACAGCTTATAGCCGTGTTGCTCGGCAATTCCGGCTGCAATGACATTGGCCGAAGCTCCGTAAAGGGTTCCATTTCCACCCATCGAAGCTCCCAGGGTTAAAGCCCAAACTAGAGGTTGAAGCGGTAATCCCAGCGAGGGTTTCACCACCAGTGAGGTGACCAACTTCACCATCATTGCGGCCACCGGAATACTATCTAGTATCGAGGATGCTAGTGCAGACATCCACAATATCATGAAGATGGCCATGGCCAGGCGATGGTTTTTGCCCACCGAAAGGATGACATGTTCGGTGAGTTCGCCGATGCAGGAGAAGATTCCCAGCCGCTCCACACACTCCATCATCACGAACATTGCTGCAAAGAAGAGGAGAGTGGTCCATTCGATGCGGTGCATCAGGTGCTCCATGTCATCGCGATTCAGGATGATGAGCAGCAGGATAACACCAAGTAGAGCCACCCAACCCAGGGGAAGAGTCCTCCAATGTGGCACAGATTGAATGAAGAAGCAGATTAGAACGAAAGTCAGGGCTCCAGCGGATTGCAATAGCAGAGTCTTGTTCTTGATGGGATACTGAAATGGGATTACTCGTTATCAAATATTTTTTACGGTTTCTATAATTCTAACCTTTTGCTTAAGCTCATCCAGGGTATTTGTATAGACCTCCGAGGATCCCACACCTTTTTGCAATCTTCTTAGAGTCCTTTTCAGCTGCTTAACTTTGCCCAAAAGGGTTCCCCTCACCAACTGAGCATCCTTGGAGCAGGAAGCCACGGCATTTAAGGCCCTCTGCCACACCTTGATTTCCCTTCTTAATTCACTCATCTCTTTGGGTTCATTTAAGCGCAGTGCATCGATATTGTGATAGAAAAGGCGTAGATATATGCAACTTTGGATAACAGATAACAGAACTCCCGGAAAAGTGTGAGCCACAAAGGTGGGAAAGGTAACATCCTGAAATGGGAAATGTAGTATTTTATAACTCTTAAGAATAATGATTAATCATACTCACATTATCCACAATAAAGTGATTAGTGCTGACTATAATGCTGATGGGATCACCGATGGGTGTAAGGGCTCCTCCGATATTGGCATGTACTATAAGGCCCATAACCACAGGCAGTGGATCCAACTGCATCACCTCGCACAATCGAATGGCCACTGGAGTTAAGAGCAGCACTGTAGTCATATTATCCAGAACACTCGAAACCAAACAGGTGACCAAACAGAGACTATAAATCATGGGCCAAATCTTGCCACCCGAAATCTCAAAACAGAATACTGCCAGATAGTCAAAAACACCAGTTTCTGTGAGAATCAAAATTAAAAGCATCATGCAAAAGAGCAGAGTCAGTAGCTCCATGTCCATCCATTGGATAATCTCATCCATATTGGGACGATCTGAAAGGGTAGATATTCAAATATTTACAAGTTAATGTACTTTATTATTCAACCCACCATTAAAGCAGGCAAGAGCTGTCACCGAAAGAATAGAACAAATCATGGCCACAAAGGTTCTTTCGAATAATTCCCACACCAGCAAGGCATAAAATATTAGCAGGATCAAACCAGCTAAGATACTGCCCGTCCTGGCATTTACTATCAAGGGATTGTAGTTCAGAATTATCGCCAAATCTGTCTCCACATCGCTGTAAATATGCAATCGAAATTCGCTATCGTCTTCGGAAAGAATATCGCTCAATTCCTGGGTCATCTGATAGGTGCGATTACTGGCTGAAGCTGGAGAGCGTTCCAAATCCTCCTCGGATAGCAGAGGTAGTCGCCAAGCTGGGAGAACGTCCTTAAAAAAAATTTTTATAGGTTATATAGGTTACTTAAAATAATAAAAATCAGAAGACACCAAAACTGTTTGCAAGCTTAAAAATCATGATAAATCATTTCGATAACAGCGTGTCAAGTTATTTAATAAGTAAGACTTTTCCCTCAGATTAGGTAATACACCCACCTGGAACACCTTGGTGTGATTCTCGCCAAAGTAAGTGGACACCTGCGGCTGCACAGTCAGAAATCCGAAGCTCGAAGTCTCATTTTCAGGGGCATCCAGCGTGGAGATCTCCCTAAAAGCGCCATGGATCTTCAAGCGAAAGTCGCCCGTGGGCTTTTGCAACAACTTAAAAACTTAACAAAAAATTATAGTTCAAATATATTTACTTACAAACTCTATGAAATAAACTTACATTTTCCCCGTTCGCCCTGTGGCACTTCGATGGTTTTCTCCAGCAAGTGCTTCTCACCCACCGAAATCAGCACCACTGCAGCAAGAAGCCAAAAGAGAAGCAGACCACCTCGTTTCCACAACTTATCCCGTTGGCGCTGCTCCTTGGAACGCTTGGACTTGTGATGGATACGGCGGGCCTGGGATTTGGCATTTCCGGGACCATTGACAGGATCGTGGTCGGAATGGGTGGTGGCCTCGTCATCGGTGGCGTTTTCATCGCCTGGCCGCATCTTGATGTCCAGGAAATCGGAGCCAGCATAACTGGAGCCCGGCTCGTCCTGTATTCGAGCGGCATTACCCCTGTCAATCTCGTCATATCCTTCCTCATCCTCTTCCTCGTCACTGGCTCCTGCGGAGGAACCTACAAGTGGATGTGGGTGGCATTCAAATAATTAATGAGCTCGATTTGGTCTGGCCTCGGAAATGGGCCGACACTTGTGCGATGTTTGACAGTTTATTGATTTAAATGCTATAGATTTGTGTAAACTGGGTAAGCACTTGGGGAAATATAGGGTATTTAACATGAATTTAAGAATATTAGTTATATTAATCATAGATATTACAATCCATTTTAGAGTTCATTGTAATTGGTTTATTCATAAAATTCAGATATACTTAAATCTTTCTCATAATTTATTTTCCTATTTGTTTCTGAAGACTCACCGTGAATCCGGTCGTTCTCCATTTGAAAACTGGCCATGCTGGGATCGTGGCGAATTTCGGCGGGCAGTGCGCGCCATACCTGTAAGGACTGCTCGGTTACCTGGACGGCACCCACCTGGTTGTTGTGACATCCGCCCCTCGGACTCCTGTGCTGCAACTCAATGCTGCACTTTTCCCGGCCGGGACTCTCCGGCCGTAGATTTCGGAAGGTCTCCCGCAGACCCATTGTCTCACAAGCAATCAGGTGGCAAGGGAAATTCCGGGTGGCAAAACCTGAGAGCTTTTCCAGAGAACGCGGCTATCGACGTCAGCGAGGTACAGTAGCGGACATCTTTGCCGCACACGAGGCACAATGCGACTGAACGGAATCCCAGCGTACGAATATAAATCCGAGTCGTTTGCGGGGTTTCGGTTTCCATTCAGCCGCCGGCGCTGCTTTCAATATTGAAAGGAAAAACGCCCCCCGACCTTCAGTTCGTCGGGGCTTTATAGTCGCCGATTTCCAGGACGGCGCAAGCGCCAAGATGTTGTTGCGGATTCCCATGTTTTGCTCGCCTTATTCGGCGGCAGTCGCGATTCCCATCAACAAGTTTGCATTCTTCACTCCCACGATTGTCGACACATTCCCAGGCTATCACTTATTCAAACGTATTTACTTGACCCATAAATTTCTGCCACCCACGCTTTTTAATGCACTCAATTGCCATGTAGTCCGTGTCATTTTATTCCTGACTGAAGTTCCAGATGAAGATGTTACCCATACACTTTCCAAAACCATATGGGTGCTTTGCATACTTTTTGGGCTTTTAAGAAAATAAAAAGTCATATACAAACATATATCTACTGTTACAATACGGATTTTAATTCAAAACAGCTTCCATTTTGGCAATAATTTTAACGCATCCATTTCCTATATTTTTTGGAATGCTCTCTTCTTTTTGCGTAAATTTGTACGAGAAAAAAACATAATAAAATTGCATTTAAAGTTTTGCGACAATCTTCGAATTTGCATCCTGCATCGAATTTAAACTTTGGGTTGATTAAACATTTTTGTATGCACAAGAAACGTGCCGAAAACGGCTGTTTTAGTGAGCTTGCCCAAACATAAAAGCGAACCTGTTTACACAACTTTTGCCCTATTTATAAAAAGTTAAATGCACAAAAGAAATATTTGCACACATGTAAGGGTTTGAGCAAACTGAATTTCGGGAGAATTCAAGGCTATAAAAGTCGTACGCAGTGTACCCTCCAAAACACTATCAACGCTTGCTGCGCGGAGTAACAAAATGAAGTTAGCCTTGATCTGCATAACTGGTAAATACAATCCGTAAGATCGTTGTATGAAATTAATTCCCTTTGTTTAGTGAGCATTTTGCTCCTACAGTTTGTGGAGGTTAAAGCACAATCAGATTGCGTAGATCTTGGAGACGGTCCCGTGGAGGAAATAATTCCAGGAGATGGAGGAGACACTATCTGGGATCCTCCTCCGATGGATCCCTGTGAGTGTGAAGAAAATCAGGGTACAACTAGAAGAACTAGAACAACTAGGAGAACCACGAGAAGAACGACAAGACGAACCACCAGGAGATCCACAAGACCCACAAGATCCACAACGACCACTCCGGCCGCCACGGATTCAACAGATGCGCCAGTAACGTGTACCCCACCGACGAGCACTTTGGATACATCCACCGACACAACTACAGTGACCACCACCGACACAACAACCCCATTGTGTACTGACACCACTACAGTACCAACATGTGCTCCGACGACTACCGCTCCGAGCTGCACAATAACACCATCCACATGTGCGCCAACAACGACATCTTCTACATGTGCCCCAACAACAACACCTTCTACTTGTGCTCCAACAACAACACCTTCTACTTGTGCCCCAACAACACCCACTCCAACCACTTGCAGTGTAGAAACTTCGACAGCACCGCCTTGTTCGTGTACCGCAGAAACTTCAACTGCAGGACCAACATGTGGTCCGACGACCACTCCGAGCTGCACAAGAACATCTACTTGTGCCCCAACGACAACACCATCCACTTGTGCCCCAACCACAACACCTTCCACCTGTGCGCCTACGACTACCACTTCAAGGTGTACACCAACTCCATCAACTTGTGCTCCAACAACAACACCTTCTACTTGTGCCCCAACAACAACCACAGAAAGGTGTACGACAACACCTTCCACTTGTGCCCCAACAACAACACCTTCCACTTGTGCGCCTACGACGACCACTTCAAGGTGTACACCAACTCCATCAACTTGTGCTCCAACAACAACACCTTCTACTTGTGCCCCAACAACAACCACAGAAAGATGTACGACAACACCTTCCACATGTGCCCCAACAACAACACCTTCCACTTGTGCGCCTACGACGACCACTTCAAGGTGTACACCAACTCCATCAACTTGTGCGCCAAAAACAACACCTTCTACTTGTGCCCCAACAACAACCACAGAAAGGTGTACGGCAACACCTTCCACTTGTGCACCAACAACAACATCAACAAGGTGTACGACAACACCTTCTACTTGTGCCCCAACAACAATACCTTCCACTTGTGCGCCTACGACTACCACTTCAAGGTGTACACCAACTCCATCAACTTGTGCTCCAACAACAACACCTTCTACTTGTGCCCCAATAACAACCACAGAAAGGTGTACGACAACAACTTCCACTTGTGCCCCAACAACAGCACCTTCCACTTGTGCACCAACAACAACCTCAACAAGGTGTACGACAACACCTTCTACTTGTGCTCCAACAACAACCACAGAAAGGTGTACGACAACACCTTCCACTTGTGCCCCAACAACAACACCTTCCACTTGTGCGCCTACGACTACCACTTCAAGGTGTACAACAACTCCATCAACCTGTGCACCAACCACAACCCCATCTACTTGTGCCCCACCTACAACCACTCCTAGGTGTACGACAACACCTTCGACTTGTGCCCCAACAACAACATCTTCAACTTGTGCAACGACAACAACCACACCTAGGTGCACAACAACACCTTCCACTTCTGCGCCTACTACTACCACTCCAAAGTGTACAACAACTCCATCGACCTGTGCACCAACAACAACGCCATCCACTTGTGCCCCACCAACAACAACACCAAGATGTACGACAACACCTTCTACCTGTGCCCCAACAACAACACCTTCAACTTGTGCAACGACAACAACCACACCTAGGTGCACAACAACACCTTCCACTTGTGCGCCTACTACTACCACTCCAAGGTGTACAACAACTCCATCAACCTGTGCACCAACAACAACGCCATCCACTTGTGCCCCACCAACAACAACACCAAGATGTACGACAACACCTTCCACTTGTGCCCCAACAACAACACCATCAACTTGTGCACCAACCACAACAACACCGGGGTGTACGCCAACACCGTCTACATGTGCCCCAACCACAACACCTTCAACTTGTGCAACGACAACAACCACACCTAGGTGCACAACAACACCTTCCACTTGTGCGCCTACTACTACCACTCCAAGGTGTACAACAACTCCATCAACCTGTGCACCAACAACAACGCCATCCACTTGTGCCCCACCAACAACAACACCAAGATGTACGACAACACCTTCCACTTGTGCCCCAACAACAACACCATCAACTTGTGCACCAACCACAACAACACCGGGGTGTACGCCAACACCGTCTACATGTGCCCCAACCACAACACCTTCTACTTGTGCAACAACAACAACCACACCGAGGTGTACGCCAACACCCTCTACATGTGCCCCAACCACAACACCTTCAACTTGTGCAACGACAACAACCACACCTAGGTGCACAACAACACCTTCCACTTGTGCGCCTACTACTACCACTCCAAGGTGTACAACAACTCCATCAACCTGTGCACCAACAACAACGCCATCCACTTGTGCCCCACCAACAACAACACCAAGATGTACGACAACACCTTCCACTTGTGCCCCAACAACAACACCATCAACTTGTGCACCAACCACAACAACACCGGGGTGTACGCCAACACCGTCTACATGTGCCCCAACCACAACATCTTCTACTTGTGCAACAACAACAACCACACCGAGGTGTACGCCAACACCCTCTACATGTGCCCCAACCACAACACCTTCTACTTGTGCCCCAACAACAACCACTCCTAGGTGCACAACAACACCGTCCACTTGTGCACCAACAACAACCACTCCAAGTTGTACGACAACACCATCAACTTGTGACCCAACGACAACACCATCCACTTGTGCTCCAATAACAACCACTCCGAGCTGCACGACTACACCGGCTACCTGTGCTCCATCAACAACGCCCACAAGCCCTCCACAAACTACTACAACAAGTTGCACAACGACTGCACCGACCACGCCCACAACAACTAGGACAACACCCACTCCTATGACCACAACGCGAACACCTTGTCCGTGCCGTACCCCACCTCCTAGCCAGATTCCACCGTGGTCCTGGTGGTATCCCTTCCCCTCTTATCCCAACCCCGTGTGGCCCTGGCAACCCAATCCTAATGTCCCGCAATGGCCACAGATCCCAGGACTTCCCAATTCACAGTGGCCGGCTCCGATGCCATCTCCTCAGTGGCCCTGGCCATGGACAAGACCCCCCAGTTGTGACTCCTACTGAGTGCGAATGTGAAAACATTTGCGAAAACCTTTTGAAGGGAGTGAAGTACCAGGAGGATCTCATCAGAAGGTGCTTATGTCCACGACCATAAATTTACAATAGTATACCATGTTAGTTTACTTATCAAATTGTTACATTGTTCTTGTTTTAATAAAGTGTTTTAAAATGTAGAAATACTTTTGAATATTTCTGTTGCAAAATATAGATTTCTATTAGCGACATAACTTACTGATAATAAAATCAAATTGAGAAACAAAAAGATATTTTTTATTTTTATACGAAAAACAGTTTTAATTCTCTGTGCTGTTGATTTCTAGATCGGCGCAGGCGCCTAAACGGTCTTGTGAATTCCCGTGTTTTGGTCGCCTCTTTCGCTGGACAACAAAAGCTTGGGTGCCATTCATCAACAAGTTTCCATTTTTCACTCCACCCCTTATCAGCACTGGGCCAGTTTATTACTTATTTAAACGCAGTCACTTGACCTATTATTTTCTGACGCCAACGCGTTCGTTTGCACTCCACATATTGCTCATGCGACATGCGGTCGCACTACATATTAAAATAATAAAGAGCTAGTAAAAATACGAACAGTTGAACAGCTTTAATGACCAATTGTCCAGGGGATTAAGGAGCTTGTGTTGGTTTACCTGTCTGTGAAGAAAAGTGGATTGGGATAAGAAATTAATGGATCCTATCGAATTCTGATGAAAAAAAAATTCCTGAGGCCATAACTTTTTTAAAAGTATTTCGTCCTTTTCATAAAAAACTGAATTCAAAATTTACAATTTACAATGGCCTCTTAACATTTGTAACCTAAAGTCGGCTAAACAAGCTGAAATAAAAATGTTCGATTTTTCGATGGTTCATTTTTTAACCGCTGTTAATTTTAATTTTGTCAAGTAAAAAAAAAGTACTAAAGAGTATACCAAGCTCAATAAGCAATTATTACTCCTCAATAGAGGCAAGCTATATTTTGCTGGTAATTTATCAAAATCTAGATCATTATCCTGCTGATGGATTATGTTTCGGGTCGATTAGTACCCAATTTCTATGGGACCACGTCCCCCAATAAGGTTCGTCCTTCGTTCAGGTGAGCTTGCACATTTTCCACACAATGAGCAGATGGTAATGGGTGGCTTTTTGTTGTTTTTAGTTAACTTGTTAATACAAATACACAGTGTGCCAATTCAGAAATCCAACAAACCATGGTGGACACACCAGCAAAAAGTGCTAGTAAAGCAAATAACAAGTTGTTGACACACAGGAAGTCATTGGGATGGACCTTAAAATTATCAATAAAAAATAATTAAGAGTAATGGTAAACTTCTTAAATCAGCATATATTTTTAACCATATATACGAGCATCATAAAATGTATGTGAGGTGATCCAAAACTATTAAGAAAACACAGATGTCTGACCGTAAAGAAAAAAAATTAAGCAGGGGATATATTTCACAGAAGTTTTATATAAATCAAAAAAGTTCCGTGATAGAGTCCACTCCAAGGGAAACACACGTGCTAACACTAAAGTCCTGCCACCCACCTTCCCAAATGGGTCGGGGGTGGATTTGGTATAGTCCTGTTCACTGGCTAGCGCGCAAAAAATAATTTTGTTATTGTGTTTTCCCTCATAAGTGGACATGAAGGACCCAACGAAAGCTCATTCAGCGCTGGACAGGCGAACTGGAAAGGTGCGAGGCGGAAGATGTCATCGCCGGATGAGCGGACAACCTTCGTGCGGAACTTCGGACCGAGAACCTGAGCGATGGGCTGCGGCTCCTCGATGGATACGCAGACGAATCCTGTTGTCACGGAGGTCAGCTCTGAAATGCAAGCTCGCCAGAATGGCGCTGCTGGAGTACTGGTAATGGTGAAAGTTCCTTTCGGCCTTCTGCCTTAAATCAATACCTTTTCCAATTTCCCCATCAGAACATTGTCGAGCAGTACGTGCGTTTGGACGAGCAGATCAGCAAACTGGAGGGCACTTGTCCCGGTCCGCGGATGGCCACCGCCGAAGCCTGGGTGGAGCACCTTCAAGGCAAACACGAGGCGATGCTGGGTCTTGAGGGCATGGGAGTGGCTCCGCTGCGGATTAAGGAGCGGGAAACGGAGGAAAATTACATATTAGGCCGGCAGGGCGACCCGATTGTGGCCAACACACCCACTAAGGACCTGGCCCAGGTTAATGACCTGCCATTAGCGCATGTGATGAAATTTCCTCGAAGTATATTATTAACTTCCGTTCTTAGCTTGCCTACAATTTGGGTGTAATTGGCGATGCCCGCAAGGCTTCCATGCACGAGGATTTCTTTGCCAACCTGAGCGAGTCCGCGATGTATTTGCTAAGCATTCGTTACTACGGTGAGCTACTGGAGTACACCAAGGGGCGTCTGAAGACTCTGGTCGAGAGCTATGCGGAGTTGAACGAGCTTTACGTAAAGCAAGACGGGATTATCGCCTATATTAGCGGGGGAACGTACATGACCCGGCTGGAGGAGAGAATTGATGAGCAGCTGGAGACGGCCAAAGATACAAGAGATAAGCTGGGCAGTGCCCTGGAGCAGTGGCGGATCTGTGGATTGCTGCTAAGAGCTGCTGCCAACTCCTCCACACAGGCAATAAAACAGTGGCGGCAGCTCGGCAGGATGATGTGGGTATTATAGATAAAGTTTGCAGTATGCGTTGACAAATCCTGTTGTAATTCCTTTTAGAGATCCCAAACAAAAGCTGCAATGGGCTTTGGACTGCCGAAGTCTGTTGCATGCCAGCATGATATCCCTGGAGGCAGCTCAGCTAGCTTTGCCGCACGTGGAACTGAAGTACATGAGTCATCGCCAAGTCCTAGCCGTCAAGCACTGTAATACCTATTTAATCACAGACATAGCCAACAAGGCGCGGTGAGTCAACGTTTCAATTTTCTGTTCTCTCTTGTTTCAAACAAATCCTTTTAGGTACGAACACACCAGCCGCGTCTTCACCAGCTACGAATCCAACATGTCGAAGACCTGCACTTGGCTCTATGAAACCTTTAACAGCACTCTGCGCCTCGACTTTGATAAAGCCGAGGAGAATGTATGCAGGTTATCTAAAACGCTACGGGATCATCGCGAGGAGGTGTTCAGCACAGTGCGCAAATGACAAAAACCCAATTTGCTCAACCGTCTGTGTTTTTTGTACATTACTTTAATAAACAATAGGCATAACATTAATACCAATAGCTCTTGGCGGGCGTGCGTTCCTCCTTGATGCCCATTTCCTCCATAATGTCCATCTCAAAGGTGGACAACTTGGGTTGGAAGGTGATCTCACCCACCACAGCTCCTGAAAAATGCAGACAATTATTTTTAGAATTGTTATATTTATATGTACTGCACTGAAATACCTGGTGTATCCTTTTCCCTTTCGATATAAGCATTTGGCGTTTTGTAGTCGTGGGTTTGGTTGTTTGTTTCTGGTACTGGGATGATTCTGCCCGATCGCAAAGAAACGCGCACCTTTTCGCCCTCCTCCGTAAAGCGCCATTCAAAATCTGTGCCCTGCAGATCGGAGGGATCAACAAGACGAATATCCTTGGTTACGTTCAACGGTGACTCGGACTTAATTATGATGCCGGGGAACTCCTTTTCACCGCCCACCTTTCGGTAGTGCCAGTTGAGGCCCTCCACAATGACCCAGTTACGCTCGGGAATCACTTGGGTGACAATACCCTGTTTGCCCTTATCCTTGCCAACCAGAACCTCGATGCGGTCGCCGCGGAAGAAGCTCCACTCCTCTAAATTGATAATAGAAAGAGATTAAAAAGGTTATATGATATTTAACTAGATTGTCTACACACCAATTGGTTCCACGAGGACCTTGCGACGCACTGTTCCGGGCATATTTTGTTGCCGAAATTGTCCCGTCCATGGGCGGTTAGTGGTGTAGCGGAAACGCTTGCGTTCCACTGTCCGGGGCAGGTAATTAAGCTCCTTAGGAGTTTGCCAGTACACCTATTAAATATAAATGAAAACATTAAAGTTTATTTATGCGAAGACACTACCAGGCAATCTGTTACGTGAGCCTCTTTGAACAAAAGTTTTTCAATGAAAATAGTTTTCTCCTATTACCTGCTTTTTGCTGCGCTCGATGTATTCCTTAGGCAAATTGGAAAAGTTCTTTAATTTACTGGCTAAAAACTGGGTTATACGCATTGTGTAAGCTTAATTAAACAACTAACAAAATCTAAAGAAATTAAATGCGGCTTGCAATCAGCTGTTTTAAGTTGAAGAAGAGCCATTCACAGCGAAGCCATTGTATGGGTTTTGTGGCGCACTTTAGATATAAGAATTCATTTTAAATTAAATTTTTAAATAAATTTAAAATGAATTATAATTTATATAAAATACCTCCAAAGCATAGTTTTTAAAGTTTTTAAAATATTTATATGTATTTTATTACTATGATTTACAAGTCGCGAATAACTGATGCCATTCGCTGTTACTGACAAACCTCCAAAGAAGAAGCAGCTGTTATTTGTGCTCTTGTGTTTTTTATCGCTTGTCGCAGCCCTAAATTGCAATGCAAACCGGCTTATTATAAACAAAAGGTAAGTGCTAGACCATATAAATGTGGGCACGTGCAGGCGCAGCTCCATTGGAAATCGCACTCGCGAACGGGGAGCGTCTCTTCTGAGCAGCTTCATCCATATTCATTCCATCCGAGAAGGGGCAGCGCATCGCTTAGTCATATCCATATCGCCGCACACGCACACACACCCTGATAACACAGTTCCTGCCCAGCCATAAGTTCTTCAAATAACAAGACAATATGTCCCACCACATAGATATGGAAGACCACAACGATCCGGAGCCCGTGCTCCACTCCAAGCACGCCAAGAACCTGCTGCGATTTCTAAATCTCCTGCCGGCTCGCATGGCCTCGCATGATAACACCAGGTGAGAGAGTCCTTCCATTGTCCTTTTCGGTCTCTAAACCATATTCTTTAATCTACCAGGAGCACCATTGTGTTCTTTGCCGTTTGCGGTCTGGATGTGCTCAACTCCCTACATTTGGTGCCCCCAAAAATGAGACAGGACATCATCGACTGGATCTACGGCGGATTAGTAGTGCCACGCGACAACGAGAAGAATTGCGGCGGTTTCATGGTAAGCATAAATTCACGCCCGTCAGGTGAACAAACAGCCTGTTGGCAAACCAAACAGAATCGTCTTCCCACTTACATTTCTTATCTTTCTACGTGGCCAGGCAGCAGACACTGCGGCAGACCTTGTCGCAATTCCTAGTCTATTTGTTCGTCCAGCAAGCTGAGACGCAAGCATTCATATTCCTCAAAAGTCATTTAAGAAGCTTGTTGTCGCAAAGAACTATATTGCAGCAAATTAAAACTAAGCATAAATAACAGCGATTTTCTTATCTTTAAATTCTGAACCAATTACAATTTTTAATTCGATATGCCACGTTTATTATGCCGTCACAATCCATATATCAAGCTACCTGACTGGGCATACAACAGCTGCAGATTTAATGGCACTATAGATTAAAAACAAATTCGCTTTCTTTAAAACGACTGCAAGATCAAATATATACAGATTTTTTCCATAAAAGTCTTTGACGCCAATTAAAAAGTTTTCGTAAACAACACTTCTTAGTTCCTCTTTTAACGTTAAAATCAAGGGACAAATAATTACAGTTCATACAATTTTATAAGAACGACCTCTACTGTTTAAATATGCATAATTGAAGGGGAGCTCTCCATTTGCGCAGCAGCTCGATTTACACAGAACTCCCCCCGCTCCACATGCACCTTGATTTTATCGCGCTACGTTTTATCAGCGACGCTAGCAACATGCAAAACCACTTTTAGATAGACAGATCAATTAATTGAACTCTTTGCAGGGCTGCCGCGCCATGGTTCCTAAAAGTGAGAACGCCGAGATCTTGGAGTGCATGCGGAAGTATCAATGGGGCCACCTGGCGATGACGTACACCAGCCTGGCAGTTCTGGTTACCTTGGGCGACGATCTGTCCCGCTTGGATCGCAAGAGTATTGTAGACGGAGTGGCTGCAGTTCAGAAGGCGGAGGGCAGCTTTAGCGCCTGCATCGATGGCAGCGAGGATGACATGCGTTTCGTTTACTGCGCTGCCACTATCTGTTACATGCTGGACTACTGGGGCGACGTGAATAAGGAGACAATGTATCAGTTTATCCTTCGGAGCCTGCGTTACGATTACGGCTTCAGCCAAGAGCTGGAGGGCGAAGCTCATGGCGGCACAACATTTTGTGCGTTGGCCGCATTACATCTCAGTGGGCAGCTGCATCGTCTGGATGCCGCGACGGTGGAGCGGATGAAGCGCTGGCTAATATTCCGTCAAATGGATGGATTCCAGGGACGGCCAAACAAGCCAGTCGACACCTGTTACTCTTTCTGGATTGGTGCCTCACTATGCATTCTGGACAGCTTTGAGTTAACCGACTACGCCAAGACCCGGGAGTACATTCTGAGCACACAGGACAATTTAGTCGGAGGCTTTGCCAAGTGGCCACAGGCCACTCCTGATCCTTTCCACACTTACTTGGGCCTCTGCGGTCTGGCCTTCACCGGAGAGCCCGGCTTGAGTCCCGTGAATCCCAGTTTAAATATGTCTATGGCCGCCTACGCCCACTTGCAGCACCTCCACGAACAGTGGCGCTCTGAAGCTGGACGGGGCGACGAACACCTCGGTTTGAGTTCCGCCCTCAATCAGCAATTAAGACTAGTGAAGGATGGCGAAGCGAAATCCACCACTGCGACTACCTCTAACTCGCCATTGATTCCGGCACAATGATGGGAATCCGCACAAAGTTCTTGGGATTGTTAAAGCACACTATTGTATTTGTAATGGCCGTATTTTAGCCACGCTTTTTATATGTATTTTAATGTGAAAAGCACGAGCTTTTGGAGAGAGAGGTTACTATATAAGTATGTTTATTGTACAGCCTAAATTAATGTTAACAAAATGTGTAATATTAAGCTTAAAGGTAAATTAAAGCGTCCCATGCTGAGGCATGTATTTACAGCTTAAACATTGGTTAGCCTCGGAAGCCTCCTTGGTATAATTATGCATAATTTATGCATATTGGGTATGTTGGTCCGCAATCAAACCTGCAGGAACAGGCGGTGGTGCTGCACGGTCGGCATATAGCCCATGCCCGGTCGGTCGATGTGGACACGTCCACGGAGTGGAGCCAAAACACGTTCCGTGACGAGTGGACATCGCTGCACCATCAGGGACTGCAGAAGTGGACAACTCTGAGTGAGGGCGCTGCGAAAGAGGAGGGAACGGAGAATGGGGGCTAGTAAACAAGGAAATCGCTAGGATAAAAGTCGTTGAGGTTGTACGCGTTGTGTCCCACATCCTGCTGCGGCCTGTCGATGTAGAGGCGCCGCTGACGTAGCGGCGCCAGGGAGCGTTCCGTGATCCGCGGACAGCGACGAATGAGCAGGGTTCGGAGGCGCGGACAGTGCACTGACAAAGCGCTGAAAAATACGCAGATGCGGTTGCAGATGCAGATTTGTTTCTCCAGAAACACATAGACACAACGCACGCACAGGATTACAGACAACAGAGCCACACCTCCGGAAGGATACTTACTGCACTCCATAGTCGGAGATGGCCGCACAGCCAATCAGGTTGATGTGTTCCAGCTCGCGGCAATAGTTTCCGATCTGGATGAGCACCTGGTCGGTAACACTGGGCGTATTCGCGAGGGACAGGACGGTAAGCTTGTTCAGTTTCCGGAAAAAGATGATCAGACAGCGCTCTCCTATGGCTCCGCAATACGAGATGTCAAACTCCACCAGCTTGCTCTGATGCAGCGTGAGGGCGTCCACGGCTCCAGTGGTCAGCCACTGGCACTTGGACAGCTTCAGCATGCGCAGCTCCTTGCATTCCACGATGATCGGTTGCAGAGAAAGTGCTGTGATGTTGATGCACTCGTTCAGGTTGACGGCACACAGCCGTTTCTTGTTGTTGGCCAGCAGTGGCAGGAGCAGCTCATCCGTTAGCCAGCGGCAGCAGGCAAGGTGTAGCACTTCCAACCGCCGACAACAGCGGGCCAGCACTCGGAAGCCCACATCGATATTGCTTGTGTTGTTCCCGGAAAGGTGGAGCTCCACTCGTTTTTCCAGGGCAGCCTCGACAAAACGTTGGGCGGTACGTGAGCAGCAGCGCAGGTTGAAGAGATCCTTGAGCGACAGGTAGATGGCAACCTGCGGGATCAGCACATCGTCCCAGGAGATGTCGAATAGCGATCTTGGTAAGGCATTGGAGGAGTTGAAAAACGGCCTTGGGCTAGGCGTACGGCTTCGGGGCCCAACACTGGCCATTGCCACCAGGTGGGCCTCCTCCTCGGGATGCAGAGTGCACATGTTGGTGCCTCCGGTTACGTGATCTGCCCACCAGCAGAGCAATCCCAACGCGATCCGCAGGTGCACGACGAGAACGCAATTGTATTGTTTACCTGCAACCAATCAGCTGTTGTGTTGCCATTCACACAAAATAACGAAAAAATTAGGGTGGCTCTTGAAGTTATATTTTCACTAGTATCTTACAAGAATGTAAAAATTATGTAGAAAACTTTTGAAATTTAAGATTGGTGACCCAAAATGTTAAGATGGCATTGAAATCGAACAATCTTAAATTGGATCACTATGAAATCTTGCTGATTTAGAAAGTATTCAATTATTAAACAAATCTCAGATATTGCTTTTCATATGATCTATTTATTTATTTATTAAAAAAGTTTAGTAAGAGATGCCAGTGTGGTCGCGGATCCAGTCCAAGTGGTAGGTGACGCGCTGGAATCCAGCGGGGGCTCCCGACTGGCAACCGTTGGAAGAGACGAAGTTGCTGACTCCCACCAGCTTGGCGCCGTCGTGTGTGACCAGGGGGCCACCGGAATCTCCTCCGCAGATCGACTTTCCGTCGACGGTGCGGGTGCAGATGATGTTGTCTCCCACGCTTCCGTAGGTCCAGCCGCACTCCTCGTTGTGGACAATCTGGATGTCGACGCACTGAAGCCAGTCGGGCAGCGGGCTGCCGTCGTAGGTGCCTCCCCATCCGCAGGCCACAGCCCAGTACTCGTTGGAGTTGTTGTAGCGGTCGTTGTAGCTGGGCAGCTCAACCTTGTTGACCATGTGCCAGAAGTCGACGTGCGGGATGCGGATCAGGGCGATGTCAGCGTTGGAGTGCTTGATGAAGTCGCCGTTGCCGACGGTGTGGGTATACTGGGCGTTGGTGCGCCAGGTGGCGCCGAAGTAGACGGTCACGGAGGCAGCATCTCCGATGCAGTGCTCGGCGGTCAGAACCCAGGTGTTGCCGATGATGGAACCACCGCACCACCAGCCTCCGCTGAAGCCGAGACCCACGGTGTAGGGGGCCTTGCCCTCGGGGGCGGCGTATCCGTTGGTGATACGACCCTCGATCTTGGTGGACCTGGGCAGGTCCTTCACGAACACCTTCTCGTCGAAGGCAGAGGCCGAAGCCACGGCCAGAGCCAGGATAGCTAGGAACACCTTCATGTTGATGTCGAAACTGACTTCTCCTTCAATGGAGCAGCCTTTTATACACCTTTCCGGAGCTCAGTATCTCGAATGTGAATTGGCTTGTAAATATTCCTCAAGAATCCCATAAACGCTGTCATCGATAAGAGCGGAAAAACCCTTTCTACGGAAGAAACCCTCTAATCTTAAAATCAAAATCACTTTGCATGGGGTCTTATATATTATATTCAAATAAAGTTTTTATAATTACTAATCTATTGAAATGACTAAGCTTGGTAAATTTGAATTTATATTTGGTGGATCTTTAAATAGCTAGCTTTGTATAGATTTACAAAAATTAGAGGTTCTATCTAATCATTATTTTAACCAACCTAAAATTTACAATGATCTCTTAACGAGAATGATTTTCAATAATATTTGTTTGCGAACAGTAAAACTTTGCTGATTGTGTGTTATTAATCATAATTGATTTAGAAAATTGTTTTTAAGAGGTACGTTATTGGTTTTCTTTACACGCTGAAAACAAGGACCAGTCTTGAACAAGTGAGTTTTACGTTTTCGATTGACTGAATCAATATACAAAACTAGCTGTTACCAAGAAATATAATACTATAGAATCTCCCTGAGTATGCCTTTTGAATAATATCATTATCTATCGAATTAATTAATAGGTGAAGTATACCCAATCGAGGAACCTAAACAAGAATAAAAATCGCTGTAGTCGAGTGTTCAAACTCGCCCAAAAAAATGAAGTGGGTTACTCTTAAACAACTATAGTTTTATAGATATTTTTGGGGTATGATTCCGATTTTGTATCGTTTTTTTGATCATCTTTCCGGATAAGTTGGTCTAAACCTAACAGCTAGAGCTACAGCTACATCTTTCCAAGCAACAAGAATCCTCAAACCCTTCTTCAGTTTTACTGGAATGTAAAACAAATCAACCCGATATTACTTAATTGTTTATAGCTTTCTCTTGACATCTTTTTATTTAACATAAAAATGTTTAATAATTTGAAAAGTCGGGTTTTGAAGTGATCTACAATTTATCTCGTATATATTTATTTATTGAAGAAGTTTAGTAAGAGATGCCAGTGTGGTCGCGGATCCAGTCCAAGTGGTAGGTGACGCGCTGGAATCCAGCAGGAGCTCCCGACTGGCAGCCGTTGGAGGAGACGAAGTTGCTGACTCCCACCAGCTTTGCGCCGTCGTGTGTAACCAGAGGACCACCGGAGTCTCCTTGGCAGATCGACTTTCCGTCGACGGTGCGGGTGCAGATGACGTTGTCTCCCACGCTTCCGTAGGTCCAGCCGCACTCGTCGTTGTGGACGATCTGAAGGTCGACGCACTGGAGCCAGTCGGGCAGCGGGCTTCCGTCGTAGGTGCCTCCCCATCCGCAGGCCACAGCCCAGTACTCGTTGTAGTTGTTGTAGCGGTCGTTGTAGCTGGGCAGCTCCACCTTGTTGACCATGTGCCAGAAGTCGACGTGCGGGATGCGGATCAGGGCGATGTCAGCGTTGGAGTGCTTGATGAAGTTGCCGCTGCCGACGGTGTGGGTGTACTGGGCGTTGGTGCGCCAGGTGGCTCCGAAGTAGACGGTCACGGAGGCAGCATCTCCGATGCAGTGCTCGGCGGTCAGAACCCAGGTGTTGCCGATGATGGAACCACCGCACCACCAGCCTCCGCTGAAGCCGAGACCCACGGTGTAGGGGGCCTTGCCCTCGGGGGGCGGCGTATCCGTTGGTGATACGGCCCTCGATCTTGGTGGACCTGGGCAGGTCCTTCACGAACACCTTCTCGTCGAAGGCAGAGGCCGAAGCCACGGCCAGAGCCAGGATAGCTAGGAACACCTTCATGTTGATGTCGAATCTGGTTTCTGAATCAAAATCACCCGCTTTTATACCATTTCTTTAGTTTGAACTCCTATCTCATGCTTAAATATCCCTCGAGAGTCCCATAAAAATTGTCAGTGATAAGGCTGAGACAGGAACCAATTTCAGTAGACCCCAGTCGACTTATAAAACTCTATATCAAAGTGAGCCTAGTCAGGTATTTTAAATAAAGATTGCCAGTTCGATGTTTGAGATTTGATAATTTAAATTTATGGTAATCGCATTTAATTAAAATGCACCTAAATTGGAGCACCAGGTTAAAAGCACACTGTCATTATACCCTTGCTGAGGGTATTTTAATTTCAGGCAGCTGTGAAGGAGAGTCGTAGGAAAACACCTAGCAACTAGTAAACTTTTTTAAAAGTTTTTGTTTTATTATTTATGGCTGGGTTTCGTCTGCCAGTTTTGTCTGTATTTAATAGCACTATCTAATCGTTTTCAGAAACTTACAATAATCTGCCGCTCTTAAATAACTGATTTCCGTTCTATGAATGGAAATGTTACGGACTATAGGTATACATTGATTGAACACGGGTTTATTAACTAAAACATCCGACTGATGATGAACTTGCTTTTTTTTAAGTCTGACTTTTTTTATTATCTGTTGATATAATAATTAGGCTTTCAAGAATGGTCTGCCATGATTAATATAAATTTTTATAGGTAGTTGAAAATGTATGGAAAGATTAAACTTTTTTTCAATAAATTATAGTTTAATCTAATTTTGTTAAGTTCATATTTTGATTTGCTACATGCGCAAATTCATTATCTAATCGAGGGCAGGTCCCAGAAGTAAACAAATCCCTTAGATTCAATCAAAAGTACATCTGAGATTAGCAATACCAGGGAATGAGTAAGATAAGGATTATACTTAAATCAAAGTTAAAGGTATATTTATAAAGTTATTGGAAAGCTTAGCTGCAAGATAATTAAATATATATATTCAATAATCATATTTTTTAATACCAAAAAAGTTATATAGAATGTTTCGTCAAAGAGTTTAAAGATTTTAAAGCTTAGATCACGTTATCTTGATCGTAATCGATTCCGATCACATAGACTATCCCCTGAATTTAGAAAACCTATTTTGTTGGAGCACGGAATTAAAAAACACTTCGATTTTTAAATGCAAAACAGTTTATTTCAATAACGAAACTCGACCGCTTAGTAGGAGATGCCGGTGTGGTCGCGGATCCAGTCCAGGTAGCTGGTGACGCGGGTGAAGCCATCGGGCAGACCGGAGGTGCAGCCGCTGGAGGCCACGAAGGAGGTGACTCCGACCAGTTTGTTGCCGTCGTGGATGACGAGAGGGCCGCCAGAGTCGCCGGAGCAGGTGGACTTGCCGCCGGGGGTGGAGGTGCAGATGACGTTGTCGGTGACAACATCGGTTCCATAGACGGCGGAGCACTCGCTGCGATCGATGATCTGGGAGTCAACGCAGTTCAGGTAGTCAGACACGCCGCAGCTGTCGCAAGGCCTGCCCCATCCGGAGGCTAGAGCCCACCAGCCGGCGAAGTTGTTGTAGCGCTCGTTGCCGTTGGGCAGCTCCACCTTGTTGACCAGGTGCCAGAAGTCCACGTGGGGGGTGTTGATCAGGGAGATGTCGTTGTTCAGGTTGTTGGTGTTGTAGTTCGAGTGCTGGCGGAAGCTTCCACTGCCCACGGTGTGGGTGTACTGGGCCTGCAGGCGCCACAGGGCACCGTAGTAGATGGTCACGGAGTCGGCACCGTGGGTGCAGTGAGCGGCTGTGATCACCCAGGTGTTGCCAATGATGGAGCCACCGCACCACCATCCACTGCCGCCGCTGCTGAAGCCCAGACCCACGATGTAGGGCACCTTGCCCTCGGTCGCCGGGTAGCCGTTGGTGATGCGACCCTCGATCGAGCCGGATCCGGCTCCCAGGACGGCATCCTTCAGCGGCACCGGCTGCACCTTCTGGGGCATAGCGGTGGCGGAGGCAACGGCCAAGGCCAGGACAGTCAGGAAGAGCTTCATGTTGCTTGTCAATCGAGTACAACTGATTGTTCTGCTCGCTGGCAGTGATTTATATACCCCTCGCTTTTCGCGATATTCAATATCTCTGGAGATCTTCCTCGCCACTCAAAAGTTCAATCCACTTGGTCGCGCGGCTATCTTATCAAATTAATTTCGCACGCCTCCAAAACTCGGCACTATCATTACAGGGTACTCGCATCTACATCTACCACTCATCCAATCCTATCCACACACTTTCCGGCTCATGACTTGACACTCGATGCGAGTCCCCCACCGCCACTCATTCATTAAAAGATTGCGGAGGACGTGCGGCCACTTGGAGCTGATCTGCCGATAAGTCCCGATAAGCGCCCATTCATGCCCCAAACCACAACATTGAGATCCACTCGAACAGAAGCGAGGAAAGATAAGGGAACAAGTCTCTGGCAAGACCAGTATTTGGCTCAGCAAATTGGTATAATTATATAAAAAAATTTATATTTATTTAGCTTTGCTTCACATGCGTGTTTATTTCTTTGTTAAAAACCAAAAGAGTCCTGGAAAGTAATTATTTTAAATCAAGTAAATTGTTTAGTAAAAAGTTTTTTAGAAAACACTCGCAATGCTACGAGCTTAATAACTATCTTTTTGTTCAGATGTTTTCCAATGCTCGGGCTGGCTTATGAAGGAAAAGTATGACTCCGCTTACACCATTGCGCAGAAACCCAATTACTTTTATATAACTTTACAGATTAGTTAGTCCTATATATGAATTTATTATTAAACAGTATAATATTTGGTTGAACAAACAGTAAAAAGTAGATCAATAATTAAATATTTGTAAGTTAAGTACAGCTGGAGAAGTTTTAAGTCCTCTTTAGATTTACCTGTTTCCTTATTGACTTAATGGTCGATTTAATTTTTAATTTATTGGTAATACTAGCTTAGGTCAAAATTTAAGTTAGATTTCTATTGATCGTAAGCCCACTTGCAAAAGATGATGATTTTTTGAGTTCTTCAGAGAATATGTTCACCATAGCAATTCAATGTAATGTAAACCAATTCAGAATCCTTTTATACAACATAATTCCCCAATAACAACCTTGTTTTCTGACGGCAGAATTAAAACGAGCCCATAAAAATCCATATTATGTTTCGATTGAAATACATTTATTTAAAAAAAAAACTTTGAATCGAGCTTAGTAGTAAGCCACACCGGAGTTGTCGCGAATCCAATCCAGCTGGTTGGTGACACGGGTGAATCCGGAGGGCAGGCCAGCGGTGCAACCGTTGCCAGCGACCCAGGAGGTGACTCCCACCAGTCGGCCACCGTCGTGGAGAACCAGGGGGCCGCCAGAGTCGCCGGAGCAGGTCGACTTGCCGCCGGAGGTGGACACACAGAGGATGCCGTCGGGCTGGGTGCCGTAGGTGCGGGAGCACTCGGAGTTGCTGATGATCTGCAGGTCGACGCACTCCATCCAGTCGGGCTGGGATCCGGCGGTGGTCAGACCCCATCCGCAGGCGACGGCCCACCAGTTGTCGTACATGTTGTAGCGGTCGTTGTAGCTGGGCAGCTCCACCTTGTTCACCATGTGCCAGAAGTCCACGTGGGGGGTGCGGATCAGGGCGATGTCGTTGCCGTTGTGGTCGGGCCAGTTGTGGTTCTGGATGAAGTTGCCGCTGCCGACGGTGTGGGTGAACTGGGCGTTGGTGCGCCAGGTGGCTCCGTAGTAGATGGTCACCTGTCCGGCACCGTTGGTGCAGTGGGCGGCGGTCAGAACCCAATCGTGGGCGATGATGGAGCCACCGCACCACCAGCCACCGTTTCCGCTGAAGCCAAGACCCACCGTGTAGGGAGCCTTGCCCTCCGTTGCCGGATATCCGTTCACAATGCGGCCATTGATCTTGGTATCCTTGGGCAGATCCTTGGGGTGGACCTGCTGAATGGTCTCAGCGGAGACGGCGGCCAGAGCCAGAGCCAGAACAACAAACACTTTCATGGTGAATGGATCACTTGTGGTCTTCGCTAGACTTCCATTAGTATTTATTTCATTTTCTTATCTTTGTCTGGAGGAGCCCCCACTCGGCGATATCCTATCTATAAGAACTCATCACAATTACACTACGTGATACCCATGAAAATTAAATGATAAACGCGCCTGAAGGAGATTTCGTTATAATTTTTGGGGGTGCGACTAATGGAAAATTTTGCATAGCTAAAATCTCGATAGCAAAAAAGGGGGCAAATCAATGATTATATTCGACTTTGGTAATAAAATGAAAGTCATTCTTATAGGAGCTTAATAGTGTAGTTGCAAAATATAATGAATAGTTCAACAATTTATGTAAGTGGTTTATTCGAATAGAACTCAAAAAAATAAAATAATTTTTTTGTTAATTGAGGAAATAAGAATTGGTGTGTTTTACGGAACAATGAGCAAAAATACATTTAATAAACACCAACAATTTTAAGTTTACGTAAATAGAAGTAAATAAAATTAAGCTTAAACTCTTAGTACAAAAAAATTCAACGGACTATACCAATTTAAAAACACGCGCCAAAAACCCGACTCTTTAGAATTTAACGCATCTGGTCACACTGAGCAATGCATTTGTTTACTAATTCCGCCAAATTTCGTTAATCGTCGCAGCATGTCATCTTGCAGTTCGTCTGAAATTGCGGAGAAGAAGCGCATTGCGCTGGCCAAGCTGCAGGCCAAGAAGTCCCAGTTGCTAGCCAGCTCAACCAGCGGAAAGCTAACCACGAATCCAACAAATGCGCAGCAACAAGTTGGGAATAGAAACGGAAATCCGAATCAACCACAAGCCAAATCTCCATTAAACTTCTACAAATCGCCGCCGGCAGCGCAGGAGAAGATCAGCAAGGTTTTCGCCTCCACATCCAATGACAACAAGAGTTCGTCCTTTCTGAATGCTCTGAAGGCCATTAAGCAGACCTCCACCCGAGAACTATCTAGAGGAGGTGCTCATCCTTACCAACGACCAAATGGAGGGAGTCCTAGAAATAAGCCTACTCTGTCACTTGCTCCGGAAAAGGAGAAGCCAGCGACTGTAATGCTCGGTAACTCAATCACCTGCAACCTGTTTATGACCAGTACGCAGCGGTTTGCTGCCCAGACTTCAGGATATCACGAAAAACTCATAGCCGTGTTCAAAAACATGCCCACTAAAACCTACGATGGTCAAACCCGTATCTGGAGTTTCGACCTCTCGGACTACCAATCTCTGCAGACTCATGCCGCGGATCTCAAGCCATATGTACACATGGTCGGCATTCCAAAGAAGGTGATAAGTCTCTGCCAGCAACCACCAGTTGTTTTGGAAAGAAGTGTGTTAGCTTCTATAGAACCAAAACTGGCGGACCAACTTATGCCCTTTCAGCAGGATGGAGTATGGTAAGTATCTACTGCAAAATTTTAAACCTATACTAAATATATCTTTTCCTAAACCTAGCTTTTCCATTGCCCAAAAGGGCCGTATTATGATCTGTGATGAAATGGGCCTGGGAAAAACCTATCAGTCCTTGGCTGTGGCCGACTATTTTAAGGATGATTGGCCCCTTCTTATCTGCACCACCGCCTCTACAAGAGATACCTGGGCAAAACACATCGTGGAACTGCTGCCCAAGGTGCCCGTTCACTATGTTCAAGTGCTGAACAACAATCAACAATATGTGGGTGAGGCGCAGGTGCTTATTACCAGCTACAACATGATGGAACGGCACATGGAAAAGCTGCTGCAGCGCAAGTACGGCTTTATCATTTTCGACGAGTCGCATACGCTGAAGAACAGCAAAGCCAAGTGCACGTCCGTGGCCAAAAGGCTAACAGATCAAGCCAAGCGGGTTGTTTTGCTATCCGGAACTCCAGCTCTCTCGCGACCTTTGGAGCTCTTTACTCAACTCCAGATGGTGGATACCAAATTCATGAATTTCATGGAGTTTAGTAAGTTAGGGTCTTTAATTTCATTAATTTTTATTTTTAATGCTCCACATTTTTACAGCCACTCGTTATTGTGACGGCAAACAGTCCACATTTGGCTGGGATGCCACGGGACAGTCAAACCTGGAGGAACTAAAGGTTATACTCACCCTAAAATATATGCTGAGGCGAACAAAAACGGAGGTGCTACCTCAGCTTGCAGAAAAAAATCGGTGGGTTGTCACCATGCAACATTATCGAAACAAAAACTAATACATTCCGGTCTATTTTTAGTGAAACAGTAGTCTTAGATCCCGCTTTAGTTTGGACCAACGACGAGACTAAGGAAACCTTGGAAACCTTCAACAAAGAGCTAAAAACATGTAAAGGCAAGGCCATGGAGGAGATTTTGATTCGTTTTTATGCACGCACCGCAGAAGTCAAAGCCAAAGCCGTGTGGTAATTAACTTCTCAATGGTATGAATTTCAAATAAAGAAATTATTTTATCTTGCAGTGCCTACCTGAAAACTCTTGTAAAGGAGCAAAAGAAGTTTATTATTTTTGCCCATCACCGGGTCATGATGGACGCCATAAGTGACTGTCTCAGTGAACTGAAAGTACACTATATTCGAATCGATGGACAGACGCGAAGCGATCTCAGGTCGGATTTTGTCGACACATTCCAAAAGAAAAGCAGCTGTAAGGTGGCGGTGCTGTCCCTAAAAGCCTGCAACGCAGGAATCACATTAACTGCAGCTGAGATTATAGTATTCGCTGAGCTGGACTGGAATCCTAGTGTAAGTAAATATATATACATTTATTCACAAAACTTTACGACGATTATTTTATACCTTTAGACTCTGGCGCAGGCCGAGAGTCGTGCCCATCGCATTGGCCAGACAAAACCGGTGATCTGTCGCTATTTAATGGCACACAAAACAGCAGACGATACGATCTGGAACATGCTGAAAAACAAGCAGGAGGTGCTCAGTAAAGTGGGAATCTTTGCGGAGAATCTTCAGAAGGCCACCCACACAACAGCACCAACATCGGTAAGATTGACATTGTATGTTTTAAGAAATATTTCTAACCTTGACGTTTTTATAGTCGCACAAAATCGAGGAATTCTTCTCGCCAGCAAAACCCGCATCCTCTAATCCGCAAAGGGGAAGCATAATACAATATCTTTCGCCTGCTCCTCAAAAAACATCCAGGGAACAAAATAATAATAATACGAAGAATGCGAATGAAAACAAAGTTGAGTCGGATATCGCAGCCTTTTTTAATGATGAAGATGATGAAGCTTTGCTGGATTTAGATATTTAACTATTTATAACTTACTCTGTTAAATCAATTATTTTAAATAAATTTAAGTTGAGAATGTTAAAATAAAAATAATAAAATCCTTAACAAAAATTTAATAGGATCTGAATAAGTTCGAACTGTTACAATCGTTTTAGAAAGGCAGTCTGCGCATGATCCACGTCTCAAAGAATCTTTCTGTTTAAATGATGTTTTGTGCCTTGGCAACAGTCAAACAAACACTCAAGCAAACCTTTTCACTTGAATCAAATAAATAAATACACAACCAGGTTAAAGTTTTATATACTGTAAAGTTGATAGAATGGATTCTTCGCAGACGGCAAGTGAACCAGTTGGCGAAGAGGAGGATGCCAGCAAGGAGAACGACATATCCTTTCCCCGTGATATAATCACCGTAGAGTGAGTATTAATTTATCGGGCAAATTCCTCTTAATTGGTTCATTTCTGGCTTAGACACTCTTTTGGGTACGATTGCAAAAAGCTCTTCAACTTGGTCTTGGTGGACTCGGATACGCTGGTCTTCGGCTCGGGAAACTTTCTAAACTACTTTAGTATTTCACGACTGGAGATTTCCTTTCAGGAAACGGTCTTTGGCTGCGGTATAGGATTTATCACGGTTAGTTGTTTGCCCTGCAAGCAATAGAATACTACTTCACTTTCCATAATTTACAGAAAAACGAACATCCCGATTATACCAACCTTTTTACGGTGGGCGAAAATGGACAGAGTCCCACCGTTTTCATCTATGAGTTTCCCTCGCTGCAGGTCCGTGTAAAGCTGCTGAATGCAGCCAAAGCTTGTTTTACGGCGGGTTCTTACAACAAGACCGGCGAATTGTTTGCATCGCAAGCTGGCTATCCGGATTTCGTTATCACCATCTGGCGCTGGGAAAAGGCAGAGGTCGTTCTGCGCGCCAAGTCCTTTCAGAGCGACATCCTGTTCGTGCATTTTTCGGAGCACAACCCCATCCTGCTGTGCTCTTCGGGTCTCAGCCACATCAAGTTCTGGAAAATGGCCAACACCTTTACGGGTCTGAAGTTAAAGGGCGACTTGGGACGCTTTGGCAAGACGGACTTCAGCGATATCTATGCCATGTACATGCTAGCCGATGAGAATGTGATCTCGGGCTGCGATTGGGGCAACATGCTGCTCTGGCAGGCGGGACTCATCAAGTTTGAGATCTGTCGGAAGGGTCGAAAGCCCTGCCATACAAAGCCCATAACCAGGATAACCATGAAGAACGGTGAGGTGACCACGGTGGGAATGGATGGTTATGTGCGCGTTTGGTACTGGGAAACCGTGGACCTAGCCGATCCGCCGGAGGATGATTTGTTCGTGGAGATCGATCCGATTTACGAGTTTAAGATCGCTGACGTGGAGCTGCGTTGCATGCAGAAAATTCATCCTTTCGATGAGTCAGATTTCACACACTACGCACAGGATGGAAACGGAGGAATTTGGTTCTGCGACATAAACACCTACGACGTTCCCCAGAAACCAAGGAAGCTCTACTCCTGCATTGGCGGCAGGGTGCTAACTGCCCAGATGTCCCCGGTGTCGCCACATTTTCTGTGCATGTCAGAGAGCGGAAAGCTCTTTCTTTATGAATACGAGCAACAACGTTTGATTCTTGAGAAGATTTTCCCGGCAGAGGGAGTCGATGTGCTGTGGCTGGATACCCAGATATCGGTGACGGGCACTGAAATTGTGGCTGTATTTAAGGATGGCATACTGCGGCAGCTGTTCTTGGACCTCAGCAACCCGGAACGGCCAACCATGGACCGAGTGAGAGCTTTCAAGGCGCACACATCACCGATCACGAGGCTCACCGTGAACAGGACCAGCACACTGCTCCTTACCGGCAGCGCTGACAAGAGCATCTTCATCTACACCTTAAGCAGGGATGAGCACCAGTTGGTGGACATGCGTCCCCTGGGTTTTGTGCAGTTTGCAGCGACACCAAACTGCTTCTATTGGCACGAAACGGAACCCACGGTGGTCCTTGTGGGCTGCAAGAGTGGCGAGTTGTATGAGTACAATATACGCACCGATGTCACCGACGACGAGACCTACTTGTCCTACAACATTACCGATATGTCGCGCATGCGCAGCACCAAATTTGCATCCATCAAAAGTCGCATTCGACGAGAAATCAATCGGGAAAACATAAAGAAGCGAAAGGAGAAGAAGAGGGAGCGCAAGATGGAGGAGGTAGAGAAGCTCAAGAAGGCTAATCCTGGACTGCAAATCGATATGGAGTCGGCGCTGGCCGATTCGGAGCCGGATGAGGAGGAGGAGCCGCTTCACATTCCGGCTGTGCCAAATCCCATCATTTGGATGCGATACACTGTAAGAGATACAGTCTGGGTTTCCATGGCCGGTTACGATGCTGGATACATCTACGAGCTGGAGTTTGAAGCCCCAGAGCCCACGTATGCCACCATTATAGCCGATGGAGATGATATGGAGATACACTCCTACTGCATTATGTAAGCTTTGTATCTTATAAGATATTTAAGTTTTAATTTTAAATTTTCCCACTTTTTCCCAGCGACGAATTTATGATCTTTGGCCTCGTTAATGGACGCATTCGAATCAATCACATGAATCCGGAAGACTTTACTGACCTTTCGGAGTACCGCATCTATCCCATGCACGATGGCCTGAAAGGCACCATTCCCAAAATCGAGACCAGCTTCGATGGAAGGCACTTGATCACCGTCGGCTACGATGGAAATGTGTTTCTTCACAGGTGGAACGGTCCAAGGATCGAGAAGAACAAACGGAGGGATCGGCTGCCGCCTCTGCCGGCGGGAGTTAGCGAGGTTAAGGAGATCGAAGATGAGGCACCTTCCCTGGAGCAGGAAAAAATCAATGCGGAGCTGCGACGCCAACAGGAAGCAGCCGAAGCTCACGATCGAGATGTCTTGAATAAAATTGGATCGCTGCAGAATGTCTATTTTGATATAATCAAGCGCAACGAGGAACTGCCTCCGGGCTTGAGGGCCAAGGATACGGATTTGCTGCTCGACGCTCGCATCACTCGGCAGATTCGGGATGAGCTGCAGGCGGAATTGGATGATGTGCGTGAGGATCTGGCCTACGACCTGGAATTCGCCCAGGTGGGGCATACAAAGCTATACAACCATTTCCTCAAGAACCTTGTCGAAATCCCCTTCACCGTCAATCCATTGCGGTAAGTTAGATGAGTCGTATTATGCCTTAGTCCTAAAATCTGGTTTTCAGTGCCGAAGTTCCGGGTGTGTCTACATTTCGCCTAGAGGCGCTTGGGGAGGAACACGAGCAGATAAAGAGGGACATTGAAGAGCGCCTCAAGCGGGAGCACGACATGGGGTAAGTGGGGGATTTAGGAGATAACTTCACTCTAAACACTGCCAAATCCAAAACTTCTTACTCTTAAATCCACGACAAGCAGCCTTTACAGGGAAGATCGGGTTGCAGAACAACCGGAAGTGTAAGCTTTATACTCTTTTAACACGCACCTTTATTTACCAAGTATTCAATAGAACACCAAACTTGTAACAATTTTTATTCCAGGGTTATTATTATAATTTATCAAATAATTATCATTAACTAATTTTGTCCAATCTGTGCAGACTCCACGATCTTGTGGAGCCTGAGAGATCGGACGAATCTATTGGCGAGCCCCCGCCGGAAGCGTTCTTCTTTGGACGGGATCCAAAGAGCATTGAGCCGCGTTTTAGCAAGAAGATGATGCGTCTCCTGGTTCGCTACCGGAAACGCCAGCTTTACGAGGTGCGCCGCATCTTCGACTGGGACAAGCTGGAGCGCCAGAAACCAGATCCCAATCGCAATCATCCCGATGACGATGCCCAGATTGAGGAGGCCAAGCGTAACCTAGGGGACTTCAAACTCAAGATCGGTGCCGACTACGAGCCCAAATCGACGGAGACTCTTACCCAGAAGTACATCGAGGTCGTGCAGTGCCGCGAGGAGTACTTCCATATGGTGAACACCTTCAATCAGTTGGTGCAGGAACTGCGCGATCGCAAAAGCGATCTGGAGCAGTTCATTAAAGCCAAGAAGAATCGTCTAAATGTGATACACAGCTACCTGCCGGAGCCAGATCGCCTGCCTTTACAAACGCTGCGTGAAACGGACATGGATCTGGAGTATCCGGAACTAAATCTTATTGAGCATTACACTCCCGGTTGTGGTGTGGAAATCGATGACATTCTCACGCTGGAACGCACTGTGGAGCAGGTCGGTGGTCACTGCTTTTATTTTACTTATCAGTTGGTATAAAAAGTTAATATTTTTAGGTGATTGCCATGCGGGCGGACATGAAATCGGTCACCAACGTTAGTATCTTCAGCATGAACTGCCTGGAAGCACCCGAGCTGCATGAGTTCTCCGCCTTCACAATGCTCCAGATCTCGACCCTAAAGCAGAGTCTTCCGAATGACCAGTTGATCGAGGAACTGCTAAAAATGCCCCCCATCAGTGATCCGGCCTACTATGAGCGAAACCAGGATGGCGAAACGCCTTTCATGATGGAGGTACGTCATCGATGGCTTCGCCAGTTTCTTGTGGAACAGGATGCGATTCGAACAGAAGTAGACGAGGAGGTGCAACAATTTGACAGGGAGCTGGCGAAGCTGCAGGTGCGACGCTTCCATGTCAAGCTGGACGCCGAGTTCATGACCACATTCATGAACAGCCTAAATCAGGAGCTGTACATCCTGCGCGACAGCGAGGAAATTGAGACACAGCTGCTCCTGAACGCCAAGACGGCGATGAACACTCGAAACGACCTGCAGGTGGTCATCAATGCCACCAACAGGCAGCTGGACGAGCTGAGGCGGAACATTGACAAGTTGGGCGAGCAGATCACCGCCGTCCAGGTGCTCTTTATGACCACGGTCAAGGGTCACAAGTTCTTTGACTTTTTGCGGCGCATTTTCAAGAAGAAGTGGCGTCCGCCCAAGGTGGCCAAAGGTGACGACGAGGAGTCCTCCTCGTCCTCTTCGTCTTCGTCCTCCAGCGAGGATAACGAGGCGGACAACAAGAGCGTTGACTCATTAGACATGACCACCATTCGATTGGACGAGACCACCTGTCCAACTGGACTGGACAGATCCCTTTACGATTTGGCCTTTGCCATGCGCGCCGATCGACATGAACTGGAGCGAAATTTGCGGGATCTTCAGCGGGATGTGGAGAACAAGCGTAAGGAGATTGCCGAAATGCAGATCAAGATGAAGTACCACGAGGAGGTTTATCAGCGCGAGAAGAATGCTTTGTTGCAGTTTAGAGTAAGATACTTTTAGAGTATATAAAATGAATTACTTAAATAATTTTTTTTTTATTTTTAGCGCAACCGTCAGCAGGAAGTCAACAAGGTGCACATCAGTGCCGTCCTGCGCATGGATCAACTGCAGCACTTCTATGAGGGCGACGACTACCGCGATCTTTCCAAGGCCATTCTCTTCGATGCCGATATGCTGGTGGATCTGCGCCGCCGGGCGGATCAACTCAGCGAGGAGACACAAGCCACCAAGCGTTGGCATCGCATCAACTTTATCCACTTGCGACGCATGAACACGGACATCAAGTTTATGCGATTCGAGATTACGCGGCTGGAGGAGGAGATCCGTCAGGCGATGATGAAGAAATTTGGCATAATCGTTAATCTAGATGAGTTGGAGGAGGAGGTCCTTAGGCGCTACATTTTCGATCTGGAGACGAACGCTGAGGATGAACTAAGTGCCCTCGAAAAGGAACTGATGGAGAAACAAGTACATTATCTTTAAAATTTAACACTATTGTATCTAATTTTTGTATTTTAGAAAGAGCTCTCTCGCTGCGAAGAGGAACTGGTGCTGGAGACCCAAAACAACACTGAAAAGGTCAACATAATGACAGTGCTTCGTGAGGAGAAGAACTTCCTTTGCACTCTGCTGGATATCCAGAATCGCAACTTTGCCAAGTGGAGCAATCCGAATGCACTGAATCTGTCCTACGATATTGAGAAGCTGAGGGGCATTGAGAAGTCTTTGCTGAACCAGATTGAAGTGGGTATTCCCTTTAGCTGATACCAGGTCTTTAAATTTGTATCCTTAATAGTGCCTGGAGCGGGAGATATGCGCCCTGCGGCTGAAGTCCAAACCTCTGCAGATCAACTACGAATTCGAGTTGGATCCCAATGCTCCGCCACAGGTGAATAGCGAAATTATGCCCAATGACGAGGCAATGGTGTGCCCTGCCATCCTGAACGTGGATGCCTATATGCTGCCACCCATGCCCGATGAGTTCATCATGGACCGCGTTCACACGATTGTTCAGAAGAGTTTCAATCGCTTTTTCGGAAGGAGCACCACTCCGGAAAACGTGCGCAAGTTTGCCCAGCGGTCTTCGCTTTATTTATGCCAAGCAGCCTACAGCTTCCAGGTAAGAATTATACAACACGATTTTGAGGATCCTCTTACTTACATTTTTTATCAGGGTCGCTATACGGATCGGATTGCCGAGTGCATTACGGAGCATTTGCAGACGATTGTGCCCAAGAAGTACTTCATCCACATCAGCGGCGAGGAACTACGCAAGCTCTTCAACGAAGTGGTGGCTGTGTTTGACTATGAACGTTCTGATGTGAATACCGAGGAGCTGATTTCCGGAATCTTCGACCACGCCAAGGACTCACTGTGTGCCCATATACATTTGGGCGATGCCGATGTGGTTAACCGCACCCACTTCATCGTGGCCCACATGTTCAAGGAGCTGATCGAGGTCCTGCCCTTGGAGGAGTTCCTATCCGACGAGACCCTTCGCATAATCGTGGACGTGCTGGAGCGTGAACCGATGGTTGATCCACGGGCCATTGGCGTGGAGCAGCTCATCGAGAGCACGCTGCAGCACGCCCAGGAGAATCTGCTCGACGGGATTACGGCGGTGCCCGTTCGCAAACTGGGCAGCTCCATTCAGAGAGACCTTATCAAGCGGCGCCAGTACAAGCAGCCCAGCTGCGAGTCGCCCATGTCGGTGCGGATTGCCACCAAAAAGCCGGGACACAGTACTGGGCTGCCTTTCTAGGATAAAAGGGTGCCATTAAACTGTACAGAACTCGACACATTAGAATACGTTTTTAAAAATTATCCTGTTTTATAGAGATTTGGAATAAAATGGCCTAAAACACATTTTAAGGATTTATGAAAAGTAATGAAATAGAACATTTCATTACCTTTAATAAAAAAAAACTTATCGCAATGTAAGTGTTAAAATTTAAATTAGGAATTCGGGGATGTACGCCAGCTTGGATTAAAAACGCTAAATCTGACGGGAAAATAAACAAACGTCAGCACTGACTTCGAGCAGCTGATAACCCTATTTCTGATTCAGCCAAATATCAAGTAAACAAAGAGCTTAAACATTTACAGAAATACAATGTCCAAGCCATCAAAATCGGGTAAAGCGGGTGACGGAAGTGCTCCCGCATACGATAACCACAATTTTGGCGATGCTATGGCGATGGTAAAATTTAAATTTACATTTAGTTAAATGTGGCCATTTAACACTGCCGCTTTTCAGAGAGCTCCACCGCCGACCTACGAGGAGAGCCAGCGCAGCGGCGGTGCCTATGGGTATCCACAAGGAGAAGTTGCTTCTCCCAGCCAGAATCAGTACTACGGTATGATTAGCCACCATCAGCAGCAGGTGCCCTTTAATGGACAGCCGAACTACGGCATGCATAATGGCACTGGCTACGGATTAGCTGGGCCCAGCACTTCAGCCGGAGCCGCTGCAAGACAGGTCCTCCAGTTGGACTCGCGTGCCGAGATAAGGACAAATGCCGCTGGAAATGTGGTCGTTCCACCTCCGCCACCCGGATGCCTGCCCACTCCGGGTCAATGGGCGGCAATGCAGGGCCAGCCCGTGGTCCTGAAGCAGAAGAAACGTTCCTTTTTCTAGATTGCACTATGCTTACTATTTACTCGAATATATTTTCCCTATATTGGCCCCTTTTATGTTATAATAAATAAACGTTGCGATCCGTTTCGTTTCGTCCTCGCGTATATTTGAAAGTTCCCTAAGCAAACGTACATGGCGCCAGTGAAATGGTTGGGTTACAATCCACTGGCTTTGATCTTCCCCCTACAGACTACCGGCTGTGGACTACTCGAAGATATTCTCAAAGTATGTACTATCGAATGTCTGGACACGCACGAAACCGTCTTCTCCGCCCGAGGCGTAACTCTTGCCGTCCGGATGGAAGGCCAAACTGTTGATAGGCCCGAAATGACCCTTGAGTCGGGCGAACTCCTCCTCGTAAATCAAATGGAAGAAGCGCGAGTCAAACTTTCCGGCCTTCGTAGACGTGGTAGTCACCTCCATGGCGTCCTGACCACCGCCCAACACAACGTGATCAAGAATGGGGCTGATGGCCGCCGAGTTTACGGGTCGCTCCGTCTTGTAGGTCTTTAGACACATCAGGGACTCCGAGTCGAAGAGCTTGGCGGTGCAATCCTTGGAGGCGGTGACGAACATGGTGCCATCCTTGCTTAGCTGCATGTCGTTAATGCCGGCGGTGTGATCAGTGCCAGAGTCGACGACCTTCTGGCCCTTGCGGATGTCCCAGATAGCAATGTTGCCGTTGTCGTGGCCTAAAATGTATTACTATTAGTGGGTATTATAAAGAAGAAAAAGAAGATTGCCCACCTGTGATAATGGTCTCATCCAGAGGACCCCAAAGCATCGAAGTAATCTTTGATTCCGTCATTGGGATGCGGAGCGTAGGCTCCTGCTCCGAAAGCGAGGAGTCGGCGTTGCGCACATCGATGAGGAAGAGCTCACAGTTCTGACCCATTGCCTTGTCCGTGGAGTAAGCAGCCTGGTTGCCCGAAAAGCTGAAGTGGCTGGTACGCACCGAGGACTTGGTCGGAATGGAGGCGATAATCGTTCCGTACTCGACGTCCCAGATCTTGGTGGTCATGTCACCAGCGCCTGTGATTAGCTTTCGGCTCTCCCAGTCCACATCCAGGCACCAAACCGCACCCTGATGACCATCGTACGTGCCCAGGCGTTCGCCGTTTAGCGAGTACCACACATTGGGCTTCTGATCCTTGGAAGAGGAAAAGAGCAGGTCGCCCTCCCGATTGTACTTGATTTGCGTTATGGAACGCTCGTGGCCCTGAAGCATCAACGGACGCTGTAAGAAAGAAAAAAATCACAAATATTTAGCAATAATATAGACCGCTTTTAAGGTTATGTTTTTCCCGGATTCGCCACACGACTTTCACGCCTGCGAATCGCTAAGATTACAGGTTAATTCCAGAAGAAACCCTTTCCGCAAAGGAGTTCCTGTATTGCTCTGATTTTCACGTACCATTTTGAATTTTAATGTTATTTGTTGCGAGAAAACAATTATTTTTGCAACAACATCCACGCAGCACTACACGCCAAAAGAGCAGTGTGACCGCGTTATCATATATACGTCAACTTAAAACATACTATTCAAACCTGAAAAATACCAAACCGTTAAATAAATAAAATAACATACATAATTAAATGGAATTTTGATTTTTTGGGACGATTCAAAAAATAAAATATATATTTGTTTTCCTATATTTTAACAGGCTCACGTTATACGTTAAAATAAATACAACGAATCAACATTGGTAGGGATTAAACTGCCTAGCTGAACCAGCCCTTTTTGTTCAACGAGTTCCACTTGGCTATGTTCACCAGAATAGAGGCAACGCATTGATCCTTATCCCGATTTTGACCGTAGTAGTCCACAAATTCTCCGTCCGGATTGACCAAATACATGATAATGGTGTGGTCCACGATGTAATCGTTATCCGCGTCCCGCGGACCGGCACTGAAATAAACCCGGAAGGCCTTGCACACATTGCGGATCTGATCGACGGTTCCTGTGAGTCCTAAAAGTTTGGGCGAGAATTCTTTTACATATTTAGCCACCACCTCTTTGGAGTCACGTTCTGGATCTACGGTAATGAAGATGGGCTGCACCGCCGGTGTTTGAGGAGATTTTTCTGTAAGGAATTGGTTTATATTGGTTGATCCAGAATAAAGGGAATTTGTTTGCTAAACGTACCCACTTCATCCACCACGGCAGCCATCTTTTCCAGCTCATCGGGACAAATGTCCGGACAATGAGTGAATCCGAAGTAGATGAGCAACCACTTGCCTAGAAAGTCCTCCGATTTGCGCACCGCTCCCTGGGAATCCACTAGTTCCCATCTGCCACCAATGGCTGCCTTTCCCAGCTGCCGCTGGCGCTCTTTTAACCGCGCTTCATCCTTCTCGCTTTTTACGTACAGCATAAAGCCCAGTCCGCCAGCTCCGAGTGCTCCAATCACTGCGAGACTTTTCCACGAAATTGGACCCTTGCCTTTTGTGGAATCCGCAGGAACGGCAAAGTGACGAACGGCGGGCTGCTGTGCCCAGCGTCGGCAGCTGCCCATTAGGCGTTGCAGGGAGCGGGACATCCTACGTCCTGGTTTCAGGAATTTTCAAGTTTTACGTAAATCTTCTGAAGAAATAAAAATCTCGCCGGCCTGATGCTTCTTCTTAGTCTGCCAGTTACAGGAAGGAATTACATTTGGTATTTTATCGCGGTATATGTATATACAAATTTAATGGTATATTTTTGTATCGACACAGCGGTCTTATTGCTTTCAACACGTGCAGTTGATTTCTGTTAAATAAATTTACTGAAACACCGGGTAAAATGGCAACAAAAAAGCGCAAAGAGCCGCTGTTATACATGGAGGAGTACCGGGTGAAGCAGGATCCACAGGACTACGGCTTAGCGGACGATGTCTTCTCCTTAGAGTCGTTTAAAGAGAAACTCCACATTACCATTGTCAGGTGGGTTTGAGCTTCTATGAAAATAAAGAGTTCTGAACATGATTAACCGGGCCTATCTTGTAGAAACGACGAGGAGGGCTTGGAGTTCGATCTGATCGGTGTTTATCCGGCTATTGCCAATGCGTTTCGGCGCCTGATGCTCAGCGATGTGCCTAGCATGGCCATCGAAAAGGTCTACATATACAACAACACCTCGATCATTCAGGACGAGGTCCTGGCCCACCGGATGGGCCTGCTTCCACTGCGAGCTGATCCCCGGTTATTCGCTTATCGAACGGAGGAGAGTACAGAGGCAGGCACTGAACAGGATACACTAGAATTCGAGCTAAAAGTTAAGTGCTCCAGGCGTCGGGATGCGGGCAAGGATCAGTCCAACTTCGATGATATTTACAAAAACCACAAGGTTTACTCAGGTCATCTAAAGTGGCTTCCCAAAGGAAAGCAGGGGCAGATATACAGCGAAAACGCAGTGAACTGCATCCACGAGGACATACTGATTGCCCAACTTCGACCGGGACATGAGTTGGATCTGCGATTGGTGGCGGTCAAGGGTCTTGGAAGGGATCATGCTAAATTCTCACCAGTCGCCACGGCCACTTACCGTCTGCTGCCGCAAATAAAATTAAATCGCGAAGTTACCGGCAAGGACGCTTATCTCTTGCAGAGCTGTTTCTCGCCGGGAGTGATTGGAATCGATGAAAACGAAAGTGCCTATGTGAAAGATGCGCGCTACGACACCTGCAGCCGGAATGTGTACCGCTATCCGCAGCTGAACGATGCCGTAACTCTGGCCCGTGTCCGAGACCATTACATCTTTACCGTGGAATCGGTGGGCGCACTCAAGCCGGAAGTTATATTCCTCGAAGCCGTAAAGGTGTTGAAAAAGAAGTGTCGAGCGTTCATAGACGAAATCGAGGCGGAGTAGTTATTTATTTAGTTTGTAAAAAGATTATTCTATGTACATAAGACAACTAAAATTGATATAAAACGTAAGCCTAAGTATTGCGTTTGCCCTCCCTCTGGCGCTTAAGGATTTTCAGGCGGAACTCAGTAAGCACCACTTGCAGACGCTCCTGGCAGAGAAGGGCGTCCTCCAAATCCATGTTGTTCAACTGCAGCGCCAAGCTCTTGCCGAACAAGTCAAATTCGCTGATAATGACATCCTCCGACATGCTGTCCGCACGATATTCGCCGTGCAGCTCTGGTTCGTTTTGCTTGATGTGTATTAGCTCCTCTTCATAGGCCACCTGGTCATGGACATCCGGCTCCTGCTGTTGGTCTTCGAGCAGCTCGTTCTCTACCACATACTCCTGCTCGAGAGGCTCGGTTCCCAGCAAATCATCTAGAATTGAGTCGTTCGAGGCAATTTCGTCTTCTTCCATGTGCTCTTCCTTTACCTCGTTCTTAATCTTTGACTGTTTGCTCTTTGGCTTGGGCTTCGCTTTGGGCTTTACCTTCGGTTTGGGTAAAGTAATTGAAGCCTCCAATTCCGGATCGTGTTCCATCTTGCAGAGCTCACTCTTGACCATATTCTGTAAGCGTAAATGGAAAACTAAAGGTTATTTTGAATAAAGGAATACAATTTTCGTTGACACTTATCCGGTAGCAAAGGGCACATACTAATATTTTAGGCGCGAACATTGGGAAATATTACGTTCAGAAAAATCTACCACAATTAACATTATTAACTACTGATAGCTTATTGTTTGATCTTGTTAATTTTTTTTGGAAAATGAAATATAAAAAAAAATTTTTGGGCAATAGCAATAGGAATATTGCTTATGGATAATCGCACCTGCGACAGAATGCCGACGCGTTTGGAACTTTCCTGATGCTTCCGGGTGATGAGATGCTGCTTGATGGACGCCAGTCTAGCTAAGACGTTCGCATCGCAGATAGAGCAGTGCGCCGAGTAGCCATCGTTGCTAGGACGGAGCCAGCTGGAGAAGGAAGGGAACTTCTCCCATTCGCTGCGATAGCGCTGGTGGTACAGTCGCTTCACTTTCTTGTCGTCCGGATCATGCTTAATGAACTTATGCATTGTCAATGTCTAAAATTTGATAAGATCGTCGGAATAGGATGAAAATCCTTCTTTGAACGATGAGCGCCAAAATCGGTCTTTAATAACTGCTTGTGGTAATTATTTTGGTATATTCTAAAAAATATTTTGTGAAAAAAATCTGAAAGTCCAATGCAGTGTGACTGTATTTTGATAGTTTAGAATACCAGCAATGGTTGCCAGGGCTACATCTAGCATTGTGAACGCGAAACAGTCACATTGGTGAGAAAAATGGGAGGACTAACGGTTTTATTTAGTTAAAATGCTTTTCATTGGTTGCATTAAATTTTTCTGTATTAAATTTTTTTGGAGGTCAAAAAATATCAGTTATTAGCGGCATTCACAGAAAAATGCTCATCTCGTACCTGTTTATTTTCAGTTGTAAAACATTCTCAGCAGAGAATACATAATAATGTACTGGTTTGGGTCTCCGGTCCACATGCTTGGACGGTCACACTCCCTGAAATGCGTTGACAAACTAGCAACAGAAAAAACTGAAAATATATTAATAAATAGTTTCCTCGATATTCGAGTGAACTAAAGCGCAGGGCAGCACATCGCCAATATGGTCGTCCCCAAAGAGATCCTGACCGACTACAAGGAGCTTTACGAGAAGGCCAACCGGCTAGTGGAGGAGGAGAGTCGTAGTGATCCGCCCACGGATCCTTTCCGCTCTCACTACAAAGCCCGCGATGTCCTGGAAGATTTAAAGAAACAGCTTGACGATCAACTGGTGAACGTTGAGGCCAGCGAGGATGATGGCGGCCAGGATGACCTCTGTTACCGCTCTCTGCTGGCATTCGTGTGTCGGGATCTCGGCAGGATTTACATCTACACGGAGGAGCAATCGCAGGGCGAGAAAATGCTGAATCGTTGCATGGAACTAGTCACGCCGCTCAAAGAGCGCCCCGAAGGCATTATTCCCTACATTGGAGCCATTAACGAGCTGAGTATTGTACTGGCCTCCAAGGAGGAGTACAAAAAGGGTTTGGACATTCTTATCGAGGCAGAGACTGGCTACGAAAAGTTTAAGGCCAGTGGCTTGCAACCCCTGGCAATAAAGGATGTATTCAATCCTCCGGAGAGTGAGCAGGAATGTCCTGTGGCGGGACCCAAGGAGCTAGAATCTCTGTACACTCTGGTCTCCTTCTACATGGCTCAGATGTACGGTCACTTGGGTGAGCCGGAAAAGTCTGCGAAATGCTGCCACCGCACTCTGCACCGCCAGCTGGAGTACAAGTCGTACGACGCCATTGACTTCGCACTGAACACCGCTACCTTGTCCCAGTTCTACATTGGAGAGGAGCGTTTTGAGGAGGCACGTCATCACCTGGCTGCCGCGACCCTCATAATGGCGGAGTACGAGGCCCACATGTTGGAGCCAGAGATGAGTGAGCAGCAGCGACAGGAAGTGGCGGAGACCTTCAAGCATCGCTACGCCGATGTGGCTCGCTGTTGGGCCAAGTACGGATTGTATTTGATGCACACCTCAAAGCTGCGTCTTATGAGGGACGAAGATGACGAGGCTAAGAATCTGGAAAAGATTATGCGAAACCTTAGACTGGCTGAGGCGCAACAGTCGCGATTTCCTGGTCTCGATCTCACAGCCTGCGAGAACCGGATCAGCTGCGAGTATTGCCTAACATTCGACGATGCTAAACTGGTGTTCCATTTCGTTAACGAGTGGCTGGACATAGCTAAGGACTATTACAAGGCCGAGAACGAGGCTACCGAGTACTCGAAAATTATTCAGGATTACGCCGAGGCGTATGAGCACATTGCTTTCTTCGAGGAGAATCCGGAAAACCAGGCTAAGATGCAAAAGCGTCGCGCTAAATACTTGGAAGATCTGCTCGACCTTCTTGATCCCATCTTCTACTTGAAGATTTGTCGGGAATGTTGGTACGGCGCCGGTACAGCCCATGCAGCCGTGCTGGATGTCCGTCTCGATATAATTCGGGCTACCAGCACCCCATCGCCGGAGGAAATCAAGAAGGTTAATCAGAGCTGTATGAAAGCTATCAAGCACTTCGAGAGCTATGTAAAGTCCTACTTGGCCAAACCGCAGAGCGAAGAGTGGCGTTCCAACATGGATGTGCAGGAGCAGCGTCACATGCTCTACGCCCACTTTCACATCGGCCGCATCTACTATAAACTTATAAGTGCCCATCCGCTACAGCAGTTGGAGCAGCTGGCTAATTGTCACACTTACTATAAGAGATTCGATGCCGGATGCCAGCTCCACAAGGAGGCGGCAGAACCGCTCCAGGGGGAGATTGGGGTTGTACGAGAGATGCTGCAGCTGCTGCCCCTCAAGATAAACACGGTCAAGGCGAGATTGGGTTAGACCAGATTTACCCGATCTTCTGACAATTTCCAAACAATATGTTGCATTTGCCGAAAGCTTTATAAGTAGTCCAAATAAAACGCTTACTGTTAATATTCGTCTAAGTGTCCTTTGGTCCTGGTCTCTAATTGTAATTAGGGGTATTAGAACCCTTATCAACTTTAGGTAAATAGGGAAAAGCCAACATTAAAAGTTTGATGGAAGAGTTTGCTTAGACTGATAAAACTGTCAACTCCGATCAAAAATAGTTTCTTGTTTAGTAATAGATTTTTGCATAGAAAATCAGTTTTAATTTGAATCAGCTTTTTTATAGCACTGTGTTCGGATAGGTGACAACCCTGCTGCCTACCATTCACATGCGAACAGCTGTTTTTTCCAAAACAGGAAGAGGAAGAACGCCGTGATAAGTTGTTGGCCTGGCCAAATTCAGGGAATATATAGTTTAATTGCTCCTTCTAGACTGCCACAATAGTTTTTAGTTAGTAACAACGAATTATTGCAAGTCGGTCCTTTGAAAAATGGCACACGCCACACCGCAGGTGAGTAAAAATTTAAATAAAGACAAAACTCTTAGCGCGCCGCTGTTTTGTGACGCAATAGCTGTGATATCTTTTGCAAAACATAATGGAATAACAAATTGTTTTATCCCTTGCCAGGGCGCCAAGCTGTTGAACGGATGGAAGCGTCCGGGCCGTTTTGACAAGGGTCTGGGGGCCCAGCTGCCCGAGGCGTACAGGAAGTTTTGGCGCGAGTGGAAGCTGACGACTCCGGCAGCCGTCCATTACATCCCCAAGGAACGCGAGTGGGAGCGCGATGAGGTGACCCACGCCATCAAGCCGGTACAAAACATCCCGCTGCCACTGATTGATACACCGGAATCGCACCAGGGCATCTGGGGCGGCGAGGCGGTAATCAAGGGCTTCCAGAAGCGCCAGCAGACCAAGCGTCGCGTTCCGCATTTCTGGGTACCGAACCTGCGACGTTCGGTGGTGCACAGCCATGTGCTGGACTCCTACATGTCCGTAGTAGTGACCGAGCGCACGCTGGAGCAGATCCACGAGTGTCATGGCTTTGATCATTATCTCCTCAAGAATCGCGCCTGCGATCTTCGTTCCGCCTTGGCTCTAAAACTAAAGCGAGAGGTGCTTCAGGCTCTGCAGAAGGGTGTTCCCGCCTTGGTCGACGAACCCGAGCGTCAAAAGGAAGTTCTTAGGGAATATAACCGCTACCTGGAGTCATATACCCCTGAGGAAATCGATTGGTACGGACATACCTACCTTGAGGCCATTCGCAAGCTACAGAAGCAGCTGCGTGAAGCGGAAAAGGTTGTCCCGCATAAGCTGGAGTTCCGCAGCAAGCTGATCGATCAGCTACGCCAGGCGGGAATACCTGAGGCAGGAAAAGTGGAAAAGTCCGATGCACTGGCAGGAACCTCGGCCGATCACAAGGATTCGGACATCGAGGCGCTAACAAAGCTGTAAGTCTTCCAAGGGGTAACACAGAAAGTGCTGCAAAAATTCCTCTATAAGATCAGAAAAATCTTTAAACCAAAAAAATATTTTTGTGTTAGCCTAGCTTTTGTTTTTAAACCTTATATGTTTAACATAAATTTATTTATTACAGGGAATCGTCGCCCTCCTCCAGTTGGCTGTCCAAGATTAATCCTTTCGGCAAGAAAGAAACCTAGACCGGCTGTCCTCAATTGTTTTTGATTTGTGTGTTTAGCCTCAAAAGAATAAACAGAATTTCGAAAACACATTTTCGATTTATTGGTTTAAAGTTTGTCGTCTAAAGTTTTTATTGCAAATATTATATTTGGTAAAGTGTATAAAAACAATTAGATTCACACACAAAACGTTAACGTACACATCAAAGCAGAGAAAGGAATGCTAAAACAATACAGAAATACATGCACAGCGATGACAAATCAAATACAGTAGCTTAGAACTATGGTTAGTGGATAGCTCCGCAAGCGGACAGAGAGCTTTGTGCCGTATTAATTCCCAATCCGGACAACCAGGCCCTAGGCAATGGGGTTCTTTTTCATCAACTCAATGTCGGCCTTCATCATGTCGCTGACCAGTTCCAGAAAGCTAACTTTGGGCGTCCAGTTGAGCTCCCGCTTGGCCTTGGAGGCGTCGCCCTGCAGCAGGTCTACCTCCGTGGGCCGGAAATACTTTGGATTTATGCGAACGCGTACTATGCCAGTGCTGCTTTCCACGCCCACCTCGTCCACGCCCTTCCCCTTCCACGTTATCTCGCGTCCGATATGCTTGAAAGCGGCTTCAACGAACTCGCGAACACTGTGCGTTTCCCCAGTGGCAATGACGTAGTCGGAGGGCGAGTCTCGCTGCAACATCATCCACATGGCCTCCACGTAATCACTGGCATGTCCCCAATCGCGTTTTGAGTCTAGATTACCCAGCTCAAAATACTCCATCTGCTTAAGCAGAATTTTTGCAACACTTCGTGTGATTTTCCTGGTTACAAAGTTCTCGCCTCTTCGTGGACTCTCGTGGTTGAAGAGGATTCCATTGCAAGCATACATGTTGTAGGCCTCTCGGTAGTTTATTACGATCCAAAAGCCGTACATCTTTGCACAGGCTGAAGAAAGGAGGAATAAACTTAAAGATATTTCTAAAAAGTGTAGCAAAGCAGACTAACCATATGGCGACCGGGGATAAAAGGGAGTCTGTTCGTTTTGTGGCGTCTCCACCACCTTGCCGTACAGCTCCGAAGTGGAGGCTTGATAGAACTTTACGTTTTTTTCCATCCCGCAAGTACGAATGGCGTCGAGAATGCGCAACGTGCCCACCGCATCTACCTCGGCCGTGTATTCACTGAGGTCAAATGAGACCTTCACATGAGATTGTGCAGCCAGGTTGTAGATCTCCGTGGGTTTTACCATATTGATGATCTTCACCAGACTGCTGCTGTCCGTCATATCGCCGTAGTGGAGCTTCATCTTGCCGCCCTTGTGCGCCTTTGGATCGGCATATAGATGCTCGATGCGGGTGGTGTTGAAGGTGCTGGCTCGGCGGATAATGCCATGCACCTCATAGTCCTTCTTTAAGAGAAACTCGGCCAAATAGGAGCCATCCTGGGAAAAAAAAAGTTTGTACTTATCAATCACTTTGAACACGTAGGCATTCTCATAGAAGGGATGTCTCCGAAGCAATCGGTGAGTAATTCCCCATTTACACACCTGGCCGGTTATGCCTGTTATCAGTGCCACTTTATCACGGGAATCGCCACCGGCACCGGTCGCTGTTCCATTTTGGTCCTTGCTGCCGTTGCTGCTGCTTTCAGATCGAGCCTTTTTGCTTTCCGGGGAGCCATCGGAGGTCGACATTATAAATAACCGGGTTTTTACAAAGTATTACTGCCAGTTGCAGTTTTTACAACGATGTAGCTATAGAGTAAACAAAAATGTTATCTGCTCTGAACAGGTAAAATGAAAAATTCATCGGTTTGTTATCGGTATTTCGCGTGACAGTGGGGCAAATTATACATAAAATAAAACATAGAAAAAAATATATAAATAAAATTTAAGAATTCGACATTTTTATAATTTGTATTCTAAGTTGTAATTTAAGCGAATGTTAACCAAATCGATAACCAACAGCCTGCCGAAGTTTAAGCCAATCATTTAACCTTTAAACCTCGTCCGATTCTTTACAAAGCTGCATTCAAAATGTACCCTTTAAGCTTTTCACAAATTTGCATCTTTCAATTATATAATAAAAAGAACTTTATATATGTCTGTCTTTTTAAGAATTCTTATTAAGAATTTATACTGGTCGTGCAGCACAGTGCAGCAGTGTTGCACAGCGCAAAAAACCACGTAGCGATTTTAACTTTTAGCGAAAGTTAAACGAAAAAAAAAACTCAAAGTCGGCAAACCACTGGTTAAGATAAAACCACCCTATATCTTATCAGTACGCCTTCACTCCCAATTCAATCCGATTCACTACCGGGCGGCTATTTCTTCTTCGGATTGAGCATTACGTGTGCGTGAACGTTGGCTTTCCATTTCATTCTTGGATCGGCCGGCCAGCTTGATAACACCGGTGCATAGTGAAAATAGAGGGCACTTTATAATTAAGACCCGACCTCCGTGATAAATTAAAGGCAATTGTCCGCAGCACAAAAATGACGGATCTTATCAGGCAGGGAGCGCTTTTCCTTATGAGCGAGAAGTGCTATGATAACTACTTCCTGGAGCACAACTTCCTGGACAGTAAGTAGCGAATAATTGAAGTGTATTTAATACTTATTAACGACTCACTAAATTTTCCCACAGTTCCCTGCTTTAAGGCATTGCTTAGCAAAGGCCTGGGATTGGCCATTATCGCAGGATCCGTGCTGGTAAAAGTGCCCCAGGTGCTGAAGATCCTCAACAGCAAGTCCGGCGAGGGCATCAATATAGTTGGCGTGGTGCTCGACCTGCTGGCCATTTCCTTCCACTTGTCCTACAATTTTATGCATGGTTATCCGTTTAGCGCCTGGGGTGACAGTACTTTCCTGGCTATCCAAACCGTCGCGATTGCCGTCCTGGTCCTGTTCTTTAACGGTCGCAAAGCTCAGTCTGGGCTCTTTCTCATCGGTTATTTGGTGCTGATGTACGTCCTTAATTCGGGTCTAACGCCCATGTCAGTCCTGTTTACCATCCAGAGCTGCAACATTCCCATCCTGTTGGTGGGCAAGTTATCGCAGGCGTACACCAACTATCAGGCTGGTTCCACAGGCCAGTTGTCCGCAGCCACAGTGATAATGATGTTCGCAGGGTCGGTGGCCCGCATCTTTACGTCCATCCAGGAGACGGGTGACGCCATGATCATCCTCACTTTCATTGCGTCCACCTTTGCCAACTCGGTTATACTGGGCCAGTTGATCTACTACTGGAACAAGCCCGCTGGTGCCGTCAAGGATTCAAAGACCAAGAAGCAGAAGCCCAAGAGCAAGAAGGATGATTAGAAAGGATGTAGGAGTAGTAAAAGAAAAAAAGATTTGAACTCGAAACTTAAGTTGCAACAACTTCTCGATATTGTAGAACAAATACGCAAAGTTTAAATAAATTCAGTCTTAGTTTATTTGCTTGTCCAGCTTGTCAAAGTGCAGCTGGAGCAGCGCCAAAGCACGATAACGATGGGAAATGGTGTTCTTTTCCGACTTAGGAAGTTCGGCGTAGGTCTTATCATAGCCTTTTGGCTGGAACACCGGGTCCCTGCAGTAAATTTAATTAGTTGTCAATTTTATCAAGTTAGTTACGCAAGTGACTCACCATCCAAAGTCTCGGGGGCCGCGGGGCTCTACGATAACGCCCTCGGTAATTCCCTTGAATATCAGGGGCTCTGCATCCACACCATCGCAATAGCCAAATGTGCAAATAGCCTGGGCGGATTTATCCTCCCAACCGTTTAGCAGGCGGAACAACCCCTCCGGCTTTAGCTTTTCCAGAAACCACTTAATGTACGGTCCCGGCAAACCTTCTAATGCATTGAAGCACAAGCTGGTGTCCTCCACCAAAACGGGTCCATTCACCTGGCGAGCAGCCTCCTTGCACTTCTTAATGGCAATCTCATCGATTTCACCTGGGGGATGACAAATATTTAAATGACATCCCGCTAATATACTATATAATGTTGCAGTACTCACCCTGCAATTCCGGAAGATCAATCTTTTTGGACACAATTGTGCGCGGGAAATTGGGTCCCAAGATGGCAACCAATTCCTCCAGCTTTTTGGCGTTGCCGGTGACAAAGGTAATTGGTTTCGACATGTTTAATTTGATCTTATTGTCGTCTTCAATTTAAACTATTAGGGCAAAATGTGTTCACCGCTTACGAGACTTAAGCATGTGGGAGAAATCAGCTGTTTTCTGTTTAGCTTGGGCGCGAAATCAAAAGCAGGGTGGTTATCGCTCAAAAGTTTGTTTCAACTCGCAACAGTCACAAGCTCTTAAGCAGGAACCATGTTATTTAATCGAATAATTTATTCATTATTTACCAAGCTTAGAGCTGCGAACTAAAAATCAAATACATTTTATTTAAGAGCCTTGACAGTAGCATTTCTAGTTGATTTTATTCAATATTTTTCACTTAGATTTAAAGACAAAATTTTATTTCATATGGAGTTTTTTTTTACTTGGGACGATAATGGGTTTTTGGGATGACAAAACTTTCAAATAAATAAACATACACGTGAAAACGTTTACCGCTTGACAACCTTTGGCCTATTGACCTCTTAGTCGTCCAGAGTGAGATGCAAATTGGCCGACGGATGCAGGCCGAGTTCCTTTAGGGAGCTGCCATTGTGCTCCGCCTCGAGGGATTTGCGCGGGAAGGCGCAGATGAGCTTATAGCCCTCCTGAGGGATGTGCTTGTGCGTTTGTCTGATGTACAGCCGCAAAGTCTGCAGTTTGGTGTCCGATGGCCAGCGCAACTGAACCATCTCATCGCTTCCGGCGGCGTTAAGCAGGCGCAGCTTCAAGGCAGTCAGTTCACTCTTGGCCTCGCCCAAGTGATTCTCATAGGAAGCGGCTGCCACACCTTTGAGCTCGTCATCATCGAACTCCTCCAGACTCTCATTATCGCTGGCTCCCTCGGTATTATCCTCTTTCTGCGCGCCTGCACCTCCGTTTTCGTTAATGGAATTCTTGATCGCCAACTCTAGCTGCTCTTCCTCTGTGAGCTCTAGAATTTTGGCCCGCTTCTTGGGAGTTCCCTTAGAGCTGGCCGTCGAGGAGCACGAGGCCTCCGGGTCCACCTCCTCGTCATCGTCGATGTAAGTAACCGACCGCTTAGAGGTGCTGGGTGCATCCTCCTGTATAAAATCGCGGTGATCCTTCAAAAACTGCCTCAAATCGGGTAGGATATTCTCCAGCTTCGGCTCCACACTGCGCCACACTTCCTCGCCTGTGCGCGGATCGATGACGCACAGGTAAGGTAGTGTGGCGCAATGGTAGAAGGCCACGAAGCGCCGACCTTCCGAGGTGTCGTTATCCACTTGCCAGAAGGTGAACTGGCGCCGTATCAGTTTTTTCAGCTCTTTATCAGACCAGACATCACGGTTTAGGGTCTGGGACTGGAAGTTGTCGTCCTGCACATTGACCAGCAGCCAACGCTGCCGTTTGGTGGCAAACTCCCTAGCGGCACTTAGCGATCCGGAGTACAGGATGTCTGTGGGCGGGCGAAACAGGTCTCCGAGGCGGGATGTGCTGGTGGCCGTTCCCGTCGTGGACCGACTGTTGAGTGCCATGGCCTGGCCGGCCACCACCATTTGGGCGGCTCGTCCACGGCGCATACGATGGGCATTGGGGTCGGCATAGACGCCGGTGGCTTGCAGTTGCTCCTCCATCAGAGCTCCCTCGCGGGCAAAGTCCCTCAGGGGATAGACCTTAACTCGCTGGCTGACTCGTGATAGCCGACTGCTGCTGCCCGACGCAAAAAAGTTGTCGTCCTCGGGCAGGATCAGTTGCTCCCTCACAGGGGCAATGGGCGCCCTCACCTCCTCCTCGTCGTCCAGCAGAGGAAGCGATGTGGCTGTGCCTGCTGCAGCCGAGGAAGTGGAGGCAGCTTGTCCGGCGGCGCCTCCTTGTTCGAAGAACAGAGCCACGGCGGCGGAAACATCGTTGGCACAGGCTCCCAGATAATGTTTGGCCTCCTCCGCCGTGCAGGCGGTCACCTCAACCACCTGGTCCACCAGCGCGTCCGGCGCCTCGCTACTGGACATGTCTCTGCACAGGAGTTTTCTGTTTTTTCGCTTGTTAAGATGCGTAGTCGGGAAAATGCGAGTAAACGGGAAAATAGTGCGATTTTCCAGGGACAGATAAATGCGTTCGCACAGCTGTGAGTGCTGGAAAACGTCTGTTATGCGTACGTTTATTTCCAAAAAAGCTTATCGATAGTCAAGAATAAAAAAAATTATTAATATTTAAATATCGGTTATTAATACCTTTTTATCTACAAAATACTTTGAAAGGTTGTTATCTTGCAGCCACAAATAAATTTTGAAAAATTACGCAACAAACTATGCCTACTACATTTTTAATTTTAAACGTTATTGGTACCAAATAAGATACAAAAATATTAAATATAAGGTAAAATATAATTATCTAAATATTGGCCTGTTAATATTAAAAATCATAGAAAGATTTCAAAATTTAATTTAGTCGATTAATTGTTTACACGCCAAAGTCGTCACCTTCTCAACTCAAGTATCACTCCAGTTGAAGTGGTTATTAAGCACTGCCTTTTCAATCGTGTTGCAACACTACTCGGGTCAGCAGCAAAAGAAGAAGAAGCAGCAACAAGACTTTGCGTATCTTGCGCGAAAATCGAGATAAGATTGGCAATCGAAGGGGTCTACGGAACATGACTAATCCGAGCTCTATTTGATCGGAAGTATTCCCATCCGCGAGTGACCTTGAATATGTGAGCGTCGCGAATCGGAGAAAACCGAAGTCAGTACTTCGCCAGCAGCCAGTTCCCAATCAGATTTAAGTGCAACAGTGAGAAAAATTGAAAGTGATTTCTAGCTCAACAAAAGCCCAGTGCCATTTGGTCAAAATCCCAATGAATTTTAAAGGAGTTATGCTGCGGGAAATAAGTTGAACTTCTCATCCCGGGGAAGCCGTTTTTTATTTGTTTACTTATTTATTGTTGTCCGCTGCTGACGTCGCAAGATGGTATCGCTGATAAAGAACCAACTTCTCAAACATTTATCCATGTAAGTGCATAACCTTATCTGTGCCAGCAAATCGAATTACGAAATCTAATTAACTGCAGTTGGGTGGCAACTATAATCAGATTGCAACGAGGAGAACTTGGAGACGGAATTGATTTTTCCCACTTTTCCGTGTTCCCTGTCTGTCGCTCTGAGATTCTGTGTGTGTGTGTATATTTTTCACAGCTTCCCACCCGCCCCACAAGTGCCGTTATTCCACCTGTATTGGCCCGCTTTTATGCCTTCTTTATCGTTTATCGTTTTGACTTGCCCCATGCTAATTTGCCAAGCATCCCCTTTTCTTCCCCTTTTTAAAGTAACAAGTGGATGGCCAATTTCCCACCCACGCACTTTTATATTTTCTTTTTTCTCTACCATAACTGTCTTTTTTTTTTGCTGGCGCCGCATCGTCGTCACTGCGAAATCGAATTCCCCCCAACTCGTTTTTCCAGCATTTGCATGCGAAATTCAATTTTCCGTCCTTTCCTTGCCGCAATATGGTTTACTTAACGGTTACTTGATAACCTTGCCAAGAAAAGGGGCTCTTATGGCAATGGAACGGCGCCATACAAACATGGAAAACAAGTGTTTATTTGTGTACTTACAATTATAAACATTTTACCCCAAGAGAGATTTTACAGATTCGGTGCATACCTATGCACCGAAAAAAGCTTAAAAACTCATTATTAAAAAAGTTTTTTTAAACCTACAATTTTCTGATATTATCAAACTTCGAATAAATCTTTATAATTCATCCATAAATATAAACATATATAATTATGACAAGCAGTGAAGATTATGCTTATAAAACTAGGGCCATAAACTTATAATTGATAAGAAAACCAACAAATCAAATGGCACAGTTATTGAAATATAATGAGTTTTTGATAGAAATCGAGTGGGCTGTTCAACTAAAATCACAATAACATTTTCCCATTAGGCGGTCAACTTTTTGACCTTTAACAACTTAGTTAATTAGCTTTCAAGTGGGGTTACCAAGGGAATAATGTTGGGAAGGCTTCTGTTTTCATGCCCAGTTTCGAGCATTTCTTTTTATATACCTACTTGTCTCCACGCATGAACTTTAATATGTCAAGTCCTGCCACCTGCTTAAACAAAGCAATATTTACCCGTATACACATTGCCATTGTTTTGGCCCCTTTATGCCTTTATGTCTTTGTGCGTTACTTTCCACCTTCCCTTTTATTTCGTTTCCACCTAGGAAGTTCTCTTCCACGCAATTAGGCTGCAAACAAGCCAACTTTATAACATAACACGGCCAAAAAGTGTAAATGCAAAGTAAACTTGTTGCCCAAGTTGTGAGGGAAAAGTTAAAGAAAAGCTTTTTATTCCCCCGTCGGGGCTGCTGGCATTTTTTGCTTAACATAAAGTTAGGGAAGAGGTAGCCAACCTGATCGGCATTTATAATCACCCAGGGTATTGGATGGGCATTCCCTAAAGCTTAAATAAAGTTCTTAAGTAACAAGTTGTGGAATTCCGCTCCCGTGAACCTTTCGCCACTTTGAACCAATCAGTGTCTTTATTTCGATTTCAATTATGCCCAGCCATTAGCGGGAGAAATGGGTCAATTGGTGGCAATAGCAACCATCTGGCGCCGACAGTTCACTCGCTTCAAACCCCTTCTTAGCTTCAATCCCCCATTATTATTCTCGAACGCCCTGCAAATGCGATGTGACGTGTGCGATGAGGCTGAAATAATTGGCGGAACGAGCAGGCGACTCCTTGGCTCTCTCTCATCTTTATGTCTTTACTTTTAGCTATACGAAGAACCTTTCCTCGGACAAAATTAACCTGAGCACCTTTCGCGGCGAGGGAGAGCTATCGAATTTGGAGCTGGACGAAAGAGTGCTTACGGAACTGCTGGAACTCCCCAGTTGGCTGCGACTCACTTCCGCCTGGTGCAATCATGTCTCCTTCCGGATTAGCTGGACCAAGCTCAAGAGCGTGCCCATAACGCTGGTGAGTAAGCCTTCGGGATTAAGTCAAATAAAGCAGTGAATGACATTCTGTCCAGCATTGTGCACTTTAAAACATTTACTGCTGTTTCTTTAGAAGACTTTCTGTATAATAGAATGTGTTTAATTAAATATCTACCAATTTTTGTTTAGACCCTCGATGAAGTTCGCATCACCATTGAAACCTGCAACCCAACGACACGCGATGCAGGCGGAGGATCTGGAGCCGGCGGAGCAGGATCTCCCACGGCTGCCGCCGCTGCTCTGCCACAAGTGCCGCAGGGAAAGTATAGCTTTATCCACAAGGTGGTCGATGGGATTACGATTGTGGTCAACACGGTGAACGTGAACTTCGTGAGCGCCGCCTTTACCGCCTCCGTTCAGATGTCGCGCATTCGTGTCGAATCCAAGACGCCGAAGTGGGCAAATGCCGATCTACGGCTGACGCGGCTAAAGGACGCTCAGAAGGGTATCATACTGATCTTCAAGGAGCTCTCCTGGCAGACGGTGCGCATCGAGGCCAGTTCCACGCAGGACAAGTCGCTGACCCCGCTGCGACTACTCACCAATCATGCCAGGTGCCGGATTACTATCCGGAAAAGGCTCTCCGACTGTTCGCTGCTCGCTTCCCGCCTGGTCCTAATCCTGGACGATCTGCTGTGGGTGCTGACCGACTCGCAGCTGAAGGCGGCTCTGCATTTTGTGGACTCCCTGTCCGGATTGATCAAGGCAGCCACTCATGCCACCCAAAAGACCAAGGCAGCACGCAAAATGCAGGTGAGATTGTAGAAACTAAACTTATTTATTATTAGAGGGAATTTTCCTTTTTCTAAGACGAAGAGATAAGGTTTGATGTTGACCTTCAGGTTCATCATTTGAATTGATTATATTTTCTTGCTGCTTTTATAGACACTGCCCGAGTACAAGGCCCAGGTGGAGCAGCAGCAGAATCGTCTCTCCGAATCAGCCCACACGACCAATGCTCAGCGCATGTTCAACGCCTTCGATGTGCGGGAGACCTCGTACCACTTCTTTAGCCAGCGCATCGATCTCCATTTGTGCGACGACGAGGGAGATGGACGTTCCAGTTATCCGGATTTGGACAAGGGAGGAGCCTTGCAGGTTTCGGTGACCGCTTTCCAGGTGGACTACTATCCCTACCATTTGGCCAAATCGGATCGTTCCCATTGGGCCAAGTACAAGGAGGCTTCGGTGGCGCCGGCTCTGTGGCTGAAGGAATCGCTGAATGCTTTTCGTGAGGCAGTGCTCAATTTGAGTCAGCCGAATCGACCCGCCACACATGCACCACTCGAGCGGAGCACACCCGCCTCACCCATTATGCTCAGTGCCAGTATGCTGGGCTCGCAACACGGTGGTGGCAGCTTCTCCAATGGCAGCAGCACGCCCACGGCAGCAGGAGTGGCAGGGGGATCGGGGGGATCCATCGGTTCTGGTTCCGCCTCCGTCAACAGCCAACTTTCGCAGCAAAGGAGCACCCTGGAGAACTTGGCCAAGCTAATGAGTTCGTGCGTAATCCTGCGTATCGAGGACTTTACTTTGTATCGAGTCACCACATCGGGAAAGAAGGCCATGCCCAAGGAATTCGTTTCGGGTATGGATTTATCCTGAAATGAAGCAAACATCACTTACAAACCACGCCCACATAACAGTCCACAAACATAACACTTAATTAAACAGGCTTCACTTTTGTGAACTAAGTTTTTGACAGGATTGAATCCTAAAACAAAGAACAATTCTTTAAGATTTTCTTACAATTAATAACTTAATTTGCAAAAGTGATTCCTAAGCATCTTCAACTAATGTAACAATTTGGCATATCTCTTTCTCTCGTTGCTTCTAACTGACTAAACCATTCCATCCATGAATCATGTAAAACGCTTTTATTGTTGTATTCGTTGTTGTTGTTGCCCTTGTAGCGCAACATAAAAGGAAGAGCAAATCCTCAGGTGAATATCATAATCGATACTAACTTTGCTGATGTCATGTTGCCTTTCAATTAAAATTAAAATCATTTTCTTGATAATTTATTGATTATGTCACATGCTTACAGGTGACAAGGATCGATATTCCTTTCCCGCCGAGATGCCCATTATACACGCGGAGTATACTTACTTCTATTATCCCGGGGACTTTGTCTTTCCATGTAAGTGTGGAAGAAATACCATTATTTGGTCGAGTATCATCAATGTTTCCTTTGCAGTACCTCCCTCAAAGGTTTTCGTGCATGTGAATCCCATTCAGGTGCACTTCGATCTCAGCTCAATACTGTGGCTCAACTCCTTTGGCCTCAATCTGCGCGAGAGTCTGCTGCGCACTAGCGTTGGATCCCAGAGCACTCTGCAGCTGCCGCGCGGCTCGATTGCCTCCAATGGCTCCAATGGCACACAGAGGGCGGCCGTCAATGTAGACCCGGAGCCGAATCTGATGTACATGGACGTCAAGGTGGAAGCGATTATGCCGCGTGTCGTGATGGAGGCGGCGTTAGACGCGCCCAGCCAAAAGGACCGGCCCAAGACCATGCAGATCCAGGTGTCGCGCTTTGCGCTGACCAACATCCGCGAGATGGGAAGCTCCAGGGCGGATCTGGCCCAGGCACTGCACTCGCTGCAGGAGGGCTCCTTGGTCTTTGGCTCCGGCTTTCCCTCCGAGGAGGGCGACATGTGCATCGTGACGGATCGCATTTTGTCCCACGTCGCTGCCTCGGACGTGAGCATGATTTCGGCCGGTTCGCCGACGATGGGTCAGCAACTGCCGCGATCCGCATCCACGCAGTACCTATCCCGTTATGTCATGTGGCTGGAGCCGCGGGACGTGTGGTGCATCAAACTGGACCCGATTTGGGTGGATTTCCTGGGCGCCCGCTCGCTGGGCCCCAACAAATCCATACCGTTCGTCGACGCGGTCCCCATCACACTGTGGCTGCACTCCGGCTCCGCCCAGGCACAACTGGATGTGGGAAAGAGCGGAACGGCGGCCAGCATGGAGAGCATGGGCCTGGCCCCGCTGCCCACGCTGCCGCCCCTCCAGCCGTGCAATCCCTTCCTGAGCGACGAGGATGTGCGACTCGCTGGCGTCGCCGCGGGAGAATCTCCGCCTGCTGCTGCTCCGCCGGACCGCACGGCGGACGTACATGCCATTGCGCACATTTCGAACCTGGTCAGCCTCCAGATCGATCACTACCAGCTGCTCTTCCTGCTGCGCCTCGCCGAGGAATTGAATGAGATGTCCACGTTCCTGAACTTGGATGCCGAGCGCATATTGCAAAAGGTTTGGATTGTCTGGTGTTGAGAATTGATGAAATGATTGGTAATCCATATTCTCGGCTTGTAATCCCCAGCAAAACGAACCAAAGTCGATCATTTTTGGGTGCGTTGTGCCGCAGATCGAGGTGACGCTCGTGATGCCATCGCCAACACCTGGTAAGGAATCAAGTGGTGGTGATGCTGAAAGTGTCGTACCCGATTCAGCTAGTTTGGGTGATGATTTACACATGAATAGTAAGAATTTATATATCTTTTGTTGTCTCTTCTTCAACTCTCTTTAGTTTTAATGGTTAAGTGACCCACAAACTAACTAACTCACGACCGAACTCCATCCAGTGGAGTTCTCTGCGATCTAACACAACCACACACACGACTCTAGTTAGTGTCTAACTCACACGTAGTTGTCACCGATATCGTGTTGTTCTTAGTCCCAACCCAGATACTAACCCCTCACCACTCAGATCACCAGACTAACTAGAATCCTAATAGGAGCCAGTTCACACTTGCCGCTGTAATTGTCGCTTTCGAATCGTACCTTAACTTTTACAATTGTTATGCGTTTAGGCTGGGCACCTAGGACCTTCGACACTCTATTTAGGAGTAGTTTGACTAAAGCCGAAGGGAAAATTTAAATATTTTCATCACATTTTAACTGCTTTCCCCGAGGCTTCAGTTAAACACTCCTTCTAATTATCTCGCATGTCTTTTTGTACTAAATTACTAACCCAAGCAGCAATTTTAGTGCATATCTAATATTGTAAAGTGATCGTAAAATTGAACTTCTGACGAACATTTCCAATTAACACTGATAAATCCCAACCAGGCGGCAACATAACCTGGCCCACACCACCGCCATTGGATCAGCTGAAGAGCAATACCTTCGGCAGCGTAGAGACTCCATCCCCGGTTACCAATGACCCGCCTTTCGACAGTGGCATACACATATCCAATCCCAATACACATGGGTGAGATAAGCATGTCCTGGCAATGAGATGCTCTTAACTAATTTATCTTCCATTGCAGCTACAATGTGCAGATACAGAGTACGCCCACCATGGCCTCTTCCACGCCAAGTCAGGGATCTCGCCCGGATACGGGTATTTCCATGCAGTCGCAATCGATCTCGTCCGCCTCGAAGAGCGGCAAAAGCGTGGCCAGTCGATCCGGGGGAGTGGACACCGTGCCCAGTCTCACCAAGGAGTTCAACTCCGGACTGCTGTCCATGAAGAAGGGCTTCTCGAGCTTCATGACCTCCATTGATTCGGCCATTAAATCGGGCACCCCCAACGACGATGCCAGTGATACGTTCTCCATTCAGAGTGACATTAGCTCCGATTCGGAGAACTTTGCCAGTGTGATGGGCGACGACAAGACCATGGACTGCATGGACGTGATGTTCCGGCTGAATCCCTTCACCAATGACAACAACATGAAGGCCTCGCCGGTGGAGGTGGCCAGCGAAGTGTACGAGGAGCAGCCGAGCAGCTATAAGACGAACATGTCCTCACCGTCGGAACCCTCGGAGGGCAGCACCTGGCGGCGACGGGATCTGGTTTCCATGGCCACCTTTAGGTAGCTTCAGTTTGATAAGAATCCCTAAGAACTGTATTTTAATTAGATTTTTCAATTCCAGGTTGACCACCGTGGAGCTGATTCGCCAGCAGGAGGGACCCAAGTCATCGGTTCGCCTGCAGGTGGCTGCCGTTTCCTGCGATGAATGTGGAGCCATTCCCTGGGACGAGTTGCAGGTAGTCTTCTCCGACGGTTTCCATTTGCTTTTGCTGGAATATTTTCAGTTTCTTGTCTTTCATTTGTTTTGTGTTTGGTTTGTAAATACCAAAATAATATTTATTCTATTGTGATTCTTTAGTTCCTCTAAAGATTTTGCTCAACTAAATGTTTTGCGCTTAACTTTTTGCATGTTTCGATATCTTTTATCCGAACATTTTCGAATATAAATCACTTTTAAAGTTGATCCGTTCTGTTCATCTGTTGGGGAGCCCCCGAAAGTTTATTTAAAGCAAAAGATTTCTTTCTGTAAGATAACTTATCATATAATCATTTTCTCATTATATTTTCTCTCTTCTCTCTTAAAACAAATATTTAATATACTCAAAATCAATCTCAATGTGTGCTAATCAAAAACGAATTCGAAACCAATTATTGTGCTCAACTCTTTATAATCAACATGAAACGAACACTTGTAAATTGAATTATGACAATCCTTACATGACACAACTTTCAACAATTACAACCAACAATCACCAACAACTACAACAACCAACAACACTTCAACCAAATAATAGATCGCGCATCAAGCAAACAAGGTATAGAATGTACAAAATTTGAAATTCCTTACTTAATTAATTGCTTAAGATTATGATTTTATTTTGCCGCTTTGTATATACTATCGAAATTCTTATTTATTAACATAATGGTTTAATGGTTTTTGGTGCGACCGTTTTCCTTTCATTGTAGTGGACTTTTGGCTTGATCGCAAACGCATTTTGGCGTTCTTGGCCTCTAGTTGAGTAGTTAATAGCTTGCCGTGGGTCGTTCATAGCTGGTAGCCACTGTGAACGTACCCGGAATTAATATGATCAAGCGTTTCTGGCTTTGTAGCAATCGCTAAACTCTTGCGGAACTTGTTTGGAAATGGTTTACTGATTCGATTGTTATTTATAAGCATGAAGCCGGTTAGACGAAGCTATCTCCAAACATTTGCTAGTTCTTCCCACACAATAAGTACATGCCTAGTTCCCCAGCCCGAATTCCATTTGATTTTATATTTTCCTTGGTATTGCTTTGTTGATGACTTATGATTTGCAACGAATTGGTTTATTCGGACGCGAGAGATCGTAAAAATACCGCAGGCAAATGCCTCCGAAATAAGTACAGTAGAACAACAGAGAAACAGCACTCACTGACCCAAATAATTGGCCTCATAAACCAACCGACTAACCACTGTACTGGTAAAACTAACAATGTAACTAAATACACCCGCTTCTTCAACAAAGGAACATTTTTCCATCTTTCCCATAACACCCACATCAACACAATCAAACCCACTCGACTCGAATCCACATTGCATGGTGTTGCCTCGAGCTTGGCATGTCGTTTCCGAAGTAGCTGTTTCCAAAGTAGCTGATCATGATCACAAATTTATTGGGCTTGAATTAAAAATACTGTTTGTGTTTTACCCCTTGAACTCAGACGAAGTTTGGAGCTCGTTGCAAAGCCTGGAATCTGGCGCCATATAATCCAGAGGCTCCGCCTTGCATTCGACTGCGTTTGGAGGAGACCCTGGACATGCCAAAGGAAATTGAAGGCATCATCGATCGCAAACGCATCCAAAGGTGAGAAGGAATAAACAATATATAGTTTATGTGTTTAATATTTATACCTGTATTTTCTTTAGCTGGATAACTCACCATGCCGAAATACGTGTGAAAGACATAAACTTGGATCTGTCGATGAGCACCGTAATTGGATTGGGTGATCTGGCCGAGGATGAGGTCATTTCTCCGCCGATGCCAGTGACCGTAAGATATTCTCAATAACCTCTCTTACATACCTCAACTTATTCATTTATTTGTTCTAAGGTAAATCTGGAAAATGTACGCATCAATTTGCTTGAGGACCGTCCACCCGTAAATATTACCTCACCGGGTCCCGTGCCCATAAATCTGTGCATTGGTCGCATGCGCTTGGAGCGTGACAAGAGTGGATTGCTCAACATCCAGCCTATAGGTGGGATCTAGCTATTTCCGGAATTTGTAATTTATGGCATTTACTAATTATGAATTTTGGACGACAGATACAAACATGAGTGCCGCGCAGCATCAGGCGCTGGGCAGTGCCTTATTCGGAGCCCCTCGAGAGCGTGATCGCGAATTGCTTTCCATGCAGCTGGTAATGCAGCAGATGAAGCTGGACAACGATCAACTGCGTCGGCAACTTGTGGACTCCAAAGTCAATACGGATAATTACAGGTAAGGAAATTAAATAAAATAATAAAATCAGTTACTCACGCTTCGAAGTATCTCCGATAGACAAAAGACCAAGCAAGAGGCGGATGTGCTGCGATCTTATTTGAAGGCCGCCCAAGATGACATCAGCATACTGCTGGAGGAGAAGAAGGCCTTGCTGGACACCATTCGTTCCCTGCAGGTAATTCCAGGGGCTTTGCTTCTAAAGCACAAGACTTTCTCACCGTTTCACTGTCTCTAACTTTGTTGACCGTAATGTTCACCTTGACACCTTATTGCTGTTGTTGTTGTGCGTAAAGTTAAATCTCGTTAAGCTTAAGAACACCACAAATAATAATGCAAGGATAAAAGGTCAGTTAACGCCCAGCACGCTTTTGAGCCTTGCCTGCACTTCCCCACAACTTTTCACACGCGTTCTTGCTTCCTTTTACCCCATCTCATCTATCTCGAAATGATCTAAGGACTTGGCTTGTTTTCTTATAGGTGCAACTGACCTCATCGAATATGAGCCGAAAGAGTGACGGCAACAGGTAGCACAACTGCATGGACTGCATACAATGCTGCGGCGAGAACAATAATGCCTAGCCTTAGGCTCCAGCCAGTATGCCGTGTAGTCAGACGACAGTTCCCTCTACAACGCCATGACGTCCTTAGCATCATCGCCATTCGCTTTTGAGTTTAGCAGAAGACTGAGCCGTTCCGAAAACGGACACTTTTCACGTTGCCGTTCGTCATTCTTACTTATACAAGAACTTTTACGTATACTCGGAAATCTATAGCTATATATATTGTTTTCATCGGTTTTAAGCTGCCACAAGCTTTTGCTATCGTTCCAAAGAATGCTTTATTTTTTATTGTTTTAGATTTTTGGAAAGACTTTATGTTGATCTATTGCATAGCCTTCTCAAAAAACAGACTTTTATCTAAACTCCATTGTTAATTATTAACTAAATGATAATCAAAACGAAAGCTCGAACTATGTACAGTCGTGTCATTGATATTGCGCCCACTCAACATATTGTATATTAAAGCTTATTCCATAGATATTGGATAGGACATATTGTTGTGATTCATGATCATATCAAACTGAATTCTAGTATCTGTATGCATTGCTGTTGTATCGTGTGCTAGCGAGTATTGGCCAAATTTATTATATTGAACTTTATAGTATTCTCTCCGATGGGATGGACTCATCAAAGAGCTAAAGAAATTTGTATTCGTCTTCTCATTGCATTCCAATTGACTCGATCATTGTTTGCTTCAACTATTAATCAAAGCTAAATACACAATGCAATAAAATAATCAAAAGTGTTATAGTCATCCTATACCTTCTTACTAATAAAATGAAACTAAAATCAAAAGTACCATTTTCAGTAAATAAAAAAACTCAAGTCAGTAACGCGACGCATATACAAATTTTAAATTAAAAGTTTTCATATTTCAAATTGTAAATGAACAAAATGTTTCTATTTGTATTATAAAGTTTAATATTAAACTAAAACGATTATTGATTGTTATACATTATATGAAAGTTTTCATCTGTAGCTAGGCGAAATAAAACATAAAAAATTGAAGTCATATTAAATATTGCAAATATATTCAAATGTAAATGTTTGTTCCATGTGTTTTACTTTGGGGCCACCAACAGGACAGTTCTCGAGGGATTACTGTAGTAAAAGGTAATTAATGGTTTTAGAAAAACAACGAGGGGTTTACTTTTATAAGAGTTTATTTTTATTGAAACTTTACGATCATAGCCAACTGCTGTTGCTGCTGTTGTGTCTCATTCATAGAATTAAATACTTTTTAGAGCGGTTTCTGTTGCTGCCTCAATCTCTATTCGTGGCAAACTCCTGTTTTTCTTGCGATTACATATGTAAAGTTGCACTAAATTAAAGATAAACCCTTGAAAAGTTGCACTTAAAAATTTCGATCTTTCGTCAGGCGATGTCTTTGTTTATCTCACTTACATTTTGTATACATATATATTTCAAGTGTATTAATTTGCAAAAATATCTATTGGTATATAGTCCGATTTAGAAGAACGCCTAAAATACAGTTATGGGATAAACTGCACATGCACATATGTATGTAAGTACGTCTATGTGTGGGGGATCGGGGGATCCATCAAAGTACGCAATCGAAACGCAAAGTTTGTTCAACAATCAAGCAACAAAGAGTTACAGTAATAATAGAGCAATAATGAACATTTAAGCTACAATTGTAATGACATTTGCGTATTGCGTATGCCTTCGCCTCAAATAAATTTGCATTAAATATTTGATTTAATTTCATGTAAAATGCTTACAAATTAATTGTACAATGTGAAACAAGGCCATTTATGTAAATGAAGCGGTAAAGCTGCTCGAAATTCTTTTCTTCGTTACGATTTATGATTAATGTTTGCATTAATGTCTCCTTCAGTAACAGGCGCGTGTTTAATGACTTACTGATCAGCTTACTTATAAGTAGGTATATATTTATTTTTGTTTGTTCTTTATTAAAAAATGCTAGAAAACACAAAAATCATTAGTTGTGGATTTTTTTACTTCATTTTTTATTTGATTTTTTCTTGTTTGTTTGTTTTAAGAGTAATCTTAGTTCTTCTTGTTGTTTTATACAAAAAATCAACAAAATAGTTAAACTAAAACTAAAGCAAAGAATTAATTAATTAAAAAAGGTTCACAATGAAAACTATAAAAGTTTAAGTCGAAATGACATTTGAATTGAATCGGAAATTTGCTGGAACTCATAAAACTTTTAATTGCATTGCTGCGTCTAAAAAATCGTTTACTTCTTTATTTCCCTCACTTTTTTGTTTGTTTGTTGTTGTTTCGTTCGTTAAAAACTTAAAGACACTTGGACAATGTTTGAAACTGCTACGAGTTGTTGGTTGATAAGTTGATTTGGGTTTCTTTAAATTTGATTTACAATTATCGATTGATGTAGATTGCAATTATACAATTAATATGTAAACATTGCTGCTAGACTTGTTATTTATTTAATGCCTGGATGAATATTAAAACCATTCAAATAATGCTTAATAAATAAATAAACATGTTTTATTGTGGTTGTTTCTGTTGCTAGTGCGGTTTACTTGTCCTTGTCAGACTCAGTGGCGGCCACTGGCTTCTTGTTGCCGATGGGGATGGCCACTCGGATCCTGAAACAAAACCAATCATTTAATTTATATCTTAAAGGAGATGAGATGGTACAACTCACTTGTCGGTGATTTCTGTCAATTTGCTGCGCACGAGATCCAAGTAGGTGTCGATCGATTGCTTGTTGTTCTCGTAGACCTTGGGCAAGGTAAACAGCGAGACAAAGGCTAAACCAAACAAGAGATGATATCAGTTATAAATCCCATTAGGTATAATTAATCCTCCGCTTACCCAAGATGACCAGAGTCATGCCGTTGAACCAGGCACCAACGTAGGTGAAGACCCACAGAATGACGCCGAACTTGATCGAATCGATGATGTCCTCAACGAGAAACAGACGCCTCAGCTCGGAGGTGAATCCATTGATATGTGCCACAGCCACGCCAGCAATGTTCTGCACCTTGTCCTGCGACAGCGTCAGATCCAGCTCCAGGTATTCCCTGATTTAAAAATTAGGTTAGTTAAATATCTATTTAACTAATTCCTGATAAACACTCACTTGAAGGGATGTCCCTCGTTTGTCTTTTGCACGGCCTGTGTGACCGATTTGTAGATTCTGAAGGCCACGGTGCCGAAAAGAGTCAGGAGCGACAAGTAGGCGAACACGCTGATCACCGAGAAGCTGGAGATGGCCACCAATGTGATCAGGCCGGCGCCGAAAACAATGCCGGATTTCTTCACATCACGCCAGTAGATAAGCGACTCCACTGCAAAAGAAAAACAAATGGCTTAATAAGTAATTGCTCTCAATAGTCAAAGACAAAACTGTTTTGAAATATTTTGTGTATTTGATTTTTCATTCCCAATTTATACCACTCATAAACTGTGAAAAGAGGCGAGATGAAGTGAACAATGTGGACGGAATATACAAAAATATACAGAGACACACACGTTCAGTCGCTCGCACATATATCTTTTCAGCTGGCGGCAATTATGCAACCTATGAGATAAATAGATGAATTTGATTCGAGCAGCACGGCCAGCCGATGTGCTAAAGGTGATTATTGTCGGCATCTGTTGGACGGCATGCAACCAAGCTTTGCATTATATCCTAACCCTTAACACCCCCTTATATTTCTTCCCGTTTCACTCACACAAATGGCTCGACATTTCGGATATTCGGATTTTCGGGTTTTCCTACGGATCGTTCGCGGTGCTGCGTTTGACGTTCGTTGCCAAGTTCTTCACACTAGAGAAATATTATTTAGCGTCTGCTGGCCGGGAGCAGAAAATATAAGCATGGCTAGAAGAAGACATCAGATTTTCCGGACCCAGCCGGAAAACAAAAGAGAAGCGAACGGGAATAAAGAGAATATGCTAATGGGAAGAGCGGTGGCCAAAGAGTGCTGGCTAAGTGGCAAACGGAAATGGTTCGCATCGCCCAAGAATCGATTGTCCAGCTCGTGCCGGAATATCTTTTTCCGAACTCAGTCGCTGACGTAAACACCTCTATCCGCTGTATCTTTTGGCCAGCCGCTTTCAACTTTATTCGCTTTCGCTGGATTTACCTACCGATAAGAAGTCACTGCCCCACGGCGTCTGGGTTAACCCAATTAAGATACTAAAACAAACAATAGTTCTATAAATACAACTCAAGTGTTGGAACTGTTGGATTTGCCAGCTCATTGGGAGGTCATTAATTCGTACTGATTTATAGGGGTTCTCAGGTCGAAAACTATGAAGGGAAATCCAGTAAGGTGTTGCCTTTAATGAATGATATATTACCAATAACGATAATTAAACTTTACTACCTAGGAACTTGAGGTAGGTAATTTATGGATGAGCTTTGTAACTTTTAAGATAATATTTGAGTTAGTACTAAAGTGGAACCCATCAAATCATAAAACTATCAACGAATCCAGAATCTCACTAGTATATATCTCTATAGAATACACTTAAACAAATACAAGATAATTTTAAACAAAAGACAACAAGAGGGGGGATAACAAAGCTGGGTAAACTAGTTTTAGGCTGGGACTCGGTTCGAATTTGTCTAAAGTTGCCCGGCGAGACACGATCTGAGGGGGTATTATGTAAATATGGGGGAAATAAATTAGAAAGGAGACAATGCTGATGATATGGCAGTCCGAGTCTGAGGCCCTAAACTGGGTTACAAAGTCTGAGAAAGCAATCTCGTGGGAGAAAGTTTCCAGAGTATCAATTGAATCGAACAGTTCGTTACAATTGCAACTTGATCCCCGCCAAAGAGATGATGATGATGATGATGGAACTGGTTTGGTTCGCCTTGAAACCCGTTTTGGTCGAAAGTGAAGTGCAGCCTCCTCGGGGCAGAATAATACAAACGTAGTAGTAGCAGCAAATATTATTACAGCAAAAAAATAGATAAGAGTGACAGTGGCTGATAACATGGTACTTGCTATGTCTACGCTTGTTTAATATAATTCAATTAAAACTGCCAATGCAAGCTGGAATTATGATGATGAGCTAAAATTTGGTTTTGCTGGTTGCCAAGCACAGATCACAACGTGGCAAAATAGCTATATAAAATTAGCACTGCCTGAGTTATGGATTGAACGAAATTTGGATAGTAATGAGGGAATTTCGACAGGTTATTGGTTATATTTTCATTCAATATTTTGGCCACGTTGGCGATGATACCCGGCTGCTGACGTTGGCAGCAATCACTGCCGCCGTATACCCAACAAATAATTTTTATTCCACGACCCCACGAAGATAAGACCCTCGACTGCGTTGGTTCTGTGTGGGTCTTAAAGCACAAAGTGGACAACGTGGACCAGAAGACAGGTGATAACGCCGGCGGAGATAGCTCCCTGATTTCTTTTTTATTACCTGGTCCGCGCTCTGGAAGCGGCTGGAAGTTGCCGTTGGAATTGTTGCGTGAGTAGCGCTTGCTGCCGCCTGCCATTTTTCTCTTTATGTTTTTTATTCGATTTTAAAAACCGTTACTAGCTTGGCGCCAAAATGTATGCAAAGCGACTAGGACTTTCGCGTGTTTAGGCTTAATTAAAGCGCAAAACTTAGTGAGTTAGCTAGTCGAAACACGGACACGCACGCACACACACACTGGCACTCGGGGACGATTCGGCCGACCGTCTGTTTGGAGCGCAGCAAAAGAACTGGAAGAAGTTGGAGCACAAATTAAACCAACAAGCCTCCAATTTGCCATCGCATATGGGGAACTGCTTGGGCAGAGCGAGCAGGACAGCGAGTGCAGAGGGCTGGTGGGTGAAAGAGAAGGGAAGAGCGGCGCGAGAGTGGCGGCAAACAAGTTTTTGTATTGAAAAGGCAGTGGGAGCCACGCCAAGCAGTGCACAGTGAGCGGGCAAGCATTATAATCGATTAATTATTACAAGTCCGTTTTTAGAACCCTGACTCTTAAAAAATCCACTAAAAATAATATTACTGCTCCTCCATAATTTTATATTTTTTTCAGTAAATCCTAATCCTTGTTCAGTAAATCCTAAAAATCTTTTTACAAAATGAAACAAATTGTTTAAAGGCTTGCAGATTTTTCAAAAATCAATATATTAAAAAATTAAATAAAAACTAACATAGGTAAATTCCTTATCATAAACCACTGTGCGTTACCAAAGAGCGGGAGAGAGCGGGACCTCGACGATCCGCATTGAAAGTAAAAGATAACGCGCAGTAACAACAACAAATGTGAAGCAGGGGGCGGGAGACAGTACGTACATACGTACAGATGTCAGCAAACGTGTCAACTTTAACCACGAACTTGGATTCGCGACTCGGCTCTGTAGAGCCGAAGATTGTAGATTGCGGATTGGACTTACGTAGTGTTACGTTGAGTGACGTAGAGGGTGGGGTTCTGCGGTTGAATCATGGTTCCGAAGCGTGACCAACAATGGCGAAATGCGGGAAATGCTAACACGTACCATGTCGGACTTAAATCAATAAATTAAATCTGCACTCAAATCCGTCGAGAGTTACACTGCTTATCTAGGCGGTCAATGGACTGCACTGCTTTCGATAGGTTTTACAGTCACTGTAAAACAATGTGTGCATTTCCATTTCAAGTGCCCGGCTCAAAACGCAATAAGCCTGGAAAACTGCGTTTTGGCGAAATGCGAAAAACGTTTATAGTGACATCATCCACAAACACTTAAATCCAAATTCCAACCCCAATCACCTCTAACGCTTTTGCGTTGCTTTTCTTTTTGGCGCGTTTGAATGAGTAAGCTCTGTTTCAAAGTTTCTAATGATATCATAGCGATGTTCGCTGCTGACATAATTCCTAAATGCTCGCCAAATAACGTTCATAAATACAATAATTGTGCGCACCTGACATTGTCAGAAAATCTGCTAAATTGCATAAGGCCATGTTAATAAACAATTAAAAGAAATGCAGCAAACAAGAGAGAATCAAAAACATAAAATAAAACAGCAATCAAAAGAACAAAAATGTACTCAGCACTCTTGGCATACTACAAAATTTGTAAAGTCGATTCCATTTTTTTTTAAATTTTTTGGATGTTAGGCGTGACTTTAGAAAAATTAAACACTCACGCACGCACCACTAATTAGGACCCTAAGAAAGTTCCACGAATGACAAATCACTGGAGACTTTATTCGCTTATCAAAAAAAGTTACCAAGGGGGAAGTGCTGATAAGTGAAAATAACCAAAATGAACCAGATTAAAAATAGTTTTAAAACAATGAGAAGTGAATTAGTCGGTGACTGAGCTTTTTATAACACGTATCAGAAATGAAACTGCAACAATTCACAAATTCCTTATCTAATCAAACATTGAAGAAGGAGATCTATCAGCCCGCTAAGCCGAAATACACTTCCCACTTTTTCCTATAGTTTTCAACATTCTACGACACTAAAAAGAATATTTAAAAATAAATTATAGCTGCAATTAGAAACAACGCACAGCCAGAGAGTGTGATAAAAGAAAGAGACAAAGAAGAGAGTGAAGAAAAAGTAAAAGAAATTTCCCTCAAGGGAAATTCTTTTTCTATTTGATTTTCAGCTGGCCATGCGGTCGGCCCTCATATTTTACCCAAACCTCAAACACTTAAGGTCGATGAAATTCTATTTGATTTCATTTAATTCTACTTACACGACTCTCGGTTCAGGGGCAAATCTTTGAGTTCGCCCAGAGATTGCAGAAGACCCTGCAGCGTTTCCAGACCAGCAGCCATCGTGTATTGTGTTTGGGTTAACAACTGAGTATATATGGTTTAAATTCTATCACACTAAAGCTTTCCGCCCGACTGCAAGAGAAAGACAGACGAAAGAATCAAATGTAGAGAAAGTTCTTTCGAGCGGTTCACGGATCGAGGAAATGCGAATAATGCAACTGCGGGGCATTAACATTAACCGCTTGCGTACAACTGAACGATCGCGAGCCAAAACCGATCGGATCCGACCTAGACGAGAGATATAGAACAGGGCCGAGAGTTCCCCGCACTCGCAATCGGATTTTCAGGCGGAACTGATATGGAAAGTGCCAACCGACATGGCAAGATAATACGACGGTTTTAAAATTATTATTATTTTTATATTATATCATTCACTTTTGATTTATTCACTTTATACCGATAACCACAATGGCTAGGTGCAAGATTTGATATTGAATATGAATACAGTGGTCACTGGCTAACTTCAAAATGATTCTTAAGGTACAAAGTTTTACAGGGCTAAAGGCTTTTGTGATTTCAAGTCTCTTTAGGCGTATCTTAAAGTGTGATATGACCTTTGCATCGTTTGAGGTAAAAGTACTTATAAGCCCTTTAGATTTGTTTGTTATTTGTCTGGAATTTCACACCTTCGAGCAACCACTGTATCCACATTTACATATATCGCCAGCGTTAGGGCACCTATCCAAGTTATATAATTAGAAAAGTATCCGCACAAAAAACACGAGAAATTCCGCGACTAGTTGGGCGGGGGAAAATTGAATGCCGAGTGCTGAATGCTGCGACGACAATGACAAAGTCGCGGATTCGTGTTTTCTGTCAGCTGCAAGTGCAGGTCATCCGAGGAGTTCAAACAGCTGACGAAAGAGAAAGGGGAGCCACGCACAAACACACAATCCGGCACACCAAGTGCGGAAAGAACCATTTACCGATCTCGTTTTCGTTTTCCCGATCTCGATCCCGTCTCTTTGGGGCAGTTTGACGTTACGTCGTTGAAGTCCGTACAACAACTAAACTACAATTAATTTCAGATGCGCTCAGCTCGTCGCAGGGTGAAGCGACACACACTCATGCCCACACACACACACTCGTGCGGAAATAATCACGCAGGTACCCAACTCGACAAACAGCTGGGGTCAATAAAATAGATACCAAGCAAGGATTGGTGAACCGACTACATTTATAGAAAATATATAATATTTTTTAAGAAATCATTTTGAAACAAACTATTCTATATTTTCGGAAGCATACTTTCAGGCGCATTCCAAAGTGTTTTCAACGAGTGACTTGTATGGAATCGCAGAACTTAATTTATCCCTTGGGATAAATTATTTCCTCCTGTGGGGAAATATATATTTATACGTATAGTTTAATAGTTTGCCTTTGTTTTGACTATCACTATTTTTATGAGCATTGCTGTGAAAAAGGGAAACGTAAAGGGCGCTCAGCTTAATGCGAATTTCAAATAGAATTGCTCCAAAAGAATCGCAGAGAGCAAGAGAGAGTGAGGGATGCCTGAGAGACAGAGAGTGAGGGTGTTTTTATTGTCATGAAGCACGCATTTGTAGCCGTAAAAGTAGTTGTCGCCTGCCACAAAACACACATGAGGGGAAAATGCAATTCAGGTAGAGGACCTCCTTCTCACGAACATGTCTTTGCAAGCAGCGAGAACAGGTAAAATAAATGGAAGGAGATAGGGTCCAGGTGTGGAGAAATAAGAGGATAAATGAAACTGAACCGAAACGGTTATACCGATCAGGTACAGATAGAATCCAGGAGTTTAAACAAAGGTGTTCCAAAGAGAAAGTAAAACTTAAAGGTGTACACTGTACATGTATTTTTATCCAAAGGTCATTACAGTATTTAACTAAGTAGATAAACAAACTAAGTACATATACTGTTTACATATTACATACACTCCACGTGTACTTTTTAAATTGTCTTGTGTAAACATGAAATTTAATTTCTTTCAGAAGAACAAGCATCTTGCTACAAATATCTTAAATAGATGTGTTCTTTAGAAATCGTTTTCCACAGATAAGCATTTTGAAGCTCGAGCCAAAATTTCTAAAACTTTTTCAATCTCTGAATATTTATGAAAGCTTGGCTTTTCGAATCCCCACTGTTCCAATATTCTATTGCTCTCTAGTTCAACTGCTTGACCGCGTAGTGCAGCCTACGTCGTAATCTTTAAATGCTAAACCGCACGACAACAACAACACACAGAAGATAATGCCAACCAGCAACAGCAATGACAGCGAATGGCTGAGATACTTAGCTAAAAGGCTAAAATTAGCAGGCAACTGTGAATTTGAGCGTTGACGCCGGCCGGGCAGACAGCATCCAAGCGGTGAGAATGAGACAAGATAAATATGAGAGCAGTAATGAATGAGCGGTGAGATGGAAAAAAGACAGCTTTTCGTTTTGGAGAGCTTCATAAACAATGACAATTGTGGGGCTCATTCTCTCAAGTTCTCAAATTCGCTTTCATGCGCCAAAGATTCAAGGTTAACGGTTTCTCTGCCTGGGGCCGGATTCTGATCCACTGCTTACTGAACTGCTTTTAGCGCCGAAAGCAGTGTTTGCTGCTTAGCCGAAAGCGCTCGAAATTTGAAAATTAAAATTTTTAGGGTTTGCTATTTCCCGTTTTTGGGTGATCTGACGTCAGACCCGGATAAAAGCGAAAGCTTCGGGTTCTCATGACTTGCCGACTCTTATCTTGAATTTCTAATTGCAGACAAGTTATCAGCAGCCATGGAATTAAGTTCTTTTAACCGGCTTATCATTGTTATTTTTGCTTTCTTGCTCATTTAGCTTTTTGCACTTCAATGCAAATTTTTCGCATATATGAATAATCTTTTTTTTTTGGCGCAGAAGTAGCAAAGGCCAGAAAAATGCCGTCGATGATCTAATCGATTTCGGCTGGAAGTATAAAAATATATGTATAAACAACAAGAAAACTTGTCGACCAGGGCACGTAGATTTTCTTTTTTCGGCCGTTATTCATTTTAGTTCTAAAAACTGAAAGACTTATAGATTTATATAGCTATATCTTTCATTTTTAACAACTTGCTATCTAGCTTTAAGAATTAAATGAAAGAAAGAACCAAACACCGTTGCTTTAGATAGATATATCTCTAAGTTTAATAACAATGTTGTCATGTCTAAAACCTGAAATGATTCCATTTTCGTTTCAATAAGATAGATATTGTCTAGAAACTCCTAAACAAATATTATGAACATTTAAATGTGATTTATTGATTAAAAAGTGAAATTTTACAAGTTTTATAGAAATCACCAAGTGGAACAATGGTTCATTAATCATCATTCTCAACGCTAGACTTGTTACGAAAACATAAATCTCTAATTAACAGTTTTACATTCACCCGACAAAGCCGCTTAGTCGTTGGCTTTCCTTTATGGCCAAGTCTGCTGGAGAATGCTAATGTGGGCCGACTTCCCGACTGGCTGACTCGATTATTCAAGTGTTCGAGTGCTCGCAGTGGGCAGTCCACAGTGAACAGCACTTAAGCTCTTGGCCATGGCCAAATTGGGCATCGTACTCGGGCAGAAACCCAGAGAAAACCATTGGAGCCACAGGTTCATGTCTAGCCACTCGTGCAAATTATATTTTGGCCAATAGAGGAGAAAGAATAACGTAGAAAAAAGGGGGAGAAAAGATTTTCGCAAACTTGGGAGTGGCAGAGCAATGAAAAATTGATTTTTTTTTTTTACATTTCAACTCTCAAGTATAATGAGCGCAAAAATAATTTCATGTAACTCAATTTTGTTGGAAACCAGTTTTGTGGGAAGGGCAGAAAGTTAATCTAGAAATAACTTGGTATACAAAGTTAGATTACTTTTTATTTTTAAAGCGATTTATTATTTGGTCGTAAAAATATTTAACTGCAGTTCCATTAGGCTATAAATATTTCATGACAAATACTACTTATAAGACTGAATCTAATTAAAGGAGAATATCAAAGTACGTTTCCCTTGTTAGGTACTTTATACTATAACTAATTTTATAGATTGTGATCAGGACTACTAAATATATAACAAAGGTAATAAAAAGGTGATTAAATTTGAGTCCAAAGTACAGATTTTAGTCATACTAAAACGAGCACCGAATAAGTGCATGATTACCGAGTGATTTTTAATAATAACTTCCAGCCTGTGACGGGGCTAAATTAAATTCGAATTAGTCATAATAAAAGGGAATAATTTTCACATTCAAAAGCTGATTAAGAGCGGCGTACTAAATGAATGCACCTATATATAGTACATGTGATTGTACAGACATATAACTAGGTGGCTATAGAAAGTGCATGGAGCGTCGCTTAGACTAAGCTCGGATTGCATGCGGGGCCTTTGCCCCCTTTTTCCCCGCCCCTCCCCCTTTGGCGGGGAAAATGGCAGACGCCCCATATCAGTTTGCATTTTGCAGTTGTAAAAGGTTTTTCTGATACTGCATTTACAGTACAGCCTGCCTACACTCAAATTCAATAATTCATTTTGAAAAGAAATAATAGAAAAGTTTCAAGTTTTACTCTTTTGGGAAGTACATGTTTATACAAATGTTTGTATTCAATGATAAGCTCCATTAAATTTTTCTGTAGGTTTCTAGGTTTTGTATATTTTATAAAACGCGATTTATTATGTTTGAAAAATTCAAATTATCTAGAGTCCTACTGTACTGGTCTGACGTTTGGCGGGTAGAGTTTGGTTGGCTTAGCATGCGATCCGATTACGGTTACCGCTTTTAACGCTCGCCGCTCCAGTGCAAATCGTTTGGCTGGCGGACAACTGAGCTACCTACATACAAACGACTGCTAATTACAATGCGACTGGACTTGCAGCCAACTCTAAAAAGGGGAGGGAAGTGGGAGTTTATTGTGGAGGCGTGGCAACTACCCCAGTGAGCAAATTAAAAATGCAAATTATATTTCAGACACCCTCCAGGTGAAAGCTGCATAAATTTCAAGCTTAGGCTTTGCTTCGTACTTAATTCACTTAATTTTAAATAAAATGTAAATTAAAACTATAATATTTGAGAATTTGAATTCGATTAAATATTGCTAACGGAGTTCTACAAAGCATTAGTCGAATATATAATATAAACTAAATTCGCGAGAAAAATAAAATTGTAGGTATCACATATACAGAGAAAATGCAGCGCACTCTAAAGGATATGTGAAATAATGTGGCATACTTTCTGGGGCACTGCTTGCAAAAGTGAATGCGACAACAGCGAGGGGCAACACAAAGCCCTTTTGTATTTGCACTTGTGTTCGTAGGCTTAACCAAAATAAGGGGCAAAACAAAAGCAACAACCATAATAACAACAACAACAACAAACGGAAAAAAAGGACAACGGGGGTGGCTTTATGACATCATCATCGTCATAACGCATATTGACAATCGCTTTCGTAGGATTTGTACAGTTACAGTTTTAATGTTTAACGGCCGCACGGCGGTCAAGCAGCTCACAGTTTTCGAGGCACTGGACTTACCTTGCGGGTGCAAACGTTCGGGCTTGAACCAGGCATCTGTAAATAGGCGATTGATATATTGATTTTCGTTAGTTAGCGGTTAGTCGTGGTGCGAAAAGATAATGAAAACAAAGGAAAGGAAAGGAAGGAGATGGCGTGCATAGGCGTTCAACTTAAAATAAAAAGCGCATAGCATAAGCAGTAATGAAAAAGTTAGGAACAAAGCTAAGCTTTAAACATAAAGTTAGTAATAAGCCTTTAAACCACTTGTACAACATATGCACTACATAGACAAATTATACAATCCTTGATTTTAAAACTACCACCCATGCCACCGTTGTCAGAGGTTAGTTTTGTTGTTTTTCATCTTATTTCCCAATTTCGGGGTGAGTTTCGTTTTGGGGTAATTGTATGTTCTTTTTTAATGTGAGTGCCACTTACTAGGATCGAGTATGGAGCAAATCAATGGGCGATGCTTGCTCACGCCGTTCTGACCGGTTTCACCATATGCGGACATTATTCTGATTCTGATTTCGATTTGGGCGGCTTTTCTAATTTAGCACACTTTGTTTTTGGGGTTAGCACTACGGATTTTCCCTTTTTTCCTGGGTAGTAACTTTTCGGTTTTCCCGTTTTATTCGATTGTTTTCGTTCGACAAAAGCACGGAGAGCGAAGAGAGTGGGAGAACGACGGTATATTACGACGTTAAGGTATTACGCTATAAGAATTTTCCACTTCCGTGTGGCGACCTCACGACGCGTATAGAGACTGAAACGTATCAGGAAAAGCTTCAGCCTAAGCCGAGCAGCAGGAGTCTGCCCTAAAAAAAGGACAACCCTAAGCTCAAAGCGACGGCGCCGAGAGAGAGCGAGAGAGGGAGATGGAAATGGCAGAGAGGCCGATGGGAGATGCCCTCTACTGTGCCCACTTACGTCTACGGTGAAGCTTCTCCAACTGTAAAACAACTTGGGTACTAAGCAGTACCAAAGTTGGTGATTTTAAGTCCCCTTAAAATGCATCTAACAATATTTTATAAAATTTTTAAACATTCAAAAAAAATGTTTTAAAATGTCTTCAAAAGAATGGTTGTTTATTTAACTTTAATGATTAGGAACTGAACTTAATGTATTTTTAAAACGTTATTAAAATGTTGCACTTATGCAGACTCCACTGTAATCGCACCTCAGGGCTGAAGGCAATGCAAAATCAATGAGAGGGCAACCACAAGTCTCGCCAAGTTGAGCAACCGCGCTTAGCCCTGAACTCGGTGCCTCAGCATTTGCCGCCAAGTTGAGGAAAAGCTCGAGCGCTCGGGGCCAAGCTGTGGCGCCCATCGATTTCACCTAATGCAGCTGACCTGCCTGGCGAGTGTAGAGTTTTCCCAAGTGGAGAGTTTTCCCTTATTCAAGCAGTGCGCATGCGTTGCCCCTGCAGGAATTATGTTGTTTTCATTCGCCAAACACCCACCGAGTGGGCCGGAAATTACCAGACGATGCCAAGTTTTGGGTGCGGTGGGTGCAATCGAGCTGCAGATGCTGTTGCTATCTTCCTCTTCCTCTTTAGCCATCCCCTGCCCTTCGACCCCGCCCTACAATTGCGTGCCGCGTGAAAATTGGATAGGAAATCAATCAACTGGCACTTGCAACGCATTTCCCAATCGTCTTTAAAATTATTGCTCTACTTTTGCAAACAATACGCTTTTGGCTATCGACCAAGTTATGGCACAAACACGCTTGACGCATTCCATATGCGCCGTGCTGCCAAAACGGAAAACTTCCTTAGACAGGTTAGCACACTTCTGGCCAGATGAAATCGATATTCGGCAGAAGGATGTGCGAAGTATGTTTTCTGTTACGATTTAAGGCTATAGCAACGTTTTTGGCATTATTTGTTTTCTTTGATAAATGTGACCCACTTAATTTTATATATCTGGCACATCAAAAGAGGGAAAATATCATAAAAATGGATACATTTTGAATTGCAAAAAAGTACAGAAATCCGGACAATTTTAAAACGCAGTAAAAAATATTTAAAGCTGATATATATAACTTTATTATAAAAAAAAAAAACAAAAATTACGTCTTAAAATAATCAAGGAAGTTCCTTCGTTTTAAGTTATAAATAAACAGTAATTATCGGAATAATCCACAAATCAAAAAACATTTCGTTTTAAGGTTAACTTTGACCCACGCACATTAACTTTCTTAACGACGAGCAACTCTTTTGGGCTTCCACTTAAAAGCCATGTGTTCTCCTCTCAGATGCCTAAATAAACACCGATTGGCCCCACTTAATCGATCTCAGCTGCGTGGGAGATGCAATTAACCAAAAATAATTCCCAAAAGCAATGGTTGTTTACTCAGAGACCCAATTTCTTTGTTTCCGCCTTTCTTTTCTCCGCCGCCACAACACACGAAACAAATAAAATATATTGTATATCTTCTTCGGTCGGGAGGAAATAATTATAGTTAATATACACAAAAGTGTAAAGTAGGAACGCGGCGATCGGCGATATCGGGAGCTGTCAGTGAACTGAAGTTAAGAGCAGAAGTCGCCGGAGGCGATAATGCGGGTGCGATAAGGTGGATGCTAAACCGGAGGGGAAGGAAGATGCAATGGAAGAGCAAGAGTCCGAGTCCAAAGCGAAATCAATGGGGAAATTGGAAGACAAAAGCGCAGTGAAGACAAAAGAACAAGACAAATACAAATATTCGCTCATCTGGTAATAAAAATAGCCGCATAATCGCACAAAAGCGATGCACACACAACACACAGACTGCAACCCGAGGCGTCGATGAAAATCACTAATTGGAAAATGCTTTTCCACAGCACGGTGGCTGGATGGCATGGAAACAATATGTATTTGCACAGAGGGACTGAGATTGAATTATCCATCCAATGGCTTAAATTAGCCCGTCGAGGAGGGGGCTGTCGAAAGGTAGTAGAAAAACGTGAGCTTGCCAAATAGTAGCAATAGTAGCAGCAACTGCTACGCAACAATAAATTGCTCTGCCGCAAATTGCTTTAATGGACACGAAACTAAAACAGAAAAAGAATCGCAATGGAATAGAGTGAAATATGAACGGACATGTGTACGTCAATGGACACAGTCACTTGGGTTGGGTACAAAATGTATATACACACTATATACTATATATTATACATGGAGAGCTTTTGGAGTGGGGGAGAGGTTATACTATAGAGCAGCTGATTCACGACTCACGCCGGTAAAGTATCTCGGTAATGGTGAAACTGGCTTCGAGAATGTTGGCCCTCTTTATACTTTACACTTTATACTACACAGAGACGTGATGACTTGCCCGACTGGGGTTAGTTATGCAATTTACCTACTTGCGTCTATTTGTTGTTCTAAGGTTTACTTTTTTCTTATTTGTTCTTTATAACTCATTGTGAAATGTTCTGCGGGATGTGGCTCCCTACCTGTTTACTTGTTAGAGACCATGAAACATTTAAGAGGGTTAAAAACTTAAACCTTAAATTTCATTTATAATCTATAATTATAATCTCGTGTTAAAAATAATCATGATAAGGTTAGAGACCCAGTTCAAAAGTAACCCTTTTTTAGTAATTAAAAGTAAGTATATAAGTTGGTTGTTGCTCTTAGTGAACGACCCCTGTATTAACCAGACGCAACCATATTTATTTTCGCGGCATTCAAATGAGCGTGAATCACGCGGTGACGATCGATTTGCGAAAAATCTATGAAAAGTATGAGGAAGCCGGCAAAACGGCTGCTGGTCAGATTCAATTGGCATGATTAACAGAAGGGGGAAGAGAAAAAGCGGACTTTAAAGAGCGGACCCAACTCTGCGAGTCTTCCAAGCTATCAAATTTCTCAACATTGAGATATAAAATACATTTAATAAGAGAACCTAAAAAGCCGATGACATCATGACCAAAGTTGGGGAAAAAAACCGCAGAAAAAAAAGAGAGCGGCGAGTGACTAACGCACCCTTTGCCCCCCAAAGGGGAGGAAGGAAAGTGAAGGGAAAGGGCGTGGGATGCAAGGTGCGCCGCAAGGACACTAAAAACAAACATCAATGTTCTCGCAATTCACAAATGACGACAGTGCAAAATAATACTCTAATGACGACGACGGGAGCACAACAAATTAATTAGAAACGCAATGATAACGAACTTTAAAATGGCATTCCAATCCACTTACCCAATCCGTACTTGTAGAAGATCTCCTCCACGGACACAATCTTTGGCTGCGGCGGCGACGACGAAGATTGTTGGGTTGTCACCGGGGCAACCTTCGGCTTGGGCGGCTCCTCCTTGGGCTTGGGCGGCTCCGGTTTCGGTTCGGGTGCCTTGGGCTTGATCACCTCCACCCTCTCCTCCTCCTCCTCGTCATCCAGATCGGTTACCAAAGCGGTTGTCACGGGCACAGCCACTGGAACCACTGGGGGTTTGGCCACTGGAGCGGCGACGGGTGCGGGCACGACTGGTGCTGGTGCTGTGCGTGGCTCCTCCTTGAAATCGCTGAGCAGATCCTCCGAGGAGATGAACTTCTCGTTGTCCTGCTCCTTGAGGGCATCCACAATGGGTTTCTTGGCCGGCGACGGAGTGTACGAAACGGACGGCGATTCGGTGTCCGAATCCTGGTCGGCTTTGGTCACTGGAGTTGGTGCCGGTACTGGTGCTGGTGCTGCAGCAGCAGGCGGTGTTGGCTTGGCCAGGAAGTCGTCCTCCTCATCGTCGTAGAAATTGGCCTTGGACGGTGCCGTGGGCTGGAAGGCCTGAAGTGGAGCCGTTGGCTGGTCGCTGAAGCTGCCCAGGAGATCCTCCTCAACGGGAGCAGGAGCTGGGACCACAGGAGCTGCCGCAGCTGGAGCGGAAACAGCTGGAGCCACTGGGGCAGGAGCCACTGGAGCAGGAGCCACTGGAGCTGGAGCCTCTGAGAAGGGCGCCAGAGGAGCGGCGAAGCCCCGTTCGGCGTTCATGAAGTCGGTGGTGAGTCCACTGATGCCCTGCTTCACCTCCTTGCCGGCATCGCGAAGGAAGTCCTCAAAGTCATCCGCCTTCTGGGAGAACTTGGCATCCAGTTCCCTCTGGGCTTCCTTGGCGGTGGAGGACAGGCGCTGCACGAAGGCCTGCGGATCGCCAAAGTCCAGGTTCTTCTGCTCGTTGGCGAAATAGTGCTCCGTATGGGCATTGTCGTCCTGGGCGCCACCGCTTACGTTGCCAGCATCGCCGCCGAGTCCTGAGTCCTCGTAGGCCTTCTGCGCCCGCTGGAAAATGTCCTCGTTGGTGGCGGCCGCCTCCTTTTTCAGCTCGGCAAAGTTCACATCCATTTTTTCAGCTCTAGTTTTTTTTCAATGTATTCTACAGATGTTGTGGGAATATCCTGCCTTTCTGATTGGAAGCTCACACGCACGCACACAGCCGAAATATTTCTCCCTCGAACACTCGCACACACACGGCGAACACCCGCACAAACACACGCACACAGGCACCGAGCTACAGCTGATTTTCGCCGGCAGACGTTTCGAATTTATTTTTGGCAATTTCACTTGTTTATGGCAAAGCAAGTCGCAGTTCGTTGTGATTTGTGTTGGGGAATGTCGAACGTTAAATTTGGTTTGAATACAGCGACTTTTCGCAGGCGCCGTCGGTGCAGTCTTTTGAAAAATTATAGTCAGTGTTACCAGATGGTGGAAGGGCTTTCACCCTGAAGTTTTTCTCCAACCATCGATTCCCAAAAATACTAAACATTAGTCCTCTCTAAATTTACCACAAAAAAATGTACTTCTACCCGGTTTGAAACTTGCCTAAAAATATTTAGCGGTTCAATTTACTTCTAGGCTTTGATTTATTGTTAACGATACAACCATCTTTAGGCGGTCCACTTGAGGCAACGCGTGTCCTGGTGCGTTTTGAGGCACCTCACCCGACAGTATCGCGTTCCGCAGGCGGTGCACGAGTAGAGCGAGAAGTCCCCACAGACTGCGCAGAAGTGCCGGACGGGTTTCTGTGGAGCCGGAGCCGACGCACTCTCGTAGTTTGGCCGCTTGTCCTTGTCCTCCTCAAGGAGCTGCTGGAAATTCTTCCGATACTTGGCACGAAAATACTCGGCGCCCTTGCGCTTGCCCTTCTTCTCCTTGCCGGTCTTCAGGTTGTCCTGGAACTTGGGCAGCTTCTTTGACATGACCAGGTCGGCGTGGGGGTCGTCGTGGAAGTTGTCCTGCTCCAGGGCCTCCAGAGCCTTGCGGGCCCGCCTTTGTCGGGCGGTGGCATCCAGAACACGCTTCTTCTCGGCATCTTTAATGCGATGGGACTCGCGACCTGTCATGGTTGTCTATTGTTTACTGTTTTTGTTGTTTTCTAAGCGTCCTTATCGTGAAGCGGGAAGCTTATCCGATCCATTAAATCATCAACTCGTGCTTGAAGAACTTCCACAATGTCCGTCGAGATAAACAAATGATTCTCGTCCAGATCTTGGATAATAAATTTGCGACCCAGAGCCAATTTTTCGTCCAAGTGCAAAAGGAATTGTTTCATAGCAGGATCACTGTGGAAAAACATCCAATTAGATGTAGTTTTGTATAAACTTAAGTACTTACCACTCCACCAGCACTCCTTTCATAACATTTACCATGTTGCCAGCATTTGTTAGCCGAAAAATGAAAACAACTTGCCAATTTTAAGGCCTGCACGCCGACACTCACCGCGAAACGCCGACACAATGAACAAGAATTGAGTTATTATCGATATATCGGCTAATTTATATAATTAAGGTTTTTAAATTTAAAAATAAATTATTTTTAACATCGGATTATAATGCGCGTGGCTCACGTCACGGCGCGCGACCAGCGGCCGAATGTAATATGCCAATTACTTATTGCACATATTTTTCGGGAAACTTGCGATATTCGCGAATAGGAGGCCTCATCCCGCTATAGTTTTGTCGGTACTTTTAGACGAAGAATGACACCTCAGTTTTTTTTAGATTTTAGTTCAGTTTTTTTTTTTTTTTAGAAAAATTACTTTAAAATTAATCATATAGCATAAGTAACAATGCAGAAGTGCGCGCGCACAAACAGCAGTATGTATTATCCGACATTCAAGTTTCGATATCTCGTAAATGGTGCGAGATATGAAAAAAATTGTATTCATTAAAAAGTGTTCATTTTGGGCCAATTAACAATTATATTCAAATGTGTATAAATAGCCCAAAAAAAGTTATTTCAAATAATTTATATAACTTTTTTTTTAAAACTAAGAAAATACATAGTGTAACAGAAAATAATGGGTCAATTAATTTATTATTATTTTTTTAAATTTTGAATATTAAAAGTGCATCTCCAAAAAACACCGATGTTATTCCATCTTTATTGCTGCCAATCGCAGCGAAGGGAATAGTAGTCGGGGTAGGAGGTTTGCCAGTCACACGGACACACACTGAGGCAAAAGTGTGAGCAAATATTGAATCCCAAATTCGAGCAATAAAAATCGGGCCAAAGGACGCAATGGAGACTCTGAACGGAAGGAACGTGGCTCTACTGGTGCTCATCTTATGCGCCGCATACGCCCTGGTGGTGGCTGAGGGCGAGAAAGAGATACCGGCTACGAAATTCGGCCAGAACATAGCGCCGACGATGACTTTTCTTTACTGGTGAGCCATTTTATGCGGGGCAATTAACATAATAGATAAGGCTAAAGTATTTATTTTTGTTGCCCTCCCCCCATCGAACAGCTATTCCTGTGGCTATCGCAAGGCCTTTGAGGACTATGTAGGCCTTTTGAGCGAGAAGTACCCACAGATTCAGGTGCACGGCGGCAACTACGATCCGCCGGGTCTGAATTACTACCTCTCGAAGCTGATATTTGCACTCAAGATCATCATCATCGTGTCGGTGGTTAGTGCGGTTAGTCCCTTCACCTTCCTGGGACTCAACACGCCCAGCTGGTGGGCTCACCTGCAGGCGAACAAGATCTACGCCTGTATGATGATCTTTTTCCTGGGCAACATGCTGGAGGGTCAGCTCATCTCGTCCGGCGCCTTCGAGATAACTCTCAACGATGTGCCCGTGTGGTCAAAGCTGCAGACGGGACGCTTTCCCTCGCCTGAGGTCCTCTTCCAGATCATCGACAATCATCTGCAGTTCACCGAAAAGGTGCAGGAGAATCCAGATTTTGTTAAATAATAATAACGTCGGACGGAACGGAAGGCGAGGCGGCGGGAACGAACACCAAAACAGCCGAGGATTTTCGGCTCTGAACCTATCTTAAACTTAAGCTCTTGTCCTGATATTAACTACTTAGCTGTATCTCTCTGTTTTCACCCCGAACTTTAGCCTACTGTACACGCCACCTGTATCTTTGTATTCCGTTTAAACGCTTGGGGATCTGTATGTGTTATTTGTTTTTGTGCGACAGAATGACGATAAGAGACCGGACAGAAAGTGCGGGGTACATCTCGAGATTAAAAGCAAAGACGATACAGTAGGAGACTGCCGCTATATGGATGTACCTTGTGCAAGGCCTTTACGGGATTGTGTATCATTACTTGTTAGTGGGGGAGTAATAAATTATATACGGATAATGGATGTGTGAAACCTTTTTCAAATTGTAATACAAATAAATTCGCTCGACAGTTTCAGAACCGAAACAATTGTGTTTTTTGTAACTAGATAAGATACTCGATATTGAATGATATCATTTGCTTATCTTAGAAACACTTGCTTAGTTATTTTGGTCAACTTTTTCACAATCACAATCAAACAGTTTTTAGTGTGCATTGGTTTTATGTGTTGTAAATTTTATTTATCAAAAAACTGGGTTTTGTTTTTGGTTTTGTTACGTTTACAATAATCCCAACAGAGGCAGAAGATTCGTTACATTCGTTGCAGTGAAGGCAGTGGTTACTCTTCCTAGCCCCATTTTCATTTTTGGCATTCGGCACTTGGTGTTAGCTTTACATAGGTGTCCACGTAATTAGATTACATCTCCACGGAAAATGGCACTCTTCAGTGGTTGGTTTTAGCTTATTTTTGGTGTTTGGTATTTGGGGTTGGTTCGTTATCGTTATCGTGATAGGATAGCAATAGACTTAAGACAAAAATTTAACTGCTACTTAGTTCGAACTGCAATCTAGGGGGCGGTGGTGTCCTCGCGCGTGCGCCGGTTGTACAGGCGGCTATCGCCGCCGTGGCGAGCGTACTCGTTGTAGTTCTGCAGGTTGGCCGGCCGACGGGCCGACTGGTACCTTCCGTTCAATTGGGGGTTCTGGGCCGAGTTGTACGGCTGTCGTTGGTTCGAAGGAATATACCGTGACCCGGCGGGATTGCGGGGATCGGAGCTCCAGCTGGAGCCCGACGACCAGCCGGCGTTCGGGCTAGAATTGGGTCTGGCATTGGAGTCGGAGCCGGAGGACCAACCAGGCCTGGATCCCGATGACCAGCTAGGACTGGATCCCGATGTCCAGCCAGGACTGGATCCCGAGCTCGATCCTGCACCGGAGCCAGCGGGCCAGCCAGGATTGGATCCCGATGACCAGCCAGGATTGGAACCAGTTCTCGATCTTGCACCGGAGCCGGAGGACCAGCTAGAACTGGCTCCTCCTGCAGGGCTTCCCGATGACCAGGATGAGTAAGAACCAGGATTGGGTTGCGATCCAGTTCTCGAGCCAGAGGGCGAAGCACTGTTGGCGTTCCAGCCTGCCCTGAAGTCACCATCGGAGTCACCAGCTGATCCCGAAGACGACCTCGAAGACCAAGAGCTCGAACCGCCCGAGGGAATCCTAGCGCCCGACGAAGATGAGCCACCTGACGACCAAGACGAGGATGATGCCGTAGTGCGGGCAACAAAGGTGTCTCCACGACGACGACAAACCGTACACCTGAAAATTGAAACCCATTATGTAGGCGAATGGATTACTTCTGCTTTCAGCTTGACTCACCTGCTGATCTTGCTGGTTTGATCCGCCTTGAGCGTCTGCTGGCGAGGCTGCACGAACTGATCCTGCTCCTCGATCACCGACAACCAGAAGGAGGCCAGTGCATCGTAGTAGTTGCATCGTCCGTGGCCATGGCACTCGATCACCGGCTGGGCGCGGAACTCCTCCAGACAGGAACCAGGGGATACCAGGCTCTGTCCAACTCCGCCCACGTTGTCCAAGGTTGTCTGGAAGTAGAATTACAGTGGGTTAAAAAAAATTAATAATTTAAAATTGTAAATGGATCTTGTCACTCTCCAATTGTTTAAGGAAACCTACCATGTAGTAACTGAAGCCGTTCCACATTTCCTCCCAGCCGTTGGGGCAGTTCGGAATGGACATGGACTGCGAGTGGAGGGCGATGACCCTGGTGGTAGTCTCACACACCACGCAGCTGAAGGAACAAAGTGATTTAAGTAAGTAATCAAAATATTCAAGAGGAATATAAACTGCCAGTTGTGGACTCACCGCGAGATGTACTTCATGAGGTCACGCGACTGGATGGGCGTCATGGTCATCGGCATGGGCTCGCTGGTGGAGAGCCACAAGCTGTCGTCGTTGTTCTGGGCAAAATGGCAGACGTTCGTCACGTCGCAGAGCATGTACGGCATAGTGGTGAATCGCCGCATGCAGGAGCCGGCCTGGCCGAGATCCTGGCCCACCGCTCGGCTGGCGGCCACGTTGCCGGAGAGGGAGTAGCCCTCCCACATTAGGTTCGTGTTCGCCGGACAGCGGGGCACCTGCACGGACTGCGAGTGGCGGGCGAAGATGAAGCCGCGGCTCTTCGGTGCCGGCGGCGCTGGTGCGGGGTCTCCCTGCGGTCCGGGTTGTCCCTGGAGACCGGGCACTCCGGTCAAGCCGCGCTCACCTTGGTCACCCGTCGGTCCCTGTGGTCCATCCGCTCCGGTGTAGCCCACCTCGCCTTGGTCGCCTTGATAACCGGTCTCTCCTCTCAGTCCCTGGAGTCCCTCGAATCCTGGCTCTCCGACTTCGCCTTCCTCGCCCTTGAAGCCATTCATTCCGGGCTCTCCACGATCACCGGGACGGGCCATCGAATAGGGGAACGTCACACCCGGCTGACCCTTCGGGCCGACGAGTCCGTCGATACCATCGATGCCGTTCCAGCCAGCGTCGCCGGCGAGGCCCCGAGGTCCTTGGGGACCCACCTGGCCATTCAGACCCGGTCGTCCTGTCTGTCCTCGCTCACCCTTGGCGCCATCCCGGCCGGGATTTCCGGCGAAGCCGAGGTCTCCGGTGTCGCCCTGCATGCCGTGAATGGCGTATCCGGGCTCACCGCGCTCTCCCTGGCGACCCATGTCGCCCTGCTCGCCCTTCGCTCCAACCTGTCCATGGCGACCACTGTGTCCTGGCGCTCCGGGGTAGCCGACATCACCTTGGGGTCCCGGTGGTCCCTCGATCTGGGGTCCCCGGTGTCCGTTCACTCCGTTCGCTCCGATCTCTCCCGAAGGTCCCGGTGCTCCCTTCTGGCCGATGCGTCCGGGTCGACCGGGACGTCCATCTAGGCCAGCATCTCCCTCGTCGCCCTTCTCCGCCGGCAGCTCGAGACCCGGAAGACCTCGCAGTCCACGGTCGCCCTGGATGCCCTTCACTCCAGGAACACCATCGAAGCCTACCAGGCCAACGAAGCCGATGTCGCCCTGTTCGCCCTTGGCGCCCGGAGCTCCGATCGGTCCAATGTCGCCGAACTCTCCCTGCTCGCCGCGTTCACCTTCGATGCCTTGATCGCCGACGAAACCGCGATAAAGATAGCGATCGCCCAAGTTCTCCACAAGTCCGGGATAACCAACTTCTCCCTCGTCACCCTGTTGACCCTTGGGTCCCTGAAGACCCGTCAATCCGCGAGGTCCCACGTCGCCGGTCAGTCCAGGACGACCGTCGAGTCCATCGACGCCCCTGTCACCGCGAACGCCCTTAGGTCCATCGGGTCCGACTGGGCCGACTTCTCCCCTGAGTCCATTAGATCCGTTGAGTCCGCTGTAGCCGGCCGGTCCTTGATCTCCAGGTGCGCCTCGTTGGCCTTGCACGCCGGCCAAACCGCGATCACCGCGCAAGCCCTTCAGACCGTGGCGACCATGGATTCCATTGATTCCGGGACTGCCCAACTCTCCCTTGCGTCCTTGAACTCCGTCGAAGGCCACAGGCGAATCGCCCACGGGTCCAGCCTGTCCCTTCGGTCCCGGTGCTCCGGGGAAACCTATTGGTCCCGTCAGGCCAGCCTCACCGTCCTCACCCTTGATGCCACTGAAGGCGGCAATGCCCTTGGCACCAGGTCTGCCCGGGTAGCCTTGGTCTCCCTGCTCGCCCTTGCGTCCGGGAATGCCGCTTGCTCCGGGGTAGCCATCTGGTCCATCGTCTCCAATGAGACCTGAGAACAGCACAAGTAAGAGAGTATTAGTTTAGCACTAAGTAATATAAGATTTAATAGATATGTATAAAACTAAAATTACCCGCATTTAAATACTACGTACTGCAGTTACATGTAAACCACGCTTACCTTTAGGTCCGAACTCGCCAGTTGCTCCTCGAGGTCCAATATCACCCACGCGTCCGTTCTCGCCAATGTCACCGCGATCGCCGACCTCACCGACCATGCCTGGGAATCCGGTGCTGCCAGGAGAGCCGGGAATGCCCTGCAGACCGGCGCTGCCAAGAAGGCCACGTCGACCCGCGAAACCGATGTTGCCCTTAACGCCGGGCACGCCATTCTGGCCCAGCGTTCCAGGCTCGCCCTTTTGTCCCTTAAGTCCGTGCGGAGCCGGGCGACCGTTGAGTCCGGGCTCACCCTTCGGTCCGGGTGGACCAACGATGACATCGCCACGCTGACCCTTGTTGCCGCGCAGGCCGCTCAACCCGGTGGCGCCGTAGGGTCCTTGCTGGCCCTTCACTCCCTTGGGTCCTGGAAGACCAGATGGTCCGTAGGGGCCCGGGCTGCCAACATCGCCGGGGAGTCCCTTGATGCCGCTGCGTCCCTGGCCGCCTCGCTCTCCCGGAATCACCGACTGTCCGGGCTCACCGCGCTGTCCCTTGTATCCGGTCCTGCCGTCCAAACCCGGTGCTCCGTCCAAGCCGGGTTCGCCGGGGGCTCCTTGTGGTCCGTAATCTCCGGTCGCACCCGGATAGCCCTTGGCTCCAACGGGTCCGGGAATCACATCACCGCCTTCTCCCTCGTCACCGACATCGCCGCGTTCGCCGAGCTCGCCCATCTCACCACGGGGTCCGGGAAGACCGGGCAGACCCGGATATCCAACGTCACCGACGTCGCCGCGGTTGTCGTAGATATCGCCGGGATGCATCAGACCCTTGTCGCCCTTGAAGCCCGTGTCTCCGATGTCGCCGCGCTCGCCCTTCGCTCCATTGCGTCCCGGCTCGCCGGTGAGGAAGACCTTCGGCGTGGTGGCGTTCCTTCCGTGCACCCCGTTGCGTCCATCGCGTCCCGGCAGGCCATCGCGTCCGGGGTAGCCGGCGTCTCCGTAGTCGCCGCGCTGTCCAGTCTCGCCGTGGTCACCCTCTAAGCCGTAGTTGCCAGTCTCTCCCTTGGCGCCCTCGTAGCCGGGCTCTCCGCGTCGTCCGGTGTCACCCGCGTCGCCCTGAGGGGCATCCCTTCGATTGCCGGTCTCCTGCACTATACCCTTGCTGCCAGGAGCTCCGACCTTGCCAGGTCCTCCGGGAATACCGGGCGGTCCGGGCAGACCCTTGAAGCCCGCCCTTCCGGGATTGCCCTGCATGCCCTTCACGCCGCGCGGTCCAGTCAGTCCGATCAATCCGGTGTTGCCATGTCGTCCAGGATAGCCGGTGTCGCCCTGCTGGCCACGCGGTCCACGTGGTCCGGCACTGCAGATGGGACAGTCCTCGCCGCGCAGTCCCTTGTCGCCGGTCAGGCCGGGGTATCCGTCGCGGCCATCGTCGCCGGGACGTCCGCGCAATCCGGGCGGACCCTGGGATCCCGGAGGTCCGACGATGTTGTAGCCCTCGCCGGGCAGACCCTTGTCACCAGTAACGCCGACCTCGCCGCGATCGCCGCGGAAGCCATCCCGGCCGGGCAGTCCATTCGTGCCAGCTTGTCCCTTCGGTCCCTCTAGATTGTAACCGGCATCACCGGTTGGTCCATAGCGTCCCGGGGGTCCGACTTCGCCGGTTGGTCCCTGCGGACCCGGCGGTCCCATCAGTCCGAAGTCGCCGGCCTCGCCGCGCTCACTGCGTCCGGGCGGACCACGACTACCAGGAAGTCCGGCATCTCCAGCCTGTCCAGGCAATCCCAGGGGTCCACGACGTCCCGGCTTGCCGGGTGTGCCCGGTGGTCCAATGTCTCCGGGTGGTCCAATGTCGCCCTGGGGTCCCATCGGTCCGGGTAGCGACTTGCTCAGGCTGGGATCGTAGACGCCGGGACGGCCGGGGGGTCCCTGGATGCCCGGAGTGCCGGGGAATCCGTCCTCACCCCGCTCGCCGGGAGCTCCATCCTGTCCGTACTCGCCATCCCAGCCGGGCACGCCCTTCTGGCCCTTCTCGCCGTACAAGCCGGGCTCGCCATCCTTGCCGGGTTTGCCGCGCTCTCCGGGACTTCCGGTCTCGCCTCGGCCGCCGGGACGACCGTCGCCACCCGGGCTACCGGTCTGTCCATCCGGTCCCTGCAGTCCTTTATCGCCCCGTTGTCCGGAGGCGCCCTTCACGCCCTTGATGCTGTCGTCGTCGATCACAACCGGTGACAGGGAGTCGCCCGGCTCTCCCTTCTGACCCGGTTTGCCCTCCAGCTTGTAGGGCAGGTCGGCTATCTGTCCGGTGTCACCCTTGGGTCCCGGCAGACCTGGGTCTCCCTTCTCCCCAGGCAGACCAGCGTATCCGGTGTCTCCCTTGCTGCCCCGATCGCCATCGAATCCGGGCGGACCGCGGTAGCCAGCGGGACCGCTCTCGCCGCGACTTCCCTTGGTGCCCTTCGAGTTGATGCCGCCCTCGCCGGCGTCGCCAGGAGGTCCCTGCTGTCCCGGCTTTCCGGGCGGACCGCGCACTCCGTTCGCGCCAGGCGCTCCGATCGGACCCTGGAGACCGGGCTTGCCGTCGCACCCATCGATTCCGCGTGGTCCTTGAGTTCCCGGCTCGCCATCGAGACCCTAAGTAGAGGGCAGAAGGTTAAGAGGTTTTCATAATCAATAAGTAGATCGGAATAAAACTATTAATATTATATTTTTTTCTTTTTTTAATTTCTGTTAATTTATACTTCAATCATTGATAGAGTTAAGATGTCAGTCTAGAACTAAGTTAATATGGAATCATATTTAGTTACCAACGTGATTCCATTTTTATTTTTATTAAGGTTCTAATAAGATGTAAATTTTACTCACCCTAGTTCCTGGGTATCCGGTTTCTCCTTTAAGTCCAATATCACCCTACAAACGTATTTGTTAGTTTTAGAAAAATAATATTAGTAGAAAGATGTGATGACTTACGCGATGTCCTTTCTCGCCCATTTCACCGTACTCCCCGGCATCTCCCTTCTCGCCAACGGGTCCGGATGGTCCAAATGGTCCTATGTCACCGGCAGGACCTTCCAAGCCGGGCACTCCGATGGGTCCTGGGGATCCCACTCGTCCCTTAATTCCCTTGCAATCACATAGCGTTGTGTTGCAGATCTGGAATAATGAATGTGAATTTGTCAGTCAGTTGGGAACAGAATCGAATTTTTATAAGGAATATACATATATGGTATAACTAGTCTTGATTGCCCCTGATTGAAACTCCCATTTGGGTAATCGAAGATGCCAGAATCAATTCGTTTTATGTTCGTTAGACAATTCTCTTCTATTTACTCATCACAAGCGCTAAAAATTATAATTTGTTTGCCAAAAAAAATTTATTCGATTTATTTCGATGAAATTTAATTTGAATTTACAATTACCTTACTCACTAAGAAATGTTGATTACAAATTTATATTTGTCTAATATTTAGTTACTTAAAAAAAGTGCATATAAATTAAGTTTGGCAAAATACCCAATTATGGTTAAAATTTATTGAACAGATTTACTTATTTTTTAATTTGAATTTTATTTAATAATCTTAATTTATAAGCTTAAAGCCTTTGATCCATTTGAAGTACGGTTTGTTCCGATTGTTTTTTTCTTGCCTGATGTGTCCAATAAAATTATGAGGTTCGCATAAACGAAATGACCTTCGACTCATACACTTTATGCTTGCCGGTTTTGAGCAATTCCTATCGAAAACAAAAGGCAACTAAATCTCGACGCCTTAGCCAGAAAACCAACAATAATATTATATAGTGAGTGCACTTGCTGCACCGAAAGTGCGGTGGCAAGTTGGTCGAGCTGCAACATTTTTCAGCCGCAGCTCGCGGCTTTAATTGCACCGCTTCCGTTTGCAATGAGATAATCTTCTATATGAGTACGTTTACTTTTGCCCAGTCAATTGGGCGAGTGCATAGAACACGCTCACTGGACCCAAGCACTGAAGTTGAGCGATGGGGAAAAGTGAAAATGGAAAATGTGGCTGGAAAAATGCTTGGAACTTGCAGCTCCCCGCAGGCATCGCATTTTTAACCCAATTTAATGTGCAGTTTATTTATAAACAACAAGTGCAATTCGGTAAAAAGCGATTATCTGGAATATTTCAAATTATGCAATCGCTTTGAATTCCATATTTGAGGTAGGTTGAAGTTGAACCAAAGCACCTTCGTGTATTTATTGGCACATTTCTTGCGGCTTCCTTATTGATGTCAGCATAAACATCCTTAGTTTTTTTTTACCCCCCATATTTATAGAATTGACATAATTTCAGGCTGGTTAAAAGTCCGAATTTATAGCCCCGCCTCCATTAAATGAAATTTCAGTGCTCGTTCAAGTTTTCCTCTGACAGTTCCTCCAAAAAATAATTTAAAAATAAGAAAAAACTGCACACATGTTGCACGCATGTGTCGAGATTCTTTGCTTTAAATCTTATACACATATACATATCTTTTTTTTGCATATGAAATTTGTGTTTAATTGTTTGTTGCCTGGAAAAATTAGTGTCAAATGTTTGGCAAATTCTGCGTGGCGGTTTACAAACACCTCCTATGGCTGATGACTAATTGCGAAGATGCAAGCGACATCGCCGGAGTTCAAAGCCCCGGAAAATCCTCATCAGACATCAGATTTCCCAGAAGCAAACCTGCTCGCAGGAGATCAAACCATCTGTTAACTAAATATTCACATCACCGAATCCCGAAACGAGAACGTGAAAGGTAAACAAGTCGAAACTGAAAGCTGAACACTAGAAAAAAATAAAATAAGACCATCATCCTATGCGGTGAACCAAAAGATGTTTCTGATGCTTCTGTTGTTTTATTTTCTTCGCCGGCGGCGAACAAATGAAAAATCCGAGAAAATGCAGATACGAAAATAAAATCCAAATCGGGGGTGCAGGTGCACAGAAGCAATTGCACTCGATTTCTGGAAAATGAGAAGAAGAAGCTGTGAGAAATATCTGAATCCGAATCGCCGGTCAAAATCCCAATATTTTCTGTTCGCATTGCAATTGTGCTTCCCGATAATTTCAATGGGAAAATTCGATCAGTTCTCGGTTTGATTCAAGTCTTTCGTTTCACACATTCCTTCAATTGAAAAGGCTGCAAAAGAAACCCGAATTTTATTTAGTCAGGGCGACACCATCGAATTTCATTCAATCAATTGCCAAATCTGAAACTTAAGGAATTCTCCTCGGATAACATTAAAAATAATATACTATATATATATTTTTTTACGTGACAATGTATGTACAAATATCAACTGTGGAAATTGTTGCGGTAACACGTTCAAAAGTGACAGCACTGCAATTTCCTTGAACTTGACACTGGGCAAGGCAATATCTGTGCCGACTGCACATACTATATGTATATATATATATGAATCCCCCCGATCCATCCATATATGGGCCACCGCTCCGGGCACTTTTATTTGATTTTTTTGGATGGCATGGCACCACCAATCCAGACAGACAACGCACCACTAAGTGGCGTCGTCGTCGTCGTTTTCAAGGGGAGAGGAGCCACTCGAAATGGGGAAAGGGTTGCACTGTTGCACTGTGTTTTTACTGTATTATTTGTGTGTTTTTTCTGATTTTCACATACTAATACTGCACTCGATTCCGCCGATGTCAGCAAAGGAGGCAGTGACTCGGGTCGCGGGACTGAGACTGGGAACATTCGCCAAAGTTAATTATAAAATTCCTGAATGGGCACGCGTGTCTGCGGCTAATGGTTCAACAGGTGTTGGGTGTCCCCCTTTATCTGGTAAAAATATAGGGGGTTCACTAAATTATTAAACTAGAAACTAGAACTGCTAATTTAATAGCACACAGCTATTATACGTCTATATAAGATAAGGATGTCTATAGGTTTAAAAGGTTAGACAACCTATTTAATTTAAATATTATAATCTAGCAGACATAAGAACCTAAAGAATTGTCTTACAAGTTCTTTAAACTGAATGAATTGGGGGTTAAAAAAATCTATAAAGGATGGGTTACTTTTGGAAATATATAGTATCATCATTGTTGAGTTGAATGGTTTTTAAACCTTAATCCCCCGCTTTATCTTTAAAAAATTATATGTATTTTGAGTCACTGTAACTGCAACTGCGGTATGAGCGAAAGTCTGACCAAATCGACGGACTATATACACAGCTATATGTCGGCGATCAGACGCGCACTTAAGCGCATTTACACATGTTAAAGCCAATTGTCCCAGTTGCCGATTTTTTGTCCCGCTCACTCACGATGCAGTGCATCCAAAGCAAATGCGACTGCATAGTTTAAGGTCAAAGCGAGACCTCCACACGGATCTGAGCCCAGATGAGATATATCTGTCGTATATCTGGCGCGACAATTGGGCACACCCACCCACGCTAATCGCTTGCCGGGCGGAAAAACATAAGTAAATCGCATGGGAGGTAATGAGTGGGTAATGAGAGGGTAATGAGCGGGGGAAGGAGGTGGTACTCTACCCCCGAGCGTTATGCATTTGGAGCCCAAGTTTATTGGCCCGACACGTTCTGAAAGTCCAAGCTGGGGTCCCAAGTATCTAATGACAATCCTCGGGTGCTAACTTTTCGTCTTTCCGCTGAACTGTAAGCGATACTACCTAAAAAACATGGAGGAGAACCACAACGACGAGGACTGCAATTATTCAGGGAATGCAAAGCACAGCGAAATGTCGTGAAAAGATATAGAACATATAGAACAACGCTCGGTAGAACGAGATGGGAGAGTAAACGTCTGGTAATCTGGTTCTCAAACTTGGTGCCCTGCTCCGCCCGGATGTGGCATACAAAAAAAAAAATATGAAAAAAAATATTTATAATTATCAGAATGTCGCATAAATCACAGCTGATAAGAGCGGACAGATTTCCAAGACGAGAGAGCCGAGCCGCCTTAATTAATACATTTAAATTTGGCATTAAATTAATGTCGTTTTGTATATATAGTATATAAGTTATATGTCACTGTTTCATCTGCTTTCATCTTGGGTTCCATTCGGTGGACAAAGGGGTTATCTGTTGCAGACACCCAAGCCATCAATGTGAGTTCTTTGTTGCCAAGGGACAGGGAAAGGGATTGAATTCATCTAAATCCTTATTCTAGCATTCAAATACTTCAACTAGAATCTTATATATCAAAAAGATAACTATCCTTTTGTGCGTCACAATTGACCCAATTTTTCAGGTCATCAATCAAGTGCATTTCCATTTTCACATTTATGTACGAGTAAACCACAAAATGGAGTGAGAATTTGCAATAACAAGAACAAATCAGTTGAAAGCTAAGCATCATAAACGTTTAGAAAACAACATGCAACAATGAAAGGCAAGGAATAAATGGGTTGTAGTAGACCCTCAGATGCCATAGGATGAGTTGATAACAAAATTGTAAATATTGTAAATATTAACTTCACCTAAACATAAGTAGCTTAAATATATACTTGTAAATATGTGTTATTATAAAAGCAGACATCATTAAAGAACTATAACCAAATAGAATGCTCCCACAAACATAATTAATGTACTGGTTATAAAAGTCTAGTTAATAGCCAACAGCTTTTAGTGTTTCGAATGCCATTAAAGTATTCCGTTTTAAATCTAGATACCAAATTTATGCTTTGAATGACACAGAAACCCCTCATTTGGGGCACAACTACAGGGTAGCAATATAAAAATCGTATATGGGCCAACATATGAGCAGCGTGTGATTGACATGAAAAGCAAGCCCCCACACAAACTCACACTCACATTCACACTCACATTCACACTCACACACACACTCGTGTCGAGCATAATGGATGCACATCTGGACGGGCGCACTTGCAGCATGACATCATTTTGCTCCGGCTTGACATCATAACATGTAGAAAAGATGCAGGAAAATCTGCACTGCCACTGCCACATGGAGAACACCACCCACGCACTCCGCAAATGTGCAAAAAAAATAAAAATACAAAAAGAGAGACAGAAACAAATAAAAGAAGGCAGTTGGGCTGATTTAAGTGCCCGGTTACGGCATCATCGCACATAATTGTTTGGACACAAGCCTGACAGATGATAACTAATTGCCGTGCACTCAAATTAACATTGAAATTGATGGACAGCGGCCTGTCACAACTGAATATTCGCAACTATCGCCAATAAAGTGGCGATAAGGAAGCATAATGATTGAAATTGCAATTGCACCTGTCCGGAAATCAACTTTAAACTAACTAATTAAAGTGCTGGAAATACAATTAAGAATCTATAAAATCTAAATATTTATTAAAAATCAATAAGACAATATTAAGCTTTGTTTTTTCTAATAAACAACTAAAATTCTTTCTGAATCCTTTGAGCTTCCCCTCATTTAATTTATCATGTATCTTTCATATTCCACCTTTATATAGTGCCCAATAAAACCGCAACCATTAGATCGTTTTAAAATCATTTACCCATTGGTTAACCACATCGATGGCCCGCAAATAATTTAGACAATCAAAACTCTTGAAAGTTAACCGAGCAAATTAAGGCGAATTTATTTTTAGCCATGACGCTAGATGTTTGCTGTTTGAAATGGAATCTCAGCAGAGCGGGCACATACATTGTGTGTACTATATTGTGTCTAAATATATAGAATTTCAGATGCTCTGATGAATATCAATTTCATAAGCCAGTCCGAACTGATAACGCGGGGTAAAAAAAGGAGAACAACGGGCTGCAGTTATGAGACAGATGACTGATAACCCAATTTCCCGAGCTTCTTCAACACTGGACTCATAAATAATCGTTTCAATTTACGAAATTCATTACACAGGCGGCTACTAAGTGGCCCCTCCCCATATCACTCATACGCCATGCTGTCCATATCGCACACACACACTCAGGGAAAGAGACTTCGCATAATTTCCGCATTCAGTTGCAGATAAATAAATAATTGAGTCAAATTGAAATGCAACTCGCCAAACAATTCTACTCAAGCACGCAAATAAACTTCCACAAGGAGTCCAACAATGAGATGATGATCATTGTTGTCCCATCCAACTTTTTGTTGTTGTTGTTGTTTTTCTTGGGCGGTCTTCAGCTGGAGCCCCACTGGCATCCACATTTGGCCCCGCTCTGTCTGGCCAGCGATGGTGGTCAGTGATTTATGCCAGCATCGGGTCAGTTCAGACCAGGATCGCTTATAAACAAAACCCCAAAGAAATTGAAACCCAAGATGAGCGCAGGGAGTAAAAAGTGGAAAGGAGAGGACTACACTAAAAAAATTATATTAAAATTGATTGAATCTAAACACCAACCTATTGAAAGGTAAAGTAATTTTTTGACTGAAAAGATCATTATGACAAAATTTATTGGATTTCATATTTTATAGCTTAGAACAGTGCTTATGAGTATTTCAACTCATAACTTTTCAGAGTGCACAATTAAAGTTTCTAAGACTTTGGACGGCAGAAACAGCAGTCAAAGAAACAACAACAAACAACCCACAACTTTCAATTCCAATTTGAAATGGTGCAGAACGTCAAAAGATTGCCGCCTCCCCCGAAACCCCCTGTGGATCCCCTGGGCTCCAGTGATTCCCTAAGGGAAGAACTCTTCACCGATCACTTGAGCTGCTAATTGTCGGAATCGAACCGCACTCATACACATTCACAAAACGGCACACTTGTTCACAGGCAACAACGGCATTTCCATATATATAGTGGAGCAAGTGCAGGAGAAAAGAGAAAGGGGGATTGTGCCAGAGAGGGAGAGTGGGAGGAGCGACTGATAAAGACCATTTATCAAAATTCATTCATGGAATGGAAAACCTCAGCTGCATTCTCTTCAATGTAAGCTGCACTTAAGAGCAGGTCGGCTCTCTTAAGCGAAACGGAAAAGGAAATCGTTTGTTCGATCAATGTAGCGCAAAACTGGCTGCGAAAACCATTGCAATAACAGTTTGAGAGGCTCCCAACTGCTTAGAAAGTATTTGAATCTGTGGGCCGTTAATAAACACCCTTTAAAAATCTTAACAAATAACTATCTAAGTGTTGATTGTGTGTGTATAAATAATTATGACTAATAAAGTGAATATATTATGTGCACTTTTGTGATTTTACAAAAATATTGCAAGAAAGAAAAACTAGTTGATAATGCTTTACAATAATTTCCTGATATAGTAGGTAAATAATACATTGATTACATGGAATTAGTACAATTGTATGTTTTGAGTCATATGCTAATCGCAAAGCTAATTTTTGCGAGCAGTTTGAATACCCCTGCAGCTCTGATTAGCTATCATGAAAATGTAACTTCCCATTTTGAATGCTAAAATACAATAATAATAAACATTTCCAGTAATCCCCTTTTTGGTGAGGGTAACTCGAACAACGGTAGCGAAAAGAAGTCAATTTTTCAGCGTTTTGCGGTTGATCTGCCGACTGCAACCCACAAGAGCTGGGAGCTCTCACATTTGGAGTCGGGCTGGGGAACTGGGGAGCTGGGGTCCCAGGCCCATGGCATTGACCACGTAACCGAGTGCGAAAAGAGCTGCGGGTCGGGTTACCGAAGTCGTCAAACGAGCTGCACACTTATGATGCCAAACACGTGAGCGCTGGGGATCCAGATCTAAATCCAGATCCAAATCCATCGAATCGAGTGCAAAATCCGACATAGAAATTGTGGCAATCACATCGCATCACTGAAAAGGCAACTTGGCCGTGGGCCAAAGTTCAGGCCAAGCCGATAGCCTCTGGGCCCGCTGGCGACACTTGTTTCAGTTCTATTTATTTCTAAATTTCGATTCAGAGAGCCCATGTCGCAATCAGCAAAACATGCTATCACTGGCGTCAATGCCGCCAACATAGCAATAGGTCTAATTAAATCTCTAGATCGGCGGGCAGCAGCCTGATAAGCCCCGAGTGCCATCAAACATTCGTACCGCCGGCATGTGCTCCACTTAATCCACCCTTACGAAACCGAATCTATTCAAGCCAAGAAACCCACAGAACAGCCAGTTAACCCGAAAGCCATTTAAAAATAAATTATTAGGAAGCTGAACGGAATTGGGCTGGCAAATTCGGCGTTTACAAAAAGTATGGCCTAGTTTTTGGGGCATTTCAAAGTTTAAAACATATGAATTATTTGATCGAAAATTTCAACCTTCCGAAATGTTCATTTTAAATTTTTTAATTGTTTCTGATTTCCAAAGAAAAATAATTGAGAACAAATTGTATTTGTATTGTATTTAATTCTCAGACAACGTTTAAACGACAAATGCTAATCTTTTGCATTTTATTGTTGAAATAAAACCTCTTTTTATAAAGCCACTTAAAAACGCTATCAACCAAAAAGTAACATTGTCATTATAAGAAAAATTAATCGTGACACGATTCGGCAATTAATATAAACTTATTAAAACCATAATCTCGAACATATTTAATTAAATTTTAATTGCCAACCGGAAACGTTCAATGGCAAACTCTAATGCTCTGCCCAAAAGACAAATCCTAATTTAAAGATTATAAGGTTATCGATCTACCTTATCGCCAACCTTTGTAACCCACTGAAATATGTTGCCAAAATAAATGAATGACATAATCCGTCCCCTATGGCAGATGGGTTCTGCTGAACCCCCAGAATCAGGAACAGACTTTGGGGATTATCTTTGGAGGCAAAGAGTTTTCTTGCCGGAAGCGTGGATGAATCAAAGAGTGCAATAATGCAGAATAACAATAACAATAGCTGACGATGATTAAGAGCTGAGCTCAGCTCGAGCTGACCTAATTTTAGTTGTTTATGGTTGATACCAAATGCAAGCGAGATCGATGGTGACAGTTTGAAAAGCGCTGGTATAACTTGTACTTATTTTTGAAAACTCATTAATAGCTTTTAACAAAAATAATCAAGAAATAACATTTTTACAAAATGGTTTTTTAAAGTCTGGGAAGTATTTAAAATAATGTTTTGCGAAATCACAATACTACAAAAAGAAAACTGTAAATGGTTTGAGAAGCACTTTAATTAATCCATACTTTGACAAGATTTTAAATGTTTTGCTGAGGAACTTATTGACTTGAAAGGATTGTGAGTTACGTTAGTTCAATACAAAATAAAAAATTCTAAGCTTGAAATACAATAATAAATATAATATTAACATAGTTTTAGTCACTCACCTTTCCATCCGCTAAGGTCACGGAAACAAGGCTGCCCAGCAAATACACGGCGCCCAGAAGACCCGAGAGATGCCGTAGATCTCTGGGTAACATCTTCGACGGGTCCTTTGGTCCTATCCGCAAATTGTTTATGTCTCACTCTAGCGATCTATCTATCTCTCTCTCTTAAAACACACACGAAACTGGGAACGAAATAAGCAACAAGTAAATGTAAATGGTGTAATTTTTCGATTTTTAAATTTCTTTAAAAAACCGACATCAACGATATTGAATAGTTGATTTTCGAAAAATAGTGGGGAAACTAACAGAAAACGCTGGTTTGCTGCTGCTGCGATCGTCGGACACAGCACTCTCCCCACATGTGGAGATCGTCAAGCAGTCGAAGTGTTACTAAACCCGAGCGCCGCCAAAGAAACTCGAATTCTTCGCCCGTTCGGGCCGAGCGATCGTCGCAGCTCGGCAAACGATCGGGTGGCCGACGGGTTCTCGGCCCACCAATACAGCTGCAAGCTTTGGATGGAGTGGTATGGGTGCGCTGGTTGGAACCGTGGACGTAGTGGCAGGCACAGGCCAGGGACAGCCCCGGATGGACGTGGGTTTGGATGTGGATGTGCATGTGCCTCTGGATTTAGCACTCCAACGCCTTGAAACGAGGAAGTGAGGAGCACAACCCGCTAACCAAATCAAAGCTACTCGATTCCAAGCATAAATGTTCTATTTCCCACTTGGGTGCTCTTCTTTTCGGGGAGGGTATATTGATTCTGATTTGCTTATAAGGATAAGTAAGCTTTAAAATCAAATGTAAACCTTGGTTACTTATGCCTACCTTAAAAACAATCAAACCTGAAGTTACCTTAACTCCCATTTAAGTTAACACAAATAATAAAATATAATAGGTTAATTAACACACTGTTTATAGATTTCAATGTTCAATGTCTACAATAAAAACTATTTTTTATAAATTTCTCTCTCCTTTTTATCAGGTATACTGAAGTCGTAAGGCTCAACTCCAGCTTACAAAGTGATTTCAATACAATTCGATGCTTATTTGTTTGTCGCGCTTCTCGTGATTAGGTTAAGGCTTTTACATTTACTATATGAATTAAATGTGGAGCTGATAAGACGGATATGGCTGCGTATTTCCTGTTAGAAAAGCCTGACAAGAGTCCAAGATGTTCGTGCCGTGCTCGAACTAAGTTGAATTGAACGTAGAAACACCAAAGTGGAACCTTTCGAAATTCGAACAAAGTTTTAGGTTTTGAGGTCGCAGCATTTTGAAATGTGATTTGATAGGTCCATAATCAAGGCGACGTTTTATTTGGGTCTTTGTTATTTTCTCCTTATGTATTTGGAAGTCGGATATGACCCAGTGTTCCAAATAGATATATGTTTAAGGAAGTTTGAGCGATTTTGTCAGTTATCACTAAAAAATAAAATTATTAAAGAATAACAAAAAATAAACTCTTAGGGGGATAGAAATCAATTTATTTTTTTATTGATACAGTATTTCAATTATTTTTAGTCTTAATATAATCAGCGATTACCAGTTTTGAATAAAATAGCATATGCATTTTTTATGATTGCTTCTTAGCTATAACTTGACAAAAATTATCTTCAGAGCTCAACATTTTACAGTTTCTTAGAGCAGACATTAAACTTCACAACTTAAACCACTTTCTATCAAAAAAATATATATATATATAAATTTTAAATATTTTATAAGGGGAAGCAATACATTTTTGGACAAATTTAGAAAAAAATCTAAATTTAATTACGAGCTCAACAGGGTATGAAATTTTTTTTGTAATTGGACAATTTAAAGTTTTTTTTTTGGCAAAAATGTGCACTCTTTAGTGGATAAATGAGGATTGACAATTTGCCTAAATCAACGACTTTTCAAAATAACTATTGAGCTATTATATAACTCGAAAACAAGGTCTTACGGCTGAAAAAATAGTGATTTTAAAAGCTTACAACCTAAACTAACGACCAATTTCTTTTTCCAAACTATTATCAAAATATTTATTTTGATTTAGTGTCGAGAGAAAGAGCGTAAATTTTTTTTTATTTATAGAAATTATAAAAGTAGATTTCTTAACTTATATAGAGTAGTTTATATATTTTTTGCAATTTCAGGCACTCAAGGCATTATCACCAAAAGAACTTTTAACAACGTAAAATCAGGAGGTCAATGGGTCAAAAGACAAAATAAAGACAAATTAAGTTAGGTCCCGGAAAGTTCAAATAAGACATTTACTTGTATTTACTGTTAAGTATATAATAAGATAACTAATCCTTTAAATGTTTGTGTTTCAGAACAAAAACAAGATTACAAAAATATTGTGTAAAAACAAACCAAAAATTGTTGTGTTTATAATTAGAACTCATGGACGGGGCTTGATAATGAAACCTTGGAATTGGACAGACTGAGAACCGAAATCCGAAAAAAGTTTCAAAATCAGGAGCCGCAGCGGCGGAACAAAGCGGAAGCCATGTGCCCGATTTTTGGGGTGGGGGCTATCAGCCCATTTCAAGATGGAAGCTGGAAGCTGCAGCTTCTGGAAGGTGCTCCCGGGGAGGCGGCGGGGATCGGGGGAGTTCGGGCATTATTGAGCAACCCAAGTCGCAAGTGGCATATCAGCATCGGCGACTTAGTTTCCGAGTTATCACCAAGTTTCATTCATTCCGCAGCGACTATGTTAACCGCTGGGAATAGTGCGGCTACTTACGACCCGTCGCCCATCCGCTCCACATGAACACCACCCCATCTTTCCCTCCCCCTTCCCCGCCTCCTCCTCTTCGGGGATCCAATCACATGGACAGTGTACGTGAGCCGAAAGAGCCAAAAGAGCCGAGCGGAGATCGTGGAAAGCCGAACGATCCACGAGTGTAGATCGGGCCATCGGCGTTTGGCTTTTGGATCGCTGGAACTTATACTATAATTAGTCTTGTTCCGTCGTCCCGAGTAAGTAGTAGACTGGGCTCGATCTCGATCTCGATCGGAGCTGAACTGGCCAGTTGCTTGCCTTTAGTCTTTAGTCTTCAGTGTGTTGTGTGGAGTGGAGTGTGGTGCGTTCGGATCGGATCGCTCGGTTGCGGTTGTGTGTTTTCATTAGGGATAGATTTCCTGTAAGGAGCTGAGCTCAATCTATAAAAACTACAAAAAATATTAAATATATTTCTAACAAATAAGGGAATCGCGTGAATCGAAACCCAAAAGCCATAGATTTAATTCTTTCTGCGAGCTCTTGTGCCAGTTCCAGTGACTCCAAAACTGTAGCGCGAAATAGAAATGTTGCTCGAACAACCAAAAATCTGAAAATGATATGCAAAAGCAAAAATAAAAAAATACAACCACTAAATCATATGAAAAAAAAATTTTCCCACACATATTAAATAAAACGAGTCTGCCATAAGAAAATCGTAAAAATTCTGTTACTTTGAAATTATTTTGCAACTGCTGCGAAATTAAAGTGCCCAATTTTCTGGCTCATCTTTCCAGGCCCAACGACGGCAACATATAAATTAAAATTCGACGAGGACAGAGCAAATTATTGTGCAGGCTTAAGCGCATAGGGCATCATGTTGCCCTTCTGGAAGCGGTAAGTGAAAATACCAATTAATAATGTGTTCAAATTTTGAAAAAGAAAATTATAAAAAAAATATTTTCCAAACATTAGACAAAAAATATACGACACGTAGCCCAAAAAATTTTTTGTTTTAAGCACCTTATGACTTCCAATCTGACTGTCAACTAATTTATTTTTTTTTACCGAACTTGCACATAAAAACTATATGAATTTTTCTTAAATCAAATAAGTAATTAATCATTTTTATAATCGCTGTTTTTTGTTTTATTTAATAAATTTATTTAAGAAATTAAACAAGATATTGGGCCCTTGCCATTTTGGTAACTGATGATTGTCTAGCAATTATAGAAAGAGATTAAAAACTTCCATTCAGATCCAGCTCTGAGCTCTTATTTCTGTTCGTTATTTCGATTTCGCCAAGATCTTGTTCTTATCTCTTGGTTGCTCTTCGAGCAGCCCGCTCTCTTAGTTATTGCTCTTTGACTCGTAGTCTAAGAGAGTGCTGAGCTGCAAGAGAGTAGCGAACTGATAAGAATAATCAAGAAATTCTTATAATTAGTTAATAAAGTCATGAAGTTAATTTTCTAATTTTGATTTTTTTCAGGCTGCTATACGCCGCTGTGATTGCGGGAGCGTTAGTGGGTGCTGATGCTGTAAGAAACCACAAATCCTTATACTTATCCAATCCGATATTGATTTTCCCCGTTCCATGTTCCCTTTTCTCTTCTTTGCGTTTAGCAATTTTGGAAGCAGTCCGGCACGTCCGGTTCGATCCAGGACTCGGTGAGGCAACACAATCGAAATGAACCCCGATTCCAAATAGACGATAGTTACGACATCGTGGACTCCGCCTCCGTGCAGCGTGGCGAACCGCTGCCCCGGAACTGTACGGCCGGATATGCGGGCTGTGTGCCCAAGTGCATTGCGGAGAAGGGCAACCGCGGCCTGCCCGGTCCGCTGGGACCGACGGGACCCAAGGGCGAGACCGGATTCCCCGGACTGGAGGGACCGCTGGGCGACAAGGGCCAGAAGGGCGATCCCGGCCCGTACGGACCACGTGGCTACAAGGGCGAGCGCGGATCTCAGGGCATTCCCGGCCAGGCCGGCGTGCCCGGAGTCCAAGGATCCGCCGGAGCACCCGGTGCTCCCGGTCTGAACGGCAAGGACGGCTGCGACGGCGAGGACGGTATGCCCGGTCTGGCGGGTCTCTCCGGAATGGCGGGACCACGTGGCTTTGCGGGTATTGCCGGCAGCAAGGGAGAGAAGGGTGAGCCGGCCAAGGAGAACGGAGACTATGCCAAGGGCGAGAAGGGTGAGCCCGGATTTGCGGGCACGGCCGGTTTCGCCGGACCCCAGGGACTTCCTGGCGAGAAGGGCGACCGCGGTGACACCGGACCATATGGCGCCAAAGGACCTCGAGGCGAGTACGGACTGAAGGGCGAGAAGGGCTCCTCCTGTTACGGACCAATGAAACCCGGAGCACCTGGCTTGAAGGGCGAGAAGGGTGAACCGGCGTCGTCGGTGCCCGTTAATGGCGGCGTCTCGAAACAAGGAGCTCCCGGCGATAAGGGAGAAAAGGGCGTGCCCGGCCCAGAGGGCCAAGCTGGTGCTATTGGCAGTCCCGGAGTGCAAGGAAACGACGGACAGAAGGGCGAGAAGGGTCTGCCCGGCGGCCCAGGCGATCGTGTAAGTGGATTCTCGTAAAATGTCCTTTCTTCTTTTTTGATTTTTCCTTGGTTGGAAGAGGATTAGCAAAATACTTTTTCGTATTCCAACCTTTAGTATCCTAAAGTAGATTTTACTGAGTGTTTTAAGGTTATGGCTGCAGATCGCTGTATCTCATCTGGGCTTTATTTCAGGGTCGCCAAGGAAACTTTGGACCCCCAGGACCTGCCGGCCAGAAGGGAGACCGCGGCTCCACCGGACTTAACGGACTGCCCGGTAATCCCGGACAGAAGGGCGAGCCTGGACGTGACGGAGAAACGGGTAAGCCAGGTCTGCTTGGACCTCCCGGACCGCCGGGCGGTGGTCGCGGAACCCCAGGACCCTCCGGACCGAAAGGACCTCGTGGCTATGCTGGTGCACCTGGGCCGCGTGGACTGAGTGGAGCTGATGGCGAAACGGGTCCGCAAGGCTACGCTGGACAGAAGGGAGGCTCCGGCCTGCCCGGACGTCCTGGCAACGAAGGACCTGCTGGCAGGAAGGGCGAGAAGGGTGTCGCCGGACGTGACGGATCCCCGGGCCCCGTGGGACCCATCGGATACCAAGGACCACCGGGACGCGAGGGCCAGAAGGGTGACGCCGGTATTCCCGGCATTGGAATTCAAGGACCTAAGGGCGATGAAGGCATTCCCGGGTAAGTCGATACTGCTGTTACTCAAGGCTCAGGGAACCTTTTTAAATAAACTCTAAAGGTAGTTTAAAGATACCGATACTCATTACAAACACTTCATTTCCTAAAACAATTTGATAACAATTTAACAAATCTAAAAACATTGAAACACCAATGAAAGTATATAAATAAAGGCATACAATTTTGAGCCCAATCCTTTTTCTAACAAACCTTCAATACCAAATATACCCACTATGTCCTGCAGAACCCCCGGACAGAAGGGCAACAAGGGAGAGCGCGGCTTCAAAGGAAACGCTGGTGTGCCCGGTGACTCGAAGCTTGGACGACCCGGAACCCCCGGAACTGCTGGTGCGCCTGGCGAGAAGGGAGACGCCGGCCGTCCCGGCAATCCCGGCCAGAAGGGCGACCAGGGACCGAAGGGTGAGATCGGCGGCAAGTGCTCCTCCTGCAAGAGCGGAGCCAAGGGCGAGAAGGGCGCCATCGGTCTAGCTGGAATCCCCGGCAAGGACGGCGCCCGCGGTCCGCCTGGCGAGCGCGGATACCCCGGTGAGCGTGGACAGGACGGCATCAACGGCAGGACGGGTCCGCCCGGTGAACGCGGAGAAGACGGTATGACTGGTGCTCCCGGAGCCACGGGTCTGCCCGGTCTGCCGGCCACTATCAATTGGAGCTTGGTGGAACCAATCAAGGGCGATAAGGGCAATGCCGGCCTAACCGGAGCACCAGGTATCCAGGGACTCCAGGGAGCAAAGGGCGAGCCAGGAGCCAAGGGACCCCCGGGATTGCTCGGCCTCAAGGGCGACAAGGGATTGTCCGGAGCACCCGGCGTCGATGGCACTCCCGGACGCGCTGGACGCGATGGCTTCCCCGGCCTGCCCGGCATTTCGATCAAGGGCGAGCCCGGCTTCAACGGACTGAACGGCATTAAGGGCGACAAGGGACCAATCGGCAGGACGGGCGAGCGTGGAGAACCCGGCAGCTGTGCCGCCGGCGAGCAGCGACTGCCGCCCAAAGGCAGCAAGGGTGAACGCGGAGAGCCCGGCGCACCGGGACCCACCGGAGATGTTGGCCCCCGCGGAGAGCAGGGCTTCAAGGGATCGAAGGGTGACACCGGACCCAAGGGACAAGCCGGAATCGAGGGACCCCGCGGCTTGAACGGACCACGCGGCGAGAAGGGCAACCAGGGCGGCATCGGCGCTCCCGGTAATCCCGGCCACGACGGACTACGCGGACTGCCCGGACGCAATGGCGAGCCTGGATTGAGGGGAGAGCCCGGAATTTCGGTGGCCGGTCCCCCCGGTCCTCCGGGTCTGACTGGACTGCAGGGCGAGAAGGGCAACCGCGGACCCATCGGAGCACCTGGCCTGCCTGGTGCCGATGGCAGCGTGGGATATCCGGGAGATCGGGGCGATGCCGGCATGCCCGGAGCAGCTGGACCTCCAGGACTCGTTGGCGAGAAGGGAGACACCGGTCCCGTGGGACCCGCCGGCATCCAGGGTCCTCCTGGCGTGCCCGGCATCAGCGGCGTGCGTGGACTCGACGGCAACAAGGGTGACCAGGGCCAACCCGGTCTGGTGGGCATGCCAGGCAGCAAGGGCGAACGCGGCGCACCCGGAAACGATGGACCCAAGGGATTCGCCGGCGTCACCGGTGCTCCCGGCAAGCGCGGACCCGTCGGCATTCCCGGAATTCCTGGTGAGTAATCATGGTTAATTCATAAGCCATTTGAATATAAACTTCAGTTGATAATTCAAACCCTATTGGTTTTGAGAAGTCCAAAGATGCAACTGAATCCTCCGATTTTACTCTCCAGGTGCCAAGGGCGACAAGGGACACATCGGCATGACTGGCATTGACGGACCGATCGGAGGCCGTGGACCCCCAGGACCTCCCGGCCTGATGGGCGTGAAGGGCGACCAAGGATTCGCCGGTGCCCCCGGACAGCGTGGATTGGACGGATTGAATGGTGAGAAGGGTGCCCAGGGATTGCCCGGCGTAGATGGCGCTCCCGGCCTACCCGGCGATGCCTCCGAGAAGGGACAGAAGGGTGAGCCCGGCATTCCCGGACTGCGCGGCGACACTGGACTGACTGGCGAACCCGGCTGGCCCGGCGACAAGGGTCAACCCGGCCTGGCTGTTCACGGACGTCCTGGTCCTCAGGGCGAGAAGGGCGACACTGGACGCGCTGGCATCGATGGACGCGACGGACTCGCTGGCGAGAAGGGCGAACAGGGACTCCAGGGCGTTTGGGGCCAGCCCGGCGAGAAGGGATCGGTTGGAGCACCCGGTATTCCCGGCGCTCCTGGCATGGACGGACTGAACGGAGCTCCCGGTGCCCCCGGTGCCGTTGGCTATCACGGTGCCAAGGGCGATAAGGGTGAAGCGGGTCTGATCGGTCTGACAGGACTCAAGGGCGCCGTTGGACCCCAAGGACCTCAAGGCTATGTGGGCGCTCCCGGTGAGAAAGGAGACCGCGGTATCCGTGGTCAGCCCGGTTTGCCGGCCATCATCGACGAAGCGGCTCTGCGCGGCGACAAGGGATCCCAGGGCGAGCGTGGTCTCACCGGCGCCAAGGGCGACAAGGGTGCCCGCGGAGAACAGGGTCTGACCGGCTTCACCGGAGCCAAGGGCGATCGCGGCTTCCAGGGACCACCGGGTGCCGCCGGACTGAACGGCGCTCCTGGTCAGAAGGGTGACATTGGACTCCAGGGCGAGCAGGGATACCCCGGTCGCCCCACCAAGGGCGAGAAGGGTCTTCCCGGTCGCTCCGGCAGGAACGGACGTCAAGGTAAGTTTTGGATTGTAAAACCACCTAACCCACTTAACCCATTACCCCTAATATCTAGGACTTACTGGAGCACCTGGCCTGATTGGTGAGCGCGGTCTGCCCGGCTTGCCCGGAGAGCCTGGTCTGGTGGGTCTGCCCGGTCCGATTGGAGCACCTGGCGCCAAGGGAGAGCGCGGCATTGCCGGCAGCCCCGGACAACCTGGACAGGATGGCTTCACCGGCGCACCCGGAGCGAAGGGTGACGTGGGACTGCAGGGCTTCAAGGGAGAGCGCGGTGCGAACGGCTTCGAGGGACAGAAGGGCGACAAGGGCAACCAGGGATACCAGGGTCCGCCCGGACAGCCCGGTCTGAACGGCATCAAGGGCGACATTGGCTACCCCGGACTGAACGGCGCCGATGGACCACCGGGCCCTCAGGGCGAACGTGGACCAACCGGACCGAAGGGACGCGATGGAGTCGACGGATACCCCGGCTTGGCGGGACAGAAGGGTGAGCCGGGCTTGGTGTCGCCACCGGGACCCAAGGGCGAGCCGGGTCAGCCAGGATACAATGGACAGAAGGGTGAGCCTGGGCGACAGGGAGATCGTGGCCTCGTCGGAATCCAGGGCCAGCGCGGCGAGAAGGGTGAACGCGGATTGATCGGCGAGACGGGACTGGTGGGTCGACCCGGACCAAAGGGAGATCGCGGTCTGCAGGGCGAGCGGGGCTTCGAGGGTGCCATCGGTCTAATCGGCGAGAAGGGCGAGCCAGGTGCTCCGTGCTCCGCCGCTTTGGACTACCTCACCGGCATCCTGGTGACGCGTCACAGCCAGTCGACATCAGTGCCGACGTGCTTCGCCGGCCAAACGGAACTCTGGTCGGGCTACTCGCTTCTGTATGTCGATGGCAATGACTATGCCCACAACCAGGAGCTCGGCTCCGCTGGATCCTGTGTGCCCCGTTTCTCGACGCTGCCTGTGATGTCCTGCGGCCAGAACAACGTCTGCAACTACGCCTCGCGCAACGACAGGACCTTCTGGCTGACCACCAACGCCGATCTCCCCATGATGCCCGTCGAGAACAACGACATCCAGCAGTACATCTCACGCTGCGTCGTCTGCGAGGCTCCGGCCAACGTGATCGCCGTGCACAGCCAGACGATAGAGGTGCCCGACTGTCCCAACGGCTGGGAGAGCCTCTGGATCGGCTTCAGTTTCGTCATGGTAAGTGTAGCTCTTCAGGTTACCCCCAACCCAAAAAAAACCCCTGAGCATTAGTGGGGTGGTTTTTTTGGAAAAGTTGGAACCCACTTAAGTTATTTACGGGTATATATTTATTAAGTTATATACTCGTATTTGTTTTCCATTTATTAACTCATTATTTAACCGTAATTGCTATTTTTTTATAGCACACTGCCGTGGGCAACGGAGGCGGTGGACAGGCGCTGCAATCGCCTGGATCCTGTTTGGAGGACTTCCGCGCCACGCCCTTCATCGAGTGCAACGGAGCGAAGGGCACGTGCCACTTCTACGAGACGATGACCAGCTTCTGGCTGTTCAACCTGGACTCCACGCCCTCGTTCGAGAAGCCGCAGATGCAGACGATCAAGGCTGGCGAGCGGCAGTCGCGTGTCTCCAGGTGCCAGGTGTGCATGAAGAACTCGTCGTAGGACTCGTCCTTCGCCAAGGACTTACCCACACAGACACACAGAGCGAAGCGCCAAGCACACACACAGCAATAAGTTTAATCTAAATGTAAAGCCCTAAATATACCAACGAATTGTGTGCGCACACCTACACACCCAAATTAGCACACACTCACACACAAACAAACCAACAAACACACACACCGACGAACAACCAACACTGCTACAAATTCCTTAAACTAACCAAAAAGAAACAAGAAGAAAAAAACGGGGAACCACGGTCGAAGTGCTAAAAACCGACCTGGCCACCTAAATGCCATTTTTTTGTCTGCCAATTAATGTTCTAAACAAATGTAAACTGCTTCTAAGTTACGTTACGTTAGTTAAGTAAATCAAGCAAATAAATAAACTAGCCTCGGTCGTATGTCGAAAAATATAATACAATACCTATGTGCGAGCATGTTCCATTTTTTGATCACCCCTATCAAATGCGAATCAATGCACCGTGTAAGGATATAACAATATCGAACAATTCCCTTGACATATAGATCGCCTCCTCAACTGCTATACACAACTTTTTCGCTAATTGTTTACGTTTATGAAACAAACAAAAAATGGTAAAATAAAGAAATTTTATAAATACATGATGCACTTATACAAATAGTAGAAAAACTAGGACCTTTAAGCATGGTGTAGATGTGCATTTCTTATAGACCACTTTATTTCTATTTGCTGTGTTATTACGTGCCGTGATTTCAGGTTTTTTTTTAAAAGGGGATGAAAACCTATTTGGAAAGAAGAAAGTTGGGTTTATTTTATACTAAAAGACTAAAAGAGTCCGTCACGTTTTTAGGTAATATTATATAGGCAGATAAAACATGATTCAAGGCAGAGATTTTAATTTTTTTGTGTAATTTTCTGAACATAATACCCTTAACCTTAGCTGATAAGATCTTCCTCGAGAGACAAGGGTTACGGGTAGCTACTGTGGTGAAAAACCCATCATAAAGAGCCCTTAAAAAGCAATGCCAAGGAAAAGAGGAGCGGAAAACCTACCACATGCACTTGTGCGCATGCCTCGCTCTCTCTTCCTCACTCTCTCGCTCTCGCTCTCTCTTCGCGGTTGCCAAAATGGGGGTTGGGCTGACGAGGGGGTGGCGATTGGGGTCAAAGCGGCAGCAGTGGGGTGGTCTGGGCGAAGCGGGTTGCCCACCGATACCGATACCATATGATAATGATATGCAGACGGTCGCACACACGCACACATTCCAATTGGTGGTTGGAAGCACAGCTCGTCGAAAATAAGGGTAGGCCTCTTCTTTGTGGCTTCGAGTTGGAAAAGTGAGCCGACCAAAAAGAAAATAAAGTGCCAGAAGTCAGCGAGACGTGGTCGGTGGGAGTCGAAACTTTGGCCAGACACAACCGGAGCAGCTTTTTGGGAGCTCAAGAGGTGGAGGAGCTGGAAAAAAATGTGTGTACCCCGAAAAAAGCAGTGAAAGTTGCGTGTTCCCCCTTCAAAAGCAAGGAGTTAAATAACTAATTAGTGCTGGAGATGACAAGGTTCTGAGCTGCCGGAAGTGCATCCACAAAGGCCAAATAAAATCGAAAAAAAGACACATCAGAAGTAAAAGGAAAACCCCATTGAAGAGGCAACCACCAACCCCAACCCCCATTTATGATTATCGTCCTGCTGCTGCTGTTCCAATCGCTGTGCCTCTACTGCCAACGCCTGGTGCTCTACGTCCACGACCGATGCTTCCCGAGGAACGTGCGCCTGCTGCAGGAGGTGGCCGAGACGGTGGGCGATCGTAAGGCACCGCAGCGCCTCGCTGAGCAGCAGTTGGAGCAACAGAAGAGGAGCCAGAAGCGGCGAATCCTCGAGCCCATCCTTCCCCTGGTCGGTGGCCTCAACTCCGAGGCGTGTCGCTTTTGTGCCCACAGTCCACAGGGCTATTGTCGCCACCACTTTCACCTGCAGGAACTGCAGCTGCACAAGCAAAGGGGGTCCGGTGGCGAGCAGGATTTCCGGCAGATCAGAAGGATCAAGCGGGAGCTGAAGCGGACTATCGGTCAGCAGCAACAGCATCTTCAGCCGGCGAGGAGCTATCGTCCCGTGAGACTGAGTTCCAGCTGGAGTACCACTTCGTTGAGCAGCGGATACGCTTCTCTGAGTAGCTTTGGTACTCAGGACCAGGAAGAAGACTTGTTGGGAGACCAGGATCAGGAGCTACTGGAAGAGGTTCCTCTGGAGGAGCCATCACTGGAGCCACAAGGAGAAGTCGAGCAGGTGGAACTGCCACAGGAGGAAATTGAACAACCCTTGCTCACCACTCACTTGTAGAAATACTCGTAACAAGCGTCACAGGGATACAATTAAGGAGCAAGACTCTCAGTGATTCATCTAAAAAAGGACACCACACAATAAACACTGAAGGAACCTCAGAAAAAATGATTAAATAAGTAATATTTTTATAAAACTGGTGAAAGATTAACCCCTAGAGAAACCAAAGAAAGAGCTTCCACCTGAATTGTTTTCAAAAGCGGAACTCACAACCCCTGAAGCCGCTCCTTAAACAATTTCATCAGCTTGAGAGTCCAAGGAAGAGGACATCCACCCCCAGTAAAGCAAAACATTGGAGGACTACACCCCCCATAAAAAACGATTTCAAGTGCTGCCTTTGTCTAAGTTGTCGGTTCAGTTTGAAAGGAACAAATTTCTGGTCAACAAAAAATGTCGGATGTGGAGGTGGATACACAGCAGCAGGGCCACCCCCATCCCGTGGCGGCCATAACCCCGAGGAGGCGTAGAGGTCGCCGAGGAGGAGGCGGAGGAGGAGCAGGTTGCCTGGCCATGCAGTCCGCCTCGCAGGATGCCACATCGCCATCGTCGCCGCCGCCTCGCTTTTGCCCGCTGGTCGAGGGCGTCGAGGACAATTGGACGTGGAGCAAAAGGCACCGCTCCAAGGAGGTGGTGCTCAGTGGACCCAACTCCCGAACTGTGCACTTTCACCCCAACTGGAGTAAAGGAACCGCTGGCGTTCAGGGCAAGCGATCCCTGAACAATGGTCGTTACTACTGGGAGCTGCACGTTTCGCAGCGAGTCTTTGGCACCTCGATTATGTTCGGGATTGGCACAAAGTCAGCTCGACTCCATGCGAATGCCTTTAGGAACATGCTGGGTGAGAATGAGCACGGCTGGGGTCTGTCCCACAAGGGCGTGCTTTGGCACAAGGGCGTGGCCCTGCTCTACACGAAACGTTTTCGCGAAAACCATCCCACCCAGATTGGAGTGCTCTTCGATGGCATCGAGGGCACACTCACCTACTACAAGGACGGCAAGTGCCTGGGCGTCGCCTTCCGAGGATTGGATCAGGTGAGCTTCGAACTGAAGATATAAAAATGTATAGTACTTATCCCGCGTAATCTCCTCCAGATTGATGAGCCTTTGTACCCCATTGTCTGCTCAACGGCGGCCAAAACGGAGATGACATTGAAGTGCACGCGGCGGGAGTTTGTCAACCTGCAGGATCGCTGTCGAGCGGTCATAATGAGGAGGGTGCGTACTCCATCGCAGCTGGAGAAGCTGAAGCTGCCGTTGCCCATCAGCGATTACCTGGGCGAGGTGATCGACGAGATGGAGCCCCTCCGTCAGGTAGACAACTACGATATACTGTGTGATTTGTAGAACTCGGAACGACCCGGGGAGCGACCAGCCGGAGTCCCCAGCTTAGCTTAAGTTTCTATAGAGTACATCCTCTCCCCCAGGTGAATCAGCTGGAGATGGTTATTATGAATTATGATTTGTGAGCGGCCCGTGAATCGTTTTTGTGCCATCTGGAAAACGGAGTGCACTTCGCGATGCAGTGCCTCTGGGACATGTAAATTAATCGAAGTAGTTGTAAATTGTGCTTTGTAAACTATATTGTTAAGCATCGGGAAATATCGAACGGGGATAACCCGATTTTCAGTTTTGTTTATAGCCTTTTGTTGAAAATTTCTAGCGAAAATGTGGGGAAATAGGCCAATTCGGTGCAATATTTGTGATATAAGGAAAAAAGAGTAAATTAAATCGTATTTTGGGGCTTTCGAGTGCTTGCTAGTTAACCGCAAAATAATATAGAGCTAAGCATATTTTTCGGTACAGACGAGTGTGAAATCTAGTCAAAAGTAACACGCTGCTAAACTAATTTTGTATAATCGCAGTCAGCAAATAAAGCTTAATTAATGTAATTTATTAAGACGGAAACATTTCTAGTCATAAATTGCAAGTCAAGCAATTGGAAATTGTAAAAACACATGTAAAGGTACTGCACCTATTACCCAAAATAATTTAGTAAAAATCATTTATTATATTTTCTGTAGATTCTTTTTTTTGGTGTCTATATAAATTATTACACATAATGTAATTGGTACTCGATGAACCAGAAATAAGACATGGACATGAAATTCGTTGAAGCGCTCAAAACAATTAAGCGATGTTGATTTGCAATTGTCACTTGAACTTACATAAATAAAACATAAATTTACTAACTATTTAAATGAAGTACAATACTAAGCACAGGTTCACTATAGCAGGATAGCGCGTTGGCCGGGATCTACAGCTCGTCGGAGAGATGGTTGATGTTCTGTAAGTGGTCCCCGTAATCGGTGGCCTCGCTGCCCACGAAGGTGTCGTAGTTGTTGAGTATCTCGAGATAGGACAGCCGATCGTCGTGATCCTCGTCGGTGGAGACAAACAGGTGATCGACCTCGTCGTTGGCAATCGCCGTATTGCTCGGCACAATCCAGGACAAAACCTCATCGCCCGTGAGCACGCCATCGCCATTGGTATCGTGGTCCTTGTCGAATCGCTCCTTCTCCGTGATCAGCCACTCTTTGTCGTGCTGGGAGGCTGCATCGCCGACAAACTCTTGGAAGTTGATCTTGCCATTGTGGTCCAAGTCCTTGTCCTGCATCGTGTGCTCCAGCAGTATGGGCAACATCTGCGGATGCTCTTCGGGATTTTGGAACAGAACGAATTCCTCTAGGGTGAGAACTCCATCTTTATTCGTGTCGGCCGCATTGAACATCTCCTTGTCCTGCTTGATCATCTTTTGCTCATCCTCGTAGCTGTCAAAGTCGATGGTCTCCTTTTTGAAATCCTCGTCTTCCATGGCGTAGGTGTCCTGTAGATACTCTTTCCAGGTTATTTTCTCATCCGCATCTTGATCTATTTCTTCGAATCTATCAGCGGCTTCCTCCTCAGAAAGTTTTCTAAAAGTGTGAATATTATTTGAATAAAGGTTTTAAAAATACATTTTTGGGTGGTAAGTTTACATGAAGAAAGCATTATATAGCCGAGGATATTATTGGCTTGGCTAACTTTGATGCAGTATTAATCAACAAACAACACTCACTTAAAAGACCTTAATATCCAGGCTTTCAACTCATGCCGGTCAATAAATTCGTCCTTATTAAGGTCCATCATTTTGACCAGTATCAGTAGACGTCTCTTGGATTCCTCTGGCGTAAGTGTGTCGAATTCCTGAGCCTCTTTCGTATTGCCTGTTTTTATTAAATAGTAAAAAACCATAAGCGTGAGGTTTTAAATGGAACATTAAGCAGAATCTACGCCATTGGCATTTTGCTTTTAGAAAACTATTTTAATGGTTTTACGTTGGAAGCACTGCCAAAAATAGCTTGTAAAAATAAAACCTAATATTATTTGCTTTTAATTCTAATAAAAATATTATAATTTCAAAACTTTTCATAACTGTAAGGTTATAGTAATTATTTTTAATCTAATTGACTTTGTATTTGTAACCTTAAATTCTCTAATATGTCAATTCGTAAACATTCAAAACTATTTTTCGGCAGCATACATCCAAATGTGTATGATTGAACCATATTCTCTAGGTGTTTGAATGATTCTTTCCATGTGCAGAGCTATAAAAATAAACCTCAGGCAATAAACAAATAAATTTCCGCAGCATACACCGTAAAAAGTATTCAAAATGTTTTTGAGAAGTACCAATATTAAAATGATTGGTAAATATACAAAATTTATGACTTGGCATTTTAAATTTTATTTTGGAGGCAAACTCTTGGTTTTAAGGTTTCCTGTATCTACGTTGGACAATTTTCTACTGGATGATTCTTTCGGCAATGACTCACCAATGATGGCCTCGTGATCGAACTCCACGTTGTGCTCCCCATCCTCGCCGTGGTGGTGCGCATCCCTTGGGGCATAGATACCGTCCTTGACCCTTTCTTTGCTAAGATGCTTCTCGTGCTTATGGTTTGCAACTGCTCCGATTGCGGGCATTGGACCAACGGCGGCCAAAAAGGCGATGGTGCAAAGAGCCAGCGGAAAAAGCGGCAGATTCCTAGGCATTTTAATTGATTATGCCGAGCAGCGTGTTCTTTCTTTTTTTGTATATTTTTTTTGGCAGCTTCCCGACCACTCGAGAAGAAGGAGATGAGAAGGGAGAGAAGGAAAGACGGATGCTCGCACACGTAATGCCCAACAACACAATGAACTCGGTTCACCTTTCGCCAGCTTCTGAAATATGCTAATGTCAGTCAAGAAAGACTATTTTTCGAATTTAAATACCCACCCAGCAGACCGACAGCTGTTGTCTCAGATTGCCTTTCCAATATTTCCTGGACCACAATTTTCGCTCTTAAATTCTTAGCACCCAATTGTAGGTCTTCCTGTGCGTCATTTAACTTAATTCACAAGTCTTTTATCTATGGCTCATTTTTAAGAGAAATACGTTTATTTATTTCCGTAGGCAAAAAAGAAGTGTGACCCCTACCGACAGGCCGAAATCTCTCGATTAATTTTTATCGCAGTAGCCCTGGTCCGACCCCGATAACCAACACTGTTCGAGCCTGCGAAAAAACTTAACAACACTCGCGCATCTTGCAAATTGGCTGGAATTTTTGTTATTCTCTTCGCAATTACAAGAAATAGAGAAATTTAAACCTAAATAACTGCCAACACCAGGGGCAATCAGGCTATACGTAGTAGGGCCATATAAAAGAACAAGGTAAGTTTTTGTATCTAAACTATGTGGACTTTACTGTGAGGGCAAAAAAGATCTAGAAAAAGGCAATCGCAATGATTAAATTCAAATGACATCATTTTGCGACAGCTGTATGTTCATAAACCTCGTTTGGAGCCGCACGTTTTATTTATTTGGAAATTTGATCATAATTTATGTTCATTTTGTGTGCCCCAAACACGCAAAGGACACTTGAGCGAAATAGGTGTGCGTGTATTTTTGGCAGGACTGTTAGTGTGTGTGTGCAGGTCCCTTACTATGTGTGTGTGTGTAGGAGTGTTTGACCGGCTTGGTGAACTTTTTATTTTTATTTTATTATTGTTTTTGTTCAGGCGCCGAGCCACAGAAATACTTACTCATTAGTCGACCGGTCAGGCCCGTAATTATAGTCCCTGACTTAAGCTTGGCATGCAACTGGTCGTGGGGTATGGACGAATAACAAGTGCGAGGGAGAAAGAGAAAGCACAGGGGTGTTGTTAGCGAAAGGGATTGTCCATAGGGATTGGCTATTATTTCTAAACTTTCCAGCGTTTCACACATTTTATTTCCTGGCTTATATTTAAAAAAGAATGTGAACAAAATGTAATGTTTATTCATGATTCTTTAATTAATTTTGGGGTCATATGGTATTTTATTAATCATTAAAATCGTTTTCCTAGGGTCTTTTTTAAGAATCCAAGATGTAGAGTTTGAGGAAAAAGGGGTTTTAGCTTTACTTTGACTAGGTTTAAAACAAATCAACAAGAATAAATCCTTTCTGATGTATTTTTATATTATTTACATATTTTTGTTGATCAAGACCTAAGTCCCTTTAACAATATTAATCGCTTTTGCCTCTGGCTAGCACATGTTGTATATCGCATTGATGATTATCCTGGCCGAATGCGTCACTTTGTCATTTGGGTATCTGCCACCTTACACCGTAGGCTAATCCAATAAAAAGCTGCTAACCATTTCAGAGAGCCACGCTGAGCGACGCCTATAAATAATAAGCACACCAGGCCAGCCGCAGAAAAAAGCCACAACAGTCAAGTTAAGTCGCTGGGAAAACCTCTTGGGCGCAAAACGTCGAACCCGATTTTAGTTTCAGTCGAGAGCCAGCCTTCAGCAGCGCAACAGCAAGCTTTTTTCGGCCCCAATTTCGTTCATTTTCTGTACATTCGTCGTATATCTTATTTGTTTTCACTTACGTTTTACGGTTTTTCGTTGGCACGCCCGCGCTAATTAATCCGCAGATATCCAGCAGTAATCAGGCCAAATGCCGTACATTATCATACGGGGGAACTTAGCCTCCTACAGCCACAAATATCCATGGCGAGTGCTCGTCTCGGGATTGAAAGGTAAAGCCCGAAACGAAACGTTCAGTAGATACAATATCTCATTTTCGTTTCGCTTTTATTTTGTCGTGTGTTTACTATTGCGACACAATTAATTTCGAGAGCTTGGCAAACAGATACGAACACACACAGATACTTCCACGCATACGAGCACAGCACGCAAACTTTTTTGAGCGTTAGTTTTCGGTTTTTCCACTTTGCACTACAGAAAAACAAAAACAATTTTTGGATGATTAGACAGTAGCGGCAACTTCAACTTGCCACTATTTTTGATTCGTTGTTGATGTTGTTCATATAATTTCTTCTTATTCAGTTACTTTTGTTTTTCGGCTTATAAGGTTGCATGACTATTTCTTAAAATTACATATTTTTGTAGAGAATTGACTTATATAAATTTTATGCACGTTTATACATTCTGTCATAGTTATGAAGTAATGGCAACAAAAACCATCACCTAATTTTGTTTATATTGATTTAAACATTACTTCTTTACAATTGTCAATTGACAATCATATTGTAATATACCATATATAAAAAGCTGTCGTTTTTAAAAAATTTTGTTTTTACATATGTATAAGCCTTGTGCAATTATTTAGCACTTTGCTATTAGGTTTTCCTCAAAATCAACAGCTGCCCTTTAATTGCATGCCGAGAAACCCGCCACTCCGCACCATACCTCTTTTTACGACCGGCACTGTGCGAAGTTTTGCTGCCGCAGACGAAGCCTCAATCGTCGTCAGTTTGATTTTGTTTTTCGCTGCGGGCAGTTCGCTTAGCAGACCGGGTCTGTAGTTTATATATACCACCGTATGTACACCACATATATCGACTTAATTCCGGTGCATATTTGCGGTACTTTTATCTGTGCCTGGGCAGAAGTCAATGCACTGGGATCTACACACAAAGAACACACGAGAAACTCCCATTTTTGATTATTATGAAACAGCAGTCAATATCTTTTGGCCTTTTGCTTAATTAGCACACTCACATTGAAAGACAACGAGCTGACGTCATCGTCCATAGCCGTATTATCTTTTGTTTGCCCTGTTTAAACATTTAGCCCCACACCATAAACACCATAAACGAAAGGGAAAGCCATTTTCCAAGAAATAGCCCCCATGATAACCATTGCCCATCCACCCGTAATTACTTTCAGCTGACGACATCGAGCAGTTGAACAAGTTCTCTTGTGGCGGCTACAGCGACGAGTCCACCATCGTCTATCTAGTACATCCTTGTCGGATTCTATCGGCGCTCGAAGTAAGTATTTTTCAGTTACTAGTTAGTAGGCACTCTTATCTTGCATTTTTAAAAAGTAGTTTATACGTAACGAGGAATTACCCAACGATGATTCTCCATTTTTAGTCATTTAAAAACTGTCCGAACTTGAATATAAAACATTCTCCAGAGTTTTATATTACTCCCCATTGAATAAATTTACATATGTATACGGTTCCTCATAAACCCTGCACCCCACATTGGCAATCAACTAATGGCACCTGCCCCATCGTTACCTTCAATTACCAAGTGACTCATGACTTTTTGCATTTCCTCTTTCAGATCCTGGGATTTCGCGTAGTGGCTAGCTCGTCGACGGCCGTGAAGCAGGACTACAACGAGTACATGTGGACGATGCGCAAGGAGTTCGACGAGCCAGAACCCTTGGAAGCCGAGTCCGTGGTGCGCGAGAACCTATCGAATATTGGCCGCGAGGCAGCCAGTTTAGGCAACTATCACAAGGTGGACTCGCCCGAATAGGGATCCACTCGAAAACAGAAAAAAGCCAGCAAACAACTCTACTCTAATTGTATAATTTTGTGTGTGTGAAATTCGTGTGAGGCGTGTGCGTGTTCGTGTTAGTTGTGTGAAAAACTATAGCAACCTAGGGAATACTGTTCCAAAACATACTCTGAGTGAAGGAGGCGACCGACTGAGTCCCAGAAGACGAACGAACTATGAGTGAGGCCGAGGCCGGGCTGAAGGAAACTCAGAATCTCAATAGCGAGCTACCTGCGGCGGTTGGGTCCGCGACATCGGCTGTATCCCTGAACGCAGCCACCGCCGCCGTTCCGGCCAAAGTGGTGACCATACCGGTGCCAATTCTGCAGTCGGAAGGAAACTTTGCCTACATTACGGTCAAGGGATCCCTGCACGATACGACCTGCACCATTTTCGGACTCAACCAGGCGGAAATTCAGGCTCTGTTCAAGCGCTTCGAGAGCGGAGTTAAGGCGTGCGTGAATGGTATTATGGTGGCTGTGCCGCCGATGGTTATGCTAAACACTCTGGCCCAGCTAAGCTATAAGGTTGTCTGCAGTTGCGGCGAAGCTGAAATTTGTTGGACTATGCAGCGTGAGGTGTAATTCGCTAATTGCGGGGATCACACTGTCACATCGTCAAGCATCAGGCAACTGGAAACGAAAGCACAAGGAAAGGCAAGGAACTCGGCATCGTAACTCTCGAAATTAGGAAATCAGCAGGCTCAAAATGGATCTCCATAGCGCGGACAACTGCAAGTGCCACAAGCAGACGCAACCGGCCCAGCAGACGCTCAGCGACATGGACTTTGATCGCGGCATCTGGAATGCAGGTAAGAAATCTTTCTTCTCCTTTGAACAGTGACTTAAGCAAGAATTTCGATTCTTTGAACATTAGCTATTTATAACGAAGTGGAACGTGTGAGGGAATTCATTAAGAAGGGCCAGTCCATGGCTCGCGATGACTGCGACTATACGGCTTTGCATTATGCGGCCCGCAACGGAAACGAGCCAATCTGCAAGTTGCTCCTCGAGGAGGGCAAGGTGGACGTGAATGCTGTGACCAAGGCGGGAGCTACATCCCTGCATCGGGCAGCCATGATGGGTAAGCAACAATCATTAAAATATGAGGTATAAATTCTTACAGAGTATGCCTTTTTTAGGTCACTTGGAGATTGTTAAGCTACTGGCGGAGCACAAGGCGAATCTCCTGCTGCAGGACGAGTGCGGGCAGAGTGCCTTGCATCGGGCAGCGATGCGTGGCCACCTGGAGGTATGTCGCTTTCTGCTGCAAAAGGAACCGGCACTCAAGCTGGTTAAGGACAAAAAGGATAAAATTGCATTTGAATACATAATGGAGAACGCGAACGATGACTTCAAGCTTCTGCTGAAGCCCTAAAAGGGGTTGTCATTTCCCAACCGTTCAGCATAAATGTATTGTATAGTTTAAGAACAAAAATGTTTTCCGTTAAAACTTTATTTTGTTTATTTAATCTGTCAACACGTTTTCTATAAAATTGCACCTGAAATCGTTGTAAAATTCTTTTTTAAAAATTGCATATGTCCTTCGTTAGTTTTGCATTGTGTGAGAGATCGTTTGTATATGGAAAAGTAACCTTAATGTTGGCGTAGTCAAATAACCTAGTGGTACATCTTATAATTCATCTATATAGACTATATACATGCCTAGTAAACATAAAATGTGAAAGTAAATTAGATAAGAACAAAAATTCTGTGCCCTGGCGTTTTAAAAATCACGAACATTTGTGTGTGAAATCTGTTCTAAATTTGTAATACAATATAAGAATGTTAATATCACATTAGAGTCGTGTAAAGAAGGTGTTAATCAATCTGGTGTTGCAAAATTAAGAATAATACTATAAAGTCTTAACACATATTTAACACAACCCTCTCCTACACACTCATCGCCAATTTACAAAAACTATATGCTGCATATAACCATATATATAAAACCTATATAATCTGAATAAATTCCTAAAGCGCAATCAATCCCAAGACTCGGCGCATTTAATAACAGGTATCCGGACCGGTTCCATTCCCCTCACCAGGGGAAGCTCGGCAAAGTGGCTGAGGTAGAGCTTCAGTGTGGCGGGTATGGCAAACTCATCTATGATCCTGCCCAGCGAGGAGCGTTCCTGGGTTGCGAGATACTTCTGCTGTAGCTCGGGCCGCATTCGGAGGGACTTCAGGAGGCGTTGACGGATCGCCAGACGAGCGATGGATTGCAGGGAACGTGGTTGGGTGCCGAACAAGGACATTTCCAGCTCGAATTCCAGGCGAGCTGGTGGCCAATCCTTGGGTGGAGCTCGATGCTTGTGTGGGAACAGGAAGCCAGCGTTACCTGTGGATATTAAATATATTATTTGGCAAATTCTACTAAAAATAAAGTCAAGTTCAATCCGAACTTACAGAGCAATCTCGCAAAGGCTAAACTAGATGCCGAGCAATTGGATCTCAGCTCGTTAACAACATGCTCTCGGCAAATCTGCGCTAAATTACAGCCCTCGTGGATGAGAAACTCGGCCAGATCCAGACGATGCAGGTTGATAGCCCTCGACAACGGAGTTTGGCAATAGATCAAGCCGCAAACAATCGTGGGAGCGCAAGAGCCATACAAATCCTTCCGGGCACTAGGCAACTTGGCGAGCAAAACCCGGAGGATACTGCCAAACTCCTTTACATCGACGATCTGCTGCACAGCAAATAAAACCAATCCCTCATTCTGTACATCTGAATATAGGCCCAGCTTTTGGTGCTCCTCCGCGACACTCAGGAGGTACTCCAGCATTTCGGGTCGCTGAAGATGGATAGCCTGCATGATGGGCGTGTGGTTATCATCATTTCGCACTGTTAAACTCTCGCCGTACTGCAGCAGAAGTTCCACCATCTCTAGATCGTTGTATTCCACGGCAAGGTGCAGAAGGTGTTGTGAGGCCAGTCGACGGGCTCCGCGCTCCAGGAGCAACTTGGCCAACTTGCCATGACGACCCCTTACCGCGTACTGCAATGCTGTGTGATTTTGCTTATCCTGCAGGTTGATACGAGCTCCTCGTTCCACCAGTTCCTGAGCCAGATCCACGAGACTGCAGGCAATGGCCGTCATCAATGGGGTTTCACCCTCATCGTCCGTGTCATTGATGTTGATATTGGTTTGAAGTAGCAACTGAGCGGACTCGCAGGACTTGCTCTCGATGGCCAAATGAAGAGCGGTCTTGCCATCACTCAAGGTTTTGGCGTTAACCAAAGCACCGTGCTTGATTAGGAGCTTGGTGACCCCGGCGAAACCCGCTCCCACATGAAGGGGCGAGTATCCTTCGCTGTTGACCACGTTGATGGGAGCACTGTGCTCCAGCAGGATGCGAACACATTCCTCGTGTCCCCAACAGGCGGCATAGTGCAAGGGTGTGGCCAAATCCGCGTCGTAGAGGTGGGGATCCTGTTCCCGACACGTGACACAGCACTGGGATATGAACTCTCCGGTATTCTCGAAGGTTTTAGCGTAATACTGATATAACTGGCTATCCTCTCCTCCGCCTCCTCCTCCATTTTCCGAACAACTTTCGAACTCATCCACCCACTCAAGTTTCTCCATACCTTCGGGCGTTCGTTCGATCTCCAAACTATCCGTGTGAGCTGAAATTTTAAAAATGTAACGAACTTTACTTAGTTTGTTAACGAGATTTCTTATTCATTTGCCTAAAGCTTATTAAATGTTATTGTTACTTTGTGTAAAGAGCGTCAACTCGAAGTGCATGCCACATAGAACATAAAGGTATACTGCCCACTGGAACTGATCTCTCTTTGTTAATTTCCACTCTTATCAATGGCCAACTCCCACCGATAACCGGTTTTTGGCTCTCAGACCTTCTCCATTAAATTTTCTCTGCGTTTGCATTCTGTGCCGCCTAGATTTTCTGAAGAGCCCAAATGGGTTTGTTTGGAGCAAATATGGGTCAATGGCTACACAAAAACAAAAATTTTATTTAAAAATACATATATACATATTTCTTAAATGTTTCTTAAATTCAAAAAAACGTAGGCTTATACCAATTAAATACCTTGATCAGTAACACAAGTTAGAATAAGTTTCAAATCAATTCAAATTAAATTGTAATTTTTTTTCTCAAATAATTCGCTAAAGAGCCCTTTCCGGTCGCTCATCGATTTGTGTTTTCCACCTAGTAAAAACAGCTCTTATAAATTTAGTAATTTTTTTAAAGTTATGATCACATTTAAGTCAATGCCTAAAATATCTTTTTGTCTTGTCGCTACAATTGAATTTAATTTCGCGTAATGTTCTTCACCGAAAGCTGACTTAATTTAATTCACGGCTCCGGAAATATTCTTTACGAACAATTTTTTTGAGCCGGTGGAAACTTACTCTGATGGAAGACATCCAGCTCGGGATCCTCACAGGATTGCACCAGGAGCTCCAGCAGCTCGGCGTCGCCCAGGATGGCCGCCGTGCCCACGGCTGTGCGTCCGCAAGTGGGCGATACATACGAGGCCTGGGCACCTTGCATGATGCATCCCAGGGCCTGCTCAAAGTCGCCACTCTGCACCGCAGTCAGCAGGCGTTCGTTGAGATCGTAGGACAGCATTTTGCCATTGAGTAAGTAATTGGTTTTCTGCCAATTTTAAGCGGGTTAGCAAAACGAGAAGCGAAAAAGAATAAACCGAAGGGAAAAAAGCAGCTGCCTGCCGTGATGTGTGAAAAGTGCGTTGATGTCGTCAGCGGCTGCAACACTCCCCCGGAAAGTCTCTCGGAAAACTGAAACTAAACAATCAATGTGCGCAAGACCATCGCCGGTACTGGATACTGGGTGGTTGTTTTTTTGGGGGCGGTTTACAAATGGAAATTGTTTTCACATCCCATGGAAAACACAATAAAGAGAACAGTCAGCTGGTATTTCGCTTCCAAGCACACTCTATTCTGTTGTAATTTATTTTTGCCATCAGTGTGCGTAGATGCTATGTTTGTGAAGTATGGATGTTGCCTCAGATTAAAAAACGTTTAACATTAGCTAGTCTACTTGATTTCTTTTGATTCCTTGGCGTTCTGCAGTGATTCGGTGATGAAGAGCTTGGCCAGCGACTGGGAGCAGAATTGGGCGATGTGCTGGGCATGAGTGTTGATCTGTCCGGAGGTAATGGTGGCCGTCAGTCGGGCGGGCACGGGCATGGGGCGGAACTGCTTGATCACCTCCTCTTCGGGCACCGTGGGTTCGCCCTTCGAGGTGCGTACGGCGTTCTCAGCGGCCAATTTAGCCAGAGCACGATGCTTCTCCTAAAAAAAGATAGCAGATTGAGAATTGCATATTTAAAATCAGATAAAGCAGGATACAAATTCTTATTTTCGAACGTTGACCCACATATATAGCATATCTTTAATTTTAAATCAAAACAAAAAAGTTCCTTACCGTATCCTGCTTGAAGACAACCTGCTGGTACTTGTTATAGCGTATAGCCTCCTGATACAGGTCATCGACGCGCTCAATCAGGCTGCGCATTTGGTTTTCCAACACGGTGGCGGTGCCAAGATCCAGGAAGTTGTGTCCCTTGTCCTCGGGCAGCAGCTCGTTCAACTCGCTCATCATGATGTTGGTCAGCGGCGAGTTCTTAATCACGATGGGGATCTCAGCGAAGAGGCTCTCGTAGCCTACCTTCAGGGTGCGGAATGCCTCGGGCGTGAAGTCGCCATCCTTGTACATCTGGATGGCTTGAGGAGTGAGGCGGTAGGCCTTCAGGCAGAGGAATCCTCGCGAGGACTTCTGCGTGTCGTACACCACGACGACGGACTCCTCAATGCTGGTCTGGTAGTGGTACTGCGATTCCAGGAGAGCCAGCGACAGACTGTTGCCCACATCGGAGCTCTGGTACCAGCCCACATGCAGATGGTCTACGTTGACGCGACGCAGGCGGCGCATCACGGTCAGCTGGTACATCTCCTCGTCCATGGTCTCATCGCCGCTCTTGGGGAACGGGAAGCAGTTGGTGATTTCCAGGCACTTGTCCACCACCAGACCGAGCAGGGCGCCCTGTGCGAGATCCATGTTGCTCGACTCCTCGTGACAGTGCTTCACCATTTTCATGACAGCCTGCGGAAAAGATTTTTCTTAATTATTGGCTGAATCACTTAGCGACAATTGTCTTTTGTCATGCTCATGCTCAAGGGCGTGGGAGAACTTCTTTAAGTTAAATAGTTCAATAGTTAATTAAAAAGAAATCAAAGAAATAAAAGATTTTCTGAATATTGTTGGTAAATATATACATATTATAATTTGAAATTTCATAGAGGATTACCAAACCCTAGCACCCCTTCAACACACGCCCATGTCCTCACACACACAAGCACAAAGTAAGCAAATTTTTGGGCCAGCGCGTGGCACCAGCTTTACCGGCTGCCGAACGGACTTTACTGCCCAAACCTCCGAGCGATCCTTGGACCAGGAGCAGTACTCACCAGTCCGTCACATTGGACATAGTTTATGGTGTTGTCCGACTCCTCTGTGCGGGCAGCATGACGATTTGCGCGATTTGCCATGTTGACGAATTGTAAGCGAAAAGACCCAGCGACGTGAACTTGGCTGCAGTAGGTGTTTTTCGTTTTTCAGCACTATAGACCGCTTAGCAACACCGTTCTCGAATCAGCTGTCGGCCGAGCGATAAAAAAAGGGCCCAATATACAACTTTTGTTTATCAGAGGCGAAAAACGACTGAAAGATATTCCATTTCCAACAAGACCGAAAAAGTGGCGCGCTTGTCACGAACCAGCGGAACTGATAGTAGCTACCAGTGGGCCAGAGCCGCGTTTGTGAGTGGGCGAGGTTTAGTCTTGGTTCTCATTAGCGACGCAACGCTGGCAATTCAAAGACCGCAGATATGTCGACCAACTGGCGTGAATTGTTTCCGACCAAGCTCACATTTGTGATCTTCCTGTTGTATATGTCCCTATTTATAGGGCAGGGTAGGTGTTGCTCTCTCGGAACTCCCATTTTAACTAAAGCCGCACCCTAATTATGGTATTTTGCAGGAATATTTGTCACAGCATCCCAGGAATCGAACAACTCCTATGGTTATAACACAGTCACGGTTGTGCTGCTCACCGAAGTATTTAAGTTGATAGTTTCCACCTGCTTGTACTGTCGAGAGTTAGTATATACAAAAACACTTCCCCGTTCTCTTTTAACTTTGGTTTCCCTTCTTAGCCACAATCTACGCTCCCTAGTGCGAGATGTACACAAGGATCGCAATGTCCTGGGCTTGTACATGGTGCCCGCCTTCCTGTACTGCCTGTACAACAACTTGGCCTTTGTCAACTTGGCTACTTTCGATCCAACCACCTACTATCTGCTTCTGCAGTTGCGTGTCGTTGTCACGGGCATACTGTTCCAAATTATCTTCAAAAAGTATTTATCGCAGAGGCAATGGATTTCGCTCATACTGCTGACGCTGGGTTGTATGATGAAACAGATCGATTTCGGAAGTTTTTACAGCGATGCGAACGATGATAGCGAGTCGGCTGCTATCCAGCAACAGCAATCACCTAATAGAACAGCAATTGACGATACACAGGTTCATGGCAAGAACATGTCCGGCTTTGATTTCAGTCTGAGTGCCGTCTTTATTCTGGCCCAGACCATTTGCTCTTGTCTGGCGGGCGTCTACAACGAGTACCTATTGAAGGATAAGGGCGCTGATGTTAATATCTTTGTGCAGAATGTCTTCATGTACCTAGACTCGATTGTCTGCAATGCCGTCATACTCCTGCTGCGTGGCGAACTGCTAGATGCCTTTAGTCCGAATAATTTGGGCAGCATCATGCGTTTCAGTGTCCTGATTATTATTGTGAATAATGCGGCCATTGGAATTGTAACAAGTTTCTTCCTGAAGTACATGAACTCTATCCTAAAGACCTTCGCGAGCGCCTTAGAGCTGCTATTCACTGCGGTCCTGTGCTACTTCCTCTTCTCCATACCCATTTACATGAACACCGCGCTGGCCATCGCGGTGGTTTCCTATGCCATCTATCTCTACACCCAAAGTCCGGTCGTAAATCTAGGTAAGGTGCGTCCGCTGACTAACTTAAGCGATGCCTCCGCCAAGTCAACAGACAAACGAAAGCTGCTCGATGAAGATGCGGCAGAATCGGACCTCGACATGGTGTAATGCTGTAGCTAGTCCTAGACTTAATCTTAAGCTGTAAATAGTTGTGGAAAAGTGCCTGCAAATGTTTTGAACGCCAGACGACTAATGTATTTGACACCAGGCTTTGTGCAATGCGAGAGCAACAGGCTTGTAAATACCAAAACTTTTGCTTTTCTTGTTTAAGATTCTCACCGTAAATATATTTTAATTATAGCAAGGTTGCAATGAAAGGAAAAATATGTGGCGCTTCTTCAAGAAGCTTTTTTCTGGGGTATATATAAGGTATACAAGTACGTGTTATTATATGATCTGGTTTTAAAGTGGTGTGTTGACACTATGACCATCTTCCTGGATGGGTGCAATACGAGTGCTCAGGGCTATCTGCACAGCCTGGTTGTCGATGCTGCGTTGATAATAATCACACTCCTTCAGGTGCTCCTCCATGTCCAGAACGCGATGAGCGGCGTTGTATTTGCAAATCTTCAACGGCGGTCCGCGGTAGTTCTTCTCGCACTTCACAATGTGCTTGGGCATCCGGAACAGCATAATGCGGTGATTCTGGTCGTACGGACAGACTCCGAACTGGTAGTCCGACATTTTTGGTAAAAAATGATTAATTCTTACAAAATCGCAGCTTTAAATGTAGTGTGAGTGAAAGTCCCGCTATAATTTAAACTTCCGCCAAGAGTTGAGTCGATCATGTGTTATCGTTTGTGTCATCGACAATACCTAAACTAAGAACAATAAATGTTAATGTATAAGATAGATTTTATTCCTTTAAAAAGTTTAATATTTATTTAAAAAAAAAAGGATGTTTAATATTTTATTTTAACGTTTCGTACTTTTAAACCTATCTAAGTGCTGGATTTTTTTTTTAAACAGCTGGCAACATATAAAAAGAGTACCCTCTATGCACATACTGAGTACGGCCACACTACGTAATCCGCGCGTAAACCACCGCCCGTTGCTCCCCTTCACCATTCATTCGACGTGAAAATTTCGTACAGTTCGGTCAATTGTCAATTCCATTGTAAATCAATTATATCGAGAACGTGTAAGCAAATTATAGAATATGGCCCGTACCAAGCAAACAGCCCGTAAATCAACCGGAGGCAAGGCGCCCCGAAAGCAGTTGGCCACCAAAGCTGCCCGTAAATCTGCACCGTCCACGGGAGGCGTTAAGAAGCCACATCGCTACCGTCCTGGTACCGTGGCCCTGCGTGAGATCCGTCGTTACCAAAAGTCGACTGAACTGCTCATCCGCAAGCTGCCCTTCCAGCGTTTAGTACGTGAGATTGCTCAGGATTTCAAGACCGATCTGCGTTTCCAGTCGGCTGCCATTGGAGCTCTTCAGGTAAGAATTGGAGCACCCCCTTCCTCCTATTTCACCTAATCATGTAATAATGGTGCTATAATTTCATGTGCCATTGACAGGAGGCCAGCGAAGCATACTTGGTGGGTCTGTTCGAGGACACCAATCTGTGCGCTATTCATGCCAAGCGCGTCACCATCATGCCTAAGGACATCCAGCTGGCCAGACGTATCCGAGGCGAGAGGGCCTAAATTTCCAGATCCGCCATCTTGGATTGGAAAAACAGTGGCGGCAAAAACAACGACGCACAGCTGTATTTTGAAGAGGAAGGAGGAGTGGAGGTGGGGAAGCCCTCACCAGCAGCTGCCGCCGCTTAGTTCTAAACACTAATTTTATTTACCGATAAGTAACAAATATACAAACTTAACATGTTCAAATAAAATCGAAATCTTTTTTTGAAGTCCACTAATAATGTTTATTTGTCCTTTCGTAACTTTCTTTGAAATAGTATACTTATGAAGTTTCGAATTTAAAAGGTTTTTATCTAAGGTATACATATTTACCATATATCTAATAACTAAAAATACATACTTCTCAAACTAGGACTTGTTCACGATCATGATGGTTAAAGGTATGCCCAAAAACTTAGGAAATCAATGCACTGATTCGAAGAAACGTTCTACCTTTTAATAACAATGGATTAACAAAAGAACGACAGGGGTGATTACGTCATGTAGATGTTATAGAAACAACGCACTTTGTTATCCAGGCTTTGCTTCTCAGAGTAGTCATCCCTCTGTCTATTAACCAGCTGAAACTGACCCTTTGCCGTGAGAGATTCTCCTTCGTTTAAGGTTCATATGGGACATATGGAAATTCTCATAAATATATGTCCTTGTATACATATACTTTTTAATAGATACATTAATATAAATAATGTATGCACTTCAAAAAACCAAGTTAAGTCTTGCCAAAAGGCCCTAGCTTTTCCTTAGATTAAACAAATCGGCAACAAAAAACAAAAAAGGTGCCGTCCTGAAAACAGGGACGATTCCCATACCATTCCAAAACAAAATTCTCTTTGTGTAAAACTTTGCTCTAAACAAAAGCCGTTTTTATCTGGTAATACGATTAGCTTAGCGGTTTGTGGGATGAGGGGAAATTTGTTTGAGGAGAGCAAATGCAAAATTACTTAAAAACTATTGTGTCCAGCATGGCGCCCAGGCACTGCACAATGTTGTTCTGCATAACCTTGTCCACCTTCTCCTCCAAATGCCGCTTGGGGTCCTGTTTACCCACGTTCTTGATCGCCAGTTGTTCGGGCGTCATTTTCTCCTCGTCCTCCAGAGACTGTAACGAAGAAAAAAGGAAATCCCGTATTAGAGCTTTGCACAGAAAGTAGTTTGAATTGCCCAGAACGTTTAAATAATTTTAATGAGTTTTTTTTTACTCATTTCACTAATCATACCAACTGAATGAATCACCAATTGTAATAACCCACCTTATTGTAATTCTTGGCCAGGTCGAGCATCTCGGCCACAGTATCCTCATTAATGGAGCAGTGTTCGTTGTAGTCGGACAACGTGAGTCCGTCCTTCCAAGACTTTTTGTGCAGATTAAGGAGCATCTTCTGCTCCAGCTCGTTCTTGCGGTAGTTGATGCTAATTGAGTAGTAGTGGCGGTTCAGTCCGTGGATCAGGGCCTGGACCGAGGGCTTTTGAAGATGTCCCAGATTGGAGGTGGTTTGCCGCGGTTCCTGTCCCAAAACCAACATGTTGGGATTGATCAGGCGGAAGGCATCGATCACGACCTTGCCCTTGACGGACTGAATGGGATCGACGACGACGGCGACAGCTCGCTCCGAGAGAGCTTCAAAGGACTGCTGCGTGTTGATATCCACGCCGGATAGCCAGCAGCCGAATCCAGGATGCGAGTGATACCAACCAACGACCATTTCGGGTCGACCCGTTTGCTTCAGCATGTCCAACATTTTGGCCTGGAAGACGGGATCCACTGCTTCGACGGAAACACCAGTTCCAGTTTGGGGCATGGCGAACACATCAATGACCTGCACCGTGTAGTCGTCCACAAATTCGCCCAACATGAGACCCATCACTTCCATGGGCACGCCGGCGCGTCCGTGCTTAAGCATCTTCAGCAGGGCCAAGGACGAGATGTACACCTGTTCGGCGGTATCCACAACGGGCGCATCTGTGGGCGGGGCAGCCTGAGGCATGGCGCCTCCAAGACGAAGCAGACGATCCATTTTAAGCGGCTGTCCAGGGAAACACTTTGCAATTAGACACAATCAAAAAACGCTGACTAATAAAAGTGCTCACCTCGGGGGTAAGTAGACTCTCTGTGTTCAGGGGCGAATATTACCGATTTCCTTAAGTTTTACGTGTAATTTTCGTTCCTCGCCGAAAGCAGCAACAAAAAACACAAAGCAGTCTCGTTTGATTTTGCAGAATTGCAAGTAATACTCGCAACAGGGTTGTGTTGCCGGCGGCCTATCGAAAACTAATCGAAGGAGGGAAATGCTAATTTGGATGGTTAACCGCCAAACTTAGCTGTTTTTGGAATATGACTGCTAAATAAATGGTGGCCCTATATACGTATATTTAATTAATTAAAACTAAATTTTAAATGACATAAATTAATTTTAAATATATGGTACACAAACGGTAATTTTAATAAACAAAAGATATTAATTGTCGATAAGCTTATTTTCGCGTTTATGTTAACAACACTGGCCACATTCAACACGGCTTATCGATATCAATATAAATACCGATATAAATATGGCGCCAAATGCAAGACATTTTTAGATGTAGAAGTGCTTTTCTCAAAAAAAAGTTTCCCGCAGGACGCCAAAATGCTAACGAACGTGCATACCATCGCTCACTTGCAACAATAAGTGTGGCCTGCGGTTGCAAGTTAGCTGAGCCGAGGAAAACTAAGACTTTCCGCAAGACCGAACACCGCAAGATTTATAATGCACCAACCATCCGCCCGTCAAATGCCATGGGAAATGAGGTCTTCGCCGGCAAGACCGAAACAATTTGGGCAAGTACAATGCATAGCCGCCGCCTTTTTTTATTGTGCCAATTAATTGCACAAAAAACCTTTTGCTTTTTCAGATGCGCCGGCTTTTGCCTTTCACCTCGCTCTTGGAGATCGAGATTCCGAGATTCCCAGGCGCCCGAAAATTCGTTTAAAATGCCATTATAGGTGGGACGAGCATCCATTCAAAGACCAAATCCAAAGATTTAAAATCCAGCCGATTGCAACACTCGGACTACTCCATTTTCCGTCTCGCTTTGGTAATTGAACAATAGTTTTTCCATCTGCCAACAGACTTTTCCATTCGCCGCTCGGCTTTTCAGCTTCAGTTGCATTTTGTCGCTCGCCTTCAGCACGCGCACCACAAAAAGTTGTTAAAGTTAAATATTTTTCGCTTGGTTTAACATTTTGCCGCTCGGTGTTCTGCAAGTTGCTAAAGATTTCTGCAATTATTTGCATACTAATTGGTGGTAAATAATACTGTTATTTGCTGCAAGCGTAGCTAACTTCAGGTAGTTAAATAAAATTGTTAATATTTACAGCTAAAAGGTGCCGAATTTCAGCTGAGAGCGACGTTTTTGTGTCGATTTGTTAAGTTGTTGTCGGGCTCTTATCACCAAACGAAACACGGCCACAAATTGTTTTTGTTGATAAGTGAGAGAGGGGTTTTTGGGAGCTTTTTACAGGGGGAGTGTTTACGGGTACACCCAAAACCAAAAATAATAAGTTCCATTCAAAATTCTCATACAAAATAACTATAATTGTGTTAATATTCTCTCTTAAAGTGCAATTCAATACATTTTGTTTTCATCGATCATAATATGAAGGCTAGTGAACTCTTTAAACAATTTGTACTGTGAAGTAGTCGTGAACGTCATCTTTAATTACTTGGACAGCTGCTTGGTATTTACTTAGACCGAAACAAAAGAAACGTGCTCGGTTTCGCCATTGATTAAATATTTTCACATCTGACTGGAGTATCTTAAACACTATCATTGACCTTGTCAACGTTTAAATCAATCCCGTTCGAAGAAATGCCGTGAATGCACTCAATCTGGTTACAAAAAAACATGGAAAAATATAAAGGCGATATTAAAAGTGGAAGAGACTAGGAGAAAAACACGTTTGTTCAGCTGTGAAATTGACCTTTTACGGCCTAGCTCAACCCAAAACCTCCAAAACCGAACGTTTTGTTGGAGCTGTTTGAGTTTAAAAGAAATGAGCGGAAATACTTTACAATGATAGTTGCTCTAATTGCTACCAAAAGTTGCAGGGCAACACGAGGCAGAGAAGAGAAGAGAAGATAATAAGGGTCAGATGAGTAAAACAATTATTTTGGTTTCAGTCATTTGTTATTCTGTATAGGGGAAATGTTTTGAGGGTCTAACTAAAGAAATGAGACAATTACAAGAGATTGAATACATAAAATGGGCTTTAAACTTAAATAAAACCAAAGTGCGGAGATACCTTTACTTATTTCGTAAATATAAATGGTCTTTTAATGTATTATCTTCATTTTTTTAAAGCAAGAAAATACAACCAGGCCTAAAGTTGAACCATTTAAATCTCATTAATATGTCATAGAAAGCTTATTCAAGATACCGCTTCTGTTATCACATTTAATTGCTGATATCACCGGAAAAATTTCAACAGAATTGCTTGTGGCCTTTCTAAGGTGTCAAATGCAAGTGGGCAGGTGTTGTAGCTCATCTAACCCGAAGACCTTTAAGATCGGGTTAATGTTTGTAACTAGAACAGCCAGATCCACCGACACCGCCGCAGAAACCGCAAACGAAAAAGATCTCAAAAACAAATTTCGTAATTATCTGCAGGGAAAAAACAAAAAACAAAAAATTGAGAGTTGCATGTCTGGGAAACTGATTTAATTTCACTTTTCATTTTGGATTTGCCCAGCAAATCACCTCAACCACTGGCGAGCGGGAAGGAGTAAGATCATAATTATTAATTGCGGGCTGAAGAAAGTTTTAATTGCACCACGAGCGTTTAAGATAATGAAGTCGTTTATCTGAGGCATTCAATTAGGAAATTGCTTACATTTTGAAAGTGCAACCAATGATTAGAAATTGATTTGAGCTCAATTTGCATTCAGTTCATTTTATTAACATATTTCTACATTTCACTTTCTATTGGGTACACAGAAAATTTTTTTAAGATAAAAATAATGAATGAATAAATAATTAATAAATAAATAAATCTTCTATAACTTTCTGTTTTTTTTCGCTGTGCAGAGATGATGACGTCGCTGCAGCTGGATACGTCATTGCCGGCGATAGATATACAAAGGAAGCAGGAGCAGGACAAGGATAAGGATATGAAGCCTGCCGAGGATACGCACACGGCATCCACAACGCCCACTCGCATTCCACATCCTTCTGCGGCCCATTTCCGGCGTTCCGCCTCCCTGCGCCTGCGCGGGAACCCATCCGAGCTTGGTTTACGGGCTGAGCACTGTCCAGCCGGCGGAGGCGGATTCAGTTCCCGCGCCAAGCTCACGGCGATCCCAGCCAGTCAGAAAACGCGCTCGCACTCGGCTCACTTGAGGCGTAATCGCAGCTGGAGTAATTTAGGCCACAAAACGGAGCAGGAACCGGAAGTGGAGGCTTCCGCGGAGGCAAAAGCGGAACATGCACTATGCTCCGCCACCGAATGCCTGTCCCTGGCTGAGGAGTTGGATGCTCCGCAAGTGGCCAACAACATGGCAAACATGGCCAACGGCAAGCCGCGCAATCTGGTAAGTTGTAGGTGTTTCCGCTCGAGTATTTCTTATTGATTTTCACTTGCCGCTGCTGACCTATGTAACTTGTACTCGAGTCTAGCCACCCCCGCCAGAGGGTTAATGGTTTTAGAGGGGGTGGGAGGGACGTAACACGCACTCGTAGTCGAAAGTACAAGGCATATTACGAAACTATCTGGGGAACGCTCCAGGCGTTTTCCTGGAATTCAGGAGCGGTCTTCAGTACACTCCCACTATGAGGTCAAAATTTGTGGGCTTAGCTCATGGTAAGGAAAGTGAATGTACTATAGCTTAGGTTGGTTAGCCAAATAAAAGTTTTGGTATTTGAAAAAAGATTGACAAGCTTGTTATTAAAGAAGAAAACCGCAGAGCTTGTAGTTTATTATTCACTTGTAAATTATTTACCAAGGAAAGTCGGGTCTTTGCCTTCTGTAGTTGATTTGACTTGATAAAATTGGCCACTTGCCCTTTTGTCCTTGTTTCGAAGGCTTATTGAATAAATACAGTTATCAGTTAACAAATAACTTTTTTCGAACTATGAAGTTTTCCAATTTTTCCATTTCGCAACTTGACAAAAGTATTGCATTTCGAATGATAGATTATGGATTTAAGTTTCCTGGAAAGTTATAATTGATTTAGCTTTGTAATGTCACTTTGCCACTTGCACCTTTGTCGATGTCGTGATGACACGAAGCTTACACTTTGTACTCTTCCCGCCAACAGCGATCATTAAACCAGATATACTATATATGTATATACCGTCACAAAGGGAACAAAAAATAAACCCAAAGCTGAGTTTGCATAATGCTCGACCCCAGAGAAAGAAATGGGGGAAAGAGGGAAGAAAAGAAAGAAGAAAGGTGAAGACAAACACAGCTTACACACGGTTCACCTTCTCAGCCCCTCTTTACCTTCCCCCATTCCCTTCCCCCCGTACCCTTTCTTTTACCAGCTGTTCCGTTCCTACTTCCGCTTGTTCCGTTTGCCAAAATGTACCTAGGAAACAGCTGATTTTCGGTTTGTTTGTGTTTTTCTGTTATTCGCGGGGGTTGAGAGAACAGGAAATGCAAGTGCGCAGCTTTTGGGGGACCCCCCTTCAGCTCTTTCCGCCTCTCTTTTCACCACCTTTTTATGGTATCTTCTTCGCCTTTTCGCTCTCTTTTCTTCTTGGCCAAGTGATTTGCGTTTCAGTTCATTTTTTTAACTCACCGTGTGCACAAGATTTGCGGTTCGGCTCTCTGATATTGTTTAAACTTTAAACATTCTGGCTTAAACAATTGAAGCGTGCATTTTGGCTTTGTTTTTCTCTGTTTTTCTTTCGCTTTTTTTATAAGTACCCAAGTAACCGAACTAAGTATAGTGCGAGCGATTTTAATTGAAGACAACAACTGCGGGCCATGGCTCATAAATGGTAATTACGCGCCTTGGATACCCACGTATTTTAAGCCATCATTAAAAGTGGAAGTTCGTTGGCCTTTTTGCATTATTCATTCATAATGTTATTGATTTTTAACGCTTTACGTTCTAATTACGTCCGAAATGGACGAGGAAAAATGTGTGTTTTTTGGTGGTGTGTGGTGGGTGGTGTTTGCAAGGCGGCCATCTCTCTCTACCTCTCACTTGATTATGGAATAGGCTATAGGTCCTCGTCTTCGTCGGGCAGGGCGGTCGCCTGTGCCTCCTGCAAGTCCCGCTCGATCTGCACCTGCCAGTCCTTGTCCATCTTGACCTCCGGCGGCAGCAGGGCTGGCATGGCGACGAACTCCAGGTTGGGATCGCCGACCAGCTTGCGCGCCAGCCAAAGGAATGGCTTCTCGAAGTTGTAGTTGGATTTGGCCGAAATGTCGTAATACTGCAAGTTCTTCTTCCGATGGAAGACGATATTTTTCGCCTTAACCTTGCGGTCCTTGATGTCCACTTTGTTGCCGCAGAGGACGATCGGTATGTTGTCGCAGACGCGGACCAGATCGCGATGCCAGTTGGGCACGTTCTTGTGGGTGACACGCGAGGTGACATCGAACATGATGACCGCACACTGGCCCTGAATGTAGTAGCCGTCGCGCAGGCCACCGAACTTCTCCTGGCCGGCGGTGTCCCACACGTTGAAGCGCATGGCTCCCCGGTTGGTGTGGAAGATCAGCGGATGCACCTCCACGCCGAGCGTGGCCACGTACTTCTTCTCGAACTCGCCGGTCATGTGGCGCTTCACGAAAGTCGTCTTTCCGGTGCCGCCATCGCCGACGAGCACGCACTTGAATGTAGGCATATCCTGACCTTCCTGAGCCATCCTTCCACTGTTGCTGTGTTGTTGGATCAAAAAGTTGCTGCGGCTCGAATTCCTTAAAAACCTCGATAAATCACACTTTAGTTGATCACAACTATTCTTTAATCAACTAGCTAGAGATGTGCAGCACAAGTAAAGCAAGTTACAAGTTTGTGTAATGAGATTTGGCTTAATTCGCACAACCTCCTTGAGCTTCAAAAAAGTTACTGTCACTTCAGGTTTAGCAATTAGGGATGATTTATGCACTTTATATAAAAACACACCTGAGTTTAAATAATTGCAACCACCGTCTTTCATAACTTGGAGATACAAAACAAATTTCAAACGAATTCACACTCCATTAAAAGGGAATTTCATAATATTTGTTATAAATATTTTAAATGTTTTTATATAAACCAATGCTAGCTTTATGGAGTATAAAATATTATTGATTTTTAAATTTAAATCCATGGCCAAACTATTCTGTTTCCATCCTTATCGACCCTGAAAAGTATGCAAACATTTCGATGTCCTTTTGTGTTTTACCCAAAAAAAAAAATTCGTTCAAAACAAACATTCCCACAGCAGCGAAAAGTGATTGCCAACACGTGACCAAAACATTGCCAATTGGCCAAGAGCCAAGTGGGCTGAATTGGCCATTACGTGAGTTTGGTCTGACGCTTTTTTTTTTCTTTACCTGCATTGTGTCTGCCCATTTCTGCCGTATGGAATCACATTCATTGATTTTTCTTAGTCAGCGGCTTAATTGATGGCACCTGAGCGCCGTACAAGCCAAGTAAGATGCTTGGAACGTGACTTTTCGATGGCTTTAAAGACGGCTCAAGTGCGTAATGTAACTACTACTGGCTGGTAGGTTGGTTATTACGTGGCAAAGTGTGTTGGCCCCGTTTACAAGACCATCTCCTCGCCTATTTTTTTATGTTTCCCTTACCAAGTCAGGTTTTGACCATTGTTTAGCCGTGCGTAAACAGTTTCGCCGCCAGCCATTCCAGAAATGCCGTGAAGTATTCCCGAGAACTTGGGCAATTAAATAGAGCAAGAAACTCATTACTGATTATGAAATGAACGTGTACACGAAAGCTTGTAAAGAATGGAGGGAATGCAAAAGGCAGTTAAACAGATTTGTCCAGATACCATTTTACCATGCTGTTTTCCATTTAAGCCAATCGCTGACAACGGATCGTTTCCAGTCAGCCAATTGATGAGTTGGTCAGTGTGGCAGAAAAAGGGGAAACAAGTGGGCCACTGGTTCCTAAATCACTTCACATCGGGGACAACAAAAGAATCAATGCAGCGCAAGTCAATGAACTTCGCTGTGGGGTTATATTACTACTAAAAGGGTGAAGTACTTAATGGGTAACTAATTAGCCTTATTATCTAATTTACTGATAAATATCCTGGAAGTGAAGTTATAGAGTTTGCTATTTAAGTAAACAATGCTTCAATCAGACTTTATTTGCATTCACAATCATAACCTACACACTTTAGATATTTTTCTATTTTCAATTTGTAGTGTTAAACAATAAAGTGGCGGCATGGCAAGTGAACATTTTAAAATTTTAAGAGTTTTAACCAAGTGTTGGAAATATAATTTTGACGATTCCCCAAAAAAGGAGGATATGTATTTCAGAACAGCTGAGTATATTATTTTAGCTGCAGATAAAAAACTAAAATAACTTAAGAACTCTTCTACAATATTTATAATAAGTGTGAAAATTAATATTAATTAACAGCTTTCGCAGAAAAAGTTAAATTATTTTGCTCTAGTTTTAAAGTTCTTTGTTTACTTTCCTCCAAGTAAATTGGAGAAATTTGTGTTTAATTTGCTGAATTTAATGATTTAATCGACGCAGCTGCGATTTAAGTCAGTTGGTTAGTTTGTCTTAAGCCCAGCGGTTAACTGGCTAAATGCGAAATGCTAAATACCCCCTTGGACCCAGACTAATGGCCACTTAATTGACCACAAAAATGCTGCTGAGTCGGAGGAGCCGAAAAAGGGAGGGGATTTTAGAGAGCACCGCAATGAAAGTAACCAAAGCGAATGCGAATACAAACCGACAACAATGTTTTGTTAAATCTATGGCAACAAATTGCTTTTAGGGGCGTTGCAAATGCGAATTGGTTTACCCTGCATTTCACGCCGCTATTTCTTGTTTTTATTGTTGTTTTTTTTTTTTTGCGAAAAACTCAAAAAAAAAAAATTCACGCACGACTGAGCAGCGACCACGCAACAAAATTAGAAAATAGCTAAAGAGTGAAACAAGAGTGTAAAAAAATCAGAAAATGATTAAGCGATCGAGGGGCAGCCACCACAACGGCGAGAGATAGTTTGTTGCTAATCCCAGTCTCCGATCTTCCATCTTCCATCTCCGATCTTGCAGTCTCTCAAGTTGAACGGCGGCAGTGACATCAGCAGCAGCAGTGGCACCTCCAAGGCGCCAGCCAGCATCAAGGAGTCGTCGCCCAGGACTCCCAGGACTCCGCAAACGCCGGCAAACGGAGAAGCAAACGCAGCCAAACTTGAATCCACAGTAGAGACACCACAAACACAGCCACAACAACACACGTGCATCCGCCAGGGAAACTGCGTCAAGGCCACTGGGAAACTGTCCACCCTCCACGAATCCAAGGTTTCGCCCAGGACTCCGCCAGTCACTCCGGATTCGCCCAGCACCTATCTGGACGATGATCTAGACTCGATGTACTCGTTCGCCACCACCACCTCGGGACGCTCCACGATGTCCTGCGAGCACCCCTACGTGGCCAGGTATGTGGTCCTTAGATTGAAGAGATGAGTTCATCAGCTAGGATTTTAATTAAATTGGTTATTGGGAAAATATACAATATTAAGCTAACTAAGTAGTAGCAAACAAGTAAAGCTTACCTTAATCAAAAAAGCTAGAAATTCTTTGAACAGAGTTAATTACTTTCTAAATTAAAAGCTACATTAGTCAAACAAAAACTAAAAAAATAGAAATGATAATTGTGTTTCAAACTGAATTTAGTATTTCCTCTTTTAATACAAATAACTTAATTAAATTAGTTTTAATTAAATGGACATATTGTTTTAAATAGCAATCCTTTCCTTCCCACAGAAACGGAACCACATTCAGTGGACGCAAGATGAAGTACGTGGTGCACTGCTCGAACTACGCGGGTCAGGTGGGACCCGACTATCTCACGCCGACGCAGCGGGCCCAGCGGCAGATCCGTCGCCTCAAGGAGCTGCTGTGCATCGCTCGTCAGGATCTCGAGCAGAAGGACACGGAGATACTGCGGCTCACCCGCGAAGTGGTGGAGCTGCGCCTCTTCAAGGCGTCGCTCAGTTCGCCGGAGGAGCGATCGGCGTCCTCGGATGCGGTCACCGTGCGCGAGGCGGAGCTGAAGACCTCGCAGGACGTGTCGCCCATCGTGGACATGGTGGACGAGGCCAATGCCAAGGGCAGTCCGCGCCACCAGAGTCGCCAGCCGAATCAGGCGAATAACTCGCTGCAGCACCAGCAGCTGCAGGCCATGCAGATGTCGGCGGAGATGCAGAGCTCGTACGCGGATTCCGGCCACTTCGAGGATTTAACCATGTCGTCGGTGCACTCGAAGGACTCGCAGACGCAGAGCGAGGCCTGTGGCACGGCCACGCCGGATGGAGAACCCGATGTGGCCTGCGGTGGGGGTGATGTGGCCAGCAATCTGGAGAACTACGAGCTGCAGCGCCAGGAACTGATACGCATGTACGAGCACCGGATCGAGGAGCTCATCCGCAGCCAGGACAGCGCCAGCAGCGATCTGAAGCGATCGCACAACGACAAGGTGGAGGCGCTGCTCCAGAAGCTGGCCGAGTGCAACACCCGCTACTCGGACATGGTGCCCGACTACGAGCAGGCCAAGCAGCGCATCCGGGAGCTGGAGAAGCAGCTGGAGGACCTGCAGCGCAAGCTCATCGAGCACGAGGAGAAGCAGAACAAGATGTACCTGCACATGTACCAGCAGGGACAGGAGGCGGAGCGCCTTTCTAGAGCAGATCAGGTGGGATTCGAGCTACATAAATAAGTACTTTAATTTATTTTTGAGTTATATTGTTATCTTCAGGCTTTGGAATTGGCACAGCGTCAGCCGGAGAGCAAGGTGTCGATCAACGAGCTGCTGCACCAGCTGCAGAGCACGCAGGACGAATTGGAGAACATACGCGTAAGATTCTTCAATATATTCCTCATCCTATTTTCGGTTTTGTTTTGTGTGTTGCATTTTGTTGCATCGTGAGGCATCTCAGCTCGACACCGTCACAAGAACAACAAGAACACAACGCGACAAGAACAAAAAAACAAAAACAAGAACAACACGCATTCGCTTCACCTTTATGTCTCCATTTGCTTGTGGGCGTGGCACTTCAATTGGGCTGACTTTGCCTGGCTGGAAAAGCGGCACTTAATTGAAATGCCCGCCAATTAATTATTCACAATGATATCCAAACACAAGCGACATTTGTTCATTTTATTTCGTTTCTAGCTGTTAAGATCATTTTGCATAACTATTACTAGCAAGATTACAAACACATTCAACTTACATTAAATGCAACAACGTTTACTTTCAATTCGTTTGATTTGTTTCATTTTCATTGCGTTGCGAGTTTGAGTAGCCTTAAGTACAGTCACGTAGAGCGGAGTGTGGCAAACAAGCAAGTGCATGCATGTAGCCAAGTATACAGTTGACTCACTTTCGTTCATTTTTCAATTCCGAAACGTTTCAATCGCATGCTGGATTTTAACCTTAGCTCTCTCTCTGTATTTCTCTTTGGTTGAACTCTATATTTTCATTTACTTTACCGAAAAAAGCAAAAACTCTTTCTAAATTTCAAATATTTCTGTCGTAAAACAACCAAAAACGAAACTATTTTTGTAGGCATCAGAGTGCAGAATGAGAGAGTGCGGCAGTAATAATGCTCTCCTTACTGCAAAAGAGGCGATTTCTTTGTGGGTACTTGGCGCGCGTAAGGTTTGTAATATCCCTAACAACAAATTTCCCCCCAATACAATCTACCCAACTAACTTTTGATTTATTATGGTAAAATTATTGAAAAGAAGCAAAAAAAGTTTTTAGTTGCATTTATGATTTGATCACGCACATTGGCTATATCGAACATTGGGTCTTACCATCCAGAAATCCCACACCTCACCTCACCCCTCGAGACTAACCAGCATTTTCATCCGCATTCGCGCTCATGGGCCTGGGTAAGGTTTTTGGGTTCCGAGCGAAACTATAAACTATAAACTATAACTTCGAGATCTCTTATAAACGTTTTGATAATTTACACATTGGTTCTGTTTTGTAAGTACTTGTTGTTTCCGAACAAAACCGTTTTGTAGAGGTAACAACTAGAGGTATGTTCAACATCATTCACACACAACACTCCCGGCTAGTTGAGCCCTCGATTCGAGGGTACCAGTTACACTAAATGCTAATCTCTCTATCTAAGATCCATTTAGCATGCGGTTCATCTCAAGTTGTCTTCCAATTAAAGCCCAACCAAAAAACCATAACCGTTCCCAAAATTATTCAGTGTTACATACATAACATTATAACCTAAATGTTCATATGGCATAGCACTACCAAGTTAAAAGCGAACCTTCTGTAAATACATTTGATTTCAACGACTAACACCACTTTCGATTATGAGTTTCGACTTTTAGATTCTGACTAATCTTCTACCTCTTCTTGCACTTTTTCTCTCTTTCCACACAACTAACCTGATTTATGTAAAAATGTACAATATAACAACCACAATTTAGACCATATATCGCCGCCTGCTGGATGCCCAGAAGAATCGCACCCATGTGGATCCGGAGGTGACGCTGCAATTCCTGAAGAGCGCTATCTTCTACTTCCTGACGGACAAGGAGAACTCCCAAGGACATCTACAGGCCATCGAAAGCATCCTGGAGTTCAGCGAGGCCGAGAAGCAGAAGATCAGCGCCGCCACTCGAACGCCAAAGTGAGGTCCTCGATCGTCGTTAACCATTGCGTATACTTATTATTAACACTTAGATTGCACGCAAAAGTCGGCAAGACGATGTCTAAGATTTTGGTTCTCGCAAAATTTCATTGTTTTCAATATTGGTTTTAAGGCTAGGCTGTCGAGCTTAATTGCAATTTTATTTGGTTCTTTAAATAATTTTGTTAAATTACGAAGGCGCCCTTTTGTCCTTTCTTTGGCAACGATGTGTATAAATTTTCCTATAAGTTAATTTCGAGTTACGTATTTATTCGGTCTAAGGCTTATGGCATACTAGTACGTCCTTTATAAGAATACGAAAAATCATAAGAGAAATACAATTTTACAAAATCTACGTAGTTTTTGTAGATCTAGCTAACCAAGTGAGAATAACACCATAACATTTTGGTCGTTTCAGTGGAGTTTTAATGGCAAATAAAAGACAAAAATAGTTATTAAATGTGTTGTCTATACTAATATTATAAAGAGGTAAAATTTGTTTGTTTGTTTGTTTGTTTGTTTGTTTGCAGGGAATAGGCTCCGGAACTACTGGTCCGATTTAAAAAATTCTTTCGCCGATAGAAAGCTATATTATCGTGGAGTTAAATAGGCTATAATTTATTTTGAAAAAAATTAGGGATCCGTAAGAAAATTGCAATATTGTCGCATATAAAGTGAGTTGCTACCTCATCACACTGACAAACACGCTCCCATAGCATTTTAACTCAATTTTTGTGTTCACTGTGAAATTGTGAAAAAAAGAATTTTTATTCAATTTAAGTTGAACTGTGAAAATTATGTGGATCGTGCATTTGAGGATAAATTCACCACTCTGTCCATAGTCCAAAATGCTTAGAGGACGACGTGCAAACATTGGCTGCAGACATCCAAGCCAGCAGCCAGTATATTCACAAAACTTAAGCGAAGAAAGACAAATGAGCACATGGAGATCATTGGCATCATTCAATCGCTTGGCATTCCAATATGACCCCACTGCGAACTACAGTGATACTGAAAATTTAGATATTGGACCAATGGCGACTATATACCGATATTGCAGTGCGTTAAAGTTTAAAAGAGAAACGGCTGGATTGTGCTGCGCAAGTGGAAAAGTCAAACTGGAAAAGTGTTAAATCACCATCTTTCTATACTTCCATATATTTGAAAAATGTTGCAATATTGACTTTTATGATGTTAAATTGTGTTGACCAGCGAAGCGGACACAGGCCCTCTAGTATTTTATATTTTGTGTGTTGGGAAGGAGTTTTTTTAAATGAAGTCAAGCTGGTTTTAAATTTTGAACCACACTTGATGAAAACGAAAAAGCATTTTCTAAAAATCTAGTATTTTACAAATTGTAAAAAAAATTAACTAAAATTTGAAATTAAATATAAAAAAAACAGGTGGTTAATATTTATTTACATATATCAAATAAATTTGTGAGATCAATTCAAATTCTCGATAACTTTAGGTTCAAGAACTAGCTAAAAATTTTTTCGTGTTCGTGCAAACAGGGAAAATAATCGATAGTTGCCGGTATTAACCGTCGATATTTGTTCCAGCTGGTCACATTATTCCTTCTTTTCGATTTCTCGTTTCCGGCGAGTAAGTGTACAAATTTATGCTCCACGTTTTTTTTTTAAATTTTATTTATCGTTTATTTTATTTCACGTGCGCAGATTATTGCTGGAGCATCCTTCCTGTGTTTGACACATCGACAACAACAGCAAAATGGTACGGACGTCCTACATATATTCCAGTGTGAAATGCGAGCTAACCACTTTTTTAACCCTCTATTATTGACAGGCCAAGCGCACCAAGAAGGTTGGAATCGTTGGTAAATATGGTACCCGTTATGGTGCCTCCCTGCGTAAGATGGTCAAGAAGATGGAAATCACGCAGCACAGCAAGTACACTTGCTCTTTCTGCGGCAAGGTAAGTTTGGGCCAGAAATTCACATTAGGGTGGTTCGTTTTGTGTGTACGCCAAAAAAAGTGATACGTCTACGAAACAACTTATCATTGGACATGTCTAAAGAGATGCCAAGAATGCAATGTAACTGAGATAGCTCTTGTCTTTAATATGCTAAATGTTATTTGATTTCATAAATGACAGTAAACCATTCTTTTTTGGGCACTTGAATCTAACCACCCTAGAGTGTATATTAATTTTTATGAAAAACCCTGTTAATGCTTTTGTTTATCTTTATCACAGGACTCGATGAAGCGCGCCGTCGTTGGAATCTGGTCCTGCAAGCGATGCAAGCGCACCGTCGCCGGTGGCGCCTGGGTGTACTCCACCACCGCCGCCGCCTCCGTGCGCTCCGCCGTCCGTCGTCTGCGAGAAACCAAGGAACAGTAAACATTTACGAGTAATAGGTGGATCCATCTAATCCAATGCTCCGTTATGCTATGCTAGTTTCCGTAGTTTTAATCTGACAACGCGATTTTTCTGTGGTTTGCACCGTGCCGGTCATGTGAAAATAAAAAAATGATTTTTACTTTATCAGTAAGCCAAAGTGATATTTATTTATGTGGAAAATTAAACCAATTGGATCATCTTAAAATTGAGAACCACCTTCAACCCAAGATTAAAACACGTTTCGCATTGATTTTCTCTTAAATTTGTCATTTTTTATTTATAAAATTTAAAAAGTCTCTAAACAAACAAAAATAATAATCAAAGAAAAATTCATAATAGTGGTTGGCTTACATTCAGTTTCGTGTTATCTATTATTTGTGTTTTGAGAGTTTTACAATTGAGAAATGGGAAACCTATATTTAGCTAAATATATAAATCAACAATTTAAAACATATAGGCAGCCATAATAATGTATTGTAGGCCATATATAGCGGTTATAAAACGTACATAAACACTAGTTATAGGATTGTTTTCGGGATAGGGTCTTGACCTGCCTGTGTTTGTTGCTTGATTGGATTCGTTTTCCTGTTTTTGCTATGTTAAATGTTAATTAAAAATTGCACCGTCACCAGTTAAAAATAGTTGCTATTTTTCCATATGTATATATCGTTTCTCTATAACTATGGGTTCTCGTTATCATCGTTTTAAAAAATAAATTTAGCTAAAAAGTTTTACTTGGCCTGTGTCTCGGTCTCTTATCGGTTTTCTGTTCTCAATGGATCGTGGAATTTCGTCTGTAGTCAGGTTTTGCTTCATTCTTTTGATTGGAATACGTTTCGAAATATTTACACAATAGCTGAGAGAGTACGTTTTTCGATTTTGAGCAATATTAAGTCGAGAGCTATTGTTGATTTTTTGCAAAACTTTGACTAAATCTAAATTTAATTTAGAACTTAACGTTAAACCTAGAACTAAATGCAATTTATAGTACAGTTTTGCTTGCTTTGCATATGTGTATATCATATAGGTACTACATAAATATTTTATTTAAATGTATATTTTTAATAGCTACGTTAATCGTATTTACATTGTTTTTGTTTAATTCTCTTCTGAATGTAGTTTATAAATATTTTTACACTGTATTTATGATATGCGTGCAATTTTTAGAGATTTTTTATTTTGACCATTGTATAATGATTATGGTTAAGAAGCATTTCGTGTAGTTATTTTTTTGTGATATGAAGAGCGCGTTATTTTGGTACAAAGCAACAGATTCTCTGATATTTGTATAGCCTAAAGGGGGAGGTGCACGAAAGGAACAACCCATGAAGTGACTTAAAGTTTAAATACAAAAACAAGATCGAACCTTCGATTTCCTCAAGTACAATTCTAGCTAGGAATGTTGTGTGCTTGGGGTTTTTGGGGGAGGAAGATTTAGTACCTTCTTCATCATTGTAGTATTTAGGTTATATTATAATGTTCTGCTATGACACACTTGTGGCAATTGCTTGGCCTGCATTTGCTTGGGTTCAATTTATGTACTCTTCAAATTATATTTTGCGAAGCACAAAACGTCAGTTAAATGCCAATTTATTGGTACTTGGTCGAAGCTAATGTAAATTTACATTACAATTATATATACCTAGATAAATCATATATGTAACTGCCTGCCTATATCAACACATATACATGCATATCATGTAAACTGATAATCGAAATTTCTAGTACTGACTCTCACGCATTCACACACGCGCATCAAGATTTTGGGAAGACATCCTGCCGCCGGAAGGACTCTCCGGCCGCAAACACATTCACACAGAGAGATATTTTTGCATAGAGAGAACTCAGATCCGAACGAACTTAGGGCTACGTAAGCAGGGGGTAAACACAAGTTGGAAGTTCTCAGTAAAGTTAGTAGGATCCGTTGAGTTTAGTTGTAGTCGGGCGTCCCGGTGGCATCCAGCTAGTGAGCCTGCCACTTGAACTTCGACTCCATCAGCCACTGTTGGCCCTTGCCGTAGCTACAGGGCCGCAGCAGTGGCGTGTTGGCATCGTCCCGCGTGGCGCGCTGTAAGCACTGACCCGTGTTCGTGTGGCGGATCCACTTCTCCTATAAAAAAAGAAAATAATTAGAATACACCGGAATAATCTTCCATTATAAATACTCACCTCCGCATCGTAGACCCACTCCTGATTGCCGCCCATGTTGTGGCAACGCACCATGTTCACGGGGCCATTCGAGCTGGATGCATCCAGGCACAGATCGTCGGACATGATCTGCTGCCGTTTGGTGTAGGCGAACACCTGGTTGCCGCCCAGGCCATGGCAATAGCTGATGCCCACCTTCTCGTTGTACTTCCTGCCCATCGTGTCCAGGCAGGTTTCCGTTTCCGCATTGCGTATCTAAAGGTTTAATAAATATAAGCTGAAGGGAATTCCTTTGTATTCGATTTTCTAACTTACCTCTCCTAGATAGTAGTAATCCAGAGGCATCAAGCTCTCGGGGTAAACATTCTCCAAGTACCAGCGGAAACTCTTGCATTTAAGGCGATCACGCAGAGCTTTACGATCGCTGACATCGCCAGCTGAAGCTTTGCGAGCTCCTAAAGTAATGTCATAAACGACAAGTAAAATAAGAAAATAAAATTCAAAAATTAGTAAGGTCATATGAGATCTTAATATAAAACATTAATGCTTGGCGAGTGTTTTGTGTATTACAATCTAAGTGTATGTGTTTGTTAGAAAGGCAGGTTAAAGATGCTTTTGTGATTGAGTATAATTACAAAAGAGTTTGTGCGGGCGATGAAAAATAGCTACTACAAGTTCATTACAATAAATACATTAAACATGCAAATACTGAAGCAATTTTACAGCCCAACAATTGCAAGCGTTTACAATTACATTAAATGGTAAGGCAGTGCCAATTTACAGGATTCTTAAACATAGTAACATATATATTGCTATAAGCAGTTTATTGTTTTCATTTATAATAGTTAAACCCATTACCATTACAAAATATTTAATTCTATTTTTGTTAGTTTTAGTTGGTTAAAAAAATTAATTCCGTTCTCGGATTAATTAACCATTCCAACTAAATTTAAATATCTTTAAACCTTCTTGTGATTATTGCCCTCCAAAAATGTAATATTTTTTGTGGTTGTGGAACTTGGGGACGCAAAGGGGGACACAAAGACAAAAGGCAGCGGGTGTGTGTGTTTTAAGGGGGCGGGAGAAAAAAGACCAAAAAACGGAACAGAAAAATGGCACAAACAACACAGAGAGAAATAAATGGGAATCGGGAAACCAATAAAACAAAAACTTTTTGCAAATCAACGATTAAAAAGGTGAAGAAAGAAAAAATATTTCGTGGTTGGATTCAGTTGATTGATCGGTGGGTTTTGCTATTTTTTTTATTGCGGATTTCGGATTTCGGTCACGGCCATGCCATAAATCATAAATATTGATATAAATATTTATTAGGTGTGTATATAGACAGTTGCATAATGCAGGGCGTGCTGCTTGCTCGAGATAAATACTGTAGTTATGTGAATGCAGAGAGATATATTTACGGAACAAAACATTATTTAAGAGACAGACAATAGAAATTAGAGAGTGGAGAAAGAACGTGAGGAGCATGAGAGAGAAAGTGGAGGAGCATTCTGTTGTTTATTTGGTATTGTTTTGTTTTGTTGGTTTTTGGTTTATATTGTATTTTCTTTGATTTTTTGTTTAGTTTGTTAACCTGGATAAAAACTGTAGTAGAACTCTTTCCAGTCGTCCAGCCAAACCTCGACCAGACGGGCATTATTGTGATTGACAATCTCCGTGGTGCCGCCGGGGAAAGTGTACGGAGTAGACTTGCGGAACACGTGACCCACACGGGAGCAGGGCGCGATCTCGAGCACGCCGCCGCACATCCACACCTGGATTTCATTTCGGGTTTGCATATTTTTTTTTTTTTTTTTGTGGTATCAGGTGATTTTCATGGGGGATTTTTGTGTGTGTGGTTGTTATTTTGACAATCGAGCAGTACAATCGAGCATTTGGTGGTCAAGGAGTGGACGAGAAAGATATACACAAAGAGATATAATATATAGAAAGCTTTTGTTAGAGGGCCAAGCCTAGCTAGCTGTATTTTAATTCCAGCCCTGAAGACCAAGGGAGGTGGCTTAAAAGGCAAATTGGAGAAGAAAACGAGGAAAAGCGGCCCCTAAAAGTCAATATTCATTTGAGGAATTGTAAGCACTTTGAATGAGGGAAGGGAAACCAAGTGATAAATCAAACATTTTTCCTTGAAATATACATGAATTCTCAGTTAAATAATATGAAGTTAAGTAGCGATTTTTATGTCTTCAAATATTTAACGAAAGTATTCGAGATACAAATGTTAGTATCAACCGTCTGCAAAGTGCTTATCAAACCACACTTAACCCTCGAGACAACCAGAACAAAAGTTATTCAACAAAAGATTAAATATTAGTTACAACTAAGGGTAATAAACTAAGTAGTAAAATTAATTACCAATTGGTCAGATACTTAAATCATAATTAATAAGCAACAAGTAGAGTGTATGTAAGTTATGTTTAGCTTAGGGTTTCAACTCGTTATTACTGGATAACTAGATTATATCTGGAAACGTTAATACCTAAGCATGTGGAGTATTCAACATTAGTGTTTAGTATTAGAGAAACATGGTATTATAACTGAGCTTGATTCGTTGATGAAGATTGAGAGCAAGATGATCATGAGCATAAAAAGAACTGAGAAACTGAGAAGAATTGAAAGAACATCGAGAAGAATTTCATTGAGTGAACTTATAAAAGGAAACATACTAATTTAGATATGCCAGTGCGGTTATAAGAAAGAAAATTGATGTGTTCTGCCATCGATTCGGGAGCTCTCTGAGTTACATGACATATTTAAGGATAGCTAGTTAATCATAAATAGTTTTTCGGGTATGTATACACAAAATCATTAGCTATATGTGTCATAGATTAGTTTTATGCTCGAAAAAACATATCAGCTTGATTTAATGTCGTGTGTTAGTGTTTTAGTGGGGGGACCTTTTCTGTCTGTTAGCGTTTCGAAGCCAATTACAAATAGATAACGAGTAATTCTTAAAGTTAGGAGTTAGATGCACGCAATTTAAAATCGACTTGTGGTTGGAATGTTTGTTATTTGACTGTTTTAATTTGTTGATTGTTGTTTTGTTGTTGTTTGTTTGCGAACCTGTGCTCATCGAATAATAGAAATCACGCCACTCGTCCAGCCAAACTTCGGCCACTCGGGCCGCATTGTGCAGCACAATTTTGGCCACGCCGCCGGGGAAGGTGTACGGCGATTTGTCACGGAACACGTGGCCCACGTGGGAGCAGGGTATAATTTCTAAAATGCCTCCGCACTGCCAAATCTGCGGGTTATCATCGATGATTGCGTTTGTTGTAATGGTTTGTGTTTGTGATTAGAAATAAATTTGTTTCGTTGTTTTTTAGCTCAAATTTAAGGACTTAACGTAAATGTTTCAATAAATAAAACAGAGAAAAAGAAAAAAAAACCAAGGATGTCTTAAATTTATGCAAGGTCTGATTTTGTTTTGCGGCTTGGCTTGGCAGCTAAGGAAAAAAACGTTTGAACGAAACAAAAGAGAGAACGGGAAAAGCTATCTGCAAAATGCTTTGATATTGCCTTACACGGAACGACATCTCCAGATTCTCGCCGCCCCAAATGTCCATGCCCTCGTCGTAGGAACCAATCTCGTAGAAGTAATCCTTATCGATGGAGAACAGGCCACCGGCCATCGTAGGAGTCCGCAGCGGAGCAGTTCGGTCGTTATTCCTGCGCGCCATTTCTCGCGACGGCACTCGGTACCTAAAGAGGATTAAAGCGGCATTATAGAAGGATTACTCTCACAGGGAACCACCACTTCGCTTACCATCTGAAGTTGAGCTTCCAGTTGAAGCCACCCCACGTGGAGTCCGAGGCGGTGATGTATTCGAAGGTCTCGTCGGAAATCACATCGATAATGGGACACACAACCGTTCGACGATTCTGGACAATGCGCGCTAAGAGCGGCTCCAGCCAACCCTCGGTGCACTCACAATGGGCATCCAGGAAGGTGATAACCTCGCCGCTGACATGCTCGGCTCCCAGGAGACGGGCCCGAATTAAACCGGAGCGTTTCTCAGTGCGCAGCACAAAGGTCTTAACCGGCAGCTTGGCCACATAGTCCTCTAACTGTTTGCCCAGAAAGTCTGAAAGATAGGATTAGAAAAGTTATAGATATCATAATCAACATTGACTGTTTCAATAGATTTTATCCTACCTCTCTCGCTGGCATCATCCACCAGGATTATCTCCTTGAGTAGAGCTCTTGGCGAGCGATTAATAACACTCCACACAGTTCGCAGCAGGGTCGTCCAGGCTTCGTTATGGAAAACTATCACAATGGAAGTGGTGGGCAGCTTAGAGGCGTAGTGCTTGCGGCGGCAACTAAAAGGGGATTTGGTTGAAAACCAGTTTAGCCAAGCAAAAGGATTAGCCACTCTCACCCTTCGTGTCGCACATCAGTCAGCGAGCGATTCAGAGAGATCATGTCACTGGCCAACAGATTGAACTGGTTCTCCTTGAACTTTTCCTTCATGAGATCCTTCATGTCGGCGGGTATCTTCACCGGTTTGCCCATCTCGCCCGGCTTGCCCTTGGCTTCCTGCACCGATGGCGCCAGGAACCACTTTTTGAGCACTACGCTGGGGTAGGTCATGGATATGCCGCCAGGCGCAAAGCCCATGCCCATGATTAGAGCTCCGCCTGATTCACCATCAAGGGATTTCTCCGTGTTGATTTCGTTATCATCTACCAGCTGATTATCGTCCACCAAGCGTTCGGCATTGGGTAACTAATCGAAGAAGTAATTGAAGATAATTGGAAATAACAAATAAATAGATTGAGGTAATCCTAAGGTACTCTACCCACCTCCACATCGTACTCCCCGGATCGCTTGCATCGCCATCCATCCTTGCCGATGCAATCCGAATAGCGGGCGATGAGGACGAAATCGAAGATCACCCAAACGAGCGACGTGAGCAGGACAATCCGGCAGGTATTGGAGCGCATGCGCCCGCGCATTTTGCGTGTGAAGGTCGACAAAGTCATGATTGTTTTAATCTCTGTTAACTATCGTTGGTGGCTGAGCTACAGTCGTCAGTTAATTGCGAATTTTGGCGATTTGGGTTAAGGCTTTGATGATGTGGAACTAATTTCTTGGTTTTACAGCGGGGCGATCATGTTAGTACCCTGTTCTTTTCTTTCTGACGATATGTTGCAGTGAGTTTTTATGTATAGTATTTTGATGTGGCTGTGCTTTGCTTATCAATCGCTATCAGACTTTTATCGCTCCCTCAAGCGTGAAGTTGTGTTAGTTTTGTTGAAGTTGTTGGCACATATGGGAGCTCCTCTCGTCTCGTCTCCCTCTCTCTAGCTGTCTGTCTATGTGTCTCCCTTGCACTCTCGCTCATGCTAGCCCTCGGTTTGACCTTTGACTTCGACTTAGAGCTTTCCTCTTAGTTAAGATCCCTATTCCATGGAGACGAATTCCAGGTCCAGCTTAGCCTGGGAAAACTCATTCCCGGACCACTTCTAGTGTTTTTGTATCAGTTCCCTCCGGTTGTAAGACCTTCGATATAATAAAACTGCAAAGAAAGGGAGAAAAAAAAATTATAATAAAAACCATGATTAATCACATCGCAATAATGAATACTTGGAAAAAATGAAAGTTATGAATTCATGTTACTGTTGCCATTTATTTTTATACGCCAATAATCAAATAAGCGTTTTTTGTTACCAAATAGATGTCCAGATAATTGAGCTCGATTTATTTTAGTGTCGTGTATTCGTTTCGCCCGCTGTTTGTGAAGCAATTTATTTCCAATTTGATTAAGCACATATGCTCGCAATTGCGAGATATACAAATAATTAATTATCAAGAGCACTCAGATAAGACAACATTAATTAAACTAATTACGTGATTAGTTGACATTTCGTTCAAGATTAAAATGTGCAGTTGTTTCTGAAGCTTTAAGCAAGAAAAAGTACTTTACTGTACAAAATCGAAAAATCATAGAGGAAAGGAATTTAGAATGCAATGTACATATTTTATTTCTTCTTTTACAACAGGGAAATGCAATGACAAAAAATATCTCTGAAATAAAATCCAATCTGTAAGAACTAAACATTTTTGCAGGAAATAGAATATGAACTCGAGTAAGCAGCTCAATTAATCTAATTTATATTGACATTTTGTTGTGTCCTCCATTTGTTTGCATATGAGAAGACAGCGCACACAGTTTCCATGCAAATGCCGAAACCTCTGCATCGATAAATCCCATCAAAGCTTGAGTTTCAATACTTTTTTCCGGCCCGAATCTCAGCTTTTTCTGTGGATCCCACCGCGGAATCTACAGTGCTTTGCACACGAAATGCCAAAGGCAAGAAGCAGCAGAAAGCGGAGAGAAAGAGAGAAAAAACTGTTTTTATTTTTCTCCAAATGCCGTTTTGGCCAAAATTCCATTGACAAAGGTCATAGTCGCAGACAAAAACAACGGCAAGACGGGCAGCATCAGCTTCAGCAACTCACGCCAAACGCCTAACAAGCTGTCAGAGGGAGAAGGCGTTAGAGCGACAGAGTGGGACAGCAGGAGAGTACTAGCCAAAAGCGCAACAACTCTTAACGGTATTTTGCCGGGGCTTTTCAGCCACAACTCATACTCTTTTAGGGGGTATTTACAATTTTAAGTAAAAAATATACTTAGGAAAAAATATAAAATGCTTTAAAAATCAATGTTAGGATATCATCGACTTGTTTCATGATTTAGGATCTGAATTCTAACCATAATCTACAAAAGAATAAAATTCCTTGAACTTATCTTGGTAACAATTATAATATAGAAAATGTGTTGTAATGTTAACTTAATTAAAGTAGTAAAGCTTTGGCTCAAAACATGATAAGATATTAAGAAACTATTTGATGCATATCTTGATAAGGGTATACCTATGCTTCGATGCTCGTTGCATGCATTTTTTGCATCTCACATTTTTTTGTGCACATAACGTGCCTTTGAATCATTCATAAGGCATGCGACGTCAACCTCGTTGAGCGGCAAACTAGACAAGACTACGAGCCTGGGAGTTGGTAGTCGGTAGTTGGTTGTTGGTAGTTGGCAGTGGGAAAGGAAAGGCACGGGAAGGAAAGGAAAAACCAGTTTCCCACCATCCGACATCACGTTGCAGGCACACGCACACCACTGCCACTTGGCAAGGCTGCCCGGGGGGCAGATGCAGATGGAGATGCAGAAGTGGGTGGGTTTAAGACTGGGGGGAGCCAGTGGTGCCACCACCACTCTGTTTAAATATGCAGTTGCATGTGCGAGACCCCAAAAGAGGCAATCTTCTTCTGTGGCGCTCACCGGAGAGCCCTTTCAGCCATGTCAGGCCATCAATAATACATTTGATAACAAGGAAACATAAATTCCTGTTTTTATAATTATCCACCGTTTTCTTGGCACGGTTCGTCGTGCAAAAGGGTAAATTAAAACCCCAGACTGCGCGTGCGGCATTCTAAGTGATTAATAATTCAGGCCAGAGATGTCAGCAAAAAATTGAAAGGCCATCTCAACTCATAAAGCTTTCAATGCCCTGAAAACTTTATGGCAACTCAATGTGATTTCATATTTGATAGGTGAAGAGCATGAAAAACTTCCACCATTTTTTACGTGTTCGACGGGCTGACCTACAAAAAAAAAGTTTAGAATAACTATTACGTCACGCCAGGGCATTATAAAAGCATCCATAAAACCGAGCTGTCAGGCGGACTTTCTGTTCAATTCATTGGGTTTTTTCGTACTTAAATTAATCAAATTGAAACAGCTCTGTTACACGGTTGTTTGTATTGCTGCCATTCATTCGCATGCATATTCCACTATAGACAATTCAATTACAATTATGTCAAATGAATACATTTTACAATTTCAGAGTTCTGCTTGAAAAGAGCATAATTGCTCTGGTAAAATGTTGAAATTCAATTATACCCACATTGCAGTGCAATCAAAGTGGATTGGGCTACGCACACTTGGCAGTGGAAGTCACGCTCTGTGAACTGTTAATTGACAGGTAATCAGTTTAACTGCTGAAAACAGCATCGAAAGCAAACAATATTTTTCACAGAACATGTTCATGTGAGGTGGCAAATTATAACTAAAATTCCAATGGGAAGTAATTACTGTGAGCTGCACTTGAACGGATTCTGTGCTCAAGAACTAATTGAATTATTATCAGTTAATCATGTTTATTAAATCTCCATTATAAAATCATTCAAAGCAATTGAAACTATAAGAGGCTGGCAACCGATGAGGAGCACCAACAACATCTAGAAGTGGGTACAGTGGAGAAACCACATGGGCATAGACCCATAACTTTTCGATTTTGAAGTTCCATATTTTTAAAAGTTTGTATTTTAATTCTATAATAATCTGCACTATTAGTAAATTTATAAAACCCGATTTTCAAGAGGCATACTTTTGTTTTCCAACTTTTGGATGCATTACAGAGTTGGATTTCAGTTGGCCATTTTTAAAAGGCTGTTCATATATCCCGTGATAAAGTTTGAAAGATTTTCCTTCACACGCCAGCTTCAAAAACAATAAACAAACTTTTCGCAGAAGAAAAATCCGAGAGAGTTTATTGAAGTTCCAGTTCTCAGCAGTAATTCGCAGCTATCTTTTGAGTCACTTGTCAGTCGCAGAGTGCCGACAGCAATTGATGATTTATGTACGACAATCGACTTCAATTGTTGCCGGCTTCTGTGAACTTGAGCGTTGATTTGTCTCTCGGATTTCGTATATAGGACGTGGGTGGGCTCCGATGATGAGGATTGAATGTTTGTCAGTTTGTTTGCTCATTTACTTCAAGTTCTGCCTTTGCTTTACTGCACTGCGCCAGCAACACTTTTTATTTTTTTCGTAATTTAATTTTCCGGGATTTTAATTAAAATAGAGCGCGCCGCGTGCTCAGCAGTGCGCAAAAATTCACAGCACGTAACATTGAAAAACTGTCAAACTGCCATAAATTGAAATATTCCGGAGCTCCCTCCTCCGTGTTTTCTTGTTCCCGGTTCCCAGCTCCCTGGTCCCTGGTTTCTGCCCCTTTGGATCCTATCTTGGCCGGGGCCACAAAGCGGAAGCTAACATTTTTTTACAAGGGCCAAAAGAGTGGGTGTCAGCGGGTTGCGAATGGCGCCTGCTGAAAGCTTTTCAAGCTGCTCTGTTTATTGCCACTGATAAGGAGGTTGGGGTCGCGAGGGGGCGTGGCAGGCCATCTATGTACAGTAGTTGCTCGCAAAAACTTTTCGCTTTTCACGCGTTAATAATTTGCTAAAAGTTTACGTTTTACAATGCCGGGAGTTTCGAGTTATAACATATTTGTAATTTAACTTTTGCAAAACAAACCTAAAGTAGGATTATATTGTTTAATAATATAAGCTGCAAATAAAAATATCTTTCTAAATTTCTTAAAAATTACGTTTAGATAAAACCCCGCTTTGCTGGTTCCCTTTACTCAAATAATAACATCGTAATAAGCAACAATCTGTTTTTAGAACGTTAATATTTGCACATCTCATTTGCAGGCACTGTAGATGAGCTTGTGAGCGTGTTTCAACTGCACTTGGGCCCGAAAACACTTAGCACGCTTGTTGAGTGTGTGGCGCGCACTCAGAAAAGCGCACAGCAATTAATTTGATGAAAATCTGTGTCAGCTTTTACAAGAAGTTCTCAAACACGAGGCGGAAGCGATGTGAAGCGGAGATAGCTGGCTGCATAATGTTAACAGATCGAAACTGTTCCAAAGTGACGTTTCCAACAATATATAATATAATAATAATATTAAGCACTCGGGAAAATCTGTGCACGATGGCAATCGAATTGTAGTAATTTATTAATGAAACGGCGGCTGCGTTGGCGAAGGTCATGTCCCGTCCGTCAGTGACAAAAACAATCAAAAACAGCAGCGGCAAAGCCAATAAACGAGGGCAGCGGCAGCCACTATTGTGACAACCGCTTACAAAATGAAATTGTAACACAAAATGCAATTAAGAGTGCAAAAGCAAGCAAACAAACCAGTAACAGGAAAATAAAAACAAAAGGCGCACAGTGAAAACAATTTGGGAAACGTAGGCAATTAAATGCAATTAATGAAATTGTACAATTAAAAGAGTAGTCGTTTGCTGACCGCCTGATGACCATTTGACGCGGGACTGGTTTTACAAATTTGCCCATCGGGCAGCGATTTTCGTGCATTTGCATAAAACCCAACGTGGGAGCAATTTGCAATTCGCGCCACACGGAAATCTAAATGGATTGGACTTTTGATACAGTTTTAACTCTGTTCGTTTATTAATTTAAATGTTTGTTAAAAACTTTTGGTTGAGATTAACTGTCTGTTGGGACAACACGTCTGAAATAATGTTATGACACATGGGCAGCCATTAAAAACGATACTACTTGACTTCCAGACATTTGCATACCCCAAAACAGGTTCCACACATAAATTCATCATCTCGTTGCCTCGCTCTCCATTTATAAATCACCCAGGGAAAATATTTGGTATAATTAAGTACACTCGTTTGGCGCACACTTCA